GCCGCTAACACATCCTCTTTGGTCAGATGCAGGAAAATCACTTGAAGTGGTGAAGTTATAAGGCCACTTCTGTTCCTCAATCTTTGTCTGAAAACAGCAACCAAATCTATTTCTCAGCTATTTTGTTCTTACGTATGCATATGCATATCTATATATGTATGACCTGGTTCTTGGCTTGATGCCAGAGCAACAAAGGATCAACTCCTTGAGGAAAAGAGTTGAGATAAATGAAGACAGGTCCAAACACCTTCTTCCATGCTTCACCTTCTTCAAATTTCATGATCAGATCTGCTCCAACATAGTGAGTGCTGTGAAATATCTGTTTCCATTTCAACTAACATCAATTATCATCCATCTTTATATCCAAATTTATGTATCGTTTTATCTCGAAACCTATGCTCACCGCGAGGTTGGTTGGACCGACATGGGAGCCTAGGAATTGCTTGAGAGGACCAGAAGAACGGAACTCGTTGCTTGGAGTGATTTGCCAGAAACCAACTGAGTCATTTGTGCTTATCCATCCATGAACTTTTATGTCTTTACTCTCCATTGAATACGCATACTTGTCATCCACCTGTAAGATAATCAAGATTGATACTCTGTTTCCTCTATTGCTCTGTTTCCTCTGTTTTAATAGGAAGAAATTAAGTTTACCTCTCCTTTGAACTCAGGATTGGTAGGGTCGAGAAGTTGAACGGCCTCGGGATAAGCAAGAGGTTTACCTCGAGGAGGAATCCGATCATCTGCTTGAGGCATGTACCTTTGCCTCTCATCTGAAATCGCCATATAATGAAACCTATGCAAATAACAAGTGGACATAAACTATTATCAAACTCTGTTATGAATAACAGACTTTTTTTTATAGATGAAGGATAAGTAGAGAAAACATCACTTGTCCTTGTTTAGCTTAAATGCTAATCGAATATTATCAAGTTCAACAGCAGGCCACCCTTTTAACCGCTCGAAGATGGCGTAAGTGTAGAACCCGGACGAGTTTCGCAGCATTACAAACCTGAAATCAACTCATAAATCTCATCATACTAGATTCCAAAAAAATCAAACCTTTTATTTACATGTATATACTAATTTTATACGAGCTACCTCTTGTCTATATTCACAGGAACAGCCAGTGTTGAAGAAGCATTCCATGTCCTTGAAAACGATATCTCTATCTTTTCATCACTCTGCGTTATCACTTCCATCTTTGTTGCTTCAATCCTGCAAATTAATCCAAGTTAGTTTCACAATGGAGGGTTATTGGTAGCTATATAACTGCAGACAGAGAGTCATTTACCTGTCTAGTGTGCCTTTGGTCTTTTTAGTTTTTTTCCCTGGGAAGTTCCACACTAAGTCCCAGTAACTACAGAAATTAGATCAATTAGTTTCAGTCCTCAGGGATTATAAACACTGAAATTAGGGCATTTACATACATAAGCATAATCATAGAAGTAGACCTACCCTCTATCATGTTCACCTCCGTTGTAGGCAAGCACATTTTCAATATTATTGTACCGGATTCCAGTGACAAATCCCTCCGGACTGGACAAAGTTAATTGAAAAATTCCATTGTCCAAAACCACCTGTAATCACTCATATAATTTAGGGTTTTTAAAACGTTCAACGTGACTTGCACATCAAGGAAGCTGGAACTTAATAGCGAAACAATTCTTCGTTTTTTGCATCAACAAAGTGTCTCTAATTGTCAACTAAAAGCTAATTAAAAAAAAATGGATCGGTAAATAATGTATAGAGGCGACGTACATGTCGATCTTCGTAATGTAATTGCAAGACTTGTGTTGATTCTGGATCAGGACTTTGGTTTTGAGAGATTGCAATTTCAAATAAAGACAAGAACATGAACAAAGCAATTATCCATCCTCTATGTCTCCGGTAACCTTTTTTTCACCAAACACGTACACATATACATATGATGACGTTATGTTAGGAGTTAGGTTCTAATCATGTATTTAAGATATTATACTAAAAACAAATACATGTAATGATGTTTCTTCTCTGATGCGTACCTATGGTCGTCACGAGCTGGAAGACATGTGAAGAGAACAGAAGCATGATGAAATCAGCGGATTTGTCTTGGAGCTTTCTCGAAATTCTGTCCACAAAGATAATCAGACATGTGAAGTTGTAGAGACGAGGCAAGTAAGAGTTAGAAGAAGAGTCGTTTAGATTATGACAACTTAAGATCATTATATAGGTTTCTTCTAATAAGAATCTATATTACCCATACAAAAACTTTGAAGTAGGACAAAGACAAAAGACAAAAGACAAAAAGTAAAACAACAAAGGTACATGTGAACTAAGAAATGGAAAAAAAAAGAGAGAGAGAGAGAAGTAAGTTAAATGGTTTAGGCAACATCAAAGTCAAGTTTTCTTCTGCTATAAACAAAGAATTTCTTCTTTTTCTTATTATAACAAGACTTTTTCATTGTGGTTGATATAACAAGACTTCTTTTTAGTTCCCTATATATATATTCATTAAAAAAATGGAAATCGAAATCGGATCAAGAAATATTACAATCCCAATCCTAGGTAGAGCCATGAACCAAACTCGTTCTAGAATTCCATTATCATAGTATATATAAACAAACTATAAATTTAAGAAACATCTCTGATAATATTATAAAAAGTAATCTTGTCCGGCTAGTATCATTAAGCAATACGAAATTATGCATTTCATAAAGGAATCAAATTTAATTTAAGGTTTTGTTGATAACTGTATAATATATACATTGGTGCTCATGTGCTAATATTCGTACAAAGTAACCACTTCCAATAACCCTTCTTGTCTTTTTCTTTTCCCCAACGCCTACTCGGTAGATATCTAAGGAAACTGCGTACCTACACATAACATAACATCCAATTTACCTAAAAGTAGTTCGGCTCTTTACGGTGACACCACATTTTAATTATTCATTTTTTGAAGTTTGTTGTTGTGAAGAAGAACTAGGCATAAATATATACTAATACCTTATGGTGAATTTACATAAACTAATCGCAAAAAGCTCACCTTCAGTACGTACCGTATGCGACGTGATGCCCATATAAAAACAAATATGCGTAAAATACATAAATTTTAGATGTGAATATATAATACACATGTATAAATGCACACGAACAGGAGAAGAATATAAGGAATGCTGATGCTTGAAGCAAAAGTTGTTATGCGGCTGCGTGGGTAGTTGATTGGAGTTAGGGGAAGCACATACATATATAATCGATATTTCATATACCAACAACATAGAAGAGACATATAAAGATTTCAACAGGTTGTTGTCCAAATGCTTAACCAAAATATTTCCAACGAATACCTTTCACGGGTTCAATTTTTTTTTACATTATGTTCAACAGAAAAAAAAAAGTCTTTTTCAATGACAAAATCAGATAGATGAATAACACCAACAACTTTTTCCCATCAACTACATCTCTCTATTATTTCATTTTTCGTATTTTTCTTATATCCATACCAAAAATGAACCATAATGTTACTATTTACTAACCTTTTTGCAAAAAAAAAAAAGTTACTAACCATTCAAAGTTGTTATGGAGTCTTGATCAGTGACAAGCCAGGAATTTTTTTTTGTTTTTTTGTTTTTATAAATTAAACACAACATTGAGATGATTCTCGATAGAACAGAAACGAAATTTATAGATTATTTGGTCGCAAATAACTTAACCAATATTTAATTTAGCATTTATTTATTAGATCAACCATTTAAATCAAATAATCTTCCACTATCATAATGAAAAATTCATAGAGATTGCCTAAAACCAACAATTGATGAATAACAAAAGAATTGGTCAAAAGCATTTATACTATTTACTATCCTAAGAAAGTATTTAAATTGGAAATTAAAAGTTTTTATCTTATCTTATATTTTAAACATTACATCAATTTAATTTGTTATATATATGAGATATCTTCTACTTTTTTCTTGTTAATTCTATTTAATTTACAAGATTGAATTACAATATAGTCAAATACATTTATTACCATTTATGTCAATAACGTAATGTAAGGATTTATTACCATTTATGTCAATAGTATTAACTTCCAACATAGATTCAAAGTTAGTAAATTCCACTAAAAAGGAGGACATAGTTGTAGAGGTTAAAGAGAGATAGAAATTGCGAATATTTTTATTTCTTGCCATTTAAATCACCACACAATCAAAAATCTATTATACTCTTCTATACATGTCTTTGGCCAAAATAAACAACCTCGTTTTCATCATCATCAAATTCATGAAATTTTGACCGAAATAAAATTCATATACATTTTTAGTCTAACTATCTCGCAACCACAAGAAATGTTCTTTTTTTTTTAAAAAAAAAAGCTGTTTTGTCTCTAAATGTTTTGTATTACCTAGTATATATGCGTTGATCTAAGACCGCATAATCTCCACGATCTAAATTCGACGTGAGGCATTGAGAAGAAACACGTAAATAGCCTTAACATAGCTTTATATCATAAAAAGACGACAAAGATCTAACGAGTAAGAATAAATCGAATTTCAAACTTTGATTATATACTGTTTTTCATCATGAAAATATATGAAAACCTTTTAACCAAAAAAATGGAACAGTGAAATAAAATACTTGTACGTACCTTGCCGCAAGGTCCTTGCGTTAATTTCTCTGCGAAAGACTTAGATATCTACTGTGTTTTTTTTCCTCCTCTCTTGTGAAACATAGTTTTCGTCCATGTCCATATATATATGAGGAATCCCAGTAAATTACAAAATCTATTTCCAAATGGGGAAAACGCAAACTAATTTGGTTTAGGATTTGTTTTTCTTTCTTCAATGTATTGCACAAATATATTGGTAGGATAAAAAAAAACTTTACAGAATTTATTTTTCTTGTAGTGAAACAAACATTGTCCATGGACCTCAACCATGTTAAATAAGCCAGTTTCTTAAAATAAAACCAATGTACTCTAAGCAAAACCAAACTGAATATATGTGCATACCCAAATGATGTTTAAAATAAGATTATAACGAGCAAGAATTTGAAACGCATATGTAAAAAAGAATCGAATAAATCAACAAACATGTCAAATCACATTGCTTAAACTTTCTGAAAGAACCATGTTTGATTAGCTGGGAGCTTCGAATCGGATGTAATCATACATCATCCCTTGGAAAGGACTTGTGCACCTTGGCTGCGTGAGAAACAAGGTATTATCGCCTTCTACAAACTTAGAGCCAGCTACTTCCACATTGAACAACCAGTACAATCCATGTATTCCATGTCTTGCTATCGAGTTGTCCCTCCCGATCAATCCACTTGTGAACAATGGACTTGCACTCGCATCGTTTACACGTATCTTCATCCCCCAGTTTTGAGTCAAGATTCATCCAACTACGTTAAATTGTCTTTCTTGATGGTCTAATTTACAAAAAAAAAAATGTCATGGATTGATAGATACACACGTACTTGGAGTTCGGCAAAAGTAGCGGATGCGATGGCTACTCGTAAAGTATAGGTGTGGTTCTTTTCAATGTTTTTGAGTTCGAATTTAATTTGCCATGTTGTTGCTTGATATGTTTTGCTATCCTTTTTTCTATGAAAAGAAAACGTAACAATGTGGTTAGAAAATACCGTAAATTTAAGAAATAAAAGATAACGGAGATGATGAGGAAGACCTAGTGACTTGAGCGTAAAACCAGTCGTTTCTATAGTCGCTAGAGCCAACTACATATACTAAGTCTTTATCGGGGTACAATTCTACGTATCTTTCCCATAATCCATATTGTCGGAACCTGCGAGAGATAAGCAATCATCAAAAAGGGCATTTTTAGTATTCTTACATGAAGTTCCTATACATTTTGTACAATGTCAGTAGCCTGTTTATGCATGATATAGTAATTTACTATTCAATTAAATAAGTCAGTTTCTTTTAACGTTAAAACCAAAAAAGTCATTTTTCTTTATATGTTCTCTTTTGTCCACAACGTAGTTATAGGAGATTAACCAAAACCTAATGACGGTCTTTTAAATACAAACTCAATAAGCTCAAGAAAAAAATGTTGTGATATTTGTATGTGTTATATATGTAAAAACCTGTCAGGGTGATTTTGATAAAGTTTGTTGATATATTTTGGATTCGGATCAGGAACAAAAAACTCTGCTGCTGATCGATCAGGAAAACCGATCTCCCATAACGTTGCTCCATTTCTTGGAGGCTGATACACAAGATCTTCCACATAAAGATAACAACCTGCACAGACAATGATTATTAATTACAGGATATATTCTTTAAACAACTGAAAAATTACGGTATTATATTGGGTTTAATTGAAAAAAATTATGTTTTGGGGAACTAATAGAAAGAAAGAAAAGAATATGAGGACCTGGGGTGACGGTGATAATATCATCGTATTTATAGTCGCCAATAAAACCAGGAACCCATGCATAGAGATTGTATTGGCCTGGCCTTACTCCACTAATGTAAAAGAATCCTTCTTCATCTGTTCTTGTCCAAAATTGATACTCCTGCAAGAATGGAATGTTCATAGAGATATTATTTTAAAATTTTTAAAAAATTCCATTAGTTCTTTATTTAATATCCATCTTCTACTTTTTAGGATGGGGCCACTTTTCAAAATAATCACCTTGCATTCTCTTTGCCATGAACCAGCAGCTCCAGGTACAGCCAAACCAACATAACCTCTATTGGCTGCAATGAAATCTTTATCTACATACCTTAAAGAACATAAATGCATTATAGAGTTTTAGATTATTGGATATATGCAATTGTCATGTGAAGTTTGTAATGACTAAAGTGCGTCTAGTGAAATTTGATTTTTTACTAATGAGCAACAAGATGATAAACAGTATAAAAAGAATTGAATCAGGCCCTCTCAGTAATTTACCTGTCTTGAACGAGAAGTCTGCCAACAACATTACCACGTTGCTCTGCTTTCACATAATCATCCGAAGCTGGAAAACTGTAAGGCCAGCTTTCTACTTCCACATTCATCTGGCACATTAAATTTATAATGTTAGATTTGTTCTTCTAACTATATAAAACAAGATAAGTATAAAGAAGAACCTGAGTTTTAGCATCTTGCCAGAGCCAAAGAGGGTCATTATCATCATCAGTAGACGAGTTTAAATAGACGAAAACCGGCCCAAACACCTTCTTCCATGCCTCGCCTTCACTGAATTTTGGCACTAGATCTTCCCCTGTATAGTGTGCACTCATAAATACCTAAAGAACCCACGTTAAACTTGTAAAAAACTGTAATGATTTTAGAGAAAAATGTTAAAGTAGATAGATGTTTATCCTTACAGCAAGAGAAGTGGGTCCAACGTGAGATGTCAAGTTCTGTTTTTGAGGTCCACCGGTTCGGTACTCATGGCTAGGAGTTATGAGCCAGAAACCGACTGATGGTTGCTCCGTGCATATCCATCCATGGACAGTAATGTCTTTGTTTTCGCACGAATATTGGTACTTATCGTCAACCTAAAAACCCAAAGAAGAACCAGTAAAAGCCAAGTTAACAACGTTTTACAAGAAATCAACTTCTCTCTAGCTAATAGTCTTGAAAAGAAAGAAAAAATAAATGATAAACTATACCTCTCCTTTGAATTGAGGCTCTACAGGATTAACAAGTAGAACAGCTTCAGGGTATGCCAGAGCTTGGCCTCTGTCTGGTAACCGGTCATCAGGCAATGGCATGAATCTCTGCCTATCGTCAGTTACTGCCATGTAGTGAAACCTACAACTCTCAGCTGTTAAGATTAATGGAAAATTAATGTTTAGCTAGTAAATGAGTGATTTATCTTTGTTTACTTCTCTTTTCTGAGCTTGAAGGCAATTCGAGTTTCGGCAATTGAGAAAGCAGGCCATTCTTTCAAGTGCTCATAGATGGCATAAGTGTAGAATCCCGATGACCCACGAAGCATAACGAATCTGTTTTCAACACTTTTTTCAGCTCATAAGCTGAAAATGGGATATGAAATTTATGCTTCAAAAAAAAAGTAAGGACCTTTTGTCAATGTTCAGTGGCACAGCTTTGCCTTCTTGTGATGGATCCCATTTTCTTGTGAAAGAAAGCTCAATCTGTTCATCATTTTCCATTATTACTTCAAATTTTGTTCCTTTTATTCTGTTACCAAAAGGAAATAGTTATTAAGCATTAGTTGCTTTGAACACCATTGCTTTGATCCAATTCTATCTGAAAAAAATGCAATCTGTCTTTCGTTCTATGGGATCAAACTACGTACAGATTTTTTCTAGTAATCTTATTTGGGCATTAAACTCACGAAGAAGACTTACACATCAAATGCTCCAGCGGTTCCTGATCCGCCCCAGACGAGGTCCCAATACCTGAAGAAGACATTCACTTCAAAACAATTTTTTTGGCGCGAAAGCTATGAAATTAACTAGAGAAACAGAGAGATGTATCATGCATGCAATAACCAGACGTTGTCTAGCCTTGAGTAGGCTCTTAAGATAATTGATTTCAGAACAGCCATTCTACTAGTTTATGCAATCTTACAACAGTTAAATTGCAGGAAGCTAACTTGGCTGGCTATCGCATATTGATGACTAACAGGAAGTCTCAGAGACTAATCGATAGAAAAGTTTAAAAGACTACTAAGAGAAACATACTCCAAATTAAAAGTATCATAATATCACATTACCCTCTGTTGGATTCTTCATTAAGAACCTCTAGCAAGTTATCGATACCATTATACTCGATTCCGGTAACAATTCCATCAGGCTTTGATAATGTAACCCGTGCAATGCCATTGTCCATCACCACCTGAACCATCAATACACCAACGATGTCGAAACTTTAATTAAAAAGTTTCAGTTCTTTTTATAACATCTGCAGCTAAATGAAGATAGAGAAGATCATGAGAAGAGTTAAAGTTAACAAACATGATTGCCCTTATCATGCAACTGCAGTTTAGCAGACGACATTGATGAATTGTCTTCTGGGTTTTGGTCTCTAAGCTTAAAGTAAATGTATATGTTTTTCTATACGTACATGTGTGTATATATAGAGAGAGATCCGATTTGGAGAAGTTATGTTGCCTTGGACGGGAGATAAAGTGTAGTGGAGAGAATCTCTTGACTTTGTCGTCAAAACAGTTTGGTTAGTTTTTGACGAAATGCTTAAGAGAGCCGCAATGATCATCAATATGGTGACATTCGTGTGTCTCAAAGCATGTCTCTTCTAAACATTCTTGTTTCTCATTATTATATGTAAATCAATACCATATTGTGTGATTCAAACGTTCAAAAATGAATTATTTGCGTAGTAGTTACAGTTCGGTTATTTGTTCGTTATTCCTTAGTGGGACTATTTTGCCCTTATGGTCAACCTGCACCAACCGGACATTGACTAATCTCCACCAGCTAATAAAGCCCAGAAATCAGTCTTAAGAGCAAACTCCTATAATTGTTGTGAGGCCCAAATTCACAAGTGTCCAAAAAACCAAAACATTGCCATATCCTTTCGCACTCACCCGCCTCCTATGTTCTTCTTCTTCCCCATTTTCTTTCTCTCTCATTTCTTACTCGGTGTCTCAAAACCATACCTCAAAGAAGATTGAGTTAGTTTGTTTGTCTGTTTATGTTCTGCCCTCTGTTTTCGTCTTATAGAAAAGGTTTATGGTTATCTCTATGGATTTGATGGTGTCCACAAGCAGTGCACAAGAAGGGTTTTGCTTAATTCAACAATTTCATCGCGAGTGTAAACGAAGCAATAAGCTTGACGTCTCAGGTCGTACGACTTGTAATATTAGGTCTAAGTCCTCTCTTGGGTCACGAAAAAGGAGCCGACTTGTTCTTGCTTTCGCGGCCTCCAGGGTGGAGAGTTCCGGTCTTAATGGCAGAGCTCAGAAGTTCGAAAATTCGCCTTCTGGGATTAGCAATAGTAACGGTAATAATGGTCATTTCAGCTCTTCGAATTCGTCTTTTGTGTTGGAAGATGTCGAGAGCAACAACCATTTGCGGCAGCTGGTTAGAGCTGGAGAATTGGAGGAAGGGTTTAAGTTTCTGGAGAACATGGTTTATCACGGTAACGTCCCCGATATCATCCCGTGCACGACACTGATCCGCGGATTCTGTAGGATGGGTAAGACGAGGAAAGCCGCAAAGATCTTGGAGATTCTTGAAGGTTCTGGTGCTGTTCCTGATGTTATCACCTACAATGTCATGATTAGTGGCTACTGCAAAGCCGGGGAGATCAATAACGCTTTATCTGTTCTCGATAGGATGAGCGTTTCCCCGGATGTTGTCACTTACAACACGATCTTGCGTTCTCTTTGCGATAGCGGGAAGCTAAAGCAAGCCATGGAGGTTCTTGATAGGCAGCTTCAGAGAGACTGTTATCCGGATGTGATTACTTACACTATATTGATCGAAGCTACTTGCAAAGATAGTGGTGTTGGACAGGCGATGAAGCTTCTTGATGAAATGAGGGAGAGAGGATGTACTCCTGATGTTGTGACTTACAATGTTCTCGTGAACGGTATTTGTAAAGAGGGGAGATTGGATGAAGCGATTAAGTTCTTGAACGACATGCCGTCTTATGGATGTCAGCCGAATGTTATTACGCATAACATAATCCTGCGGAGTATGTGTAGCACAGGGAGGTGGATGGACGCGGAGAAGCTTCTTGCTGATATGTTACGTAAAGGCTTTTCGCCGAGTGTTGTCACTTTCAACATCTTGATTAACTTCTTGTGCAGAAAAGGCTTGCTTGGTCGAGCGATTGACATTTTGGAGAAGATGCCTAAACATGGATGCCAGCCTAACTCTTTGAGTTACAACCCGCTGCTTCACGGGTTTTGCAAGGAGAAAAAGATGGATAGGGCTATAGAGTATTTGGAGAGAATGGTCTCTCGTGGTTGTTACCCTGACATTGTGACCTACAACACTATGCTCACGGCTTTGTGCAAAGATGGGAAAGTTGAAGATGCGGTTGAGATACTTAATCAGCTTAGCAGCAAGGGATGTTCTCCTGTTCTAATCACTTATAATACCGTCATTGACGGGCTTGCAAAAGCAGGTAAAACAGGCAAAGCGATAAAACTGCTAGACGAGATGCGTGCAAAAGATCTAAAGCCTGACACAATCACCTATTCTTCTCTGGTTGGAGGTTTGAGCAGGGAAGGAAAAGTAGACGAAGCCATTAAGTTTTTCCATGAGTTTGAGCGGATGGGCGTTAGGCCAAACGCAGTCACCTTCAACTCTATAATGCTGGGTCTCTGTAAGTCTCGGCAAACAGACCGTGCCATTGATTTCCTGGTCTATATGATCAACAGAGGGTGTAAACCGACCGAAACATCGTACACAATTCTGATAGAAGGCATAGCTTATGAAGGTATGGCAAAGGAAGCTCTGGAGCTACTCAATGAGCTTTGTAACAAGGGACTCATGAAGAGAAGCTCCGCAGAGCAAGTTGCCGGAAAATGCAGCAGTGAGTAGTTCGCTCACTAGTCAGTCCTCTTATGTTGATTTATGCTAAGAGAACAACATTTCATTGGTTACTCTCTAGCTCTTATGTCTTAGGTTCAGTTTTGGATGTCAGAATTTTTGTTTTGGAGTTTGCATCATATCAATATGATTCAGTTGTTACCATTATCTTTTGGATGAAATAAACGCCTTTACATATACACGTGTACTTTCATATATGATTTCAAGGAGTGCCTTCTAGACGAATATAGTCATACATAATCCCTTGAAATGGTCCATTGCATCTTGGCTGTTTCAGGAATATTGTGTTATCACCTTGCACAAACCGGTTTCCTGGTATGTTCACCGTGTACAGCATGTAAACCCCGTGGATTCCATGCCTTGCTATCGAGTTGTCTCTCCCGATAAGTCCGGTTGTGAACAGAGGACGGATTGCTTCCGCGTCATTAACTCTAACCTGCAAATAGAGTGTGCCAACAAAACATTACAATCTTAACAATTCGTCTCTGTCAGAAATGTGAAGTTTCATTTTTTACCTGCAACTCCGCTAAGGTTGCAGATGCTATGGCTACTCGCAGTTTGTAATTCGCTTTTTGATCAGTGTTTTCGAGTTTAAACCTAATCTGCCAAGTTGTTCCTTCATGCACATCTCCTTTCTTCCTAGGAACATGAGCAAAGAACCAGTCTCTGCGATAGTCGCTTACACCAATAGTGTAAACAAGGTCATCATTTGGATACAAATCTGTGTATCTCTTCCACAGCCCATATTGCCTGAACCTGAAAACATTAAAGCAATGCGGTGTTTCAGTTTATTAACATTCAAGCAGTAAGTTTCACAAAAGTGTAGCTCACAAACCTGTCTTGATGGTGGACTAAAGCTCTGTTTACAAGCATGGGATCAGGATCGGGGATAAAGAACTCTGAAGCTTTTCGATCAGGGATACCGATTTCCCATAAGGTAGGTCCATCTCTTGGAGGCTCATAGACGATATCACCCATCTCAATCTTGCACCCTGTGTTGTTATATCCATCAAGAATTAGCTGATATATAGGAAATTATGAAATTGATAAAACTTACTTACCTGAAGTCACAGTTACGATAGTGTCGTTACGATAATCTCCAATGAAACCAGGGACCCAGGCATAGAGATTATATTCACCAGGACGCACGTTTTCTATTGAGAAGTAGCCAGCCTCATCCGCTATAGCCCAGAATTGGTATCCCTGATAAGATATTAACAGTTGAAAAATCCAAAAGGTATCGATCTTTGTGCTCGTTGCAAATTATTCAGAAAGGAGATGGAAGATAATCACCTTGCATTCTATTTGCCAAGAACCAGCATCACCAGGTGGAGCCAAACCCACATAAGCACCTCGTGCTGAAATCAAATCATTGCTTATGAACCTATACAGGAATCAACATTGGAAAGTTAACTGGTTAGGAAAGGAATCTGCAAGGGGGAAAAAATAGAAATGAGACTGTAAAAACCACTAATACCTGTCGTGGATAAGTAATCTACCATGGGCCCAGCCACGTTCTTCAGACTTTGGATAGTCCTCAGATGCCACAAAGCTATAAGGCCAGCTTTCAACCTCAGCCTTCATCTACAGATTAACCCACTAAACTAAGCCCTTTCTCTTTGTTACTAGACATCTATTTTCTGTATTCAACAACGCTTGGAAATGCAGTAGAAATTTGGTTTCCCTTGTACCTTTATCTTAGCATCATCCCATAAGCAAAGTGAATCATCTCTATTAGCTGTGGAGTTTAGGTAAATGAAAACAGGGCCAAAGACTTTCTTCCAAGGCTCACCACATTCAAAGCGAGGCATCATGGTTTTTCCCGCATAATGTGTACTGTGAAACACCTGATATAATTCATAATGAAAACCAAGATCAAAGATTGAGCTAATTCTGACTACAACGTTGAAACAGTCACCACATTAGTCACAGGGACACTTACTGCAAGAGTGGTTGGGCCAACATGTGAGGTGAGATTTTGTTTGAGTGGTCCACCTGACCGGAACTCATTACTGGGCGTAATTTGCCAGAATCCTACAGGTGGATCAAAGGATATCCATCCATGTACTCTCAGATCCTTATTCTCACACGAGTATTGGTATTTGTCATCCACCTGTAATAAGAAAAGAAAATGAATAAGTTATCTGTGAATCAATATTAACTCGATTCATATTTTAGAGTTTTAATATGTCACAAAACGAGCATAACTCCATAGTATACGGAGTCATACCAGTAGAAAGGAGACTGAACAAAAATGTTCTTCTAATTTCTAAATGATTGAAAAAACATGGAAGTCATACTTCGCCTTGCAGGTGTGGATCACACGGAGCAGTGAGCAGGGAAGCTTCCTGGTAATCTAGAGTTTGGCATCTTCCTTTGCATAAATCATCTGGAAAAGGCATTATCCTTTTTCTGTCATCTGCCATAGCCATGTAGTGGAATCTGTATAAAAGGAATCACCAAGCAGGAAATACATGAGATATCAAACAACTATACATTACTTTTGACAAACGATTAAACCCAAAAGCTAGATATCTGACAAATGATACAACCCTTTTGCTAGGGATTTATGACACTCTTCACATGGACGAGCAAATCACTGACATTTGAGGTTTTCTTCTCCGAGCACAAACATGGATCTTAAGATGATTAGGCTGTGCATAAGAAAGAGAAAATTGCCATAGAAAATGGGGAGAATATTACTTGTCTTTTCTGAGCTTGAACGCGATTCTTGTTTCTCCAAGTTCAAACCCAGGCCATTCCTTAAGGTGTTCATAAATGCCGTAAGTGTAAACTCCAGAAGAGCCACGGAGCATTATAAACCTGAAAGAAAGAGCATCATTCCAATGTCTCTTCTCTAATTTCGTTTTTCGTCTACATAATTCAAGATGACCTTTTATCGATATTCAGGGGAATATACTTGCCCTCAAGGGATGGATCCCATGTTCTTAGAAATGAGATCTCAACATGTTCTTCAGTCTCGACTATGACCCTGAAAGTCACTCCACTGATGCTGCATTAATACAATCCCGATCCACCAATTAATACACATTATATAACATTCTTTTGTTAAATTTGTAATGCTTCTATGTCCAAGTCCCCGGAGAAAAAAGATAAAACCATTAAAAGAGAGGCGATTTTGACGCAGAGAAAAACCAGTTTGAGTCATGCATCAACTTAACTTCACCAATACCGAAAATTTCCACAAACAGATGATGCAATGATAGGATAAGGTTCTAATGCTATAGATTCTTAAGGTAAATGCATAGAAGACATACACATCAAATATTCCCTTGCCTCCAACCTCATTCCAGTGCAGGTCCCAGTACCCTCTGTTAGTTTCCTTGTTACGAACTTCAAGCACATTGTCAATAGCGTTATACTTAATGCCGGTGATAATACCACCTGGTTTTGACAGTGTTACTTGGAGGATTCCATTGTCCATCACAACCTGCAACATTTCCGTCTTCAGTTAAAAAACATATGGTGAAAGACACGTAAAAGGAAACATTTGTAGACTGAGGAAGTTTGCATTACATATCGGTCATGGATATACAGCCGGACACCTTGAGGAGGCATCCTGCAATCCTGTCTATGTCTAAGACCACTTGTACCTTGATCTGTCCTTTCCGAGCCTGGATTTTAGTGTAAGTAAAGAAAAATTAACACTCGATCGAATCAGTGTACTGTATATGTAAAACAAGAATTTTGAAACTGCCATAGATATAGGATCTGTTGAACTAGTCTTTAAAAAAAGCTGCAAAGGCGTTTATCGCCGATTATTTAGCAAAATGGTACGCCAACATCCATATCAAATAATTGTAACTCTCTGATGGGTTAAAGACCCTGCCTTTCTGGGATTATAAGGAGAACGAGAAAATCTTTCTACAAACAAACAGTTTATAATGTCATAAGAAACAAAGTAAAGTGTCAAAATAAGAAAATAAACTTGATTCTTTATCAGGGCTAGAAAAAAAATACAAACTTTGCTCTCGCAAATTCGTTGAACAAGCTTAAAACCGTTCCATAGTGAGCGAGGTTATAAAACAGAGGATGTAGAAACCATTAGAAGAGAGGGAAACAATACAGTGGTGGTCGGCGCCTAAAGCAGTTACACGGTCGGTTAAACGATGCAAGAGCCGATCAGCCAATTTCTTCATCAGTACAGTACTTCTTGACGCGAGCGATCACTGCTGAAGCCTGGCGCTCACACGCACGTGTACAGATCGAGAGAGAAAGGCTGCGTTAGCGTTTGATCAAAGCGCTTGCTTTATTGCCCGACTGCGTTTGTCTTCTCTCTCTGTCTGCGCGTTTCGTCTGAACTGTATATATCAGTTTCGTCAATCGAATTTGATTATAGTTTCGGTTCAATTTCTTCAGACCGGACCTGAACAGTAAAATTGTGTCTATAGTCCCTTGAGTTCAATTTTTGTTCAGACATGCGTCCTCTTCATTTGAGAAACAAAAAAAAATCTGAAATCTCTTTTATTGAAACCAAATATCAAAAGAAAGTCTCATGGTGGATCAGCTTAAACAATCTTTTGGGAGGACAGATCTCTCTCTCTCTCTCTCGGTAAGCATTAAAATGTATAAACCCTTCCTCCATAGAATCTGTCTGAAGGATTTTTGAACAAATTTACAGAATTACACACGAGCTATGTCTCTCTACTTAGCTCCTCTCTGGAAGAACAACGATCCTATTAAGACAGCTATTCCCGTTATCGCTATCGTGACAAAAAGCCTTTTGTGCGAAACACCGTTCCCATCTCTTCGCCTCCTACCGTTTCCACCTCCTTCTGCTGCTCTCGGGATCCTTCTACACATTAGAATCCCATGCCACGACACGAGTTTAGCCAAAAAAATAAAGATTTAAGGTCTGAATCAGAGAAGGCAGATGATAAGAAAATGTACCTGGATGATTCAACATTGTTGAGCACAGAACCAGGGCATTTGGTTTCATGGTTATGTATTTCTCTCAATCTAACATAGCTTCTGCATTGATGACAGAGCTCGGTCCGGTTGCCACATACTTCCTAATATTCAAAAAAACCTGACCGAATCAGAAACTGCTTTCACTGGGAGAGAAAAAGCAATTATGTGTGTGAAAGTTAGAGAGTGAATACCTGATGCTCAGCAAGATCAACTGCAGGCAGTGGAAACTCACAGAACTCGCACGTTACAATCCTCTTGGGGCAAATTTCTCCTTTATGACTATCCAAAACCTCACGTTCTATGGTCTCTTTGCACATCGAGCATGCTACCTTCTCAATGAAGTACAAGAGGAGTAAATCATTCTTTCTAATCTAGCAGCGTTTAAAACACAATGTCCAAATACCGATACTATATATATATATATAGTTGAATCTATGGAAATCCTTTTTGATCAACATATATAGATGTCAGACTAGACAAAATATAGAATTTTCCATGGAGCTAAGAAAGAGAAGCTCCTCAAATACAAAGATGATAGTTGTGGAAAATGATCAAACAAAATACAGTTTAAAGACTAGTAAGAAATAGAAAACCAGCGTACCGGAGCATGTGTGTTCAAGAAGTGTTCCTCAGCATGCTTTTTGGGTACCATATCACCACAAATCTTACATTTTTCTAGATTCCGGGCACAATGTACACGATGCAGATCGATATTCGGTGATGGAATATCTCTGTCACTGAAAACATTAGAATGGTCAGTATTACGATTAGTACAGTGCTCTCAAGGGATTAACGATCAAAGTAGATGCTACTACTGAACATACAAAAGGAACTGGGTTTAGTGATCCCAATCAAAAAACGGCATTCAAAAAGTCTCAGTCTCAGCAAACTCGACGCTGCAATGACTAGACAAAGCACACATAGCCCTCAAGAAAATATCAACCAGGTCAAAGTATTTGATCCATAGTCCTGGAATTCTCACAAAACATCAAATGTAGATTAATGGGTTCATGAATGATTTTAGGAAAGTGACAAAAAAAAAAAATCAACCTTTTAGTAGATAACCAAATAAAAATCAAATCTTTGGCAATTGGCAAAATGCTAAGTATATCATATAATTTCCCAACCAATCCATCGAATCCCTCGTTATATTTCTAATCACCGACACAGACCTAGCTGATTCTACATGTACATCTAGAGATTGAGGTGAATCACACAGCTCATAAGTCATAAGTATCCGACACGGATGTTCTCACTAGCAATCACCGACCAAAATCTCTCAAATTTCTCATGACCTCGAGTCCAAAATTTTCCTTTTGGTTCGAAACGAATTAGAGAAGTCGTCATAAAACGACAAACAACAAAAGAGAAACCATTGGAAAGCAACCGATCGCCTAAAGCTCTGATGAAATTAAAAATAAGAAGTCATTACCCAGATAAAAGAAGAGAAATCAATTTGTTTGGAAAAACATACCAGTGGTTGCATACGATGGTGATTTCTCCAGTCGCAGTGGCCATCGTCAATTGAAAAAGAGCTTACTTTCACAGACGGAAAGAAATAACAAAGATCAGATGCCAAGGAGAACGATCAGAGACGCGAAATTTCAGAATCACGAATTCAAGCACGGATCTTTAACCTCGTTTTCTCGGGATTTTGAGATGTAAGAGAGAGAAAAAAAAGAAGATCAATTTATTAATGAGTGTATATATAATTAAGAATGTGGTTGAACCAAACTTTTAGATTAATAATTTAATGAATGACTAACTCTATTGGGGTCAATCCAACCAAACTGATAAACCACGAGACCTATAATATCTTCGCGCCGCTCGTGCCACGCTCTTGTACACTCATTGTAGCACACGCGCTAAATTGCACTAGTTTTAAAATTTTAAGAAACATATCATCCACAAATATTATTTTGTTTAATTTGGGATTTTATCATAATTGAGATACAAATTAGAGTTTGTTTTTGTTAATCCGTGCGATATATTTTCATATACGGAAATATTCAGATTTAAATCTTAAAACAAAAAAAATCGAACAAATATCTCTTAAAAAAAAGACCTATAAGAAAAGAATCTAAAGTTAAAAAACAGGACAACCTTCAACATGAATGCCAGGAGCAGTAGGACAAGAAGCAAGAGGACAGTTCTCACCATTTGAACCCCACCAATTACCAATCGATATACCATTCATCGTCAAACTAAAGTATAAAAGCACTCCCATGATAGCCAAACCGGCGTCTAAAGCTGCAGAGAGCACGTAATTATACCTCTGCCACCATTTTTTGTAGTTCTTGAACACAAAGTAATTGAACACAACACCAACAATGATCCAGCAGTTGAAATTCACGCTCGTCGCAGGCGGCATTGCAGCTGTTGCCCCCAAAAGAACTGGGAGATTGATCTGTGAGATCCATGTTCTTGTCGGGAATGCTCTTTGGAGAAGCCACACGAGGATAGGTCCTATTAGTCCACCTAAGAAGAACCAGTTTAGTGCAGGGTAGTTTCCTAGCCGACCGAATATTCTCTTTGGTCCTACTAGTCCCCAAATCACTGATGCGTCGAAGAAGACTCTGTCGCTCGGACATGTCCATGGACTGTTTGGAGGAAGCAACTCTTTCTGGCAGATGTTTTCTACTGATGTAAGCAAGTACCATGCCACTGATATATTCACTGTTCCTGCTATCACTGTTCCTATGAACTGGACTAAGAACATCGATCTAGGCGGTATCTTCATGTAATGTCCTAGCTTGAAGTCGTTTAGGAATGATATAGCTTGTGACATACTTATGTAACCATAAGTCTTGAAGCAGACGTTAGCTATTGGTCTCCCCGGTAACAACACACCCATGAGATATTCTGTGATGATGTTCAGACCTGGAGTCTGTCACAACAGTTTGAAAGTGAGAAAGATTGATAAGATCCATATCATGTAACTGACGATTCATTTTTAGTGTACCTGATTAGTTGTAGCTGTGATAATGCTGACTGGTACAGTGAACAGTAAGGCCATGAATGATGCTAGAATGAGTCCCCACCATGGCATTTGGATCTGCTCTTTCATGACAGTGCAGAGAACAAGAGATAGTGCCAATGAGACACCGAGCAGACTATAAAACCACCAGCTTGGTATGTCCTTGTACTTCCTCATCAACCTTGTGTGTATGTCCACTTTGGCCGAGGTTGAAGCTCGTACTTGTTGCCAAATTCCCCTAAGCAAAAGAAGGTGAGTAATGTCCACAAGTTAGTCCACAAGTTCATTATTGATTGTTCTTCTACTTACTTTCCATTGAAGAGAGCAACATGAGTCAGTGTGGAGACGATTGCTGCGAAACCAATCCCGTAAGTGATAGCAAAGAACGTGCTGAGATAAACCCGGCCTTCTCGTTGATACATCCCTTCATCCAATTCAAACTTATCGTTGACAATGGTGGAGATATTGTAAAGCTGCCCTCTTGAATCAAACAGATCAGAGGAGAAAATTGGGAACTTGTTTGCTTCATACACATTCATGCCCCAATACGATATTGGGATAACCATATACATGATAAGAACGTAACCAACGATGACATTGACGATTGCAAAGAAGGGAGTCACAAGAGGGCTTCCAAGGTAAGAAGCTATGACAGACCAATCAAGCGCCAATGAACCGATCCCAAGTCCTGACATTCCAGAGCCTATTTGCTGAGCTGTGATAGACTTAGGAAATGCCCAGCAAACCCAAGAAATTGATGATAAGGTCAAGAACAAGTACGCCGGGAAAATGTACCACGCGAAGCTACAAACAAACGCAATCACAAAGAACTTTCCCCTCGACATCCTCGCGTTGTCCTTCTCATGAAGAGCACTAGATGAAGAAGATAAAAAGACAGTCTTTAAGCACAGCACAGTCTAGAGACAATTAAGAAAACGTTATAACTCAAAGAAACCACATCACAAACAAGTGGTATGCACTAAAATCAACATACCGAAACAGAGAGACCTGAAGAACACTCGTTGGCCACCACATCTGTGCAGGATCCACCACTAGCTTTCTCATGATACCAGCCCAACCATACCCGAGAATCTGATTCAAACAACAGATAATCCATCAATTGAATCACTCCTAAGTCTATATATAAACGAATTCAACAAGAAAATGCATGGACCTGCGTAGTGATGACGAGGATCCAACTAGCCAAGAAACTAATCTTCCTTTTGTAAAAAGCCATGATGATATCGACAATTCCGACTGCATAAGCAGTACCAGATCCGAATCCAGCACCAGCATTGGCAAACATGGAGATCAACACATGTTCCTTGACGTTAAACGGACCCGGGTTAAACGAAAACTCCCACGACCCGATCCGATACTTGGTCTCAGGCAAAACCCGAGCCATAAGCTTTCCGATAGGCAAGGTAACAACTTGAACAGAGATCATACTGATCATCAGAGGCTGAGTCCTGTATCCGAAGAAAGTGTTGAGAAACGAGAGCATAACACAGGAGATAAGCCCTAGAAACCACATCCGAAACGTCCACACGGGCAAAGAGGGATCATCGTCGTTCGAAACAGTGAGACGAACCTCCTCCACCGGAGATTCGTCTTCGTCGTCCATCTCCAGCTTGTGTAACTCAAGCGCAGCCATTGTGTTGTGGCGGGTTCTGGCTAAAATTAGGGTTAAGAAGGTGGAGAATTTTGGGGGAATCTTAAAGAAAGATTCATGAATCTGTGATTCAAATCTGGTAAGGATTCGGAGATTTTGATATTTTGAGATTTTGATTTTTTTTAGTAACGAAAATCATGAGTGTGTCAGTAAAAGAGAGTCCCCGGCAAAATCGAAGAGTTTGTTGCGAACAAACAACCACGCTTTAACTCCTCGCCTCCTAAAGCGGGAAATAATCCTACTGCTACTACTTTTATTTAAAAGGATGTCTAGTTAGGTTAAACTATTTATAGTAAACAAATATCTTATGATTCAATTTTCTCCAGCCTTTGCAGCGTTTCTATTTAAACTTTTTATAAACCATGCTATAATGAACAAACAAAAAAACTATTGATTTGTAGAATCATGCTAGAAGATATTTTTATTTATATTTACCAAAAAAATCTTTTATTTATTGGAAAATAATTATATTAAGATTTTATGGTGTTTTGTTTAATGGTGATTTTTAGTTTAAGTACATAAATACTTTTAACCCAAAAAGACAGATTTTTATTTTTTGATATTTCAAATCATTCAAAAAAAACATTACAATTCGTCTAAAACCGCTCAGGCGTTCATCATACATTTTAAAATCAATTAAATTCTCGTCAAATCTCAAATGTGTGTTTTTGTTATTGTTGTATAGATCTCAAATGTGGTGGTGAATGTTTTTCATTCAATTATGGAACAAGGAAAATTGAGCCTATATATAACAGACTCATCTGGAAAGGCTAAACAATTTGAGGTGTTATTTAACACCCAACTTATTCTAATGATGCTAATGAAACCTTCCAAGACATACTCGTTTCAACATGTAGCTCGTTAAACAACTCTGTTTTGTATTTTTGGACCCAAAAAAAAAGACCAAAGATCACTTGGCATTGTCTCGATACATTAACTTGGAGCCCGCGTTCTTGATATCGAGTGTGTTTATTGCTAAACCTGCTAAAACGGAATTATTTAACTAAGTTTTACAACGTTTTTTTTCTGTTTCTGTTTGATGTTAGCAATTATGAGATTTTTTTGGCATCGTTAGAAGGTAAGTTAAGTTTTTAATTACATCTCAAGCTTCGGGAAATTGTTTTGGGTGAAGTATTATTGGTTTTCAATTTTCTTTCCCTTGCACAATGCAAGCGTGAATATAAGAAGATCAATTACGACCACAAATTGGTTCGGAATGACGTATGTATATTAACAAAACCACAAACTCAATTACAGCAGAGTTAAACCATCTCCAACCCTGAACTCTATAATAGAGTTCTTTAGATTATTTTATTAATTTTTATTAAACAAAAAGTGAAAAGAATAAATTATTATAACTCTGATTTCAGTTTTCCAAATCCATTTAAATGGAAAGAAAAAGAGAAAAACGAGAGGAAAAAAAATTAATAAAATTGTTTTTAATCAAAGCCAATAGCATAATGCCACATGGCCGACGAACCCCTCTAAAATCAACTCTTCAAGCCCTTCCCAACGAACCTGTTCTTCGCTTTTATTTCATTTTTGATTTATTTTTAATTTGAAAAATCCCTATGAACTCCTTTTGAACCTTGCATTGGAGATGCCCTTAGTGGTAGCAAGTTCTGGTGGTTGGGTCGTTTCCAACAACCTCCTTCTGGTCCGATACAAACTAATCCTCTCAACTATCTGGGCCTTCTAGTCACAGCCCAACTACTGGTTCATTTCTGGTTCAAATTGATTTCCAATTTATGTGTATTCTGAGTTTGTAAGCTACTTGGCTTTCGGGTTTAAAAACAACTGGGCTAGGCCCTGTAATTTTTATTTCTCATGCTTTTTAAATATAAAAATTTGCTTAAAAAAAAAAAAATGTTTTGGTTGTGGCATTTTATTAGCTGTGTAACGCTTCCCTGGTTCGAAGCGCATTGTCTGTGGCACGCAAACATAAAAACACAAATTCACACGCACGTCTTCTATTCAAGCGTGTGAAGGGAAGTCGAAGGTGGAGTAACGTAATTTGGACAAGTATAAGGCTTTAGTGTATCTGCTTCCATATCGCTGCACTTAAAATCGTGAAAAATATTTAGAAACAGCACTATACTTTTAATCTCCTACAATTCCTTAAATCTAATTTTAGTTACCTCTTTTCAATCCGAATTGACCGGAGTTCACAATTGGCAAACCTAAACAAAACAAAATAGTTCTCATTATAATTAATTTATTCTTCTTATTGGTTTTTCAATATATCCTATTTATGAGAGACTTGGGATCCATGATTTTAGTCACACATGCATTAGAACAAATATAATAATAAAAAGAGCTAGACTGATTAGATTCGGGAGTTTATAATAACCTTGTAAGGAAACTATCTTCAAGAGGTATGCCAACTTTTTCATGCAGAGCACGAAGTGTTTGTTGCAAGAAAATCCCGTGGCTAACAACTGCAATTTCTTTCTCTGGTCTCTCCCATAACCTACGAAGATATATATTTTTTTAATTAGATTGTTAAATATCTAATGTTGGGAAAGCTAGAAATTGTACCATTTATAAGAATAAGCTGTAGAAGAAAACTATTCTGACTTGTGTTTATGAAAATGTAAAGCCTAACTCCAAAGAAATGTCTAAACTTTACATCGAGTTGTGACTCTAAGCAGAAAGACTCATCGGAATTGATTGAAATACATATATGTAACATGTGTACTGATAAAATTGTTTATTTATTTTTCCTTATCTAGTGTTAATTTTGTGAGCTTTCTTTTTCGTTTTGGGTCAACTAGCTAGTTTTGTTTTTAATGGAATAGAAATGTGAAAGTCATCGTGGTCACCATGTGAGAAACCGAAGGCCTCTAGCAGAAACCTCTTCTAAGTTTTCCCTTTCCCCGGCTTGCCATAGAACATCTTCATCACTCTCTATCTATAACCAAATATATAAAAATAAAATATGAAGAAAAAAAAAACAAGGTCGTTATGAACTTCTAGAAGAATCGGTGAGATTAACTATATACCATTGTAAAGTCGATCTCTGAGAAACAAGTGCGATGGGTACTTATACGTTCTCTACGATCACACGGATATAATCCCTGCGGATACCGAACAATCAGAATGCATTAGTTATTCATTTTGACTCGTTATTGGAAGATGATATATCAACCAAAGTTTTGGGATATAAAATCATTCATTATGATAGTTTTTTTAAATAACAAAGCTTTGATTCTACTCTGTGAAAAACTTATTGATATAGGCATATAGCACTGCTCTGTTGTATCTTATTAAATTTCTTTAAGAAGAGAAATGAATATTACCATGCGTTCTCTACAAATCTCAAGTGCTACAATTGGAGGGAAGTTGTTAGCTTTCGGAAAGTTGTCGGATTCATTTGTAGTTTCTTGTCCCTTAAATATTCCAGTTGAAGTTTGCATTGCCCTGAAAAATTGAATGGATAGTGTTAACCTGCCCCCATTAAGATCTTAACAATAGATTAATATATTTAGGGGGGTTATTGGGAGTTGGATTTATGAAGATTTTAGTTAATTTTAAAAATCATGAGATTTGTCAAATTTTTAAGAGTTTTGTTGGATTTGTAAAATTTAGAGAGAATTTTATGGATTTAAACAATCTATTAAGAATTTTTTAATATGACAGATTTTGAGAATCCAAGGGATATAAGTAATATTTTGAGAATCATGATTTATGAATTAAATTACAAATAATCATTATGCCAATAACACTAGATTATAACAGAATCATAGAATCATTAAAATACAGATTTTTTGAATAACAATGGATTTTGATTAAATTATAAAAATCATCATATCAATAACAACTGATTTTTACAATCTCTAAATGAATAACAGATGAATTTATTAAGAAAGTAAAAATCCACAAATCAATAACTATAGAATCTTAAACTCTAAAAATCTTTATAAATCAGCTTTCCAATAACATCCCCTTAATGAATTTTGACAAGTAGGCTTGCCACAGAACTCCAGTTTTTAGAAACAACAACTCTAATCCGCCATATTTGAGTTTGTAGGTCAAGGGTTTAGGTTAACCAATAGATTTAAAACCCAATAGATAAAAAAATTAACTATCGTTGACAAATGTGAATGTTAGATATACCTAATCATAGACCTGTCACCTAGTTTCATTGATATTGATGTTTACGGTTTACCAATTATTTAACCTAAAATCTAAGTTTTGGTAGCTTCTACTTGAAAATACTTGACAAAACAAGAAATGGTAGGTTAATTTAGTGGTACCTGCGCAGCGGAGAGGTAATCACTAACTCAATAGTGTTTAATAATCCTGATTCAATGATTTTTTGGCGCCGTTCGCAAACCTGCGAAGTTATCGGAAGTTTCATATTTATATATATATATATATACAAGAGTGCATCTCAAGGTATCAAACCCTAATAAAAGTAGTTCTCTCACCTGTTGGAGACCCTTTGGAGAGAGATGGGCATCAAAAAGCTCTTCTGATAAAGGACTACTCTCTTCGTTCTCTTCCAACTCTACATTGTGGATTCCTTGTGCATGCCTCACCTTTATCCGTTTCCGGTCCAACACACAACATTACTAAAATATACCCTTTTTAAAGTTTTACCCTTTACCTTTACGTACTATATCCCAAACATAACCCCGTAGATTTCAGTATAATTTGGACAAGATAAAAAATTATGTTTGAAACAATCGAAACAAAAGGTTTTTTTTATCAAACATAGAAGTTTTATAAAAAGGTCACCGAGAGCAAGTGACCCAAAAGGCTAAAGGTAACTAGTTGCAAACATTTTACATGAGATGGGGATTGAAATAAATAAATGTAAGACTAACCAAATGAAGGGTTTTGAAATTAGGCGGTAAGAGACGCAGCGTCTGAACTCCACATAACTCCATTGTATGTCACCTCTCTCGACGACCTCTTTACCCTATATTTACAAAACCATTATCGTGGTTCTTGCTTGCTTCTTCTTCTTCTTCTAGCGTATACATGTTCATATTATCATATCTATATGACTATATATATACACGTATACTGCGTATACTTTCTATATCCACTTCGTTTCCACTTATCTTCATGGAAGCCACGCAGAAACCTCTTTGGACGCATAAATGCCTCTTTAAATATTGAAAACGTAAGTCTCACGTCAACGCTTCATGCCGTGTTGATTGAGTGGGTGGTGTAGCAAACTTATACCATTCCTTTTTATTCCCCATTTTCCTTATTTTACGTTCAAAGAAATTGTTCGGAATTAGTCATTAATAAAGCGTATCTCAATCAAACGAACAAAACAAAAAACGCATATTATTTATCTTAAAAAAAAAGAAGAAACAAAAAAAAAAACACGGAGACTACATAAATATCATATCATACGATAGTTTTATTTTATTTCATTTGTTCAATACAGTTCCAAAAATAAATGCAAAAAAAAAACGAAGCTCAAACTTAACAATATTGAGCTTCAAGAATAAAATAATAAAATTAATCATTAATAAGTAATTTCTTCAATGTTGATTTTTTAATAAAGACTCGGTAAACTCTTTGAAATTTTCCTCCGTGATCAATTATCCGTGGAAGAAGTGCCCAGCCTGAAAAGTAAAAATATAACAACACTGTAATGAAAGGTCAAGAAATGGATAATTATTATTAAAATAAAACAATTAAGATCATACTAACCCTTTGTCTACAATCACGACAGTACGAATTTCGCAATTAGCAAACCTGTAAGATAACATATAACATATATTTATCATTGATCGAATTATAAAAAGAATTAATAGGTTGGTCCATATTGGAAAAGATAAATCAATTTTTGTATTACCTCTTGCAAAGTTCATGTCTAATTGACTCCTCACAATCGTTTGCGAACACATACAACATATGCTGCAAAACAATGCCATGGCTAACAACTGCGACCTCCTTCTCTGGTCTCTTCCATAGCCTAATTAGAGACAATTCATCAATTCTCTAACAATATATGCCAATGTTGTTTATATACTTCACGACGTTAAGATTCAAAAGGGTTACCATTTCATGAACTCTAACCCTCTCGCCAAAATCTCTTCTTCGGATTCTCGAACATCGGGTCTCCATAGGTTGTCCTCTTCACTTTCAATCTATAATATGATCCAAGATATATCTTAGATAAAACACATGTGTATATATCCTAAGTATATGTTGAGAAAGCTTTATCTAAGTTTAGGTTTTCCAAGAATGTGATTTATAAATGAAGGAAAAGTAAAAGAAGATATTTGCCTGAGAGAAATCAATGTTGGGAAAAAGAGTTTGATACTCGCTCACGTTTCTTCTCATATCAGGAGGACGGACTCCCTGCGTGCATTAATGGTGGGAATAGTTACTTTAAATTTACGTTGTAATTCTTAAACATGAGTTTGTTTTAATCTAGAGGAATAAATGAGACATTTATCCATGTATCAATCATACATTACGGTCTCGAGCAACCTCAAGTGCCAAAATCGTAGGGCTGCTCGTCATATTTGGTTGTTTATCTTCATTTCCAAAAACTCCAACCGCGGTTTGCATAGTTCTATATTATAAACCGAAAACATAATCAGTCCAAGTCACTACAAAACAAATAAAATGATAAAGTAATCAACTTTATAGTCCTTATGGCTTCGATGCAAAATATATACTATTACCTCAACAAAGGAGAGGTTACAACTAGCTCAACCCTCTTTAGTAGGCCGCTTGAGACAACGCGTTCGCGGAGTTTCTCAACCTTTATATAGAGAAGCATTAAACGATTAGATGGAAATAATAAACTAGCAATAAGTGCTGAAATTTTGGATACACACGATTTATAATGATTCACCCTCAACGTTATACAATGGCGAAAATAAATTAAATAAGAATACAAACTAGCTTATGCCTTAGTCGAGCAGTGATTCAGTGTGATGCCTGTTCTTGGGGTCACACAGTGAATTCGAGAAATTACGCTCCACGTACTCAACAACAAATTAGATTAACGTTTTAGCGTTTACCTGTTGATGACCATGATCAGTAAGTGGAGCGTCAAAAAGATGAGGAGACAACAACGCATTCCTATCCTTCTCGGCTTCTACATTGTGCAACGCTTGTCCATGTCTCAACTTGAATAATTAAAGAAAGAATGAACATGATTAATACGTATCAACAAAGTGATATTAAAAATGACTTATGTGTAGTTAATCAGCATTATTTAATTATTTTTGACTTACCAAGTGGATGATTTTACAGCTCTCCAAGGGGTACAAGAATCTTGCATCCATTTCTACTCATTAATGAGACAATTATTAATAAATGACGAGAACATTATCAACTTAAAGATGCTAGAAAAATAAATTGCAAATATCAGACCTATCAAAGGGTATTGGCAAGAAAATAAGATCTCTAAGGGGTTTTCTTTGATCTCAAGGTTATAGTTAAATGATGATATTGATAGGCAAAATGATGGGCTCTCTTTGGTTTATTTATATACTTGAAAATATTCAAGTCGAATTGTACGTAAACTTTCATGCAAATACAAGTCAAACCTTTTAATTTGACCCATTCTTCGCTTGGTATTACTAATGCAACGAGTTATTTCAATTAATATATCTCCAAGTAAAATTGTAAAAATCATTTAAACTAATACAACATCAAAGAAAACCGGGAATTAAAGACCTTGTAATCACGGTGAATGTAATGATATATCAGTGGATTATCTTGTATATATGGTATATGGATTTTAGGAAACCATATGATCATGAATATCTCGTGACGAATTGAGTTGTGCGCGTAGTAATATAATCATTATATGATGCAAAATTGCAAATTGATTTGATTTGTGCGCCCCTTTTTTATCGTGTATTTGTGTTGAGTAATAAGCTTTTAGTTTTTTTTTCTTGTATTACCGAGAAATTGGATTGTACGTTGTGACCAATAATTTTTCATTCAATTTTTCAATTTGGATCTTAGAGCCAAATATGGATCTAATCACGTAGAAAATTAAAGGAAAACAAAAGGAGAAAAAAGACATCGTAAAAATCCAAGCAAAAAGCTGTTGATATATATTGCCGGAAGGTCATACTCGTTAGTCGTTACTCGTTTAGCTTTGAAACTTTTACATTACAGTCGTTGTTTAGAAATAACTAAAAATAGTTGTCGTGAAATACATGTCCAGATATTTTAGTTATAAATTATTCACAGATCTAGTATCTATGACTAATCTAGAGCCTTATAATCACAAACACGGTATATTAAGAAGAAATAACGAGTTCTTTTTTTTTAATATCCATAATAAAAGTACTAAATGTATTACTTCCTAAAACTGATGTTAATCACATAATCTTAATCTACATGCAATGTTTTTATTTCAAAATCAGCCTACTTGAACTTTTAATCATATCTTTTCCTTTATAAAATCAGCAAATTGTCGATTTAGGCATTTAGCAACCAATTAACGACAAAAAAAATACATGAATTATTTATTGTTCTCACAAATGCTAAATGTTGTGAGTATTGAGTAATAAAATAGGGATCGAATTTGAAAGCTGAATAAGTAGAGTAATCAATGAAATAAATAATAAAAAAGAGGAGAGAACGAAACTTTTATGTGAAGTCGCTGATCTACCGCTTATTGGGTCCCAGCTTTCTTTATGTCTTAAGTCTCTTAACTAAACAATAGTGCTAACTTCTAAAAAAATTAAAATCATCTTCACACCCTTTTGCTTGCTTCTTCAATTTATGATTATTATTCTACGCAACAGTATAAGTATAAAAAATGTAAATATAAAACACAAACGTAATGAAACAATTATGGCTTACTTCTCATCAAGGACATCAATCAGAACATCTTCCTCAGAATTAAGCATGAACTTGCTCTGCTTGGCCTCAGGACCGGCCCTGCTCAGAAGCTATCTTCACTCTCTACTCAAGTTTGTATATTACAAAGGCGTGCCGTTTGAACTCTACGAACCTTAAAAAATGAATGCAACAGATACTCTCTATTTTTGTTCCACCTTTGCTCTAATCTTCTCCTCGAGTAACTCCACATCGAGTCCATACATTCTGTTCAGAGCCTGCATGTTCTCTAGCGTCTCTCGCAGCGTTCTGCTATCAGTCCCATCGCATCTCAAATGTTGCATCGGACCGTGCAGGAGTTTGTTCACTAAAGTTCGGGTTAGATCCTCTACTGCTTTCCTCGTCTTCTTGTCCATGCCATTGCCATTTTTCGACATGAACTTTTCAACCAAAGCAGCTCTGTTTCTCTCACAGTATTCCCTCAGTTTCTTGATTGTTGGAACCGTCTCCAGCGAATCCCTCCACGCCTCAAACTGTTTGGATTCTTCTGTAATTATATCCTGAGCTTCCATTGCTTTCCTCATCCTGTCTTCTTTATTGGCAGCAACGACTTCCTTGAGGTCATCCACGTTGTAAACCCGTGCACCATCCAAATCAGCGACACAAGACCCAACGTTTCTAGGAACAGATATATCAACGAAGAGCCTCGCGTCTGCAACAGGAGGGAGAATCTCTACGTGCTCCTTGAAGAACAGTGGTGTCTCTGAAGCTGTGCTAGTAAAAACTACATCGGCTTCTGCAGCACAAGTTAGCATCTCATCAAGGGGTTTATAAATAAGCTCAACACTAGGCGGCATCTCCTTGCGGATAGCTGCAACTTTCTCTTCGCTTCGGTTCACAACCACCATTTTAGTGCAACCTTTAGCAACCAAGTGCTTAATTACAAGCTTCCCCATCTTTCCAGCACCAATCACCAACATCCTAGCATGTGAAGAAGATTCTGGAAGCTTCATGAGAGCAAGTTCGACGGCAGCAGAGCTGACGGAAACAGCACCAGCAGCGATATTTGTCTCTGTTCTGACACGCTTCCCAGCCGTGATTGCGTGTTTAAATAGCCCACTGATATTTCTCCCAAATCCATTGACTCCTTGACCTAATTTAACAACTTGTTTAACCTGTGCAAGTATCTGACCTTCTCCTAGGACAAGGGAGTCCAGACCAGCCGAGACTTCAAATAGATGTTGCGTGACGTCCTTGTTGTACAACAGAAAACGGTGCTGACAGATCTCTGAAACAGGGATTCCACTTGTCTGGCAAAGAAAGAGCAACATGTCAGCATTTTCCCAATGATATCGATAACATTTGCAAGAAGGAGAAATTCTCAAAACATTTTTAAAAGTTACACTCAGACTACATAAGGAGAAGATAGGAAAGGGAAAAACCTTAGACATCCATTCAGTGACTTCTTTGACTCCACGGTGCTGAGATAGAGCCAAAACGTAAATCTCCAATCTGTTGCAGGTACTGAGTACAGCAGCTTCTTCAATATGATTTAAACCGCACAACTCGGCGATAGCTCGTGGCCATTCAGCTTCTGGAATGGCAAGCTTCTCACGCATCTCCACAGGAGCTGTGTGAATGCTTAGCCCAATCACCACAATGCTGCTTCTTTCCTTTGTGTATCCTGGTACCGGAAAGAGTTGTGAGTGTTCGGTAAAACAGAGCTATAAACAAATGCTATTATAATAAGCAAGAGTATCAGCTAGGAAATTACAAATTTCGCAAGAAGATAGCTCTTTTATGTCAAAAAATGAATAATCCATCTTTTGAGCAAGCTTTTCGAATCCGATAAACGATAACAGACGGGCAAAATGTTGAATACACATGGCTTCAAAAATTCAAAACCCAAAATTGGCAACGAAAGAGAACCAATCACAAATTTCAAATGCAATCAGGACGCAGAACAAAGAAAATTACGTACTGTCAATAGCAGAAGACTTGAGCTGCTCAAGAGCCGAGATGCTAGCTGCCTTAGACGCAGAAATCTCGCAACGGGCTCTCTGGATCAGACCTCGCCTTGTCCTATTGTTCATCGGAAGAGGACGAATCGGAATCATACCCAACGGCGCCGGAGAAGAAGATGGATTATGCGGATCCGTCAACAAAGTCTCCAGCTTTGGGCTAACAACAAAGGCACTAGAAACCGCCATAGTCTTTGAGTTTACAAGCAATCTCTATTCTCTCAAACACACACACAATCCCCTTCGCCTCCACAACCCAAAACCCTAGAGATCAGGAATTCGAGAAGACAAGGAGGGATTATGATGCGATGTTGAGGAAAAGGAATTGATTATATGATTTGAGTTGAGTTGAAAATGAGACAATTCCTCTCCCGGGAAGGATCAGGAGCGTGTATTAGTTGAGAAAAGATAAAAAATAAGGAAGAAGCAGGTGAATTCGGGTCGGGTCAAGCGGGTTTAAAGATCGGGTCAAGCCAAAACTATTGACCAAAAAAATGTGGGATTTTGATTGGACGAAATATCTAAAGGATGTGTGTGAAAAAGGCAAAAGTGTAAAAGAAATCAAAGGTAAGACTTTGAGGTTGTAATTGGCGGGTGGACAACACGTTTTATTTATCCACACTCGTTCTGGCTTTTATTCTTCCAATCAATTCGAACAAAAACAAAAAACAAAAGGGGGATTTTTGATTGATCGGAGGTATGAGAACCAAAAAAACTGTTTCGAAACGTGCAAAAATATAACAGGAGTTGATCATTTGGATGAAGAAAAACATCATTTGGTGGGTGGCCAGTTGTATAAGGAGGGAGTCATTATTATCATGAAGTCATAATTTATATAGTAGTAACTTAAATATTCCTTGTCAACTTTGAAGAAATAATGGATATCATTAGAGTTCAAGCCTCAAGTAAAATTGAATTAGAAGGCTAATATGGTGTTTCTATGGTATCGCTCTGATTCAAGTTTGAATTCTACAGATTTAGCAGGCAAGATTCAGGTTGCTACACCGGCAATCCGAATTTGCTAATTTGATGATGTTTCTTTACACTTTTTGGTAAAAACGAGTATGTTTGTTGCAAAAAAACAAAATTAAGAAGAGCATTCTCTCTGTTTATTTTCACAGGCTTATGAAAACAAAAAGCCCATCAAGCAGACATTATTTTTTTTTAATCTGGCAACAAGCCTCTAAAGTAAACGGCAGGCCTAACATTGACCAAATAAGCCAAGAAAAATTAACATTCCTTGAATATGTGGACAAAATAAAGCCAATAAAACACGCGTTCCTTGAATATTATTTGTATTTGATTTGCAGAAAATTATGAACACCTAAGCCTATCAATCAGGTAATGAAAACCAAGATATGTCAATAAATCTGTGATTTACTAAATTGTATCTGGATTTGGAAAATTCGATAATACTAATTTTGTTTATTGTAATTAATCAATATATATATATATATATCCCATTTCATAATACTCGTTTTCTCGTTATATTTCCCAATATCTTTGATTAACCCTAAATGTTATACAACGGACAACGAGTATTAGTGTTTATATATTACATGGAAGAAGCTAGAAATGATCTAACGACTATAAGTAAATCAAAATACACAAATAAGTAATAACGAGGGCATCGGTGAAAAAATTACAAGGGAAAAAAGTCAAAACCGTTGGATTCTTACAAAATGGTGTTTGTAAAGTCTTAACATTTTTTAAAAAAAAATCCACGTATTGAACAAATTAACATGTCAGCATTGAAGTAACTAATTATAAATGACATGGCGACCACATCATAAGCTACGTAGGATTTTGAAAGCAATATATTTTTTGACCTCGTTGACTTTTTTGCGATAACTGATGAAAAAAGATTGGGGAAATTAGGAACTAAGAAAGAAGCCGAAGCCAAAAACATTACATCATAATATAATCACGACAACAAAATTGCCCGATTTTAAAATCTTTTTAAAGATCAAAATCATCAAAAGCGAATGTTTCCAAGATCCAAAGAGACCCGAAAGAAAAATGATCGACTCCATATATGGTTAATAGGTTGAAGAAGCAGAGCAAATTCGATGGTCTCATTCGTGGTCACCTTCCAAACCCACCAATTCCCTTAAGCGAAGGTGAAGCTCTCCGATTGTCCTCAACACCTTAATCGCCTGCGACGGAGTAAGAATCTCCACCACTTTCCCCACCGTCGAACACCGTAGCTGATCGGCGTTGTTCATCGCCGCCGCCATCCCCGATTTAAGCACCTCCATCGCCTCCTCCAAATCCGACTCTTCTCCGTCCACCATTTCACTCACCCCAACACGCCTCGCCGCCAACATCACCGGCGGATCCGCCACGCTCTGCTGCACGAGCGCGTAATCACGTATCACATCCCTCTCTTTCCTCCTCGTCTCCGACCGGAGACTCGAGATCAGGTCTTGCTGGTGGCGCGTGAGGTCGTCGACGGAGGCCTCGGTGAGTTTGAAGACGAGGGAAGGCTTGAAATCGCCGACCCAGAGAATGAGTTTAGCGTAGGAGCTGAACCACGGTGGGCAGAAGAAAGTGAATACGTTGTCGCCGGCGAGGGAAACGACGGCGGATTTCTCTTGGTAGTATTGAAGACAGTGAGAGAGGAATTGGGTCACCAGAGATTGCTGTTCTTCGACGGTGATTTCGTCCAAGGAAGAAGCGCATGTAAGCTGTTCGACGAAATACCTGTGACGAGTAAGCCAGCCATTAACGAAGCTAGTGAAGCTTTGAGAGCTGCTGCTGGTGATTGGCATGTTTTACATGAAGTAGTCACTAAGTCTTGAGTGAGTTTTGGACGTGCTTCTACAATTTATATCTGTATATAAATATACACAATCTTTAGACTTTGACCCAAAACAAAAAATCTTTTAGCAATTAATTTATAATGAATAATATGTCGGTCCTCCCACGAAAGTTATATAGTTTGTGTCGGCTGGCCAAATTGGAGTTTTGTGAGCTTTTTTTCGTCTTGTCTGAGTGAACTGTAGACAGATAATCAGAGCGCCTTATAAAGTTGTAACCATTAACTGTGTCATTCAAGGTCTGGTTTTGGAATCAATGGTTTTTCGAACCACGGTTTTCGACTAATGGTTTTTCTTTTAAAGATTGATGTCCACACAAAAACAAAAAAAAAAATCTTTTGAAAATTGCGTTTACTGAGATTTATAGAAAGCATTGAAGGAAAAGTTTGGGCATAAGTGTTAATAAATATAGCTTGAGATGATAACTGTTATTGTTAGAGTAGTTAGAGTTTTGTACCAAGATAAAATATTAATCGAGCTACATTAAAACGTTAATAAACACTGCAAATAATTATACAATGTAAGTAGTACTTAATAGGATAGATATAATGTTTTTTTTTTTAATAAACAACTAACTTTACTAGTTCCTGCTGGAATTATTACCTTCTGTTCTCTACCTGGATTAATGTCAGGGTCGCATCACAAATTTATGGAATTACCTAAAAATGCATCTGAAAAGGAAACCGACACATGTTACTAAAAAAAGAAGGCACGCGTCAAAAAAAGATGACGACGTATGTCAGCAAATAAACCTATTATTCTGACAATAGCAGTTATCATCTCAGGATTTCATTTTTTTTTATAATTTCTGTCTTTTGGTTGATTATGCGGATTTTTTTGTTTTTTTTTGTCGGAATGCGGATTTTTTTTTTGTTGACAAGAGAAGAAGAGCAACGCGCGAAAAAAAAAAAAAAAAAAAAAGAGCAACGCGCGGTTCATCAATGCTCCAGTTATGCCGCGCGCCTTATTTCCTTCTTTATTAAGAAACTTTCAACATTAAATTTTAGTTTTTTAATACTTGTCTTGTCTCACTATTCTTTCGAAAAGATCTTGCTCTCCATCAACGTTGGGGATCGAGCAACAACAATATTATAATCACTAGTGAAATTATATGGACAAGAAAACAGTTTCATTTTTTCTGCTTGGTAACTAAATTAATATATGTGTTCGTGAATTATGACCACGTGATTAAATAAAAGCTAGCTATAGTACAATAAACAAGTGATGACAAGAAAAAAATTATATATATATATAAGTATACTTACGTATATTTTTCATCTACATAAGAAAAACCATGTAATGGCATACATATATGCCTATTATGTGATTCAGAAGTTTATTAAAAAAAATATTCGATATATTAGTCATATGCAGAGTTGGTCAAGTGATAATTATGGTTCAATATTTTTTCGCCTTTTTTTACTTTCTTATTCAAAACTCAATAATATTAGTGCTTTAATAATAATATAAAACTGAAAAGCATAGCTTTTTTTGTAACATCTGAAAAGCATAGGTTGTTGACACAATGACACTTGACAGGCAAAACAGAGAGAATATATTTGTAAAACGTGACGACAAAGAAGTGATATTATTACACGTTTGCAAAAAAAAGGTGAAAGCGTTTGGAGTTGGCACATGTTGGCTCTGCGACGCACGGACGCAGATCCTTCTCAACTCGTTACTTACGCGGCCACGTTTTCGCCATATCTTTTTTTGCGGACTTTTTCTTTCTCAACATTTTTTATTCATTTTTTATATATGGCAAGTGGAACCTGTTTGGGGCTGTTAATGTCTGTTAGTCCAAAAAAAAAAAAAAAAATTGTCCAAGGCGGTTCTATGAATTAAAAATCTTTGTGTGAAGGGAAAAGGGCCTTCTTTTTTCTTGTCAACGAAAGGGCCTTCTGAATGTGTTAACTTTTTGTTTCCTTATTTGGGTTTTTTAGGCTCATTGGTATAGCCCACTAGACTTTGTTCACTTGTTATTGGGCATCAATTCCATGCAATTGAATTTTTTTTTTTTAAGTGAAGAATGTAATAAATCTACAATTTGGTTTGAACTATGATCTAGTCACTTTAAAAACAATACAAAGTTACAAACTAAAGGTTTGGAATTTTTTTTTTTTGGAATTTTTTAAATATAATTTATCCAAATTTGTTGCAATAAACATTGCTTGATTCGTTGTTTTTACTCTGAAACGGCTAAGGGATTGGACGAAAAGTAGCTCGAAGTTTCCAAACCGCTACAATCACATTAAAGCTAACCACTAACAAATGCGACCAACGTACAAACCATGGAAAAAGGGAACAGAAAGTATAAAATTCCAACATTTTCCAACCCAACTAATTGCAAAATATTGATTATCAAAAACGGAAACTATTGAAGTACACAAAGATTAAAAAAAGAAATTAAAAAGCATTTTACATACTCCTAATTAGTAATAAGTGCCTAGATAAGAAAAGAGTTGGCTTACTTGAGTAAAAGTTGGATACTCACGTAAAGCTAATACGTGATTAAGCCTAAAAGGTAAAGATAAAAAGATGCTACTTTAAGAGTGGGACATGATTAGTTAGTTATAAAATTTGGTACCCTCGTGTTATACGTTCAAGCCGTAATGTGTAATGGGATGAATCATGTACGTGTACGGCTCAAACACCTTGATTTTAAAACAATAACGTCATGACTCATTTTCATATTTCAATAATCTTGAACTCGATCCGTTTCGACCCAGATTCCATCTAAGTTTATTTTGGCTAATTAGAAGGAACAAAAAGACTATATTGAAGCGAATATATATCTCATCTAATATATTAAATTTTGTGTATTACAATAGAATGTGTATATGACATAGTAACACTAGAAACTGTATAAAGATTTCATCTCTTGCATAACTGGTATTACTCTCTCTCTTTAAACTTCATCTGCGACGATTTCGTAAGTGTTGATCTTTGTTTATGACAACTGTAGTAATTAAGAGTTGATTATTACGTTAGTTTTATGACAAAGCTCTGGCCAAAATAGCGTAACTCATAAAGTATTATTGAATACTTGACGTCGCTGTTGTGCCTACGTATAGAGAAAGTAGTTTACCCATGATCCAAGGGAAAGTGACGATTGCCAATTTGCCCAAATGATTTCATCTTAAAACCGTATTTTTATCTCTAGAGAAAACAAACCCCTCTTTATACGTGCCCCCACCTTCACGATATTATCACTACTTTTATTATTTACAAATCGGCCTCAACAAAATTAAAATAATTAAAAAAACGCATCAAGTTTTGTAAAGTGGATTCCGAAACAGCTCTCTTCCACATGATTACTATAGTCCAATGGTAGTCTCACAGCTTCTTTTGCCACCTTTTTCTCCTCCAATTATCTACTCTTCTCTCAAACAAGTGTGCTCTCAGAGACAATCGGCGACGAAGACAGAGAGAAAGAGAGAGAGAGAGAGAGAGAGAGAGAGGATGGCTACCACTTCCGATCAAGATCGCCACCACCACCGATCGACTCGCAACCGTCAACAGCTTCCACCTCTTCCTAGACCTTCTACTTCTTCTCGACCCGTGGTGCCTCGATCGAAAGTCTCGAAGCGTGTGCTTCTCCGTGTAGCTTCCGTCGCGTGCGGGATTCAATTCGGCTGGGCGCTTCAGCTCTCGCTGCTCACTCCTTACGTGCAGGAGCTTGGGATTCCACACGCTTGGGCTAGTGTGATTTGGCTCTGTGGTCCGCTCTCTGGTCTGTTCGTGCAACCGCTGGTTGGCCACAGCAGCGATAGGTGCACTAGTAAGTATGGTCGCCGGAGACCTTATATCGTCGTCGGAGCTGTGGCGATCTGTATCTCCGTTCTGGTTATCGGCAACGCGGCGGATATCGGTTGGGCATTTGGGGATAGGGAAGGGAAATTAAAGCCGAGGGCGATTGTAGCTTTCGTGTTGGGGTTTTGGATCCTTGATTTGGCTAATAACGTCACTCAGGGTCCTTGTAGAGCTCTCCTCGCCGATCTTACTGGTAATTTTCGCTCTCTTTGGTGTTTGATTGGGTTCTTCTCCTTTTATATTCGAATTTGTTTAAACCTCGTGATTTTGGGGATTCTCGTGCATACACTATCTCACATGCAAAACATGGATATGCAAAAATTTATGATTGTGGACACAATTAAGGTATTAAGTTATTACCGATTTGGTCCCCTAACATTAGAAGCTTGGCAATTCACAATCAAAAAGGCCCTTCTTTGTTTCTGGTCATCGTTGAGCCACAAAACAGCCCCAGAAACTTCGTTTTTTTTGTTCTCCCTTTCTTCTTGTTAACGAAATTCTGGATTATGTGAAAGAAATTTGATTTCTTTTGAATTTACAATTTTTAGCCTAGGAAGAACAAAGTCTGATGAAGTGATTCGGAGATATTGAATTTAAGATATAAATTCGTTTTGATCACTTTTGGTGAATTTGTTTTGATTTCTACGTAATTGAGCTCCTGGGGTGGTTTGATATCTGGGTCTTTCTTTCTTGTTTCTGTATAGAGTTAGCATGATTTGATGCCTGTGGTCGATGTTTAAGGGGAAGCTATGAGGTCGATCCTCATAGATCAGTTATTCATGAAACTTCTACTTGTAGTTAGCCATGGTTCTCATCAAAAGAATTAAAATTGTTTACTGACCTTTTGAAAACAACTCCCACAAAACAACGCTCTCTTGTGCTTTAATTCCTTGTCCAATCTCTTATTTTACAGAGAATGATAATCGCAGAACCCGGGTAGCAAATGGCTACTTTTCTCTCTTTATGGCCATTGGCAATATTCTTGGCTATGCTACTGGATCATACAATGGATGGTACAAGGTCTTCCCTTTTACGAAGACTGTTGCATGCAATGTGGAATGTGCCAATCTCAAGTCTGCATTCTACATAGACGTAGTCTTTATTGCAATAACGACGGTATTAAGTGTTTCAGCGGCTCACGAAGTTCCTCTTGCTTCATTGGCTTCTGAAGCACATGGGCAATCGAGTGGACCAGATGAAGCTTTTCTTACTGAAATACTTGGGACTTTCAAATATTTTCCAGGAAGTGTTTGGGTAATCTTGCTTGTTACAGCATTGACATGGATTGGTTGGTTTCCATTTATTCTGTTTGATACTGATTGGATGGGTCGAGAGATCTACGGTGGTGAACCAAACGAGGGTGCTTCTTACAGTGCCGGGGTCAGTATGGGTGCACTTGGTTTGATGTTGAATTCTGTTTTTCTTGGAATCACTTCGGTGCTCATGGAGAAACTTTGCAGAAGGTGGGGTGCTGGTTTTGTTTGGGGAGTATCAAACATCTTGATGGCTCTTTGCTTTCTTGCAATGGTTGCCACCTCATTTGTTGCGTATCACATTGGCTACATTGGCCATGGGCAACCACCTGCGAGCATCGTATTTGCTGCTGTATTAATCTTTACAATTCTGGGCATTCCATTGGCAGTAAGTTACTCCTCTACAGTTCTGGTGTCATGTTACTTACAGTGAGAAACAAAAATTCTATTGTTCGCAGCTTATCTTATTATTGTGATTCTCATTGCTGGAGATATCATGGCCACCGTTACTTTGATATTTTTCCTGCTCATCTGTTATCACATGGTGGAATCTTTTTACGCTTTCGCTGTAACTAATGCTATTGTTACTCTTCCGCAGATAACTTACAGCGTCCCATATGCATTGATTTCCATACGTATTGAGTCCTTGGGCCTAGGTCAAGGTGTGTATCATTTTAATATTATGCTCACTGGTTTAACTACAAGTGAGTGGTGTTTCTTATCGAAGTTCTTTTGTGGCAGGTTTATCTTTGGGTGTGCTGAACTTGGCGATAGTCATCCCACAGGTATGCTTCCTTTTGTATAGTTAGATAATGACGCAAGTAAAGTTTTATCCTTTTTTGAAAGTGTCCAATGATCATCGAGAGATTCTCAGAAGGGAGTCCATAGGCATTAGTGAAGCAGCCGAATTCTTTCATTAGTTGTCATTAGTAAAAGTTCATTTTGTTTTTGGTTTTAGCTTGTTATGGCCTGTGATATAAGTAGGCTACTTTTACGTTCTCTATTGTTGCCGACTGGTGTTAGTTATGGTTTTCGGCATCAAAATCGACATCACCAAGACACCAACTCAGTTGTGTTGTTTAAATCATTGTGGGTAACAAAAATAGTATGTGTTTGCAGGTGATTGTGTCTGTTGGAAGTGGCCCATGGGACCAACTATTTGGAGGTGGGAATTCACCGGCACTTGCAGTTGGAGCAGCTGCAGGTTTCATTGGCGGAATTGTAGCCATCGTGGCTATTCCGCGAACAAGGATTCAAAAGCCCATCCCTCTCCCATAATACCCTCTCTTTTGTTATAAGGTATGCTCCCTGTTTCTGCTACAGAAGTAGAAGTAAGCACTTGACTTGTAACTAATAGAATAAACCTGGTTAATGCAAAATAGATGAGTTTAAGCAAGTGACGCTTTAAGGGAGTGTTAAGGCATGGTGGAAAAATGGCAAGGAGATGCACCACTTAACTGTGAATTCATGCAATGGCTTCTCGTGTGACTAACTTATTTGCAGCTTCTAGGGCCTAATCCCCTCTACTTTGGGACTATGATCCTTGTGTCCACGAGGAGACATAGAAGTTTACCAACGAAATAATAACACCATCCATTCAGTTTGTGAGGTATATGTATCTCTCCTTTGTTGGAAGCCCCCAATTTTCGGGTTCTTCTCTGTTTCTTTGTTGTTTGGCTAAGCTTTTACCAGCAGCTTACCACAGTACTTGTAAATTACAGTAATAACCTGCCTGTCTGCAAAGGAGAGTTTGTAACGCGGTCCCTGAATCTCATTTTCTGAAACTGTTATAAAGATCCATGTTCTTTAAAATACTTCGAATGAAAGCTGATAATCTTTCTTGAGTCTTTACAAAGAATATACAACGCTTAATATAGCGCGAAAGATTACACAAAATCAGGGATGAATCCCTATGATTACGACAACTACAGAATCGATATTCACAGAATAAGGTAACAGAATATTTTGCATATCTTTGACTTCTATCATCGAAGCTTTCGATAAAGAAACCTGAGATCTAAAAATTAGCATGCTCTGTGTAGCAAAAAAAATATATATACCAAACTATATAGTAATAGGCATAATATGATTAACAATTAACTACTGTAATTTACAAATACATGGTAAATTGATTAGCAAGTAATCGCCATGATATGAAACATTAGCAAGATGGATGAGGATGGCTGATGGGAATTAATTTTAAGCTAAGCACCCACTGAGATGCTAGCAAATCCAAGACTTGTTCGAGATGCATTTGACCGAATGCGAGGACTTTGTTTAGGTTTTTTTTTTTTGTGAATGCCAATAATAGCTTAGAAATCAAAATATAAGCAAATTTTAAGGGTCTTCATTCAAACTTATTATTATTGAAACTATTTTTCTAGCACATCACCATAATATTTTTCTTTATTTTTCGAATAAAAAAGAAAATTCTCATAATATAATATAAATTTGTTGACGTAGACCCGACAGTAATTTTACAACTGTTAAGGTGTAATGCCAATAATAAAATTAAAAAATAGGAAAAGATTACACGTGTGGAGCATATGGGACCAAGGTTGGATAAAAAAGAGACCTTATCGTGATATTATTAAAACGTGACCGACTGATCACTTATTCAAGTCAACTACGGCGGCTTTCACACTTCACACCTCCTTGCCTTCTAGACGAATCACAAATTTTCACATCTCCTTTTCATTAATTAATTAAACTGGAGATAAAATATTATCTAGCTGCACTGCGTTTTTAGATGTTATAAGTCGTTTTTTAGATCGTCTAAGAAAAAAAGTCGTTTTTTAGAATTATGAAGTCATACATTTTAAGTTATTTTTTTCTTTTTCAAAACGAGATATTCTAGCTTTTTATGATAGGAAGCACGTACAAATATTAATTTTTTTTTTATTTTGCTAGATTATAGCACCAAATTTGAGAAGTTTAAGTGTCTTGTCAAATCCAGTAGGAGACAGATTTGGGGATATACTCTCAACGACGGTGAGAAAATTTAACCCCCAACAAAATCACATGAGTTGTGTTAATAATGGTGGAGCTAACTGTGATTTGTTGCAGTACATTTTCGATCGGCAGAAAATCCCATATTTTGGTATCTTGTTATCCTTTAAAATGTGATAATATCTCTTTGACGAAAAAAGGAAATTAATCTCCACTTTATGTCATATTTGGATCGCATTTTTTTCAAAAAGAATTGGGTTGTTGAAAGCATTCACTATTGCCCATTTGGTTCTTCTAATGTCGCCTTCCTTCGGATTGCATAAGTGGGAGTTTTTCTTTAAGTAAGCTTTGTAGCTTTAGCTAAAAAGAAATAAAGTAATTACCTTTCTGTATGAAACAAAGCAATTAGCTTTTCTATTTCATGATTTTTTATATCACAAAAACAAGATAAAAAAAAGTTAAGTGAAGTCCACCCTGTATTTGTTGTAAGTACATTTTCTCGTCATGTGCATGCACTTGCCCAATAAATAAAATAAATTAAAAGAATTGAAAAGGATTTGTCTTTTCCCGGATCTTTTCTTTGGTTTCAATTATTGGACAAATTATTTCCTCTGGACTTCGTTTCTTTTTGTTCTAATCTCCTATTTTCCCATGAAGCTTCGAACGCCTCTTTGATGAATGAAATGTGACAAGTCATGAAGACTCGAAGATAATCCATTGACTAAAAGAGAATCGTAGATATATATATATATAGGTAATTACGGTGCGGTTAAAATGTTAAAAGTATGATATATGTAATCAAATTTTGTATAATCATAAGAGCCAAAAATTTGTGTTCACTAGTAATTTCAGATTCAGCTGTACTTTACTAGTGTTTGTTTCATATGGTCCATGCATACTATATAATGACGTCAATATCTTTGTTTATTTATCTCATTCGTGTCCTACTAATTATTACATGTAAATACATTCATGCTTTGAATTATTATTATTTTAAGTCTAACGCCCTTATTACATTTTAACACTGGAGAACTAACAAACCCATGAGAAAACTGCATGCTCTGCCTTATATATATCGTGCATGGTATCGCAGTTGATTTCAGACGGTATACATATGTGTAACTGTTGGCCAAAATATCTAAACCATATTTATTCGAAAGTTACATTGTAAAATTATCCAAGATTGACACGATGAATTAGTCCATCTTATAAGACCCCTAGTTACATCACATCACTTAGTCACAAAAACTCTATAGTGGCCTAAAAAGAAAGAAAAAAAAGGTTTTTTACTTACGAATTTTCAAAGATTTGAAAATACATGTTTTTGTTTGCACTCGCTGATGTCTACTGGCGTGGAATCAATTATTAATTGTCTCCACCTAATCAGAATATGACAAATGAATCTCATTTACTATTACTCGTCAACATATTTTTTTCGTTACTCGTCAAAATATTACCAAAAAGAGATATATATATATAATACATATATATATGTATATATTTCTTTTTAGTGTTTTATGTCGGAAAAAGATGAGTCCACCGAAAAGTGAGTAAGCAAAGACTATTTGAACATGGCACTTATGGAGCGGCAGAATTTATCTAGTTAGTCTTTTTAAAAGAAAAATTGAATCCATTTGTTTTTGCATTATCTAGGCTGTACAAACTCATAAGGTTGGTTTAATTTGGGTAATCAAAACTAAAATTCTTGAATGAAAATTTCCTTTTAAAACGAAATTTGGTTTAAGTTAAGAGCTGAGAGTCTTGAGACATATAACTACTTCCTAATTAACTTTAGAAAAAGGTATGTGGTTGCAACTCGTGTGCCAAAAAAAAAGCATGTATTCAGCCCGTGTCTATGGTGATGCGTCAAACACCTTAATTAAAGTGTATACTATAATACTATCAATATAGATCAATAGATGTTTAATAAACAATCATTAGTAGGAGTAGTATTTTAAATTTACGATACTAATAGTACTTTCTAGTGCATTATATACTTATATCGGACCAAAAAAGATATCGCTGAACGATATCAACTATGAGTCTGATCTATTAGTGTTAGTCGCATAAAAAGACCGTTTGTTATATTAAAATTGAATTTGATTAATATCATTGCTACAGACTTTTATTGAAGCCATATCTTAAGAAAATCCATATATTCCACCCAATAATAATTCTAACATGAGTCTTTATATAAAGTGATTTTTAATACATGTGAGTACACAGATATAACTTGTGTCAATCTGCAAGACTAATCTTGCAAGCTTCTAGATTAACTCGAAATTCGTAGTTAACAGTAGATAAAATACCCAAACCAATATATGGGCCCCATAGCCGAAATTTTGTTTTTGTAGTTTCTGGTTAAACACCATTGACAAAGTTGCGTGAAGGTGTGATACATAACACAATAGTATAAGAATCTTGAATGCAATTTTGTATTTTTTTGTCCAATTTAGTTTTGTTTTTAGTTACGTTTTTTGTTGATATTTTAATTGGTACAATGTTTTGAGTTTAGTTTTTGTTCGACGTTACTTCAATGCGAGAGAACTACTATTACAGTAAAGTATTATAGGACTCAGTTTCCTTAAATAATGTAGGTGTTTGTGACTATAATTTTTTTTAAAGTAATCTAGAACAAAATATCATTTTTTGGGGTCAATACTCTGATTAGTATATAGATCCTATGGACGTGCATTTCCTTAATATTTAAAATTTCTCTATTCAGTAAGATAATTTTTTTGTTAGGACGGTCAACGAAACCAGGAAAAAATAAATAAATAACAAATTAGAAGTACACATCAAGATGCTAATATATATTCTACACGTTTACTGTATGATCAGAAAACAGAATAGTATGTTTATCAAGGTCCAGCTTAATAAACCCATATTACCAAGTAGCTATAACTTAATCGAAGACTTACAAATTATAACAGCGCCATAAATTATTATGACGCCATTGTTGTTTTCATTTTATTATAAAACAAATATAAAAAAGGAAAGGAAAGAAAAGAAAAAACAAAATGATTTACAAATAACAGTGTAAGCCAAATTTTGAATATTTAATGGTTACCAACAGATAGGAAGAACTTTGCTTCAAAGCGGCAAAGCAAAATCGATTGCTGAAGGTTTTCTCGCGCCCGCCATTATCGAAACCTCTCTCCTCCTCTTAAGCCAAATTTCCCGATGTGAACAAACAACCTTCAGATTAATCCAACCACCGTCACGCATCCTCTCTCTTTCTCTGTCGCCGACATGTCTCCGTCGTCGCGGACTTTTGGCTTCTTCTCCTTCCTCGTGTTCTCTCTGTTCTCCTTCGTTTCTTCCGACGATCTCCAACTCTTACTCAAGCTCAAATCATCCCTCGTGAATTCGAACCCCGGCGTTTTAGATTCCTGGAAGCTGAACTCCGGCGCCGGACCCTGCGGCTTCACCGGAGTAACCTGCGATTCTAGAGGCTCCGTTACGGAGATTGATCTCTCGCATCGAGGTTTATCTGGGAAGTTTTCATTCGATTCGGTTTGTGAGATCAAGAGCCTCGAGAAACTCTCACTCGGATTCAACTCACTCTCTGGAATAATCCCCAGCGATTTGAAAAACTGCACGAGTCTCAAGTATTTGGATCTCGGGAACAATTTGTTCTCTGGTCCTTTCCCTGAGTTCTCTTCTCTGAATCAGTTACAGTACCTGTATTTAAACAACAGCGCGTTTTCCGGCGTCTTTCCGTGGAATTCGCTGCGAAACGCGACGGGACTCGTCGTTTTGAGCCTCGGCGACAATCCGTTCGATCCGGCGTCGTTTCCCGAAGAGGTCGTTTCTCTGACCAAACTCTCGTGGCTCTATTTGTCAAACTGCAGCATCACCGGGAAAATCCCTCCGGGGATCGGAGACTTGACGGAGCTTCAGAACTTGGAGATTTCCGATAGCGCTCTCACCGGAGAGATTCCGCCGGAGATCGTGAAACTCAGCAAACTCCGGCAGCTAGAGCTTTACAACAACAACTTAACCGGAAAATTCCCTACCGGGTTCGGAAGCTTGAAGAATCTGACTTACTTGGATACATCCACAAATCGTTTAGAAGGCGATTTATCGGAGCTCAGATCTCTCACCAATCTCGTTTCTCTTCAACTATTCGAAAACGAATTCTCCGGTGAGATTCCGCCGGAGTTCGGCGAATTCAAGTATCTCGTCAATCTCTCTTTGTACACAAACAAGTTAACCGGCCCTCTCCCTCAGGGACTCGGTTCTCTCGCCGATTTTGATTTCATCGACGCGTCTGAGAATCATCTAACCGGACCGATTCCTCCGGATATGTGCAAAAGAGGAAAGATGAAAGCTCTTCTTCTCCTGCAAAACAACCTCACTGGCTCCATCCCGGAGTCGTACACCACCTGTTTGACTATGCAACGGTTCAGAGTTGCCGATAACTCGCTCAACGGTTCAGTTCCCGCCGGAATTTGGGGCTTACCGAAGCTCGAGATCATTGACTTAGCCATGAACAACTTCCAAGGTCCGATCACCACCGATATAAAGAAGGCGAAAATGCTCGGAACGTTGGATCTAGGGTTCAACAGGTTTTCCGATGAGCTGCCTGAGGATATAGGTGGCGCGGGTTCTCTGACTAAGGTTGTGCTCAACGATAACCGGTTTTCCGGGAAGATTCCAAGCTCCTTTGGGAAACTGAAGGGACTTAGTAGTCTTAAGATGCAGAGCAACGGCTTCTCCGGTAACATACCGGACTCGATTGGATCGTGTTCGATGCTCAGCGATCTGAACATGGCTCAAAACTCGTTATCCGGCGAGATCCCGCACAGTCTTGGATCTCTTCCGACTCTCAACGCTTTGAATCTTTCGGACAATAAGCTTTCTGGGAGAATCCCAGAGAGCTTGTCGTCTCTAAGGCTTAGCCTACTTGATCTGTCAAACAACAGATTAACAGGTCGTGTCCCTCTGAGTTTGTCGTCATATAACGGTAGCTTCAACGGCAATCCTGGACTCTGCAGCATGACGATCAAATCGTTTAACCGGTGCATTAATTCTTCAGGAGCGCATCGAGACACTCGCATCTTCGTGATGTGTATAGTTTTTGGTTCACTGATCTTGCTTGCGTCTCTTGTGTTTTTCTTGTACCTAAAGAAAACCGAGAAGAAGGAAAGGCGAACTCTGAAACACGAATCTTGGAGTATCAAGTCGTTCAGAAGGATGAGTTTCACTGAAGATGATATCATCGATTCGATCAAAGAAGAAAATTTGATCGGTAGAGGTGGTTGTGGCGATGTGTACAGAGTAGTGCTCGGTGATGGTAAAGAACTAGCTGTCAAACACATTCGGACTAGTAGTACAGACACTTTTACTCAGAAGAATTTTAGTAGCGCGACGCCGATTCTCACTGAAAAGGAAGGAAGATCGAAAGAGTTTGAAACAGAGGTGCAAACACTAAGCTCGATACGGCACTTGAACGTGGTGAAACTCTACTGTAGCATCACGAGCGATGACTCTAGCTTGCTGGTGTATGAGTACTTGCCTAATGGGAGCTTATGGGACATGCTTCACTCGTGCAAGAAGTCGAATCTCGGTTGGGAAACACGGTATGATATTGCTCTTGGTGCAGCCAAAGGGCTTGAGTACTTGCATCATGGATACGAGAGACCGGTGATTCACCGTGATGTTAAATCAAGTAACATATTGCTAGATGAGTTCTTCAAGCCTAGGATTGCGGATTTCGGTCTTGCCAAGATTCTTCAGGCTAACAATGGCGGTCTAGATTCCACTCATGTCGTTGCGGGAACATACGGCTACATAGCTCCAGGTAAAAGAGAGTTCATTCTAACTCATCAGCTTGTTAATGCTTTTACATTTTGATGTTACATTTTTTAAAACTTTTGGAAATTGTTGTTGTTGCAGAGTATGGATACTCGTCGAAAGTGAATGAGAAATGCGATGTGTATAGCTTTGGAGTTGTGTTAATGGAGCTTGTCACAGGGAAAAAACCGATAGAGGCGGAGTTTGGAGAGAGCAAAGATATAGTGAATTGGGTTAGCAACAATCTGAAGAGTAAAGAGAGTGTTATGGAAATTGTGGACAAGAAGATAGGAGAAATGTATAGAGAAGATGCAGTCAAGATTCTAAGGGTTGCAATCCTATGCACCGCAAGACTACCTGGACAAAGGCCGACGATGAGGAGCGTAGTTCAGATGATCGAGGACGCAGAACCATGTAGATTGATGGGTATTGTGATTAGCAAAGAGAGTGATGTGAAGATCAAAGAAATAAGTTGATGACTGAGGACCAAATCGATCTCTTTTTTTGGGTATGTTTTTGGTAACTATGAAGCTTAGAGAGAAGACTAATGTGGATCATCTAAATTTGGTACGACGAAAGAGTTTAGATGGAGATACTGATTCTAGTCCTGGTTATGAAATTTTAGGTGATGTAATGATCTCATGTAAACTATTTCTTGTAATTTTAGAATTTTGGTATAAGGTTTTCGACGTAGTTGATGAAGGTCAACAGTCAACTACCATTTGATGTTTCTAGTGGCTAGATATACTTGGCTAAATAATTCGACTGATAAAACAATGACTCTCAAAGTACAATCAATCAGTTCTTTGTGAGATGTTATGAGTTTTTTTATAAGAGAAATGTTGCATAATTTGAATAAATAAAAACGATATAATTTTCTCTGAATCAAACGTACAAAGTTTCTCTAGTTCTAGATTCAGTTTGAATGTTATTAGTTTATTATCATTACTCTCTCTCTTCTCTCTTAAAAATCTTGAGAGAGAGAGCCCAAGTTTTCTTCCAATCTTAATCGAATTAAATAATTCCGACTAAAGTAAATGTTTTTTGTTTATTTATATTTTCTATTAGTCGGATCTGTTATCTTTCGTTTAACGGATTTCTTTTTCTTTGGTTCTTCTACTTTTGCTTGTTCTGAATGGAAAAATTCCAAACTGTTTGGTGCGTTTTCTCCTTTCATCAGTATCTGATTAATTCTTCTCATGCAAAAGAGTAAATTTCTTTGCTAATCCTTAGTGGAGCTAAGGTTCTCTAAAAATAGAAGAATTGAACTCTAGATATTCAAAGGTTGAAACGTTCAATTCATCTGGCGATAGAACAAAAGGAAGCTTTTACTTTCCTAAATCTGGTGGTGCTTCAATTATAATTCGTCTTCTTCATCTTTTGATTTATCTATTCATTTTGACCGAGAGTATTACCTCTCTAAAGTCCTCTATAAAGACGCTTTTTCAAAGCAGAAAGAGACAGATCATGAGACTTGATGAATGGTAATGGCTTTGTGGAGAAGAAGAATTTCTGATTATGGATCAGTAAGGAGGGTATGAAGCGAAGGTACACATCTTGGTGTTAACAGCTTAGTGGCCATGGTGGACCGATGAGTTTTGCCGGCAACTACAACGGTCACCGGCGATAGGTTTCAGTGATAACATCCTTTTCTCTTTCTACTAACGCCATGTGGACAAAGCTACTCTCAAAAGCTTACATGTGTTTAGTGAAGCTTTTAACGTGTCATATTTGTAGCAAAGTTTAGTTTGTTGGGCTTCTGATGGACTTGTAATTATGTGTACCTTTATTTTAAGTCCTGTTGGGTTAAGTTAACAAAACTTTTACGGAAAAAAAAAGTTATTATCACTACTTTTCGAAGAAAAAAAAAAATTCTCAAAACGCAGCCAAATCCAAATTGGATTCTTGTCGTGATGAAATGAAAATTTATTATGTTAAAAATAATCAAAGAATAATGATATCCTCCCGTGTGAGTTCTAAAGGTTGGTCAAATGTATGTGTGGTCAATAATTATAGTTGCCGTCTTTGACTAAAAGTAGGGATTATAAAAGAGTTAATAATTATAATACAGAAGCAGACAATAATGCTTATCTACATTGTTTGAAGTGGGTGACAATTCTTAATATCATATATAAACATTCACAGATATATTCATTTTAATTTTTTATTGGATGGAAGATAACTCATTAGAAGATAGTAAATTAATCTCGTTAACGTAGTCAGAAAACATACCCGTAATTTAACACAATTAATCTATATTTCGACATTAATGCACACAAACATCATACAGTATTTGCATTTGTTACACAGCTAATCCAATAAATATTGATAAGAAACTAATTCACCATACCTGTACACAGTGTTAAGCTAACACATTGCCACAAGACTAATCTTACAAGTTACAACTTTAACAAATTAACTATAAGCTGTCTTCGACTCTTCCCTCGTCTTTTTTGCTCCCTTGGTTTGCAATTCAATCCAAAGATTTCATCAACATATAAGTCAATATTTAATAGAGCACAAGCATTTGGCAAAGTAATCAAAACGTTTTTCACATGAACGGATGATCCATAAAAGAAATAAAGAAATGGCTAAAGTTAAACGCTTAAAAAGCATATGCAGTCATGAAGAGAGTTTGTGGTGGACGAAAAGCCCACTAGATGGCCTTACTTTAGATAGCCTTGCTTTGTTAGTGGTTGAACTTGATTTTATAAACCAATCTAATGCGTCACAGCATCATTAGCATTAACGATCCAGAGAGATTCTAGAAGCTAATAACCATACAAAAAGACTAGAGTTGAAGTAGCATACAAAATAACAGCTTCTGCTGCAAAGAACATCCGATTTCGTGGTCACAAACTAACAAAAGAATTTTCCTACTAATATACAACACTTTGTATCTTTCTCTATCTCAAAAAAAAAAAAAAAAAAAAATCTACGTAACCAAGATTTGTCAACGGAATAGATCTTGGAATGACCACATTATGAATCTTGCAAAGATATCAGACTCCAAGAACTCGATGTGAGCAGCGCGACCGATGAATGAGTTGAGGTTACGACCATACAAGGTCGTGTCGAAGTTGACATCGCAGCGCATGAACACTCTCTGGTGGTGAGGAGTTTCTGGGGTTGGCCCACGTATTTGGTCCATACAGTTATTAAGCATCTCCAAGAATGCGGCTCCTCTTTTTGAGTTGTCGAAAGAAGCTGGTTGGCACGACTCGATCCTAGCTGAGTGATATGGAACATACCCATCCTGTGATAACAAAAAAAAAAGATATTGTAACTAGGATCAAATCTAGCATAAAAATTAGCACTCCTTCACAAAGTTTAATCTAACTAGCAAGATAATTGTATCTTATGATCATCATATCCTTATTGCATTAGTTACTATTGTATTCCGAAAGTATAATGGAATGTACCTGAGGCGAGGACAGGAGAATTATATTCTTGAAACTGTCCAACGTCTTTTGCTGAGAAGAATTTTAAAACTGACATTAGAACCAGAGAACAAAGATTTGTTTGTATATATATGGGACAAACTTTTGATCAAATGTTCAGATCTTTATCTACCTTGCAGAGCTTGTAAAAGAAAGTATTCTGGAGATCGGGATCATCTGTGAGCGTAAGCTGATGAATCACCTGAGTACTCTTTAACTTCTTCAGGAGCCAAAGTCCAGAATTAAACAAGGAATTTGAACTGTATAGATAACCCAAGTGTGGACCCGAAAGCGACAGATATGTATGTAAATATTTTCTGTATGGTTCCATCAAACTATCTGCAACAAATACACAAGTAAGAGACAATGATGAAACACCAAATAAGAAAAGAGTTTTCAAGGAAAGTATCGAGATTCTAAAAGCATTACCTGCTAGTGCGGTTCTGATGATGACATTGCCGATTGAATGTCCAACAAAACTCAGCTTCACGTTTTTCAAGCGCCCGTATCTCGAATGCTTATCCATTTTCCTCTTGAAGAAAGAAATAACCTCTTGCGCAAGCCTCTGTCCCATTTCCCTGAAATCGCCATGTGTTCTCTCCTCATTTGCCTCAGACATGAGAAACTCTATCTTTGGATCAATCAGGAGCCACTGATTCCGGATAAGCCTTAGGTCTAAGTGATGCCCCTATAGTAGTTCACAAAAATCTCTCATGTAAATGAATAACCAATTGAACATATACAAAAGCAAACGGTAACTGCAAAAGTAAAACCGCAAAAAAAAAAAAAACAGCTTCAATGTGTGGACACTGACAATATATTACTACATAAGCTTAAGAGAGAGCAAGGAAATCAGAATTCATTGAAATTCTACAAGTTACTTGCCTGGAAACCATGAACAAAAACAACAATCTTCAGCTCACGCCCACTAGGCTGAGGGTTATTATGCTTTCTTGTCTCACTCTCGTCATCATGGCCATTAAGTAAGCTAGAATCGATTCTATCAACATGTCTCCTATACGTATTATCACTGAAAGTACGCCTTGGTGCATTCCAAACACGTTCAATTATAACAATAGGAACTCGCATAGGATCACCAAATATATGCATGTCTTGTACCGCCCGATTGTTAATCTGCGCCATTAGTTGTCACAAATGAAATTTTACAACTTATGAAGCCAGCAGGTAACTGAGCCACGTTTTAAAAAAACAAAAACCAAACAAACCCGCATTTGTGCAATACTTCGACGGTGAAGTTCAGCGCGGGTGGCTGCAACTTGTGCAGGCTGCATAAGAGCGAAAATTGGATAAGTAGAGCAAAGCCACTGTAACTTGGAAAACGGACACTGAAACGATAACTCACATCATTCAGCTTTAACACACTTGTGACTCTTTTGTGCGAACTATGGTTTGACGTGTCATCCATTCCACTTATAAAATGATGTGGCATTTCAACCTTGGAGTACACCATCCATATTGACCATTCAGCTCTTCGATCCTTTGTCCAGATATCGCGAAGATATTCTAGGATTTTTGTGTTATTATCCCTGTAAGGACAAATAAGATCAATGGTCAGAATATAAATAGAGGTTCTCATTTTCAGAAGATAACTTAATAAACAACCTGAACCTGCATGCTTATTTGACTATGGAAGTCCAAGGGAAATTACCGATGAAATGACAGAAAGGTATTCCAAAGATAATGGAGCTGGGTGCCCAGTAAGTGGAATGTGCGAGATAGATGCTCCTTCGAGAAGTTACGAAGCCAGTCATCACTTTCTAGATCAATTGGGCCATCCAACTTCTGTACCAAAAAATGGAGAAGCAGGCTCATATTCCAGAAGATAGTGAAACAAGTTAATAGATATAGAAAACTATGTTGCAAAATAAAGCAAGGACCTCAAGATTGTTTGGTTGCTTGCCTTGACCCGAACCGTCAACTTCAACAGATTTTCCCGTCGAAGAAGAGTCAGATAAAAGACCATTGTCCATACTGGATACAAATTCCGACAAGTCAATCGTTTGACCAACTGCCTTGCTAAGTCTTTGCATTTCTTCAAGCAAAGTATCACGAGCTACAAGTAGGGCTTTTACAAATGACACCAGCTTCTTGTCCGCAGAAGCAATCTGAGCAAAGGCTTAGTGAGTTACAAAATAATTAATAAAAATATATGTAAAAGTCTCGAGAAAGAGGGGCATCACTACAAAACAGAATAGCTGAATAAAGTAATTGCAAAATCATGCAAATTTGTAATATCAACTGACTAAAGAATTGGCAATCAAGTAGAAAACGTTGTTAAGATTCGAGAACCCAGAAAAAAAAAACATCTTCTACATAACAGAGAGCTTAGTAGTTCTGTGAAACCATGATTTTTGCAGCTTTTATAAAAACAACGTCAACAAGACTGAAAAAAACTATTGCGTTTCAATAGCACTCATAAAAGCAAGTATCAAACACTGGTGTAATATACCTCAGCAACAGCTTTAGCATTCTAAGAAAGTAAAGATTGAAGAGAAAATAAGAACTCTAGCATATAGTTAATCTTCTTAAGAAAGAGCGATTGTGTAAGAAAACATGATAAGATCATCTGTAGAGACTCCGAAAAAATGAAAAAAAAATCAATTTGCTGAATCGTAGAAGAGTTTGCATTATAAGAGGATAGTGTACGAGCACATACTTTCTTGGAAGACTGAACATTGCTGCTGGCCAAATTTTTACTATTACTCGCATCACTGCACCAAAAATATTCATATATTAACTGAAAGCGAAAGGGTATAGGAAACTCAGCAAAATTGGAATTCAACATTGGTCAATTATGCAGAATCCAAATATTAGTGGCATACCTTGATAAAACTGCAGGCCGTTTGTAAGCAGCAGATTTCATGACACTGACGTGGACACTAACATCGATAAGAACCGCGTGAAAGGTATCAAAGTGCACCGGACAGTAAGAATGCAAGCCAGAGAGCGCTTTAGGAGGAATACGAAAATCATGCACTGCTGCAGGACAAGTATCTGAATGAGTCACTGATATATTCTCCATAATTGGAGAATATAAAAGCTCAAACCTCAAAATAACAGCAGATGTAGCTGACCCCTGCATAATTTACACCTACTCAGTTACTATACTTCTAGGTCAACCAAGTAAACAAGTACACTATTCATCATTGGATTATTATTGTTGCCGACTATGATCAACAGAATTAGCAGCTAAAATAACCTCACAAACTCAATGCCGTAAATACTTTGCATCTCAACAGGAGTAGAAAGGAAAATTTCTTTAACAATTCCAAGAGTGTGAAACTCATTTGTTCATCATATTAGAAGGTACCACGGGAAAAGAAGAAAGACTGGTACCTCATATCTTTCCAGTGGCATAGTAAAAGAGACCATCATGCATAGACGGATATCCTGCCTTGCATATTTTATGCGGAAGGGCTGTGTTAAGAAACTATTATCTTTATCATCTATGTTCCACACTCCATATGAGTCGTTTGAGCTTGAATCAAGAGCTGTGACACAAAGAAGTAGTGATTCTTTATATCTGAATACTAAACATAAACTCTCTAAAAAATAGGATAAATGGACATATAATTCAGGAAACACATTGCACTCAATCACACGAACATAGCAGGCCAAAAAAGAAAATGATTCAGAAGAAAGCTGATGGATAAGAGTACCTTCATACTGAACAACTCGCGAGGGAATACCACAAGAGTTGTTATCACCATCCTCCCATCTCATGCTGATTTTTATTTGATACCATCTAAGAGAGTAGAAGAATTGACGGTTTAAAAACAGAAGAGAAAATTGCTTAAATTTACAGAGAGCTAAATAAATAGCAACGGTCATACCCTTGCTGGAAAAGATCAAGGTTATGAAACCTATGGATATAGATAGCAATTTCCTGAACTGTGTCGACCATTAGCACCGGCTTAACCCTGGCTACGTAAGGCTCTGCATCAAGCGTCTTTGTTTGCCTACTTCTTTGGCTCAGTCCAATTAACCATCCAAGACGCCGTAACATATGGAGGAACTCACATCACCTTCTAAAACTTTGGATGTGTGTTTTCAGGATAATGATATCCTGAAACCAGTAGGACCGATCTTTCGAAATCTCATTCTCTACATAACCAGATGCAAACTCATTTATGCTAAAGAGAGAAATCAAATCACAAGCTAACCAGCAGCAGCTGCAGGTAAAAGCAAAAGACACAAAAAATTGTGAATCAGTAACACTAATAGAGTTGATAAAAACTCATCTCATAATGAAATCATCAACAAAGTAGCCGTTTGTTCGGACACTACAGCAGGAATCTTGATAAAAACGAATTGCGCTTATCAAACTACAGCTACTTAAGAGTCGTCTCGACTCGGACACCAAATTAGGTCAAAAAGCTAAAATCACAATCTGAGCCCGGTGGATTGCAAAATGAAATGTCGAAAGCCGAGAGGAACAGATTGCGAGAATATTAAGCGAAAATGACGACAACAACCAAAAAAAATCACCAGAACTACATTACCTCGAAAAGGAAAAAAAAAAAAAATCAATGGCAAAGAAAAAGCTGTGGGGCTTGAGACTTAGATCTGACGAATCAGAAAGATGAAACCGAGATTCGCTAGGGTTTTTTTTCCTTATTCAGGACGACAGACAAACCCTGAGCAGAAGAAAACAGGGAAGAAGAAAAAAAAGGATCTGGGAAAGTTACAAATGATGGTAGGGGAACAATAAAAAAGGTCATGGAGGGGACTCAAAAATGATTTTTCAAACTTTTTACAGAGTTTATTATTAGTCAGATTTGATTATTTTTTGTTTTTGTCGGGTAAAGGATGAATGAATGTTCATGCGACGACACCATTTCCTATGTGTTTTTTTTTCCTTTCTTTTTGGCTCTATCTGTGTTTTTTTTTCTTGCGCCGAATCGACGATTTCGTAAAATCGATCCGACCCGCCATTTTTGGTGGCCTTACGAGATGAGTTACAACCCTGTTTATTGGGTCGTTTATAGGGCCCAAGTATGACCATAGGTCCATAGCATATAATACATATTCTTTTGAAACAAGGCCCAAAACGACGCAGCAATTAATAATAGTAACATTTTTGGACGAAATACAATCTATAAAAATATACTTTTTTGTTTGCTAAAAATCTATGAAATTATAATTATTGTGTATAGAGAGAGATGCTCATCAGTCATCGGCGGAAAAAAAAAAAGAGATGCTCATCTTTTTCATTAAAATATATTTTGCAACGATAACTTATTCTGTTTAAAAAATTCTGCGTGATAATTACTACCGTGTGTTTTTTGCAAGTTGTTTTTGGTCTCTTACTTATATACATATAGCAATTCACCAAATACTTTTTGACGAACAAAAGCAAAAAAGAAAAGCAAAACGATAGATTCGGTTTTATTTAAAGCATTATTACAGCTTAAAATTTTTAAAATAATTGATCATTATTAAATGACAAATGTACTAGAAGTATCTCATGAGTTTGCCAAAGTATCTCAAACCAAGAGACGATTCTCTTTCTTTTTTCCTTTTTTTTTATGTAATAAAAAAAAAATCGAATACTAGCCATGCAGATGTAGTTGCCAAAGAAGAACAAATTTACTTTACCTTCTTTTATATTATTTATGTCGGAAAAAGTGCTTATAATGTATTCGTTTGGTGAAAATGCTTTGTGATTACGATTCTCCGAAGTATCGTAATAATTAAATAGTCTGACTTAGCGCCATTGAGCAGTGGTCAGTGGAGGAAAAGAAATCATAAGAAATAAACCCTCAAGAGTAACATGCATTCAACGTACAGAGATGTTTTTCGATCTTAAAGCATTGACGATTGTGTATATATATATATATATATATAATTGTTATTTCACTCTTCTTGATTTGACTCTGCTTTAATTTATATCTCTATTCGTTTTCTCTCTCCCTCTCTATTCCTCTGTTTCTCCGTCAAAAATGAAAAGCCTCGACACGGAGCATAATCCCTCTGCCGGGAATAACGTCGACGACGATGGAAAGGAGAAGAGAACGGGGACGTTGATGACGGCGAGCGCGCACATAATCACGGCGGTGATAGGTTCCGGAGTGTTGTCGTTGGCTTGGGCAATAGCACAGCTTGGTTGGGTGGCAGGAACCGTAATTTTGGTGACTTTTGCAATCATTAATTACTACACATCTACAATGCTCGCCGACTGTTATCGATCTCCGGACGCCGGAACACGCAATTATACTTACATGGACGTCGTCCGAGCTTACCTTGGTAGATATGTCCTTTTCCTTTTTTTAAAAAAATATGTAAACAAGAAGAATAATTAAGATTATATTTATTAAAAAATAATAATAAAAAAAAAAACATGAAACGATATTCAGGTGGTAGGAAAGTGCAGCTATGTGGACTGGCACAGTACGGGAGTCTCGTAGGGGTCACTATTGGTTTCACAATCACTGCCTCCATAAGCTTAGTGTATGTTACAAGTACTTGTGATTCGATTATAATTATGTGATATGGTTACTACTAATTAACTTTTTGTGATGAAAATCTTAAAGTCTTGATTATATGTTGTTGCATGTTGGCTATATAGAGCGATCGGGAAAGCAAATTGTTTTCATGACAAAGGGCATGGTGCGAAATGTTCTGTATCGAATTATCCATACATGGCGACATTTGGGATCATCCAGATTATTCTCAGTCAGATTCCTAATTTTCATAAGCTCTCTTTCCTCTCCATCTTCGCCGCAATTATGTCCTTCTCCTATGCATCTATCGGAATCGGTTTGTCCATCGCCACTGTCGCAAGTACACTTTCTTTTCCTTTCTTCAAAATACAAACCGTCTCAAGCTATTTGAAAACTCTATCTATATACATGCAAATGTTTCATATATACATTTATGTTGTTTATTTTTTCCTTTCTAAAAATCTAGGAGCTCCGATATATGACTACATAAATATTTTTTTCAAAATTAGGGTATCTTTGTTAAAATGCATCAGTTCCATTCTATCAAACGCCCTTGTATATATAAATTACTGTACAAAAAAAAATTGTTCTAGGCTGATCAGCTATAGAATTCTCATATATTTGCAAAAAAAATGATATGAATCTTCAAACTAATGGTGAAAGCGGTTATGACAGGTGGGAAGGTTGGGAAGACGACGCTGACGGGAACGGTGGTAGGAGTGGACGTAAACGCGTCTGACAAAATTTGGAAGTCGTTTCAAGCGACTGGAGACATTGCATCCTCTTACGCTTATTCCATTGTTCTCGTTGAGATTCAGGCATGTCTTTTTTTTTCCTACTTGAGTTGATTACTACCACTTTTTTATTTGATCAATAGTGTCTAGCTACCAATTATTATTGTTTTCAATTGTTTATATATTTGTATTCAAATTTTCCTAAAATTGGAATATTGAGTTCTCGATCGCTGTTGTGTTATATAAAAAGATTATTATATTGATTTTGACAGAAAAATTAAAACTATATATATTGTTTTAATTTTCACCTAAATAATAAAAAAAATTTCACGGATATATAAGAGTTAATTGGATATATGTTAAAGACAGTGATGCTCATATATGTATGTTTGTTTGTTTTTTTTTTTTTTTTTTTTGGCAGGATACATTGAGATCAAGCCCACCAGAGAACAAAGTGATGAAAAAAGCAAGTCTTGCCGGAGTCTCAACCACAACTGTTTTCTACATCTTATGTGGCTGCATCGGATATGCTGCATTTGGTAACAATGCCCCCGGTGACTTCCTTACCGACTTTGGTTTTTATGAACCTTACTGGCTCATCGATTTTGCCAATGCATGCATCGCTCTCCACCTAATCGCCGCCTATCAGGTAACTCTCAAATGCAAAACAAATATAATAGTCCGAATTTCGACCTAGGATATATATTACTAACTCGTTTATAACAAAACCATCGATGATCGATGTTTATTAAAATGCGCAGGTGTTTGCACAACCAATATTCCAGTTTGTTGAGAGCAAATGCAACAAGAAATGGCCAGAAAGCAATTTCATCACCAATGAACATTTGATGAACTTACCATTGCTCGGGAAATATCGCATCAACCTCTTCAGGCTGGTGTGGAGGACAGGCTATGTGATCTTGACAACAGTTGTAGCAATGATATTCCCCTTCTTCAATGCAATCTTGGGATTAATCGGGGCAGTCTCATTCTGGCCGCTAACAGTTTACTTCCCGGTGGAGATGCACATCTCGCAGAAAAATGTTAAGCAGTATTCTCTGAGGTGGATTGGGTTGCAACTCCTTGTCTTGCTTTGTTTGATTGTTTCCCTCCTAGCAGCGACAGGATCCATCGTTGGCTTGATAACTAGTGTCAAGGCATACAAGCCTTTCCACAATTTAGATTAGAGGCGACTTTGTCATCTAGCTATCTCAAAAAATTGTGGGAACTACTACTTCTTTCAAGATGAAAACAGTTACTAGTTACTACGTACCGCTACAAAATGTCGGTGCATGTCTGTCTTAAATAATTAATGGCGTTGACACAACCCTCGCTTATCCGGTTCGGTCTTTGTCCGGTTTTGAAAACATCGGTATTATGCCCGCTTGGTAAGTATAGTGTCAAGGCAATACAAGCCATCTCTTTTAATTGTAACAATCTCTTTTTAGTTTTAGAAAATGCAATGTTATATATGTTCTCTAACACTGCGATGTATAAACAACCTTTCAATCTCGCACATTAATTCTTTGGTGATTACATCTTAGTTTTCATCAAAAGATTGCCAACTGCTGTTAATGGTGTATTTTAGATATTCGAGTCTGTCTGGAGACAAACAAATTAACTGGGGAAACAATATTGGCACGTTCTGAAAAATAGATGGAAATCTTGTAAATAATAGTCAGATTTGAAAGACGTTAAACTTTTATGGAATCTTATCTGAAAATCGTTCGTAGATATATTAAACTAAAGTTATAGAATTAGTTTGGTCAAAATCATATTCTATCTTATCTTATAAGATATAATTAATTGTGAACTAAACTACGAACTTTGAATTAAGAATGAAATAAAGGATAAGACACTAAATGGTATACAAATACAAGGGAATAAACGATATAGAGACGTATGGAATCTAGAGTCAATATGTTATTAATGGTATATAGATGAATATTATTATTTCATTTCTTTTTGTTGGTCAACATTTCACTTATTTCACCAAAATAAAATAGAAAAATACTTAATTTTATTTATATTTTCATTAAATTTATAGAAATTGCAATTGATGACAATACAATTACAAAGTGTGATCACTGAGAAAATGGCAATGGTGAGTTTTTTTGTCATAACAAATCAAATGAGTTGAAACACGAAGTTGACAACAACAAAAAAATCGTGTGACATTTTTTTTTTAATACTAAAAAGCTCACACAAACATGCAAACTCACACATATATTAATTTTGTCATGGGCACCTAGTTAGTAACTAGTGTTGTATTTCTTATAACATGTTAGATTTTACATGCTACAAGCTATAAATATATATATAGTGATTCGCACTAGTGCTTTTTTTAGAATTGGAGGAGAATCATCATAGAAAGTACATAAAAAAAGGGAATTGTAATCATCATGGAAACGCCGGAAGAGAATCATGCAAGGATTTGAGAAAATAGATGAATGATAAATGAGGACGAGAAAATATGAGATATACAGGAAAGCAAGAAAGGAAGAAAATCATCTAATTCGAGCACAAAAAGGAGTTATTACTCACCTAAATTTCTAGAAAAGGCTATTATTCACCTAAATTTCAATTACTCGCACTATCATTTTAAAAGTTGGGAAAAACTATTACCACTCACCTAATTTCAGTTATCCTCATTGTCATAAATGCATTTGTCTTATTTTTGACCTACGCCTAATTAAATTTTAGAAGACTACGAGTCTAAAGCTAATAAAGGTTTCCAAAATAAGCAGTTCACGACTCCATCGAAAAGACGAATCAAAAATCAAAAGAAATAAATCCCCAAAATCAAGATTCTCACAAAAAAAAAAGATATAAAGATTTTCTTCACATATTTTTTTTCTATCAAAAGATTCTCTTGCCATATAAGCATTGATATTTGTGCATTGATTCACTTGTACATATATGTGCCAAGGACTCAAAGACGACCTCTGTCATTTACTCTCTCTCTCTCTCTTTTTCCTCTGTCACAATGAAAAGCTACAACGCAAAGCACATTTCCTCGGCGGTTGAGACCGGTGACGCCGCCGTAAAGAGCGTCGACGACGATGGACGGGAGAAGAGAACGGGGACGTTTATCACGGCGAGCGCGCACATAATCACGGCGGTGATAGGCTCCGGAGTGTTGTCATTGGCTTGGGCATTGGCACAGCTTGGTTGGGTGGCAGGAACCGTAATTTTGGTGACATTCGCCATCATTACATACTACACATCCACTTTGCTTGCCGATTGCTACCGATCGCCGGACTCCGTCACCGGCACGCGCAATTACACTTATATGGGCGTCGTTCGAGCTTACCTTGGTATGCATTTTATTAAATTTAATGATATTTTAAATCTTTTACAAATCGTTTTCCCTCTGTTTTTTTTGTTTGTTTATCAGCGGCAACTATATTCCACAGCATTTTCTTCAATTTTTATAGAAAATAACTTTTTTTTTCCTGATGAGCAACGATTTTATTGATTTGATATATATTTAAATTGTAATTAGTCTTGAAGATGTTTTTGATTTTCTTCCTTTTTTGTCACAAGGATGATGCGTGGAAATGTTATCTAAAAAAATTAACGTGAAGTTGAAAATAATTGACTCATTCCCAAATTTTTTGAGAATGCAAATTTTGTTGAAGAACATAAATGTGGTTCAAATTTAAATTTATAATGTTTTATTTATTTCTTGAGAGTGTGCATGATCTTCTTGGGAAGATACGAATTGATTATCAATATCTACAAAAATGAAGAAGAATTGTGGAGAAAAAAAAAGTTCTTTCCAAAATTAGTCAAAAAATTGAATTGACAATGTGTACGATTAGTATCCCATTAAAGGATGCTGTCAATAAATTCGATTGTTGACCTCCACCAAAAACAAAAAAAATGAATTGAAATTCGAGATGTTTTTTTTTTTTAAATTGAACAATACATTCGAGATGTTTACCAACTTATTAATTTAACAGAAGAGTATATGACATTATACGTTTTTTTATAACATAATCCTGCTTCTGTAAGATTCGCGTTACTGCTGCTGTGGATAGAGAAAAACAACAACTCCTAGTTCCCGTAGACTGTATGCTAATTTAGTGAAACAGATGAAAAGTTAATGATTAAATAACATGAAACGACAGGTGGTAAAAAGGTGCAGCTATGTGGACTAGCACAATACGGGAATCTCGTAGGGGTCACTATTGGTTACACCATCACTGCCTCCATAAGCTTAGTGTAAGTTATAACTTGTGAATTTACATATCTCGATTATTGTGATATGGTTACTAGTTACTACAAATTAACATGTTGTGAAGAAAATATTAAAGTCTTGATTTGATGTTGTTACATGTTGGCTATAGAGCGATCGGGAAGGCAAATTGTTTTCATAACAAGGGACATGGTGCGAAATGTTCTGTATCGAATTATCCATACATGGCGGCATTTGGGATCGTCCAGATTATTCTCAGTCAGATTTCTAATTTTCATGAGCTCTCTTTCCTCTCCATCATCGCCGCAGTTATGTCCTTCTCTTATGCATCTATCGGAATCGGTTTGGCCATCGCCACTGTCGCAAGTAGGCTTTCTTTTCCTTCTCCAACAATTTGCTCTAGCATGTTTTAAATTCCAAAAAACAAATCATAAAACAGAGAATCAAATGTATAAATATTGTTTGAAACTATTAACGGTTTCTATGAATGTTCAACGTTAAAACTAACTTTTGAGAATGGTATTAATATTGAAGGTGGGAAGATTGGTAAGACAGACCTGACAGGCACGGTGGTAGGAGTGGACGTAACTGCGTCTGAAAAACTTTGGAGATCGTTTCAAGCGATTGGAGACATTGCGTTTGCGTATGCTTATTCCACTATTCTCATTGAGATTCAGGTATTTACTGATTCCTACCATCTTTTTCATTTAATGTTTTCTTGGTATTTGCATTTTTCAATTTTAGTCATATGATGTTTTGGTTGGAATAGGCATCTATTGTTTTGTGGTTAGAGAATATTACTGACAATTACTAATAAGTTATGGACCACCACTTGTATTCTCTCTTTCACCAAAAAGAAGTAAAAGAAGAAGATGCCATTTTACCTTTGAAGATAAGATGTTATTATCATCAACTAGAGTACTAGACATGTACAAAATTAAATATAGACTGATGGATATAAAAAGATTTGATTAGATATGTGAAGCTCAAATATGATATATATATATATATATATTTTTTTTTTTTTTTGCAGGATACATTGAGATCAAGCCCACCAGAGAACAAAGTGATGAAAAAAGCAAGCCTTGTTGGAGTCTCAACCACAACTGTTTTCTACATCTTATGTGGCTGCATTGGGTATGCTGCATTTGGAAACCAAGCCCCTGGTGACTTCCTTACCGACTTTGGTTTTTACGAACCTTACTGGCTCATCGATTTCGCCAATGCTTGCATTGCTCTTCATCTAATCGGTGCCTATCAGGTAACTCACAAAGAAAAGAAAAGCATAAGCGTGTAGCATTCACAATTTTCATTAAATCTCACAAAGCAAACTTATCATTGATTACTTTCTCTATATATAATTAGGAAAAAAAAAACAAAAACATTTTGGGGTAGGTAAAACCACAATTGTCATTTAAAAAAAGACAAAAACAACTAATTATCAATACACAATTGTAGTTCTACATTAATACTAGTGTGTTAACCTCTGTTTTAGGATTTTTAGTTTATTAATACAAAATATTGTAGAAGTAGACTTTAGTTTGGTTTATATAATACAATGATGTTCATCTCAATATCCCTACATAAAACAATTCGCAGGTGTATGGTCAGCCGTTTTTCCAGTTTGTTGAGAGCAAATGCAAGAAAAAGTGGCCTGAAAGCAAATTCATCAACAAGGAATACTCGTCGAACATACCAATGCTCGGAAAATGCCGTGTCAACCTCTTCAGACTGGTGTGGAGGACTTGCTATGTGATTTTGACAACAGTTGTAGCAATGATATTCCCTTTCTTCAACGCGATCTTGGGTTTGCTCGGTGCACTTGCCTTCTGGCCACTAACAGTTTATTTTCCAGTGGCAATGCACATTGCGCAGACAAAGGTGAAGAAGTATTCTCGCAGATGGTTAGCGCTTTACCTCCTCGTGTTGGTCTGCTTGATTGTCTCGTTCCTAGCTGCGGTTGGATCCATCGTTGGCCTTATAAGTAGTGTCAAGACATACAAGCCTTTCAAGAATTTAGACTAACTTGTGATTTATGATAAATTCTTGTTAATTCATGTGAGAACTAGTAGTATTTCTTTTAAGCAAAATACTCAGAAGTTTATTTTAGTGTGTGTTCAAATAATGTTGTGAACGTTCTGTTTTCCGCAAAGGTAAAAACAAAAAACAAATGCTGATAGATCTATTAGTAAATCGTATAAAAAAATGATATAATAGGTTTTAAATAAATTTTAGGACTACAATTTATTTGTCAACTTTGGATGTTCGTGCTAGGACCAGAAACAATGAGTCTGTGACTATAATACATGACAATATTACTAACTAACAACGTAACAGAACTGGATTCCACATAATTGTGACCTACGATGGATAATACTTATACTGTACGAATCTGCAAAAAAACAAAAAAAGAGTACCACAGGTCATTAAATCGCATCGTCTAGGCTTTGTCTTAGTTATCTCTATCAACCAGAATCAGAACCCAACAGCTACTCTGTACACTAACGAATTCAGATGACAAAAACCCCAGTAATAAGACAAGCTAGCCACACAAGCGTACAAAGAAGAGTATCAAGTGTTCCATTGTCTGAAAAAAGTTGGAAAAATAGGTATCGAAAGTGATAGAGTATGAAGAAGATGGCTTCCAGATCTCCAGATTCGTATGGATGGGATCAGTTTCGAATTTAATTTTTATTTTTTTTTAAAAAAATTGGGGAATTATATCAGAACACACACAAATAGTGTCATCCGTTTGGTTTAATGGGTCCCACATAAGTTGTTATCACTTCCATGTATTGAGCCCAATAGAGAGGATCAAGGCAAGTTTGGTCCTTCCTAACGTTTCTTGTTGTTTACTAGCCTTCTTCTATTCATTCAATTGCATTTATGTGTTCTCTCTCTCTCTCTCTCTAATCTTTCTTTGGTGATTTTGGACCATATGTTTTTAATAAGTCATTTTCTCAAGGTTCTGTGGTCACCCGATGACTGCCATCATAACCGCCAAGTAACCAAACTCACTAGCATCCGTTTAACCAAAGCCTGCCTTGCGGTTACCTAGTTGATAGTTCCTAGCCATATGATGCGAATGCCCATATTTTCTGGCCAAGAGACGCATTTGCTAATCCTAGTCATTCATTTGTCTTCAAAGTCCTAGTCGATTGTTCAATATGCATGATTTACCGTCATTTATGTGCTACATAATCACAACGCTATTCACAAACGGACGAATTTAAAATGTCCGTAAAACCGTATTGTCTTCGTTTATATAGATGAGCTTAAATGCCAATTTATAAGTTCCAACCCAAGCAGGCAAGCACTCATATTTCGTGACTACAAAATTGGATATAAGTAAGGAAATCTTAGTGTTTGGCCAGTCAAACAAGTTTAAATGCTGTTGTAGCACACCTTTGCAATAGTCTATCTTCATTTTCTCAACCACCTTTTAGAATTTTTGTTTGTGTAATGGTTTCCATTTTCCAAGACCTAACATAGTTTGTAACTAACTTCATTTCTAACCAACTAAAGTTGGATTGTCAGAGTCTACCATGGACATCGAATATCCAGCAGACAAAAGGAAAAAACATAAAAGCCTGCCAAGCAACAATCTTATCAGTATTTTTTCCAGAGATTCTAAACTTGATTTTTTTTTCTTCTTCTAATTTATACACTTACATAATCATCAAATCAAAAGGCAGAAGAAGCGTGACAAAGAAACCCACTCTTCACCTCACTCGTAGTAGTAGAACCCAAACCAAAAAAAAAAAAACCAATACGAAGCCACACCAAGTTCCCAAATTAGAAACTCACTATGTACATCCTATTATGTTAGTGCCTTACCGGAAGAGACTTTTTTCTTCAAAAAAAAAAAAATATTACTCCCAAGGCCATATGTGACACTAAATTTTCAGAAAACAAAAACTGAAAAATCGTTGCTCAGCCGAGTGACTCACTATGGTGGCAAAGCTCTTTCCTCATCCGTTGATTAAACAGCCTGCAAGCATCCATACTAAGATCAATGGCTGCAGAAAGCGCCACGTAAGCAGCAGCATCCTCCATACAGCTAACGTGCTGCACACTAACCTCTACACACGGCTTACTACATTTCCCTTCAGCTTCCACACTCGCTGACATCACAAACCCTTTGTACACGCTCCACGGCCACACTCCGTTTCCATAATCGCCGCTCCCTCTCGGACTATTCGACGGAGACGCTCCTCCTCCACTACTTCCGCCGCCGCTTCCACCGCTTCGGCTTCTCGATCTGTTCACGCCACCTGGTGGCGACGATGAAGACGATCGCAATTCGATTGAGAACTTCCCTCCTCTGTGAGAACTTATGGTTGACTCTGCAAGCACGATTCCCGCGCCGCTTGATCCGTCTGGGATGAGTTCGAATCTGTAGCCGAGCCCGTCGGTGACTCCGCCGCGTTCCCGCCAAGCCTCGAGCCGGCCCCACGGTTTCCAGGTGCAATCTCCGGGACGGAGGATGAGCCAAGAACCGGGGTTTGAGCGGCTCACACGATCGGTTCCCGGAGATGCAACGAATGGAGTGACGATTGACGCCATAGCCACCGGAGAACCAGACAGATCGTGGACCGTTATTGACCATCCTTTTCGCTCTTTACCGGGACGTTCTCTCTCGCTCCCGAACGAGTTTAGCCAGCTCCTTGGAACGCTTGTTTCAGGCGGCAACGATCTATAATATTCAAATAAACAAACATATAAAGGTTATATACTTACGAATAAAAATGGTTGAATATCACAAAGAGTAAAGTTTTATACTAAGAATAAAAGTGGTTAAATATCACAAGAGTAAAGTTTCTTGGTTTCTAGAGCAAAAATCAATCTGAGGAATGTGATTTCAGTATTTCACAGTAATCTATGTTGTTCGATCGCTCTAATTAAAGCGCATTTGGATTTGATTCCTCGGGAAAAGACAATAATTAGAAATTTTAAAAAGTGATAATAAACCCAATTTCCGAGAAATGTGGTGAGATTGATTTGATTTTGGCCGGGAAACTGACCTTGTTCTCATGGTGCGATCGCCGGTGTGCCGGCAACTGAATTTGCATGTGAAGACCGGTTGCCGGATATTACCTTGAATCTGGACCACTTGAGGACTACATTCCGGCTCGCCGTCGAACTGGAAAACGAACCTAGGATCAGGCTCCGCCTTCACATTCAGGTGAAACTGAGCCGACGAAGCTTTCCCGGCTCCTTTTCCTACAGCTATCCAGCCGTTGTGGAAGACGCACGGCTTCGATTGCGTACCAGCTAGATCCAATGGCACGGAGACTTTGGCCAAGAGACGGCCGGAGTGCACACCGCACGCAGCGCCGGCTCTTCCCGTGTAGATGAAGATCTTAAGACATGGCTTCGAAGCGAAGATGGATCTGGAAGCTAGGCGTCCAATATCGGAGCTGCTGAGATGGAACGTGGCGGCTAGGGTTTGGATCTCCGGGAACTGTGTGGTCTCCAAGGGAATGTACGGGATGGCGGCGGTCTGCGGTGGGAAGTTTTTCAGTTTGATCTTACAAAAACAAGGGGAAGACGATGGATGCACGACGGAGCTCGTCGTCTTCGCTGCTAAAGGAACTTTCAGAGCTAGGTTTCCGATCGTAAGACGGATGAAAGGACAAGGATCCATTTCTCTCGATTCAATTTAGGGTTTTCAGTGGACGGAGAAAGAGAGAGAGAGGGAGAGAAGAAAATGTGACTAGGGGTTTAGGGAGAGCGACATTAATTGCAGGAACCGTTCTGGAGTCGACAACATGGAAAGTAGAAACGATGACTTTGAGAATTAGGCCGAGGAAAACGAAGGTGACGGTGAAACGCAGCGTTTTAATGGCGCCGCTGGATATATCTCGACCTAACCACCAGCGAAAGCTGTCGTCTTCTTCCCTCTGTGTGTATTGCCTCTGGTTTTTAAGTGGGACAAGAAGGAAGCACAAAATACATTTTTCCATTTTTGCATTCCCTCCCTTGTTTCCCCATATTTTCCGGAATTGTCCACTAAAGCCTTATTCTTTCAAAACATGAAGATTAGCACCAGACTATTAAATTAGCTTATCTAACCCCCCTCTCCTCCCCCACTACACTGATGTAATAATTTTGAACAGCATGATGCAACAAATAAAAACTAGTTCACGTATATAATAATATGACAAATCATTAACAATATAAGAGATTATAATCACAAATTTTTAATAAATTATCTTTAAATATTTAAATTGGATATTCACACACATTCATATTCATATACATAGAGTTGATTCAGCCAGTTATTTTCCAACCACTTCACAAAATATGAACCACTTCACAAAATATGAAATTGTTAACATTAACCATTTATGATTATAAATTTAAAAATTTAAAAATCAAATGTTTGCGAAGATTTTGATATTAGACCTCTCTCCTTTCTTTTTATAAACTAGTGTATCCAAAGATTTTCTAGGTTCAAGACTAATCACTAGCGGCCCAACAACCGGGTACATGTCAGCAATTTGCTGATTTAATCGTGAAAAGGTGGCCAAGCGGATTCGAACCCAGGCTAATAGGGCACATATCCATACCACTGGAATTCCCAAACCACTGGGATACAACCGCTTGGTTTTAGACCTCTCTCATTTCCTTTTTTCCTTTCCCCTTTTCTCCTTTATAAATAGGATCTTACATGAGAGAAATTACTGCTAAAATGTTTGACAAAATTTGGGCTAAATATTTAGAAACCAAAACAATTGTGTAGATTGGGTGAACTTGTTATAACGTAACGTTTGTTTTGCAAAAGATTATTTTATAAGTTTGAAAACAATTTCTTTCGAGTTTTAAATGTGTACGGATGAAAGGGTAAAACCGAAATTTAGGGTTAGTTGAGGGGTAGAGAGAAAAGACGTTGGAGCACAGCTGGAACAGGCTGGCGAGAAAATGCCAGCTCGGATTAGAGAGAGGTTGACGCTATCCTCTTCTCTCTCTTTGAAAGACTTCTTGGCTTTCTCTCTCTACCTGATCAGTGACCAACCACACATCACAAAACGAAACGCAGGGCTCCACTTTTTCAAAATTTACGAAAGTACCCTTACTTGCTTACGTGTACGTTCGCGGCTCTTTGTGACTTGATCGGGGGAATCTTTCCGCCTCTATGCGGAGCTCACGTTTTTGTGTCAGTGATAGTTTTTCTTCTGGTTTTTTCGTTTTATTTTTCAGAACAAGAATTTGGTGCCCAAAAAACATAAAGAAACAATTTAAAGAAGAAATTATCCCGGAAATAATCCAACTTATGACAATTTTTTATTTCTTATAGTTTCGATTATTAAGTCATTGGCGCAGTGTCATATTAGATTTCTAGTTTCTAAAATCTATAAAACTTATTCCAATCAATTTCTTGAACATTTCGATATCCTTCTGTAATTGTTAATTAATAACAAACAATAACGATGAGTAGTCAAATCAAATCATATTTGTTTCGTATCATTTGTTGAACAATACATTTTGGCTGACTATTTCATACTACTTGTTTAATAGTTGTTGTTTCATCAATATACTTTGGCGATAAATAGCAAACACAAAAAAAAACTTCAAACATGAAATTTATAACGTTTTGATAATCTTTTTGCTAATTACCGATATAAATTTTGTTGTCAAAACTTGTACGCCAAAGTAATGACTATGAAATAAACTTGATTTTATCACACCGTTATTCGTTGGTTGTCGCTAAGTACGTCAAAACGAACGGACATATTTGTTCTTTTGATTAGAGAAACTAGTTTTTATCTTACAAAACACATTTCCGTAGAAAATCTAAAAATTATTTAACCCTAGATTTTTAAAAGAACCAAACAAAAAAAAAACACTTCAGAAACTCTAGATTATATCTCAAAAAGTTTGATCCTAGATTATATCTCAAAAAGTTTGATCTGCACGTGCGAATGAAGATGCAAGAGGAAGGCCTTCCTCCTCCTCTGAGGCTCTGATGAGTGACTGAGTCTAGAAAAGAAAGATAAAAATAGAGAGAAAGGAGCAAAATCCAGCTATCATCCACGATCCTCGTTCAGCTACTTAAAAGTATTACTAGTAAAAAACTAATCTAATTAATATACTTTAATTCAATCTAATCTGTCGTAAACGTGCACGCATATCTCTCGCCCAATCCCCAAACAGCTCTACTTTATTTTTATTTGTTGACCTACATTATTATTGTAGATAAATTGCTTTCTACAACCCCAAAAAAAACTGCATTCTACCACGAAATGCTTTTTTTTTTTGGAACACTAATGGCGATTATATTATTAAGAAAGGAAAACTATTAAAAAATAGCAGAAGAAGCTCGATCCATTTTCGTTTTTTATACTAGAATGAAAAGTTTACCTTTGCAGACTTGCAGTAGAAGAAGAAAAGATAGATGTGATATTTAGATTTAGAATGACGGTTTCCTCGAGATTCTTAAACACGTTAGAATTTTCAAATTTCATATACAAATGTAGAAAACTTGAGTCGTTGTTTCCTTTTTTTTTGAACAAACTTTAATTATATACATATTTTATTTGTGGAAAAGTTAGACCGATAAATAACCGACGTCAATGCAATTCGAGAATAACCGACGTCAAAAGCTATGTACACTTCATCGTGGTGCAAAGTGAAGAAGATTATCATTTCAAAACCCACACATGAAGAAAATGTATGGTTCGCTGACTGCACAAGAGTTTTCATCTTTTAGTTTCGTTTTTGGTATACTTTTTCAAAACTCAACTGTAAATCGAAAGGTTTCAATAGTATATCACTATTGTTGTCTCTTTTGCTAAAGAAGAGTGTGCAAAGTGTTCTATTATTATATGGAAACTCGAACAAAAACTACGTGTCTACGTGATATCGAAATCTATATCAATAGCCAATAGAGATCAGAGATATACAGAAGCAGAGATATACAGAAGTTTCAATTTCTTGAATTGTGTTGTTGGAAATGAGATATATATATAAGTTTATATCTTATTGCTTAGTGGGATAAACCGAGCTAACGGAGAGGTTTAATGCCATCAGCTAACTAATGGGAGTAACGTGATGAGATAAGTTGGTCTCATTGTTACATTCGGAGACTAGCTAGGTGATATCCATGCTTAAGCTTCTGACAACCAATCGTGTGATGAAGAATCAATAAAAAAACCTTGAAAGTGTTTTTGACGTGAAAACTATAAATTTATTGACAACTAGAACTTGGGTATACTAGGTTGATTAATAAGAAGAAATTGTGTATGTGAGAATTGAGATATTTGATGAACTTTAAGAGATGCTCACCACTCTATGATAGTCTTGATGACACAACCAACACAACCCAAGCCTTTTCTCAAAAAAAAAAAAAAAAAAAAAAAAAAACACAACTCAACGAAATTCATATTGTTTAAAATTAAAATTAATTCAGTGATTACGAAATTTTTAAAATGAATAAAAAAATACGAAGCAGCGCATCTAAGATCAAGCACAAATTGCTGCTTCAATACACGGAAGAAGCTAACGAAGCAGTAGACCAAAAAAAAAAAAAGGAAGGAAGAAGAGGAAGATGAAGGCGTTAGGGTATTGGTTAATGGTGGTTGGTTCACTGAGATTAGCTTCTGTTTGGTTTGGTTTCTTCAACATTTGGGCTCTTCGTCTCGCCGTCTTCTCTCAGACCACCAGTTCAGTTCCTTTTTTTTCCCTTCAATCTCCATTTTGAATAGCTTTTAATCGATTTTGTGTTCGGATTTCGTTATTTTCGTTAAAGGGTCCATATCTTTTGGCTTAATGGGTAATGTTCACATAGAATCTATAGATACTTCAATTTTTTCTATCTATTGACTTGCTTAGTCTCTGAGATTCTAGTCATAAGGAATAGCATCAGTGAGATATAACTGGTCAGTGTTTCGAAGAGAAATGATAATATCAGGTTGAACAAATCGTCGATAGAATTTGTGCGGAAATTTAGGTTCTTCGTAATCTGTGACTTGCACGGGCATTGAGTCTCCCAATACGGATCGAACTTGGGATCACTAACCTTTGAGATTTCAAAAGATAATAAGGAATGAGAACATGGGTTTTTCTGGATTTGATCTTGAATGTTTGCTAGTACTTTGAATCTGTAAGGTCAATGATTTGTATATTACAAGTCAAGTTGACAGTTTAAGAAGGAAAGCCTGATTCTTGATTCGTTGAACATATTCATGCTCTTTCTAGCTGCTTTTTTTTTTTGTGAATTCTTCATGTTCCTTTGATTGCAAAGTTGAGGTAGCTGGAATTGACAGCAACTTATGCTCAAGAATTGATGCACTGTTGCGTTGGGGCTCGAGCAAAGAGTTCATGTTACTCTTTAGACTAAAAGGCTTTGTCATGTGTGTTTATTATTTCTTTCCTTTTTCTTGATCATCATAGCTTCTTTGTTTATCTCTCCAACTAGGATTGGTCTTCCTTGCAAGTTGAGATTATAAATTTTCAGATTATCTTTGTTTGGTCCCGAGAGCTTGTTCAAGCTTTCAGGAAGCTATATGGCTGTGAATGGTTGAGCATGATAGCCGTTTAAATCGTTTTGATCGCTATAGTACAGGATTGTTAATAAATCAAAGAGCTTGTAGCTATTGTGCATGATTTCCCTAAGTTCAACCTAGGCAGTAACTTCTTAGAGAACAATCTTTGTTTAGGGTCTGACATATTTTTCAGTGGTTCTTGTTCATGATTTCCGTAAAAGATCCGAAAAAAGGTTCGGTTCCATAAGACACATGCTTTGTGAATATATAGAAAAGGAGATTAGTACGATAAGAATAGCAAACCGAAGCAACATATCTAAGAAAGATATGCAATCTTGAATGCTTGTACAATTCCTCGGGGAAGGAACTTTTGTAAGAAGTGGACCACCATGCCCTAAATATCATGAAAGGGGAAAATATTTGGATCTAGAATTCATTGCTTTTGCTTACAGTTTACAGAGTCCAATGCATAACCCCCTTTTTTGTGGGATCTATATGCATTTTTTCTTAAATTACTGTTGAGGTAAATCAATGACCAGGTGAAGTGTATTAGAGGCTGTAGATGTATGAGAACAGAAGCAACTTGATGTTTTTCTTTTGCTTAGTAATTTGTGGTGCATTATTTCGACAAAGGGAGTGTTAATGCAACATTGTTATTTGTTTTCCCCCTGTGATTGTAAGGTCCCCGAAGTGTTTAGTTTGTTGATAGGTAGACAAAAAGTAGTTATAATTTTGCATCATATGAGCAACTGGAGAATAGGAAACAAAAGGGGTTTATCCAGAAAAGACTAATACACATAGTTGAAGTCTCTAACTTTGGTTTCCTTAGGTGATGGCTCCATTTGGTTGATAAAGAGTCCCGTCCTCATGACTCAGTATGTTCTAACTGTTTTGCAGTGAGTGAAGTTCATGGACGTACATTCGGAGTATGGACACTCTTGACCTGCACTCTCTGCTTTCTTTGTGCATTCAACCCCGAAAACAAACCGTTATACTTGGCTACCTTTCTCTCATTTATCTACGCCTTAGGCCATTTTCTGACCGAATACCTCTTCTACCATACAATGACCATCGCGAATCTCTCAACCGTGGCCTTCTTTGCAGGTATGGGCTTGTGGCAATCACCATATATTACATCACTCACTCTTGAATTCAATCAATTAATGTATGTTGCATTCATTGTGTGAATGATCCCAATACTGCGGTTCTTTCTTTTAACAGGCACATCGATTGTGTGGATGCTCTGGGAGTGGAATTCCCTTGAACAACCGCACTCCAAACTTTCTTGATGTTTTTTTTTTTTTTCTGATGACATGTAATTGAGTCTTTCTTCTTTAAAACATTTTTAAAACGTTGGAATCATGTCCGACTTTTTGCTCGATTCCTAAAGCCGTTGATTCATGTTTCAACTATAAAATTTGACATTCTTTACGAGACCGAGTTTCATGTAAGACTACATTTAGTAGATTATAATAAGACAATCTCTAGTCCTCACTCCGTTAATTATTTCAACAACTATGGCTCAAAATTGTCAATCATGTGTTGTATAACATCTGCTCCAGCTGAATTGATCATCTTTGTTTTCACCTGTAATGTTTTTCAAATTTGAGTTTAAACGACTTCATATTGAGAGCAATGATGAAGATAATGAAATCGCCAGAAGAAAATAAATGATGATGATCACGATATGGTGATGACGATAATGAACACTCGCCTGAATGGTATTGTGAGCGAGAAATCTTTGCAGGGTTCCTCTGAAACAAACATCAACTCGTTCCCAGCTCATTTTTGTTAGTTCTCTTATCATCTCCTCTGCAAAAGATTGTTGTATTATGTTTGATTAGAAATCAAGATACGAAATTTAAGATCGAGACGTCTGAGTTTCCACCGAACCAACCTTCCATATCGAAGTTCTTGAACCCGTTTGAATTGGTCCCTGATCGAGCATCCTCAAGGTTACTAGATGTATCTGGTGCTTCAACGTTCACAATATGCGGGTACTTCTCGTTTATTGGACCGCGTTGAAGCTGAGGTGGTCAGATGTTAGACTGATTCAGCATAATACAAAAGATTAAGTCTGATATATTAAACACTGAAAGGTTAATACCTTAGGAAGCTCGTTGTGATGTCTTATAGACGATGTGCTCCACCCGACAAGGTCTATGAACAACGACGGTTAAGGTCTCAAATATATTGCAATATCCATATACAGTTATATAGACCAGTGAAGAAGAAGTGAAAATAGTTTATAGAGGCCTGAGAAAGAAAGGATACGGTCAAAACTTGTATTTGCATAAGCAATACGCCGCTTGAAGCATCGCAAAGCAGAACTGTTCACAAAAGGTAGAGGAGATGTAATAATATTGTTATTAGAAATCGTTTGAACCATGCAAAGCCCAAAAAAAAGCTATGTATAAGGAAGTGAACTAAATTAGTGAAGGAACTCACATGAATTTAAGGTTTCTACGATCACTAACCATTCGGAGGAGTAACGGAGGCTTTCCATCATCACCATCAGCTAGAAAAAGATGTTTCCCCGTTTTACCAAGACACCACGACATATGCGTAGCTAACCTCTCCAAAGTGTGAGATCCAGAAAACAATGGGACCTATTACAGTCAAAACGCCACACCATCAACCAAATGCAAGTTAAATGTTGCAAAATACACTTTGCCTTTATGTTGATAGCAAGTTCAAGTGCAAGAAACCAAAAACTAAACAGTTCCCAAATTAATCACCTGCTTATGTCCTCTTGAACCAAGGTGTGGCGTTGCAAATGTTATGAAATACACAGGCTCCAATCCAGCAATTCTCTCTTGCCCGATGTCGTCACTGTTTTGTGAAAGCTCTTCAGGGCATTCTTGTTCATAAAGACGGGCAACAGCATACCTAGCAATCAAGCCACCTAAAGAATGTCCTACAAAGGAAATCTTCTGGAGGCTTGGGTGACGTTTGATCACCGACCTAACCTAAACCAAAGTGACAAAAAAGAATTTTACTTCAGCTGAAAAAAACTCAAGCAGAGACAAAGGACGCAAGCTTTGAAAACATGGGATTGAAGATAAGCAAGCTTTGAGACAGGAACACATACCTCTTCTGCTAATCTTTCTCCCATAACATCAACACCATCAAATGTCTGTGTAGAATGGTTGCTTTTACTGCCTGCAATGGTTTTAAATTATCACAAACTCGACCATTCTCTGCAAATTCTACGATCCATCGTGGCAACAAGATCTAGAATCGGAGCGTCATGATCGAAATCAGTAAAGTGAGATCAAACGATCTGAGAGAAACAAGAACTGAAACTCCAAAATCTAAAGTTTATTTCGGTACAAGATCATTATATCAATCTGTTTCACGTGAGACTTCCATGAAAATCTGAAAAATCATAACTTACAGTGAACGACGAGATCCTGAGGATACTTCTTCAGCATCTGCTTAGCAGCGAATCTCCAGTTCTGAGCACTGTAACCACAAAAACAAAAACCCACAATTGTTTCTAAGAATCAGCTTGGAATCGAACATAATCAAAGCACAGCACAAACGAAGCATAGAACCCTAAGCACCTGCCGATGAGACCGTTGACCATGACGACTAAGTGAGTTGGCTCGGCTCGTTCGCCAGGGAAATTCACAGTCAAATCGACGTTTCCACTCTCGTCCGATTCAGCTCTCAGACAACCCATCCAATACTTCTTCTTTTTCTTCTTCTTCGTCTCTGTATCAACACTCTTCCTAGTCCTCGTACTATCGATTCCTTCGAGATCACTTTCACCATGCACATCTTCTTTTATTTTCTTCGGAATCTTACTATCTTCAACCTCCATGATCAGGAAACGAAGAGGGAAAAGTTGCAAGAAAAAATGGAAACTTTATGCGGCTCTTAATTCAAGGACGCCACTTTGGGAAAATTCGAGGTCAAAGACTCAGAGAGAGAGAGAGAAAGGTTTCAGTCGTTGGGACGGTCCCCCCAGCACTGTTGTCGTCGTTGAAACGCCATTGACATTTTCTTTCTTAGCACATTAACTCATCTGAGATTTGCCACTGTTACTTTTTCCAGAACACATGTAATAATTAAATGGAAATGAGACAAAAAAAAGACAAGATATTTAAACACAATATAGAGATGAAAAATGATACTATTGAGTTTAAGACAAGCCCGGCCCAACTAAGTTTAATGAGTTGATTAGATTCTCTGTTGTTTCGTTTAGATGAGTCAACCCACAATTTTGACTTTTTTTTGTTTGTTTATTTCATCAGCAACCCAAACCGTCGGAAACAAGACAGGAATTTTGATTGAAACAGAGAACAAAATCAACTCGAAATGGGAAGCAAAGACAAAAGTCCGATGAGATTTCTTACCATTCTACTCCGAAATCTAGCTGATTGATGTCTGTTGGACTTCACCTTCAACTGATCACCTTCCTCTTTCTCCTAGCTCTTCCCTTCTCTTCGTTGTCACTCAAAGGTGAGATTTTTATATTGACTTTTTGTTTTTCGGTTGACCCATTTCATCATCAAGCTTCATTTCCCGGGTCTTCGATTTGATTTGATGGTATACGAATTTAGATTAATTTCCCATTTGCTTGTTTTCAGTACAGTCTACGCTCATGGCGGATTCTAACATCGTTATGAACGGTGACTTCTCTGATGGGATGGAGCCTTGGTACCCCAACGGATGCGAAGCCTTTGTTGTTTCCTCTGACCCATTTAGCTCAGATTCAATCCCTGAATCCTCGAGCTGTGGCTATGCCGTTGTAACTAACAGGAAAGAAACTTGGCAAGGCCTTGAACAAGACATCACAACTCAGGTTTCTCCTTGTATTACCTATGCTGTATCAGCTTGTGTTGGTGTGTCTGGTCCTTTCCATGAATCAGCCGAGGTTCTTGCCACTGTGAGGCTCGAGCACGAAGATTCGCCTACCGAGTATTTGTTCATCGGAAAGTACGGTTTGATAGCTATTATCTTTGGAATTTGACTGAAGTATTGTACATACGGTTTTGCTGATGGATTGGAATTTGCCTGCAGAACCTATGCCTCAAGAGACAAGTGGGTTGATCTAAAAGGAACGTTTTCGATACCAAATATGCCTGACCGTGTTGTTCTCTATTTAGAAGGTCCAGCTCCAGGGAAAGATCTCCTTATACGCTCAGTTACCGTTAGATCTTCCGCTACTCGTGACTTCCAGGTAAAGGTCATCTCTTTCTGTACCAGCCAAAAACCATTATGATCTATTACTTAACAATTCGTTTCGTTTTGCGTTCATTAAAGCATTGTATAGCTCACTCGGATTATCTGATTCTAAACTGTACAATCCACAGGAAACCACGAGCTTAGCAATTCTTGTTTTAACATTTCAAGGCTTACTATTTCACTGCAGGAAGCCGAAGAAAACACAGCAGCTTCCAGTGGTTTTCCTCCTGCTTTGAATATCATTAAGAACCATGACTTCTCTGACGGGTTGTATTCTTGGAATTCCAACAGTTGTGATTCATTTGTTGTTAGTAGCAATGACTGTGATTTGGAATCATATGCGGTTGTTAATAACCGGAATGAAACCTGGCAAGGACTAGAGCAAGATATCACAGACAGAGTTTCCCCTGGTTATTCATATAAAGTCTCTGCTAGTGTTAGCGTATCGGGACCAGTTCAAAAGTCGGCGCAGGTCTTGGCTACTTTGAAGTTAGAGCACCAAAGCTCAGCAACCGAATTTCAACTAATCGGAAAGTAATGGAATCACATGACTTCTCTGTCGATATGTAGTCAAGAAGACCCAGAAATGTTAACATTGTTGATGTTTTTATATGCAGAACTTATGCTTCGAAAGATATTTGGAAAACTCTGGAAGGCACTTTCGTATTGTCAGGAAGGTCTGACCGTGTTGTATTCTTCTTGGAAGGGCCACCTCCTGGGATTGACCTTCTTATAAAGTCCGTAACCATCCATTGCGAAAGCGATAATCAGACTGAGGTAACTGACATATTGCGGACTGTTTACATAGAGATTTTTTTTACTAATAACTATAATTTGTATCTTGACTTTTTCTTTTCCTAGTTGAGATCTTAAGAAGCCGTGTTCAGTAACTTAATGTGTTTCTTCACTTGCCTTATACAGAGAAGCCGAGAATTCTGCTCAGCTCCTGAAGCTGACCATCACATCTTCCTAAATACAAGCTTTTCCGATGGCCTCAATCATTGGTCTGGAAGAGGATGCAATCTAATGTTACATGAGTCTCTAGCTGATGGGAAGATACTACCACATTCTGGAACATGTTTTGCCTCTGCAACAGAGCGAACACATAAGTGGAGCGGAATTGAGCAGGATATAACAGAAAGAGTCCAGCGAAAACTTATCTATGAAGCATCTTCCGTTGTTCGGCTATCGCATAGCCATCACACCGTGCAGGCCAGTTTGTATGTTCAGTACCTTGACCAACGTGAAGAGTACATAGGCATTTCCAGGTGAGTTGCAACTATTTCTTTTGATGTTTTTTTTTTCTTTTACAAGTATCATCTGTTGAAGAAAGTTTGTTCCTTTTTCAAGTGTTGAGGCGAACCACGAGGATTGGGTGAAGTTGGAAGGGAAGTTCCTCTTAAATGGATCTCCAGCAAGAGCAGTTGTTTACATCGAAGGTCCCCCACCAGGGATAGATGTTTTGGTCGACCATTTCGATGTAAAGCCTGCAGAAAAATCCCCTCCTTCAAAACGACCAAATATTGAGGTTAGACATACAAAATTTATTGCTCTTTAGCATGGACTTCTTTGTATGTCTAAATTGTTTCCATTTTTGTACAGAGTCATGCTTTTGGAATGAACATAGTTTCTAATAGCCACCTAAGCGATGGAACAATCGAAGGTTGGTTCCCTCTTGGAAACTGCCATTTAAGAGTCGGAGAAGGCTCTCCTAGGATACTACCTCCGCTGGCGAGAGACTCACTCAGAACAACACATGGGTATCTATCCGGACGATACGTGCTTGCGACAAACCGAAGTGGAACATGGATGGGTCCTGCTCAGATGATAACTGATAAAGTGAAGCTCTTTTTAACATATCAGGTCTCAGCTTGGGTTAAAATTGGCTCAGGAGGACCAACATGTCCACAGGACGTGAATATCGCACTCAGTGTTGATGGTACATGGGTCAATGGAGGAAAAGTCGAGGTCGATGATGGTGATTGGCATGAAGTTACGGGTTCGTTTAGGATTGAGAAGCAAGCGAAAGAAGTTATGCTTCATGTCCAGGGCCCATCTCCTGGTGTTGATCTTATGGTTGCAGGTCTCCAGATCTTCGCTGTTGATCATAAGGCACGGTTGAGTTATCTCAGAGGTCAAGCTGATGTGGTAACTTGAGAAACTTTTTACTCTGTTTACAGTTTCAAAAGTTCACTTTGCACCAATGCTCTCTCTCTCTCTCTGTTATGCAGGTTCGTAAACGCAATGTTCGTCTCAAATTCTCAGGTCTAGATCCTAGCGAATTGTCTGGTGCAACGGTGAAGATCAAACAGACGCAAAATAGTTTCCCGCTCGGGTCATGCATTAGCCGGAGCAATATCGATAACGAAGACTTTGTCGATTTCTTTCTCAACAATTTCAAGTGGGCAGTGTTTGGTAACGAGCTGAAATGGTATTGGACAGAGCCAGAGCAAGGAAGCTTCAACTACCGGGACGCAGACGAGATGCTCGGATTCTGCGAGAGGTACAACATAGAAACCAGAGGTCATTGCATATTCTGGGAGGTCGAGTCAGCTATTCAACCATGGGTCCAACAGCTGAGCGGTTCTGAGCTAGAAGAAGCGGTTGAGAACCGCGTAACGGATCTTCTTACACGTTACAACGGCAAATTCAGACACTACGATGTGAACAACGAAATGCTCCACGGATCATTCTATCGAGACCGCTTAGGCTTTGATGCAAGAGCAAAAATGTTCAAGACAGCACACGAGCTGGACCCGTTAGCGACTCTGTTCCTTAATGAATACCACATAGAAGACGGGTTTGATTCAAGGTCATCGCCAGAGAAGTACATAAAACTCGTTCACAAGTTGCAAAAAAGAGGTGCCCCCGTTGGAGGAATTGGGATCCAAGGACATATAACCAGTCCCGTTGGTCACATCGTTCGTTCAGCTTTAGACAAGCTAAGCACACTAGGGTTACCGATCTGGTTCACTGAACTTGATGTGTCCTCGATTAACGAACATATAAGAGGAGATGATCTTGAGGTGATGCTATGGGAAGCGTTTGCTCATCCAGCAGTTGAAGGAGTGATGCTTTGGGGGTTCTGGGAGCTGTTTATGAGCAGAGAGCATTCGCATTTGGTGAATGCGGATGGAGAGGTTAACGAGGCTGGGAAGAGGTTTCTTGAGATCAAACGCGAATGGTTGACTTTTGTGGATGGAGTGATTAAGGATGAAGAAGGAGGACTGGAGTTTAGAGGTTATCATGGGAGTTACACAGTGGAAGTTGTTACTTCGGAGGGTAAGTATGTGAAGAACTTTGTTGTTGACAAAGGAAATTCTCCGATTGACATAATCATAGATCTTTGAAATTTGTTTATAATACTTGATATAAGTAAAGATGTTTACATACATTGGGAACATACGAGCCATTGTCTTGGTTTTTCATGTGCAGATGGCTTTACTGAAATTTATTTTTCTTAGCTCTCGTTACTTGCAACAGAAGAACTTAAAAAAATTCCTAAACCTTAACTCCAAAGCCCTTTTACAGGAAACACATTCTATATTGGCGTGGATAAAGAGTTAAGCTTGTATATTCTCAATCATTATGTAAAGAATGTAGTCACTAAAACAAGTGTAATTAGAGTTAACAAGACCAAAACCTATTGGCGAAGAATGATTATCGAATGATGTCTACGGAAGCGTACAAAACCTACTCAGATTACTTTGTTTGAAATTTAGGGATCGAATCCTGTCATCCTGTGTGGAAATATCTGCGATATCTATTGTTCGTAACATGATCATCTCTGCTACTCTGCGTATGTTCATGAGTATGTTCAGGGCCAGCCCAAATTGATTTGACACCTAAAACTTAAAATCGATTTTTCAAGCTCAAATTATTTTTTTAAACTTTAGATCGATTTTTTTTAACGTTAGAATCGATTTTCTGAAGCCCATAATCGATTTTTTAAAGCCAAAACGATTTTTGAAAACCAAAATCGATTTTTTAAAGCCCAAAATCGATTTTTATAAGCCAAAACCGATTTTTTAAAGCCCAAAATCAATTATTATAAGTTAGAATCGATTTTTTAAAAAAATATTTGATGGGATAATGATTCTTATTTATAGGCAATTTTTTCTTCCCATTTTTTCTATTTGGTTGTGGGACAACCTTCTTTACACACATTTATAAAAAAAAATTTGGGCTTTTTTGAATGCTTCAAAAACAATATCTTTTGGCTGCTCTGAAGTCTGCTTCACGGGCTTTAGTTCTGGGTCGGTCGCCCTGAATATGTTATATGTTTGGCTATTCGGCTTTGAGTAAATCTTTCGCAAATTTTGCGAGGCTGGAGAAGATTTGTATTTTTTCCATCACTTCTTTAATTCTTGCATACATTCCCCAACTTTGTCAATGATAATTGACACCTCTGAATTGCCTAAATCAAACTAGAACATAATTCGGCAAACTGACAATCTTACCAAATTATGAACCAATATTTGTAACGAATTAACGATTGGATTCTATGTGGATTTTGTGAAGTGTATAAATTTTTCTTTTTTTTCACAACCAAGCAAGACTCTTGGTACATTAGAAAAAAATAAGTTTTGTAAAGACTATAATTAAAAGATTAATTTGTAATGTTTTACATTTACCATGAAAAAATAACACTCTCACTCTTACCGAAATAACTGAAACATTATTACAAAATCAGCTAGTCTTAAAAGATGGATAACTGATTTCGATGGTTTACACAAGTTGACAAGTTTTTATATAATCAAAATCTTCATATTCAAATCTAGCTCACATCATTTTCAGACATCTCACCAAACTTTGCAAGTTTAGATTTTAGTATGCTAATTAGGTCCGTCATATACTAATATTTCGTATTAAGTGAATAACTTGTGTTGTGGATATTATCAAATAAAAAAAAAAATCGAACGGTAGTTTCATCATCAATCACTAGATTATATAATTGAAATTTGTTTTTATATGGATAGTATACCAAAAGATCGGTATAATATCCAACTATCCAAGGCTAGAACTCTAAATATCCAGCTTTAATTTTCAGAGAAATCTCTCTAAGTCATCACTGCAGGCAGGATCGAAAAAATATCATCCGTTAGTTGAGTCAATGTTACTAATAAGAGCAATCACGAATGATCCACACCACCTACAATCTCATACTTGTCCAACTTCCCTTGCATCTACCATCCTTAATATAGTTGACAAATGTAGATATTCAAATTGGGATTCTCACAACCACCCATTAATATATACATATACTTTCCACAATCAACATTGTATCGAAATTGATGAGACAAGAATACAAATGGGATGGCCTTAAAAGCATTTAGTATAAGAAAAGGGCTCATTTAATAGTAAACTAAGGAAATAAAGTTGGTATGCATTTAGTTCCCCATTGATATTTTATGTGACATGATGGAGCCAATACATAACTGTACCTTTCTTACTACCAGGACAACAAATTGATCAATGCCATCTAAAACAAAGCACGAGTTCACAAGAATTTTTTCTTTTCTTTTTTTGCTCATCTTCTTTTACTTTTTTTTCCTTCGCTCTAAGCTCACTTTCATATGGATTAACAACCTATACAGTACAAATTGTTTCGCATATATATATATATAATATATACTTATTTTATAAATTATAATCAGAAAAAAGAAAATTAGATGAATCAAAGGTTTATATTCACCTCATCGCAAAGAAAGAGTTCAGCTAAATAATTGCTTATCAAACAGCGAGTAATTAAAATATTGTTAGTCTTCGTGAAATTTAGTATCCTTGTCAACCTCACAATCTCACATAGATCAGTATACTATATTTATATATGTAAATAATACTTTTTGTGTTAACTATTTTCTCAAATACTCAAACTGTTTCGTTCTAGTACTATTCTTTAATTTCTTTCGCAAGGTTTACCATTTTTTTCTTCATAGAGTACTGATATCTTTTCAACGTATTTATTTTGAGGTAAAGGCAAACAAAAGTTTTGGTTCACAAGGGTAGTAATATAAATACCGAAAAATGTAAAACGTAAAAACATAACTGTTCATCTCATCTCTCCTCCCTCTCTCTCTCTCTCTATATATATATATATATATATATCGTTCTTCTCTCTTTCATATCGCCCTCTCCCTCTTTGTAGTTATCGAATATTATCTTTAAGAGTTTGAACGAGCTCATTATTCATTTTCTCTAACCTCTCAAAAAGAGAATCATAAGTAACAAGATCTCATCCAAGAGATTCAGTTTGGTGCACACACAAAGCTCGTATATATCGTACAACATTCTTCATGGCTCTTCGCTGCTTATTTCAATCTTCAACACCTTCTTCTTATCTCTCTAAGGTTTGTACTTTCTTCCTATATAATATTCTACTCTTCTTTTTGCTTGTTTCTATACAGTAAGGAAACAACAACAATTTACCTTATTTTTTATAAAATATTTGGGTTGGTTTGAAGCTCACTTGGCGTGTATTTGTTCATGAATAATACAGATCTGTGGATTTCGTATGCATGGGACCAAGGCAGCAGCTTCTGTTGTAGAAGAACATGTCTCGGAGATGGTGGGGACAGAACGGTAATATTACTTTCAATGTCGAATACAACATTTGTCCTTTGATTTTCATTCCCACCACATAAATTTACAAGAAAAACAAAATGGGGGAAAAAAGAAGAAAAGAAAGTAAAAAAAAAAACAAAGAGCAGATGCTGAAAGTGTACTTCTAGTATAATAATTTTGTGTGACTTCAATCTACCCGGTCAATGGTCCATCAGTATCATGGGTTCCCATTCTCTTTCAATATTGAGGTTCAAAATATGTTGTAATAAATAGGTAATCAAATTTTTGTGTTAGTAGTTTATTTCAGTAAATACACATCGCAGTATACTAGGCCTTCTAATTCTTTAAGAGGTTTATCTAAAAGAAAAAAATAGTTGCAATAAATTTTTGTGTTGAATATAAAAGAAATCTTTATATTATTGAAATTCAAAAGTCGAAATGCTAATGCAAATAAACGGAGAATATACTATTTGCATTATTTAACCACAAAAGTCACCGTTTCTTGTGTTGCAGTGAGTATGAGGAGTATGCTGATGTGGATTGGGACAACCTAGGATTCGGTCTTGTACGGACAGATTACATGTTCGCCACCAAAAGTTACAGAGAAGGAAACTTCCAAGAGGGTTGCCTTAGCCGTTACGGCAACATCGAACTCAACCCTGCAGCCGGAATTCTCAACTATGGCCAGGCAAAGCTTCAAAATCTCGTCCAAATTCACACATATTTCTCATATGCTAAAAGATTTTTTTGTGGAAGATTTTGCAGGGACTAATCGAGGGTATGAAAGCGTACAGAGGAGAAGACGGTAGGATTCTTCTGTTTCGTCCAGAGCTAAATGCGATGCGTATGAAGGAAGGAGCCGAGAGAATGTGTATGCATTCTCCTTCTGTTCAACAGTTTATGGAAGGTGTTAAGCAGACCGTTCTTGCAAACAGACGTTGGGTAAACACATTTCGATATCTTTTTAATTAGCTCCTCGAAGTGATCTTTTGTTTTTAGTTTTGTCTTAAAAGCTCTTTCCCATTAGGTTCCTCCTCCGGGCAAAGGCTCGCTGTATCTTAGACCGTTGTTGTTTGGAAGTGGACCAAGCTTAGGTGTGTCCGCAGCACTTGAGTACACCTTTCTTGTGTTTGGTTCTCCTGTTCAAAACTATTTTAAGGTCTAGCAGTGCCTATTCTTCTCCCTTCTTTTTAACCATGGAGATCGATCTCAATCTTGATCTTTGGCCTTGGATGTGGTTTCTTGTACAGGAAGGTACAGGGGCATTGAACCTCTACGTTGAGGAGGTGATTCCACGTGCCTATCGTGGAGGAACTGGTGCCGTAAAGGCAATTTCCAATTACGGTCCAGTAAGTTAAAAACACTCCTCATTTCGAATATGGTTTCAAGTGCTACTAAGGTGGTTTGTTCAAATTTGGGTGTTTTTTCCTTTTTCGTTTTCAAACTTGAGTGTTATTTTGGTAATGAACTGTGAAAGGTGCTTGAAGCGATGAGAAGAGCGAAAGCGAGAGGGTTTTCGGATGTTTTGTATCTTGATGCAGAAACTAAGAAGAACATAGAAGAAGTTTCTGCTTCTAATATATTTCTTGTGAAGGTAAAAAGGATATTCTTTTTTTTTTTAATAAAAAAGTTGAATGCTTCATTTTTTTTCTTTTTCTAGTGTAAAAATTGAAGTTTTCTTGAGTCTTTGCAGGGGAATACAATAGTGACTCCAGCTACAAACGGAACAATTCTTGGAGGGATCACACGAAAGAGCGTTATCGAAATCGCCCTTGATCTTGGTTACAAGGTTTGTTTCACTGCACATCCTCGTTCCTACAACTCTGTTTCCATTCTGGAAGCAAAACAGAGCATACACACACACTCAGTTTCTGGATAGCTTTATAACATAACAAATCAGACGAATACAGTTTAAATAAAACTAAATCACAGAAAACTTCACTTGATATCTAAGAAACAGAGTGTCTTCTGCTCTGTTTCTGCATTTTCCGACTCTGTAGCAATTCTTCTGCATATATACGAGTTTTAAAAAGTGTGTAACGGACAGGTGGAAGAAAGAAACGTTCCGGTAGAAGAACTGAAGGAAGCAGAAGAGGTTTTCTGCACTGGAACTGCCACTGGAGTTGCTTCTGTTGGAAGCATCACATTTCACAACTCAAGGTCTCTTCTTCTTCATCATCTTCTTCTTCTTATTCACATTCAAACATACATATGTATCTGACTAGAATTATAAATATCTTTTGATAAATTTTTCAGGATTGAGTACAACGTGGGAGATGGGATTGTTACGCAGCAACTTCGATCGATGCTTGTCGGAATACAAACTGGTTCTATCCAAGACACTAAGGATTGGGTTTTGCAGATTTGACTAATTTGAGAGAAAAACAATTTGGTTATGTTTGATGTATCAAAAGATTTAGAACATTATAAGTTATACCTATTACGACTTTCACAATTTATGTTAACATAGTTTGAATCCATTCATTTCTATACAGTAGTAGTATCGGATTAATGATGATCCTTGATCGTCATATCAAGCATATTAACAAAAAAAAAAAAAAAAACAAAATCGACTAAGCATGGCCCAAAAGTATGTAACTGAAATATTAAAATAGGCCCATAAGGCCCAAAATTACGTTATCGAAGAAGGTTTAGAAAACCCTATTCATGGCTTCAGTCAAAACGCCGCTACTAGTGTGTTCTCTTCATTCTCGAGAGCATATTAAAGAAGCGATTTTCGAGGGAACTAAACTTTATCGACAATGGCAGAACGTGGTGGTGAACGCGGCGGCGAACGCGGTGGCTTCGATCGTGGATTCGGTGGTCGCGGTGGCGGAAGAGGCGGTCCAAGAGGAGGCCGTGGACGACGTGGAGGACGGGCCAAGGAAGAGGAGAAATGGATTCCAGTGACCAAGCTTGGTCGTCTCGTGCAGTGCGGTAAAATCAAGCAGCTAGAACAAATCTACCTCCATTCTCTTCCTGTTAAGGAGTACCAGATCATCGATCTCCTCGTGGGACCATCGTTGAAGGACGAAGTGATGAAGATAATGCCTGTTCAGAAACAAACGAGAGCCGGTCAGAGAACAAGGTTCAAGGCCTTTGTTGTCGTTGGAGATGGTAATGGTCATGTTGGATTGGGAGTGAAATGCTCCAAGGAAGTGGCTACAGCTATTAGAGGAGGGATCATTCTCGCTAAGCTGTCTGTGATTCCAGTGAGAAGAGGGTATTGGGGTAATAAGATCGGGAAGCCACACACGGTGCCGTGCAAGGTGACTGGGAAATGTGGATCCGTCACTGTGAGGATGGTTCCAGCTCCGAGAGGTGCTGGTATTGTGGCGGCTAGGGTTCCGAAGAAGGTTTTACAGTTCGCTGGAATTGATGACGTCTTTACCTCCTCAAGGGGATCCACCAAAACCCTAGGGAACTTTGTCAAGGTCTCACCTTTATCCCTTTTTAGGAGAAATCAAATTAGCTTAATGAATTGAGAATCGTTCTAGGACTTCCTTTTAGTATGGCACTCAATCATTAGTTAACTTGCTTGCAAATGTTCCTCTTTGCTAAGCATGTGTTGTGATTAGAGTTTACTCTGCAACATTGTTAATGTCTGTTGTAGTTTACAAAGTGTCTAGCTTTGCGAGTTTTAAGCTTTAGTGATCCGTGAGCATAAATTGTGAAAATTCTTCCATGTCTAGCTCTCACTCTCAGGTTTTTCGTTTTGTTGACCCTGTTCTATGACTTTGAGATGTAGGCTCGAATTATCTAATTGCATTTTGAACACGTATATCGAACTGAGTGTTTTGCAAGATGGGCAGAGATGTTGATTGTCTTCAACTTATTTCACTTAACTAGAACCAGAATTTCTTGCCAGTTCTGATTAATATTTGTTGATGCACGCAGGCTACTTTCGATTGCCTTCAGAAGACATACGGGTTCCTGACACCTGAATTCTGGAAAGAGACTAGATTTGCTAAATCACCGTTCCAAGAATACACTGATCTCTTGGCAGCAAAGCCTGAGCCGAGCAACAAGGTTATCACCGAGGTTGAAGACCAAGTTTAGACTAACAATAATAACTCTCTTCTTGTTTCTCCTTCACGAATTAAGATCTTTTTTTTGTTGTTGTTGTTCGAAACCATGATTTTACTAGTAGTATAAGTTGCCGGTTTTCTTTGGAAATTTTCCGGTGAATCTTTCTTAATCGTTTTTTTACTTTTTTTTTTGGAGACGCCTAATCCCTTTGAATCATACCACTCAACGTCCTCACTTTTTGTTTGGTCGAATTACGGTTGCATATTCGCTTTTAGAAAATCAATATTGTGTTTGAACAAAAAAAGAATAAAATCAACATTGTAGAATCTTTTTTTTCTTGGCTAATTAGATTCGAGCATAAAAGTAGCTAAGATTCTATGGTTAGATACGACAAATCTTAGTGGAAATTTATCAAAGAAATGAGGTTCGTAGATAGTACTAGTATTGAACTAGGTTTGGTTGTTAAATATTGAATTGGAAAATAAATTATTATTATAAGGAAACGAATAGACTTTTGATTCGACGATATGGAAAGAGACATGTTAATAGTCAGCATCGGAGAAAAACAGTTGTTATCAGATAAATGATGCTCAAACTCTGACGTCGCTGTCAATCCCCACTACCTCTCGTATTTAATATTTATCTCCCAATTCCATAATTTGAAAGAAAAAAAGAGAGTGAATGTGATTGTAAATTCAAAGCTTAAGATCTTTACATATACAATATTCTGCAAGAAGAGTATTGAACAAAGTAGTAAATAGTAATAGACGAAGAAGACGTTGAAAAGACGATATGGAGAAGGACATGGAAAGAAAGTTGTTATCCGACAAAAACCTCTGCATCTGACGTGGTTATCACTTGTCGAGTTTATCCCCTCAATCTCTGGAGCCATCCTTAAAAGGAAATTTATCTTGAAAATAACCCATCTTACTGTATGGCACAAAGAAAAGGGGCTTGATAATCCCCAGACAACGCAGTTGATGAGAATTTTGACTATTTTTTATTTTCTTTTACTGAAATTTGCCATCCATAAACTATAATGTGTATACACTAAACAACAAGATTAATATCATTGGTAAATGGCCAAACCAATAAATTTTCACTTAAATAAATAACAGTTGCTATGTTCTTTTTGTCTAACTACAAAATTTGGGGTCTAAGGGTCATACTTTTTTTTTTTACTATCTCCTTAAATAGCACCTTTTTTCATGGAGAACCAGTTAATAAAAAAAAAACAGATTGAAACGACATTCATCGTTAACTTGTATCATAAGTTATTTAGGGTCTTGGCTAATGTTTGAAGATACACCACATATTTATGTAATTCTGTGCAGAAGGAAAATAGTGCTGGAGTCCCAAAACAAAAAAAAAGAAAAAAAAAAAAGAAAGAAAGAAAAAGTAGTGCTTACTATAAAATAATCCCCTAAAATAATTTACGATTCAAAAATAGGAATTTTCGTTTGAAGATATTATACACCACAAAAAAAATTTCTATCACTTTCGTTACTTACCCCCATTAAAACGAAACAAGAACAAAGCTCCGTTGATTTCGTTAAATTCTAGTCCCAGAAAGACACGTCTAGATCTGATCAGATAGATAGACACAAGTGACGAAGCAAAGGAAAATTATAATAATAACACAAGAAAACAAGATAAGAACTCTTAGCAATTTCCCCACTTTGAAAAAAAAAGAAAGAAAGAAAGAAAATAAAAATGGAAACAAAACCAAACACAACGATTTGCCAAGATAAAAGCAGCCACTTCACATAAGCTTCGCAATCACTTACGTGTTGGATGGATACTTAATTTGACACTGTACTTTGTGTTTTTCTTCACCTTTTCTCTTCTGTGTACATCATTATTCACTCAAGAAATTTCTCTCTTTGTATTATATCAATAAGATCATATCTCACAATCAAAAACAAAAGGCTCTGCAGTTGTGAAGAAGATGATCAAAGCAATCTCATCTCTGCGCAAAAGTCTGGTTCTACCTCTTCACTCGCATATTCGTACGGTATAAACTGGAAATATTGTTCTTACAATCTAATGATTCTATCTAGACAAAACTCAAATCTCAGATGCAAAACATTTGTGAGAATGAGAATGTTTTTATTTTTTTCTTTTCTCTAATGAACAGCTACAAACTTTCTCTAAGCACAACGCACAAGCTGCATCAGCCTTGCGGGAAGAGCGTAAGAAACCTGTTTATCGGTAATTTCGGTTCCAAGTCATATTAAAAATAACATCTTTTACATTTAGAAAGCTCTGTTTTCACAATTGTTGTTTCGTATTATATATAGAGATGATGAGTATGCGGATATAGATTGGGATAATCTCGGGTTTGGTCTAACACCAGCTGATTACATGTACGTCATGAAATGCTCAAAAGACTGCGAATTCACTGAAGGAGAACTTAGTCCCTATGGGAATATTCAGCTAAGTCCTTCTGCTGGAGTTTTAAACTATGGACAGGCAAGCTTCTTGTAAACCCTCAAGTTAATTTTTTACTGAAAAAAAAAATGTTTCTTGATTTGTCTCTGAATTATCTTGATCAATGGAGGTTTTGGGGATATTCACAGGCGATATATGAAGGTACAAAAGCATACAGGAAAGAAAATGGAGAGCTTCTTCTTTTTCGTCCGGAACACAACGCTATCCGAATGAAACTTGGCGCTGAAAGAATGCTCATGCCTTCTCCTTCGGTTGATCAGTTTGTTCATGCAGTTAAACAAATCGCTTTTGCAAACAAACGTTGGGTAAAAAACTGCTTTCATGTAACAAATATTATAATCTTCTGAATAAGGTTTCTTTTGGGATATGATCCATGGTGTGTTTTTGTTCAGGTTCCTCCTTCAGGGAAAGGATCTTTATACATAAGGCCTCTTTTGATGGGAAGTGGTCCAATTCTTGGGTTAGCACCTGCACCTGAATATACATTTATTGTCTATGCATCTCCAGTTGGTAACTACTTCAAGGTTAATATATGTACAATCCTCTGTTTCTCTTCTTGTTTTGAGATTTTTTCCTCAGTGGCAATTGAACGATCGGCAAAAAATCTTTCTCTACTGGTTTATAGGAAGGTATCGCTGCTCTTAACCTCCATGTCGAGGAAGAGTACGTCCGGGCAGCTCCTGGTGGAGCTGGAGGCGTCAAAAGCATCACAAATTATGCCCCAGTAAGTGTTGAACCCACCTGGTTTCAAAGATGAGAGGCAATTAAAAGAGTTTTGTTTAATAAATTCATGTGTGTATACAGGTTTTGAAAGCACTGAGCAGAGCCAAGAGTAAGGGGTTTTCAGACGTTCTCTATCTCGACTCTGTCAAGAAGAAGTATCTTGAGGAGGCTTCTTCTTGCAACGTCTTTGTTGTAAAGGTACATATATATATGTTTTGTGGTGTTTCCAGTAAGGACTGTAAATTCTCTTTGCTGTATATTGATATAACTACTTCAGGGTCGGACAATCTCAACTCCTGCAACTAATGGAACAATTCTCGAGGGGATTACTCGGAAAAGTGTGATGGAGATCGCGAGTGATCAAGGTTATCAGGTAATGACAAATCAAAACTAACTGTTTACCTACAAAAAAAAAAACAACAAATATACTCAGATAAGTTTCACACCTGAGCTATGATTAGGTAGAAGAGAAGGCAGTTCATGTGGATGAAGTAATGGATGCAGATGAAGTTTTCTGCACTGGAACTGCTGTAGGAGTTGCTCCTGTGGGCACTATAACATATCAGGACAAAAGGTAAAAAGAAAAAAAACTCACAATGCCCTGGATCAAGTTTTACTAACAACCTTAAGCAAAGATTTGGGCTCTGATGTAATATTTATGGAAACATTCAGAGCAGAGTATAAAACAGGGGATGAATCTGTCTGCCAGAGACTACGTTCGGTACTCGTCGGTATCCAGACAGGATTAATTAAAGATACCAAGGGATGGGTCACATGTGTCAACTGAGAAATCAACCTTTTGCCACGACAGAGATAACTCTGCATTTTAAGATGTGCATACACAACACAACAATGAAGAACACTTGTGTAAAAATCTATATATAAGACAGAAACAGAAAGCTCTTTTGCTCCTTTCTCACAAAACTATGGAAAAAAACAACAAATTCCCTACTTTGTACACAATAACCGAGCATCGTATCATTTCCGCCTGCAGACACTATAAAATTCACATTTCAAATTAGCAGGTAGAACTGTATATGTTTCCACTTTAAAAATTGTAACTCTAATTACAAACACTCTTTCTTCCGGAGTCTCACAAATCCTATTTCACCACATGCTCTTTTGGAGCTGGAATGAAATGGCTTCTTCAAGTATCTATGTTCGTTTGTATATTTCAGCAAATCCCGGGGAATAACGATTTGGTGAAGCACTGGGACAGGATTTCACCTGAAGTTCTTGACTAGATTTACTTCTCCGAAACGACCATATTGCTTCTGCTTTGAGATTCTCTTTCTCTGGTTTCAGTTGTTCAGAAACTGGTAACTCCTGATCTGAGCAAGGGGGGCTGCATCCATCTTTGCTCGACTCCTGAGAACACGATGGTATCTGAGAGTATGCAGCTTTCAAGTTGCTATGTAACTCTTCCATCTTTCCTGTGATCTCATCTTCTCTGTCCATAGCGATAAGAACCTGAAAAATAAACTCACCCGTCAAGATCCCAAGAAGATGCAAATTTAAGGTTATGAACAAAAATGAGTGATTTTATACACCTCGGCTGGATATTTCTGAAATATGGGAGCAAACCTCTGCCGGCAATACTCACTAAATAGAAGAGTGAGAAGAATTAATGGAATGGTGAAACCTGAAGCAACCGTTGACAGCTTTAAACCGAAAAATCCCAGAGCTATAACTTGCGACAAGATCAGTGAAAAGATTGTCGTATTGTGAAAAACAGGCCAATATTGTCCACCACTTTCATATTTTGTAATATAGACGTTGATTATCTGCAAAAAAAAAAAAACTTCGTCAGGTTAAAAGTCTGTCCTAATAACACAAACACATTGATCACATTTACAGGAGCCAAGTACTAAAAAGAAATTGACATCTCAAAGGCGAAGAACGTAAAAAAAAGCAGCTTATGCAGATCTCAGAGTAACGAAAAGTTAAAGCTTCAGAAAGACAACGAGGACAGCTGATAACACAGGAGGAACGTACCTGATTTTTGTATATAAGATATGCGAGAAAAAAGTAGATCAGCAGGAACGGCAGTATTAGAGGCGCTATGACTGAATTGGTGAAACCGAGGAGCCCGAACAAAAGTAGTCGTGGAATTTCCCTATGGTAAGGAAACCTAAGTGTTTCATATGAGTCCTCCTTGTTCTTAACAATAAATCTTGCAATCAGATTCCATATAAGACCCACAGGTTGCATGATTTCACATGCCAAACCAGCCCAACCAGACGTGAAACAGTAGGTCATGAAGAAGCCAGCCTGCACACAGTCAATGATTGGCCATGTTCAGAATCGAAAATGCTATATGAAGAGCCGTGTGCATTGTAAATATGGAAAATAACAAAGCAACAAGAAAATCTCAATTCCAGTATGAGAATAATACAGTGTGTGCAATCTCAATAGCCAATATTGAGATACATCGTTTACAATCGGATGGGGAGTAACAAAAATCTTAAATAAACTGTGAATGGGAACAAAAGTCAAGGTAAAAGATGCAGAGAGAGAGAGAGAGAGAGAGAGAGAGAGAGAGAGAGAGAGCTCACTGCTAATGCACAAATGAAACCAGGGAATGTACACGTGACGGTAGAAACTTCTAACATATAGAAAGGAAAAAAAAATTGAATACACCCATAAGTGTAAAACGAAGTGAAAGTTACCTGTGTTGGAACTGCTGTGGCAAGTTGTGCAGGTAACTCCTTCACACTAGAGAAGACGCTTAACTGCCTGATAACAGAGCCGGAAAGGATATTGACGAAGAACACATTCCAGATGGTGAAGTATAAAATTTTGATACATGCACTTTTCTTTCTAATACTCCGAGAAATACATCCCTCCAAGGTTGAAAAGTACATCATCAATGGTGGAACGGCATAAAAGAATAGAACTAATATCACACTTGGTAAGTACCCTGTGATGACCTGGTTCAGAAAGCTCCTTCTGCAAATGGTTTATAAATGGGATGATTAGATTAGAAGATAATTAAAACAAATCCATTACACCGACTTTAAATGCCTCGCAGTTTTTTTTCCGGGCTTTTAAATTTAGAAAAAATCTCGCTAAGCATCTTGCATTCTTCTAAAAGCAATGTAGATACACCTACTTTTCGGTGCCAAATCTAAGTCATGTTAAGTAGAATATGAACAAGAACCTTGTATTACTGAGTACACGAGTAAGGAAACTGCTGGATACTCACTTATTCAAGAGGTCTCGTAGAAAAGGAAAGTTCTTAGATAGCGTTTTTAATTGAGTCAGCCCCTGAATGCCGGTAACAGGAAGAAGAAACACAAACATGAAGGCAACAGCACCAACAAGGGTTGCTATTTTTCGCATCCAAAGTTGGCGATAAGGTACTTTGAGATTCTTCCAGTAAACATCATGAGGCTCTGGAGCTAAATCTGCCACCCATAACATAGGATTTGATGTTTGAAGAACCTCCGAAACAACAAGAGCATCATAACGAGTCTTGAAAAACACAAAAGCAACGGGACGTTCCTGCAGATGAGCAGAAAAGTTTAAGTCTTACATACATATTTCAAGCACTGATACTTTAAAGCTCTCACACAAGACTAGGAAACCAGAATATGTGTCAAGATTATCAAGCTATATGGTTAATCATTAAACATGGTTTACAAAGGCAGTCATGCTTCTAGTGAAAAAAATCTAGATTTTAAAATCACTGTATCACCTGAAGCTTAGGTCTCGAATGCAGATATTTTTCCTTTGGTTTTGGCTTTTAAAAGTATGAAACTCTTTGTATCACTTAACCAAGGTCCATTCAACTTCTCAATTTGCTTTTTCTGAATCTTTCAGGTTCAGGTGTAAAACATGCAACAGCTAGAAACCACACATGCGTAGATAATGTAAAGTACAAAGTTCACCTATCAAAGACAAAAGAATTCCTTACTTCCTCCGTCGTAGTCAAAGTCAACTCACCAAGCTCCAGTTTTTTTACACTGTCTGCCTCGGTGGAGATGATTTGAAAAGAATTTGTGGGTGCAGGTCCTCCACAAAAGTTGCATGACTTCAAACTCGGATTACATCTTACATCAGGAGAAACATGTTTTATAGCCTGACACATCCTCTCCGCATCATGCTGATATAGAAAATTGACACAGTTAATATTAGAATCAAAAAGGAACTCAATTGTGCTCCAAAATGCACACACCATCCACATATCGTTTACGAAATTTCTGTCATTCGAAATGCAGATAGAGAACCAACAAGAAACTGATGTAATATCAAAATAACCTCAATATCATGAGCTACTTATAAAAATCTTACGATAAGCCAAAAGCAAAATTTGTACTCCAACAATGTGCATTATCAAAATTATAATTCCCTAGAACTTACTATGATTTTAACAGATACAGGAAAAACAAATTAAATCTTTTTAACGATAATTCGTTCTGTTAATTCATCAATCTTTGATGACATTTTCAAAAGAAGAAACATTCGTGACATCCAAAAAACAGTGTAAGTAGTGTTATCTGACCCCCAAAAAAGGAACTAGTGTTATAGTGAAAATTTTCAAAAGAAAAAGAAACATGTCGACTTGAAAGCTTCAAAAAGGTTAAATCACTTTCTGGGACAGAGAGCAATAACAGCTTTCTTTTTCTATTCTATGAGAGTTCTATTCTGCTAAGGTCAATCACGAAGTGGTATTTGCTGAATGATATATTCCTAATCCGACAGTAAACAAAATAAAAAGACAAGTGACTGATAATAAGTCAATATGTTGCAAGAATAACTAAAAAAAACGCATACCAGCAATCTTTGAATGATGCCATCACGGTAGACCATTAGGTGCGACAAATAGCTTGGTCCATAGTAATTTGTGAAGTATTTGGTCACTGTTTCACTGTACGATTGGTCAGGAGACTGAGGAACAGCACGCATAAGTACGGTAAAATGACTTGGCTTTGAGGCAGATCCAGTAATAAATGCAAGCCTCTTTTTGGCTATGGACTTATACTCCTACATCGGCGAAATACGTGTAAACAGAGTGAGAGTGTGAAAAAAACGATGAGGAGACGATGGAACAAAGAGAAACAGTATGCGTGGCATGGACCAGGGTATGAGATCCTTACAAAGTAAAGAAGAGCACATGCCGCAGAGGATATGATGTACAATGAGAGACAATGAACCCACAGCCTGGAAACAAAAAGAGCAATCTAGAATCAGCCCTTTGCTTTCTTTTGTACAGATTTCTAGCAACATATCACTTTAAGAAAGCTAGTGTGAAATGCCACCAATAATTTCCTGCAAAGAGAAATATAGGCTACGCATATTATCTGGCAATATAAGTGGAGCTATGTCAACATTACCATCTTGAGCGTTGATGAAGGTTCTCAATTGTGAAAATTCCCAATGACTCCAGATGGACATCCTTGTGCGCCATCTTTTGTCCATAATAGTTAACGGGCAGAACAAAGGCAATGCCAACGACAGCAACGATTGAGAAAATACGAATGCTGCAGAGTTAACAAAGAAAAAAGAAGTTAAACTAACTGTGAGAGAAGGACACATTCGCAAACACCGCAGAGAAATAAAAAAAGTGCTGAAACATAGAAGCAGAAGAAAACACAATGCTAATCTATTCCATTAGAGTAAAGAAAAAGAAAAGCATGTTTTTGGTGAAGTATCATTAACCTGCAAATGACCATCCTGATGAAAACCACAGCATCAAGACCAGCAGAAGCCAACATCTCGTCCTCAGTAGTTTCCCAAGCTTTTACGAGCCAACTTGGAGAAGGTGCAAACCTCTCATACCAAAGAGGATCATGACGCTTAACTCTTCCACCAGAAAGCATTCGGCCAAAGTAAACACAATAGTTGGCTGGCTGTTTTCTTAGTATGGAATAAAGCGATACAAGCACTACGCATATCGCTATGTTTATCCCAGCAGACGTTAAAAGTGCTGAGATATCCATGTCACTTTTAGCTCAAACCCTGTCTTCGCTAAATAATGAAGGCAGAGAAGAACATAATAGCTGTTCAAATTCCAAGGGCAACAAGAACTTAGGTCGTCAAAAAATCTGTAAGGAAAAGCACGAGTGTGAAAGAGATAAGAAAAAGTTTTCCAAGTCTTGCAATTCAAAACTCGAAATATCTTGGATGCTTAAACAGGCATGAAGCAAGTGGTAATGCTGAAACATAGAAAACTAGCAACCAGAGGCATGATCCCATTTTTTTACTCCAACATATAAGTTATGATCAAGGAATAATCTCAAAAAAAGCTGCACAAGTAACGTGAACAAGGGATGGAAAATAGACTAAAATCCTCCCAAGTTGGAGCAACCCAAGATGGAATCAAAATAAATCCACTCTTACAGTTGCGGTAGATGTTAAGTAGATAAGATACGATTTTAACCCAATCTTCCTCTATGATGAACTATCAAGACCCAAAATTTCCATAGAAACAGAAAATACTATGAAAAGGAGAATCCAATTAGACTAAAGCCAGAGAAAACACACAGTATTTGATTCCCGCGGAGAACAACAATCGAAATATGAAACCCGAGCGGAACCAAAGCCCAGATTATGAGATTCGATCAAAACAAAATTGCAAATAATTCGGAGGAAATTTACCCAGAAAGTTAAAACGAAAAAGACCCTGACTTACATGGAAAAAGAGCCAACACTTTGCTTTGACTTGAAAGAAAGCCAAAACCCGAAGAATCAGAGAAACCCCCTTCAAGTATTCGCTCGGTGAAGAAGAGAAATCCCGATGTTCCTTATAACCGAATCCCGCGGAGAGTTCGCCTTGAGGTTCGAAAACTTTGCAATATGCAAATAAAATCGACAAATTCAAAGAATTAAAAAAAAAAAAAGCAAAAAGAGAGATAATTATTAGGTGAAAGATATTATTTATTCGGTGAGGGAGATAATAATCATTTAAACGGAAAGATAACAGAAAAAAATCATAAAACCCAAAAAAAAAATATATATTTATACGATGAATTCCACGTTGTGTGACGTGGCAAAACCAGACTGGTCGAGACTAAATCTCACCTCGCCAAAGTCTTACGAGCGGGTGATAACGACTACCATGTCGGCGATTTGATAACCGTTCGATCTTCTCTATCTGATAAGATTATGACACGTGGAATTTCACACCAGCAGTTAAAACGGTTTTGCCCGGGAAAAATAAAAGGTAGCATGTATTAATCCGCGTGGTGAGAGTGTGCTGTGTGAGACCCATGACAAAGACCAGTTTTAGCATATTAAATATTCCATTAACAGACTATTGATTAGACATGCTTTCCGCGGAATGCATTATGCATATATACCACATGCTTCATACCATATTCATATAACCGGTTGGCTTTAGATGAAAACCGGTTGGCTTAGATGAAAATCTATACCCGGTATGCTCAGATTGATATATTTATCCTTTTTCTTTTTATGATACTACAGTAGAATTCTCTAACTAGGAAGATGGAACTCTTATGATATTTTTTATTAAAAAAATTAGCCAAAATTTAATTTAGGCTTCATTCTTCATCCTTTTTACTGAATTATATCTATCTCACCAGTCTCCATTCTCCAACAAAAGCAAAACAAGAAACAAGCTTCATTTTGAACCCATCGTTTGTTACATTCACTTGGATAACGTAAAAGTATGTATTCTGAATTTCTGAAACCATATTTAATAAATGCATTCTTCGTTGATAAATTAAAAAACAACAACAACTGAGAATCCAAATCATTCTGTTTTTTTTTTATATATAAAATAATAATAATAATAACATGGAAGAACAGATATGATACTTAGGACCAAAGCCATCTTCTATACAAACTCTCTGTAGATTTTCCTCCTTGAAGTACTAGAGCTCTGGTTTCAATCGACCTACGGTAAGAAGGAAATATCGATGACAAAAGTAAAAAGAAAAGACAGAGAGATGAGAGAAGCAAGTTTGTGTAGCTTTAGTTACCATTAGGTGAGAAACTGGACATAGTCGATGGATTTGAGACGAACCCCATTTGATAGAGGCTTTGTAGTTCACTCTCTAGCGTTGTCTGCACGTTTGAGATATAAAGAAATGTGTTAAGAAAATTTTACAAGTTGATGCCAAAAGCATGAAATATTGTTTCTGCTGTTGCTTGCCTGAGGTAATGGGTGGTATTGTGGATTTGCGGTGGTAGAAATGTTTGGTATCGTCCCTTGAAAACCGGTGAAAGGATTCAGCCCGAGCGTAGGAGTGTTTCTGTCTCTTGATTGAAGAAGCTGAAAGGAGATAATGGCAGGTTTAGTTAGTACACTACTCAATCATAACTTGCAGGCTATCATTTTCATTGTGAAGTTTTAGTTCGATCTCTTACATCTTTGGCGAGAATCCTGTCTATATCAACGTTCAGTTCCGGATTCACCGTCGCAAGTTTCATAGACAAAAACTGGAGAAGCATCGTGACACAGAAACATCAGAATGAAAATTCAGACCATACTAACTTAAGCGTTTCAAGAATCTCACATTATTGGGGATATTCATTCTTACCTCAACTTGTTGTTGCAATGACTGAACATAGTTGATGATTTCATCGAGCATAACTGCTTTCCCGGTGATCTAGTTGAACAATTATCAGCAACGAAAAAAGACCTTCAGCAAAATTTTACTCGGAAATCAAAGCAAGTTAAACTGGTAAAAGCCACCTTTTGAGTCCAGTACCTTGTTGCATCCCGGAACAAGCTCTTGAAGCAATCTCATCCTTTCGCTGATCTTTTCTCTTCTAACCTTCAAACAACAAACGAAACAGCAAACTTCTCAAAACCAGTGACTGGCAGAAAACAAAGAGCAAATTCCAACAAACAATAATATATATCGGCAAAAGAGTCATTTACCCTTTCTGCGAGACTGTGGCTATTAGTGGCTTGGCCTCTTCTTGCCCTCATATGAATGTAGTTTTCTTTTGGTGCTTCTTCGCTCTGTGAGCTCTCCTTGTTCATCGTCTCTTTACTCTGATCATTTTTGTGTTTCTTCTGGCTCTGATCACTTCCCCTTTGAGGGTCTTCTTGAAATTCCTCCACAGCTTTCTGCCAATTTAAAAAAACGCTAACTTGTCTCAGCATCAAAACGCTTCCTTCAGTAGTGTCTCTCTCTCTTTCTAATTGCTCTCATTTGATGAGATGATCAAACCATAGAAACACCTAATGCTACCAAAACCAAGTTTACCTTGTTCCGTTGTGATTCGGCTTCGGGTTGCCTTCTTTTTCTGGTTGGGGAAGCACCAAGAACACCATCATCTGAAACCTGATGATGATCCTCATGAGACTCTCCAGCTCTGATCAATCTTCCAACATTTTCCCCTTTCTTGTCTGAACCAAGAAAATGACCGATTTGACCACCACCACCACAATCACCAAACGGAACAAGACTCGCAGGCATGTCCGGATAACCCGAACCCGAACTGGGTGGGTAATGAGAGAAGCAACTCATCCCTGGATTGTCCATCGCCATTGAAGGGTAATGGGAGCTTGAGAAGCCACCACCATTGACAACTGGATCCCAATCTGCAGAAGAGAAGAAAGGATCTGCCTTTGCATACAAGGGCACTGATGTAATTCCAACTCTTGAGATCCCACTCTCATCATCTCCATGCTTAAACCTCATCTCATCTTCATTACTCTCTCCACCCATTCCTCTGATTCAACACACCCAAAAGAAAATTTCCAATTTCAAAACTTGGTTTGCTAGTTTGCAAGCCTTGACAAAGGAACTTGAACCAGTTTGCAGGTTTTATACAGTGGAGAAAGAGAGAAGAAATAAAAAAAAATTAAAAGATAAAAAGAAAAGAAAAACAAATCAACAGAGCATCAAATCTAATGTAGCAGAAGCAAGTCACAATTTCTTTTAGGAAAGAGAAGAGAAAGAGAACCCTAGGATAAATGCTTATTCGTACTCAAGTCAAGCGAAGAAAAAAAAAATTAATTAAAGAGAACAATAGACTTATCATAGACAACGAAAGCTGAGAACTTTCAGAGCATAAAGTGGTAACAAGCAATGGATTTAGCTAAGTTACAGCTCACAGGAGCTTAACAAAAGAAAAGAAGAAGAAAAAAAAAAGGAAAAGTAGATTCGCTTTTAAGAGTGTGAGAGAGCAAAGTCACTGTCTCTTCAGCTTGAAGAGGGAGAGAAAATATAAGATTTGGCCTTTCACAGACAAAAACCAAGATGAATTATGTAAGCTTGAGAGATCAGAGAAGCAAGAATTTGGAATTTAAAATGAAGGAAATTGACACAACCCCTTTGGATAGCATCAAGTTGTTAATAGGATCAGAGAAGCAATAATTTGGGAATTAATAAATGGAAGGAAGTTGATTGAGACAAACCCTGTTTGAGATACTCCAAGATTGTGGTGCCCTTCGAAAGAGTACAAAAGAAGAATCAAATTCTTAGGTGGAGAATTTACATTTTACAGTAAACCCTAAATCAGATAAATAAGGGAAGAGATAGTACACTCGATTGAAAGAGTATCAAATGCTGTTTTTGCTTAAATTGGGGAGAATGAAGAATTTAAAGGAAAAACAAAAAAAAAATGAAATAAACAAAACGAGAGATTCACAAGTTTGGTACTTGAACAAACAAGAAAGCAAGCATCAAGTTCCAACCTTTATAGAATCAAAGAAACAGTAATAATAATTGTGTTTAATGACAATGAAAGACCTAGAGAAAGAGAGAGATAGAGCTGTTGAAATTAACACTAAACAGAGGAGACATAATATGATTATTAAAACAAAGACAGAACAACTACTGCCAACTGCTTTATTTGCTCTTCTCTTTCTCATTATTACACAACCTAATCTACCTCTTTAGCATGTCTAACTTTTTTTTTCCCTTTTTAATAAATACATGTCTTAACTTTAACACCTTGTAAAATTACAGTAATTTACCCTCTGGGGTTTTTCACTATTTTACACGAGAAAAACATACACCACGTTGTAATCAAATGTATATTTACTGTTGAATTCTGTTAAGTAATTAACCCTAAAGACATTTTAGTTTTGTAAATTTACCAAGTTTTGTCAATCAACTTCTCAAACAATATTAAAATGTCTCATATTATTACCACAAAGTCTCACTGTACAAGCAAGAGGTTCTTCTCTTCATGCTCAAGCTTTGCTTTCTAGCTTCTACTCTGACATGTGCTTTAGAATATTATAACATATACAAGTACACATACATGCATGTATATAGCAGGAATAATTATGTGTATGTGTATATGACTATATAATTATATATGTGTAGATGATATTATTTTTTACTGACAGAAATTGCCAACTATATATTCTAACAGAAGACTCTTTGCTGTGACACACTCATATTTTTGTTCTGAGTGCCAACTAACCCTCTTTTGGAATAATTTTCCGCTCAGCTTTTCTAACAGCCGTGTGATTAAACCACTACATTAAGATCTCATCTCTACGCCGTTGGATCCAAGCAACATATTTTTATTCGTTTTTTTTACTATCTTCCTTTCTATACTCCTAAAAATATTGTATATTTTAGTCTTATTTCTAATAAGGATGTCTTTTTTAAGTGTGTTAAACCTCATTTGAATAAGGTTGTGATCACAGAATACTTTCTTCATTTCTCAGAATTAAAATGTAATTTGAAAACTTCTAAAATGAGTGGAATACGGCACGAGACACATATCATTTGTTTTTTGTATGTATTACCAATATTGAAACTTGAATAGGAAAAAAACGTCGTGCTTTGTTGAAATTGCAGTTATGAATTATACAGTGCGTAAAGTTTATGAGGACCCTAAAATCTAGGTGATACTATTTGGTTGTGTTGTCATTTTCCGAAGTTTTTTTTTTCCCCCGAAGTTTAACTGGCAAGACTTTTGACAATTTTACTTGTCTTCTTTTTTCTCGAAATATATACTTTTTTTTTAGAATTAAATTTACTGAAACAAAATCACTCAGACTCGCTGAAACAAAATAACACTCTAGATTAGTAGAAACAAATTAATACTCGCTGAAACAAAATCTAGGAGTAGTAACACTTATTTGTGCGAAAGTAACATATTTTTGGTCAACAAAATAATAGAAATTGAAAGAAAAAAAGATCAATACTATTATACATCAGTGTCACAGGAGGAAACATAAGGAGAAAATAAAAGGGAATCTAATCTACTTCATTTTAAATAAAAAGAATTCAATCAGCATAGTTTTAAAATATGTATATAGTCGAGCTACAGCTGTTTATGAGATTTGGAGACACTAGTGTTTCGTACTAGTTCTTATAGTCATGGGATAACTAACCCCCAACAACCAATAAATCATGGTCAAACTTTTAATTATTTGGTCAAACCCACAATCATAGTTGTAATTAGCTGTAACTCATACACAAGGTGAGACCTCTCGCGTATAAACGCGGTTGTCTATTAGTCTATATAGTATGACTCTATATATTTTTATTTTAATTTGATACGATCTACATATAACATATTAATCAAAACATAATTAATTAAATAGTTTATCTATTTAGATAAATAACTAGTTGAATAATAAATAACGGCATTTTGATGATATTCATGTTATAAACTTCCAAACTTCTTTTTTTTTGAAAAAATGTTAAATTTATTTCAAAAAAATGCTGTTTTCTTTACAAAATCAAATCAAGAAGGAGAAATTGAAAAGAAATAAATCTACAATTCGAAAACAAAGTATGAGCAAAGATGTCTGGTTTCTGTGATATTTCCCTATCTTCTTGAGCCGAACCATAGCTCCAGACCGTCGCTGTATCGGAAATCTCCAACAGCGTGCAACGAACTCAGTCAATTTCAAACCACTTTATAGATTTCTCTATTTGATTTCGAATAAACTTCCAAACTTCTCTAAACATTTAGTGTATTATAAAATACTATATTATTTGCACGGAAATATCATTTTAAGATTTTACTTTTTTATCTAGAAAACTACCGTTTTCTATTTCAATTTAATTTTTATAATAGTTTCATATTTTATATTTCACCAAAAGCTCCCATTTCTCTGAACTTAAATTATTATTATCTAATTAATAATATATTAAATAAAGGTATACACTTGTACAATGAAATGTTTTTTTGAATCTGTTTGTCACAGCGACATTTTTGTGAAGTATTGTCTAATAATCTTTTTTTGGTCAACGTTTAATTCATATTATATATTTACAAGTGCAAAACAATATAGAAATGTACTCTTGTAATAAATCAACCAAATATGTACCCATGTAATAGGAATGTATTTATGTAGTTAGGTTGGGGAAATTAAATTATTTATTCAACTTGCAAATGCTTCTCATCATTGCAAACAAGGAGCAGAATTAAGATCCAAACAAATTATGATAAGTGAGACTTGCACACAACTCATTCTACATTACGAAAATAATTACATGGGACCACACTAGATTAGTGAATCACGAAACACACATATACATATTTTTTTCTTTTTCGAACACACATCTACATATATATAGTAGAAGCATAAATGTTAATATATACATATATGAGGATTTTTATTAAAAAGTTTACCAACTTTTAGTTATAAATATGTTAATAAATTCAGTCAGGGGATATAGTCATATAATTATATTTGTATTAATTTGTCATTATCAATCTCAAGCAGTAAGAAAAACCAATCAGTGTTCAGTTAAGTCTCGAATAAAAAAAAATTCCTCGCATCAAGTTTTATCACCAGACTTCGAGTTTCAGGCTGCAAACATCACATCTTATATGTGTCTAGTTGTATATTACTAAATTACCAACAATTCAACAAACCTATATATTAATATAGTACTATCTAATCTCCGTTTCATGTGCTGTAAAAGAACAATGACACACGTAGAAAGTGAGTAAAGGAATGATTAAGAAACCTTAATGGAGTTGGTTAAGTTAAAGGTATGTATAGTTAATTAAATTCCTTTTTAAACTCCATTTTAATCAGGATATGTAAACTTTGATTGGAGTGAAGCCAACTAAAGCGAGAAGATCCTCCGACCACGCGCGAGAACTACTTATGTGGACCCTCTTTTAACTAAAACTACAATGGCCCACAAGAAGTGGGGAGTGGTCCATACTCTTTTATTTGCAATGATGCTAAGATTCCTAGTATCTTTAATATGATCGCAGATGATAAACACATATCTTTGTTGTTGTTGTTGTTTTTTTTTTTTTAAACACATATCTTTGTTTCTTTATCTAAATATAACAAACAAACCGCTGTACCTATAAATTGCATGGTTTGGAAATAAAGTATAACCAAACCAAGAGCGTAGACATGTGGATTGAAACCAAACTCGAGTCTAGATCTGTTCGATTCTTGACAAACAGAGTTTGAGTATAGACGTCTAAATTCGACAAACAAAGTTTAACCCACGAATGCGCCTGGTGTTTCCATTTTGTCAAATAAATTTGAGGAGATTGTATCCTTTAGGTCGAAAGGATTTGATTTGAATGCTCCAAGTCAGATACTGTAAACTAAAGAAAATATCAAAGATTGATTCGGTCATAAAAAGAAAGAAAGACGATTTAGCATGTTAACGGTAACAAGACGACTTTTGGATCATGAAGGTTGGCAACGACGTTTGATTCAGATTCCGGCAAAAAAAAAGGTAGTGATCACAATGTACTAAAAATTATTAAGAGCTCAAATACCATACAATATAAAGATATTAATGACGTTCTCGTAACTTACAAATGAAAGCTTTACAACTCTCACATTAGTATAAAAATCTGTAGAGGACGTACATAGAAAATACACAAATGTATGTATTTTTTTGAATCTGAAGACATAATGTTAATATATTTTCCAAGTATAATGAATAAATCTAAATGGGCCTCACGTGAGGAAGCCTAAGCCGCAAATTAATGAAAAGTGTCTTCTGGGCACTTGACTTTCACTCGCAGCGATCGGACGGAGAAGAAGCTCATGGAACGGAACGGAAGCTGTGCGTTACAACTTCTCATCTTCTCTAGTCTTTAGATTTCAGCTCACTTTCTTCGTCGATTGGGCTATCGACTTTTCGGAATTTTCACTCCCGAAAACCAAAATCTTTAGTTTTCCCTCCTAACATGGAAGACGCCTACGCCAGATCTGTCACAGAGGTGCTCTGCCATTTCACTTCTCAATCTTTTTTTTTTTTTTTTTCTCTTTGACACTTGTTATCGGATTCGAAATGCGATATGATTGAGATCCCTTATAATGACAACTAACCCGGTGATGTCGTTCCCGCGAACTCTTTCACTGTGCAGGTGCTTGATTTCTTTGGGGTAGACCCAACAAAGGGTCTTTCTGATTCTCAGGTATGATGCTGTCACCGAATTGAGCTTGGAAAACTTGGAATTTGAAACTTAAACTAGTTACAGTCACTATGAAGCTACAATTTTGATTAGCCCTTGATGTTGAATTTTTGGATGGCCCAAAATTTATTATTGGTTTATTTGTAGGTTGATCATCACTCTAGGCTTTTTGGAAGGAATGGTATGTATTATTACTTCCATTTCACTTGCACTTGTTAATTTGGTCTTCATATATGTATAGGATCACCTAAGGACACAGGGAGGTTCACTGCAGATGGTGATAATAGGGTGTCTTGGTGTTTTTTCTTCTTTCCAGTGAAGCATATTGAATTTAAGCGAGCTGTAGATTATAGTGTTGGCATGTAATTTAAATTCCTAGCATTGTAAATTAACTGTTAAGTACACAGATTACAAATTTGTTGTTACCTTTGCTTGTACAGTCCGTATGAATTCTAATACTGATGCACAGTCTGAGTGTTCGTCAGTAAAAAATCCTGCATGTGATTGTCTGAGCGATGAAACTTCGGAAATTAGTCTGCTTTAAGTGGAAAGAGCATACCTTTTTTCATTTATTCATTGTCTTCTTAGCTCTGATCGTATCTTTTATTTTTTTTTTGCATGTCTTTTCACATGACCTGCAGTTCTGCCCGAAGAGAAAAGTAAGTTGTCAAAAACTGTCTTAGAAATTCATCCTTACTTCCATAATCATATGTGCTTAGAGGTTCACTGAAAAAGATGTGAGCTCCTAAATTGTTCTAGCGCTGTGATGATTATTCCAATTTTGGCATTGTATTTCATTTTTGTTTTCACGTGTTTATCTGGTTCATTTGTCTAGAATAGAAGCTGTTCTGTTACAAAAGCATTTTTAGGTATCCTTAGCTCCTTTTGAGACTCACTTAGCTGATTCTGTTAGATCTTCCTTATACTTCCTCAGTTCCTCTTAACACATCGACCTAGCCTTTTCTAATGATGTTATCTCGGAGGAGTATTTAGTACTCCCCTGACATGTGCCAATTTTCTTACGCTCTTCTTCTTAACTGAACGCAGGAACTCCATTCTGGAAACTGGTTCTGAAACAGTTTGATGATTTACTTGTTAAGATATTGATTGTGGCTGCAGTTGTCTCTTTCGTATTGGCTTTGGCCAATGGAGAGACTGGTTTAACAGCATTTCTGGAGCCTTTTGTAAGTTACGATATCTTTTTTTGTCACTCAGCCTTCATATAATCGTTGACCAAATAGTTAACTTCTTTTATTTGGTCAACTGGACCGGCTAGTGGTTCTTTCTGGCGGAGTTTAATGTTTTAATCTTGTTTTTCTTTTCTCTCCGTGGTCTTTGTGAAATTTAATTAATTATGTTTTTCTTTAGACTGACTATTCTTATGCCCTAAATAAAATATCTATAAGCCAGACTAGAATTAGGGTTCAGCATTACTAGGTTTCAGTCTTGTTATATGATTTCATGAAATTTACAATATGATTGTACCCTCACCAAGACTTCCATAAACTAGATTTTGAAATTGAAGCTTTCTTTGAGTATCACATTCTTTTCTGGATTTACTATTCCTCGCAGGTAATTCTGCTGATATTGGCTGCAAATGCAGCGGTGGGGGTGATTACAGAGACTAATGCTGAGAAGGCTCTCGAGGTAGTTTTTATGCTACGGTTTAAGTGATGACATATTTGCAGATACATATCACTGTATCAGATATCCGTTAAAATCAGTTACTTTTATATATACTGGACAGTACAAGATCATGTTTTTCTCTCTGTCCCCAATGTTTTTGTCAGGGGTACAACAGACACTAATTTGCTAGAAGATCATGTTAAGTTTAGATCTTATTTTGTTTGTAAGTTGTAACACAGATGTGTTTTCTTTGTCCTGTTGTAGGAGCTACGTGCCTACCAAGCAAATATAGCGACAGTGTTGCGAAATGGTACTTAGATAATAAGTCGAGTGATTACTTTTACTGCAAAAATTACGCTGAGTGTATGTCCTTTCAGTTTTTTTTTTATTCTTATATCAGATTATAATTTAAAGTGCTTATCATCCTGACTTGTTTTGCTGTTGTTATCTCCTCTAGAAACTCTTTGTATCTTGTGTGGCCTATTAGTCAATAGCTTATTGCATTATGCTCCCAATCCTCTAGGTTGTGTCTAAAATGACAATTAATGAAATTATGATTTAGGTATTTAAAAATTCGCACTTCCTGTTTTTTTTTTTTTTTTTTTTTCCTTTTTGGCTTGGGACGTTGTTCCAGTTTTTGGATATCTGCAAGTTGTCTAGGTTGAAGGCATTCCATATTAACACGTATATAACGGCAGGGTGCTTCTCTATACTACCGGCAACAGAGCTGGTGCCAGGCGACATTGTTGAAGTAACTGGTATGTGTGCTCTATCTCACTCAAATGCAGTTTTGTAGCAATGGCTTAGACTTTTGCTAAATTCATATAAGGCTGATTTTCTTGACGCTTGCATGCTAAACAGTTGGATGTAAGATTCCAGCTGACCTGAGGATGATCGAGATGTCTAGCAATGAGTTACGAGTGGATCAAGCAATTCTGACTGGTATGTCATTGTGCTACTGATAAAATTTTATTTGCGTAGCCACAAGAACTATATATGCCAGTTGGTGATTAGTACAGCTTCATGTCAACCCTATTCTCGATCAATTTGTGAACATGCATTTTCTAAAAACATTATAGTTTCAACAATAATAGTGGCTCTTTTCATGTTGATTAAAGTTCAAGTGATCACTTGCAGTGCAGTATATTCATACTCTCACTAACAATTATTTTCCCCGGAAATTGCAGGTGAAAGCTGTTCTGTGGAGAAAGATGTTGACTGTACGTTAACAACAAATGCTGTCTACCAAGACAAGAAGAATATTTTATTTTCGGTAGGAGTTACTCATACCCGCATTAGCTTATTGTCTTTTCATTTAATGACCTAGAGACCTAGTGCTACTTCATGCTTACACCATAACTAGCTGTATTATTCTTATTTTTCTCTCATTATTAGAATTTACGCTCTACAACCTGTTGTAGTCACTTATTTCTGGTTCCAGCTAGCTCTTTATCCCCTTTTTTGTGTGTTTAATTAGAATATGTAATGTCTGCCAGGGAACTGATGTGGTCGCTGGTAGGGGGAGGGCTGTTGTCATTGGAGTTGGTTCTAACACCGCGATGGGCAGTATACACGATTCTATGTTGCACACAGATGATGTAAGCTATCAATATTCTTTCATTTCTATCTGGAAATGCACTATGTGCATTTTTCATATGCTTTCTGACCGGCCAGAACTCTCTAATAAAAGAAGGTTATATAACTTTTATTGTACGATTGCATCAAATTGCTTCCAGTGAATTGTTTGCGCTTTTGGCATGGTAGACTTATTTCCTGCTGTAAAGTATAGTTTCGGCATCCTATTTGGAAGTTCTTTTCCTTCTATTTTGGAGTGCGTCATAACAAGGCTTTTCTTTCTTACTTGTAAATGTCACTTTCACAGGAGGCAACTCCGTTGAAAAAAAAGCTGGACGAGTTTGGCAGCTTTTTGGCTAAGGTGATTTTTTTTTTTTTGAAAGTTTAGATTTTTCAAGTGTTGAGGTACTTTAATTACAAGACTGGGTGGAGTTGTCTTTCCGTTGGATGTCTAATTCTCTCAGTTGTCAGCATTTCTTAATTGTGTCTGAGAAGTGTGAATGAGTTAAAAATAAAAGATTTGTCAAAGGACTGGCGTGACAGAGATCTCTTGCTGAGATTATAGTTAGTTAATTTCATTGATAAATATGTTTTTCAACATAATTTGAAGTTCTCAGAATGTATTATCCTATTCTGTATGTATAGGTTATTGCGGGGATTTGTGTCCTTGTGTGGGTTGTCAACATTGGTCACTTCAGTGACCCTTCTCACGGTGGATTTTTCAAAGGCGCAATTCACTATTTTAAGGTAAAGAAATTTGTTGCTCTCTTATGTCAGTTTTGAATTCTTAGTTAGGGAGTACATAATCAGTTACGTCTGTTCCACTCTTACTGTGATATCAAAAGATATATGTCGCTTCTCTTTTCATTCGCTGACGTCCCTAGACAAGAAGGCAGGCAGGTTCAAAATAATAACCTGAGAATTATCAACCCACTAAATAGACTTTCAACATTTACATAGCGCAAGTCACAAAGATAAGAAATAATTGTGCTGCACTGAGTGGAGTATATCCTTTTGTATCCATCCTATCAAACTTTGTTGAATATCAAGTTAAAGGTTAAGTCACAAATTATGGTGATGTAAACCCGGAAGCTTGTAACCAGGTCCTTTTACCAACTTAAATTATGCCATATATGTATCTTTGGTGACAGGTTAGTTGCTTTACCTTTATTTTACCAGATTGCAGTTGCCCTTGCTGTTGCAGCTATTCCTGAAGGACTTCCTGCTGTTGTTACAACGTAAGTGTTCACTAATTCCATTATTAGAAGATAGCAATATTAGCAGAAACTAGTGATATCTTGGAGACAGCGTTTCCCAGAGAAGTAGCGGGCTCTTGTGATCATCAAATGACCGTTTTGTTTCAAGTTTCAGTTCCCTTTAATGTTGATTGAGTCTGAAATGCTTTGAAACTAGTCATCTTCCACGTTGGGAGTTTACCCTGGTTATAATACTGGTTATGATGCTTTCGGTATCTAGGTGTTTAGCTCTTGGAACAAAGAAAATGGCTCGTTTGAATGCCATTGTACGGTCATTGCCATCTGTCGAGACACTTGGTTGCACTACTGTAATATGCAGTGACAAGACTGGAACATTGACAACCAATATGATGTCGGTGTCTAAGGTTAGCATGTTATCCCTCAGTGCTCGAGCCTGTTAACTCTTATTCATGGTATCTCCGCCACTTGCGATTTTCTAACTGGATTTTTTCTAGGAAATATCTTGGGTAGGCAAATCTTGGCAATGTAGTTCATGTGTAAAATACACATACCCGTATATGTCTGCAATTTTGCATGTCTGGGAAGTAGCCAAATAGATATTTCAGGTCTAGTTAAGAAGGATTAACAATATTGCTTGTAGATCTTGTGCTTTTGCGAATAACTAATCACAACTATAATTACATTTCTGTATATAAACTTTCTCTTTGTGGTGTCTCAAATAGAAGATTTGAATAGTCTTGATCTTGTGCTTGTATGTCAGATATGTGTCGTCCAATCTGTAGACCGTGGTCCTATGATTAATGAATTCAATGTTAGTGGGACAACTTATGCACCAGAAGGCACTGTCTTTGACAGCAATGGGCAGCAGGTAAATATTACTTCTCCTATGGACTATATAAGTAACCTACTATTTCATACATGACACTTGTGAAGATTACTGGTAGTTTTGCTTTACCTACATGCTCACAAACTACTGCACCCACACAAGGACAGCTTGAACGGAAAATTTCGTCTCAGGATTGATTAATAATGTTATCTGGATACTTGATGACAATAGAACCAAAAATTGACAATCTACCGTGCCCGATAATTGAGGGAGGAAGAGAGGGAAAATTAATAAACTTACGGTTTTCTTCCTTCCCTTTTGAATCATACTTGTAAAAGAATCATGTTTTCTTTCGTCTTTTAATCTTTTTATGCATTTTCTCGTATTTGATATTCCTCATTTATCTTTTGTTTTTTTGAAATTTCACGGAGTTCTTTTATCATCTTGATTATCCCACAAATGTCAATGATTTGTCATCGTGAAAGATAAAAGACGAAAACCCTATAACAAACTACACGAACATGCCTTGTAACAACACACAACATTGTTAAGATAAGATGCTCTTTTCTTTTGCAGCTTGACTTCCCTGCTCAATCACCTTGCCTTCATCATTTAGCAATGTGTTCATCACTCTGCAATGATTCCATTTTGCAATACAATCCAGACAAGGATTCTTATGAAAAAATTGGAGAGTCAACTGAAGTTGCTCTTCGAGTTCTTGCAGAAAAGGCATGGAACATAACAGACTGTTTCTTGTCATCTTACAATAGACCCTGCACAGAGGTTGAACTTAACTAAGTCTAGTATATGTGAAGTACCATCCAACTTGCTTTCTGTTGCTTGTTTTCAGGTTGGCCTCCCTGGTTTTGATTCAATGCCTTCTGCTCTAAACATGTTGAGCAATCATGAACGTGCATCATACTGTAACCATTATTGGGAAAACCAATTTAAAAAGGTGTGGCTCTAGTAGAACGAACCTATTATGGGATGTGCTGACTGTCGTTTTACATGGAAAAAAACGTTTGTATTTCGAAATGAGTAATTGATGGTCACCTTTATCATAAAACTTTTCAGGTTTATGTTTTAGAGTTTACACGTGACCGCAAAATGATGAGCGTTCTATGTAGCCATAAGCAAATGGATGTAATGTTTTCAAAGGGTGCTCCAGAGAGTATAATTGCTAGGTGTACTAAACTTCTCTGCAACGTTGATGGTTCTGTTGTTCCTCTAACTGCTGCTGTCCGTGCAGAACTTGATTCGAGGTTCCACAGGTTAGACATCTGCTCGTTTAATGAGAATTTTTATTAAATTTTCTAATTACTTCATAATGGTTTTCTATTGATGCTTGTATTGTCACGTCTTATGTTCATTCTGTTAAAGATTTGAATGAAGTAGTTATTCCAACTTTAACCATGTCTCTCTGTAACAGTTTTGGAGATGAAACATTGAGATGCTTAGCATTAGCATTTAAAACCGTGCCCCATGGTCAACAAACTATTTCCTATGATAATGAGAACGACCTGACGTTTATTGGGTTGGTAGGCCTTTCTTTCAAATATGATGGATTCAAATGTGTTTACTTCGTCATTTTTATTGTACTGTTAAGACTTGCTCATCTTGTGCTTCCTTTGAAGGTGGGAATAGTTGATCCACCAAGGGAAGAAGTGAGAGATGCTATGCTTGCGTGTATGACTGCTGGGATACGTGTTATAGTTGTAACCGGGGATAACAAGGTACTAGAAAACCGAGCAAATGTGGTTTGTTGATTATTTACATCCTTTTGGTGCTTATTCTGATTAGCATGAAACTTCAGTCTACAGCGGAGTCACTATGTAGAAAAATAGGGGCATTCGACAATCTGGTCGACTTTTCTGGTCTGTCTTACACCGCTTCTGAATTTGAACGGCTTCCAGCGGTGCAACAAACTCTAGCATTGCGACGGATGACACTTTTTTCCAGGTATTTGTTCATCAGTTTCTTTATTGAAGGTGTTTTTAGAAGCAAGGAACTGGCATTTTGAATTATCATGCGCATTTTTGTTTATTTTCTAAAGTTCGAGTTATACTCGTTTATTAGAAACCGTAAGTTTCTGCGTGTAGGGTTGAACCTTCCCACAAAAGGATGCTTGTTGAAGCCCTACAGAACCAAAATGAAGTGGTAATTCCCCCTGTTCACTAAGTGTCATTCATTACATTTCTTCTTTTTTTGTCTGCGTTTAAATACATTCCTTCACATTTTGCGTTAGTGGCTTTGTTTGAAGTTTTTATGTTTGTTAACATTTGTACTTATTAAAGAAAAAAACTTCATGCTTCTAACAGTCGAACCCATGAATCTTGTTCTCCTAGGTGGCAATGACTGGTGACGGCGTTAATGATGCCCCTGCATTAAAGAAAGCTGACATTGGGATTGCCATGGGTTCTGGAACAGCTGTAGCCAAGGTATCTACCTTGTGTTAGTTTTCGATTATCATCCTGTGTGACTTGATATTTCTTTGTACTCTAAAACTTATTATCATCTTTAGAATCATACTCATTATATGTTGTCCATGTGCTTCTATCTTGATCTCTTCCTCTCGTCCAGAACACAGTAATCCATTGACATGGGAATTTTGTCCTCCATCTTTGTGTCCTTGCACAGTCGTTAATTTTTTTTTTTTTTTTAATTTTTGCAATCAAAACGAAAAATATTTTGAAAAATGTTTCCGGTTTTTGCTGTTGTCATAGTAGTGATACCATTTACTATAGACAATTATTCTGACCTCGCAAACTACTTAAAGCTACTGACACTGGACTCGTCATTTCTTCAGTAATCTGGTTGCCGAGGGTTCATAGCTCTATTCTCTTCTCCGTTTAACCTATTTTTCTCTAATTGTACCTGCATTCCAGAGTGCTTCAGATATGGTTTTGGCGGATGATAATTTCGCTTCAATAGTTGCGGTATGTTGGTTTTCTTTCATTTTTATGGTCATTCCTCTATGCTTGATTCTGGCATACACTTTGCATAGTTGTTCAGCGTGGTTTTCAATATGTTTGAGCTGCGTAGCTCTTTTAGACGAACTAGATAAGATTGCTAAGAATATCAGTCTAGGTAATATAAAAGATTGGGTGCCTTTATAATTGGATTCAGGCACTAATTGGTAAATTTGGGATGTAGCTTGTTTTTTTTTTAGTTATGATACTTTATATATAAGAAATTGTACTCTTCATAAAGTGAAGAACGAAATTGTGGTCTGTATATATGAAAACATTATATATTCATATACTACTTGCATCAAACTAAAATCTTAACCAATCATTGTCCCCAGTCCCCATGTCTAATATAAGGCTACAAATCACACTGCAGTATCTTCGTTGAAGCACCTCCTAAAGTGTTTCTCTTCTTGACAGGCTGTTGCAGAAGGAAGGGCTATTTATAATAACACGAAGCAATTCATTAGATACATGATCTCTTCAAATATAGGGGAAGTGGTCTGTATATTTGTGGCAGCTGTACTGGGAATCCCTGATACCCTGGCGCCTGTGAGTTTGTTTAGTCTGAAACTAACTTTCTCATCTCAATGAATTCTCCAGTCCATTCGCACCAATTTTTGTGATAGTCTTTTTCTGCAAATTTTCCTTTTATAAAGCTTGTCTAAATCTATGATTGTTATGGTTAAAAAACATTGTAGGTTCAACTTTTATGGGTCAATTTGGTAACGGATGGATTGCCTGCCACTGCCATTGGATTTAATAAACAAGATTCCGATGTGATGAAGGCAAAACCCCGAAAGGTAGCAGCTGTAACTGTACAGTAATAATAATTGCTGTCGCATGTTTTATGTCCCCTTCCAAACTTTATGGGTTTCCAATGATGATAGTGCCTAGGCTGTAACTTGAAGAAGGGACTTGGGAATTCTCAATTAACGATTTCCTGTAGTGTGCTAATTTCTTTTCATACTACTCGGACCTCGTATCCTCAATTTTTTTCTTTTTATTGTTGAACTCCAGGTTGGTGAAGCAGTAGTCACTGGGTGGTTATTTTTCCGGTATTTGGTTATCGGAGGTATAAGAAAAATGATGGCTCTGTAACTTCGAGCATTTAGACATCAAAAATACCTATTTGCTTGACTTGTTTATCTCTCTTTGCAGTTTATGTCGGTCTGGCAACTGTTGCTGGCTTTATATGGTGGTTTGTTTACTCTGATGGTGGTCCTAAACTTACTTACAGTGAACTGGTTAGGTTTTATCTCCAGCTAAATCGTACATATTATTTCATCGATGAATCTCATTTTTTGTACATTTTTCACTACCCATGTGTGTCAACCTCCGCATTTTCGAAGTTATTGCCCAAGTTCCTGATCATTCAATTCAAATCAAGCGTTATTATCTCTAATGGAATCTGTTTCATTGTATTATTTCAGATGAACTTTGAAACATGCGCACTTAGAGAGACAACTTATCCATGCAGCATATTTGAGGATCGGCATCCATCAACTGTGGCTATGACAGTTCTTGTTGTTGTAGAAATGTTTAATGCTCTCAATAACCTCAGCGAAAATCAATCCCTTCTGTAAGTGTAGCTTCTTCCTTTCTTTCTTTCCTTGTTATCGGCTTATTTCTGTTACGATTCGCTACAGCATCATAGTGTACTGCGTTAGTTATTCTTAACTATTTCAAACAACATAATGCTACTGTATACACTATAAGCGGTGGAGTCTCATCCACGAACAAACATTGGATAATGCAACTTGACGAGTTTGCTACGTGATCATTTATATTTAGCTTTACTAAAGATGGTTATGCGATTGCAGGGTTATAACCCCACGGAGTAATTTATGGCTTGTTGGTTCCATTATCCTGACAATGGTTCTGCACATGCTAATATTATATGTTCATCCACTGGCAGTCTTATTTTCTGTAAGTTTACTCGCTTCCGCAAATCTTGTATGTATCCGTTTTCTTCTTTTCAGTCTCTCTCAAGTTAACTGTTTTATAGGTCACTCCATTGTCCTGGGCCGAGTGGACGGCGGTTCTGTATCTTTCGTTTCCAGTAAGTAATTCTCACTTTTAGCTTCTTCTGCATAGTCAACTAGAACTCTCATGGAAACTTTCACAGTGGAACTTTACCTTGCCATACACCACCATAGTTCTCATATGGATGGAAATTTGTTAAGGAAAAGCATGACAATAGGCAGATCAAAAGATATGAGATGAAATCCTCGAAAAAGATAATTAAATTGAATCTTTTTGTAAATACTGCAGGTTATTATCATCGATGAGATTCTGAAGTTCCTCTCTAGAAATACTGGTAATGCTTACTACGGTCATTTTGTGGCTTTTCATACCGTTAATCGTTTCAACCGAACTAAAAGTTAATACAGAGGCCATGAATCTTGGTCCATCGACCATGAGATTCTGAACTTAACAGAGGAACTGATAATCATTGGTCCTGATTCTGATGTGTTGTTCTACTGTGGTGTCAATGTAGGCATGAGATTCAGATTCAGATTCAGGAAGATTGATTTACTCCCCAAGGACCGGCGTGACAAGTAGGAGAAGAAAACAAGAGATGGCTTCTTTTTTTCATACAGAGTTTTGGCTTTTATAGATACATCAACACACAGGAAAGACTCTTGGGAGATTCTAATGCAATCCAAAAAAGCTCTAATACCATAAACCATAAAACTTTTTTGGCTTTTGATTTCCTTTTTTTTTGTACCAAATTACACTGTATTCTTACATCAAACAGTCTCTACTGCTTTTTATCAAGTTATATATGCATTGTGGTTAGCAGAGTTTCAGATTATCATTAGCATTCCAACATTTACATCTTAAATACTCAGTTTCAGAGTTGTCCAAGTCTCATTCATTAAAGCTCCAGCTAGGGGCAAATAAAGGAATTTGCATACTATAAAGTAAGAGGATAGTATTAAGTCATTTCACATGAAAATGAAAAAGGAGATAGTCTATTTTTTAAGTCGAATAAACGTAAAAAATTTTGATTAGGCATTTCACTGTTTCGTAATGTCGATCATCGAACAAGACGTAATTCATTAGAAAAATATTGTTTTAATCATCGAGCAGCCCTCTTTTCTTTTTTCTTTTGTTAATCATCGAGCAGCCCTATGACAGCATATAATACTGTGGCCACTGGAGACAAAACAACAATATTATAACTATAAAAAAAACAAAGGAAAAGTTTATAAAATAAGATAACTCACAACTCACAAGCTTTCCGTGAATTAGTGGTAAGCACAATGCTTTCCTTGCTTTAGTAATCAATAATCATCATATCAAATAAAAAAGAACTCAATCAATCACATGATACATAAAAAAAAAAAATGATATGTTTATAGTAGAACAAACTTCTTTAATATCAGTAGAAATTTTATATCAGAAAATATCACTTTATGGGGTTAACCATTATGGTACGAGAACTGTTAATTCCCACATAAATATTTAAATGTGAACAGTCATAATTATGGCAAGAAAATTAGTAAAACTAAAACTTCTGAGAAATACACTTGACTAATAAATTCGATTCAAAGTTAAAACTATAAGTTTTTTTTTTTAGTAGCGATGAGATAGTGACATACATAATGCATATTGATTCTTTGAAAATCTCTCTAAACAAAGTATTAAAAAAAAACAAGACTTGAAAATTAAAACGAATATTCAAACCTCAGAACTTAAACCTTTTTTTGGGTCAGAACTTAAACTTAGAAACCCAAATTCATATGTAATTAGGCTAAACTTCCAATATAACCGAAACTTGGATTCGCAATATAAACCAAGTTTGCATTGGAAACGAGAGTAGTTTATCGACTACTATTATTATTCATGTTGCACAAAATCGAGCTGAAAAAATATCACAAACAATCCACAATTTACTAAAATCAAACCCAAAAAAAAAGAAACTAAAAACTAAAATTTGGGGCTACCAGTAACAGCATATGATTTGCTACGAGGATACAAGAGATCAGAGACTTTCTTCGTCTTCTTCATCTTCGGATTCACAGATCCTTCCTCTGTTTCTTCCTCTTCCTCTATCCTCCCCATCCCCACGCTCGAGCTCTTCGGCAACCTTCCTTGCTTCTTCTGCTTCTGCTCCTTCTCCTGTTGCAGCTTCTCTTGTATGAACATGTCGATCTCATTCTTGTGCCCTAAACTCCTAACCGACGCGGCTCTCACTAGCTCGCTGTAATCGTCGTCAATCCCGAAATCGGTGGTTCTCCGGGAAGATGCGGAGGAGGAAAAGGCGGCGGAAGAGGAGCTCCGGCTTCTCGGAAAAGGACCGGAGACGGAGGCGGTGGAGGAATAATGAGTCCGAGCTGCGCAGCCGGTGATGCTTCTCACGTAGAGATCACGTGCCTTTCCTAAAGCTCTAAGAGGGGTTAAGATTATTCTCAAGAACTTGTTCTGGTTTTGTCCTCTGTTTCTCATGCTCTGTTTTGGTTTTTTTTCCAAAAGATGGTTTTGTTTTTGTGTTTGGTTGAAAGATAGGTTTGGTTTTTTGGAGTCTGATCTGGTTTTTAAGGGTCTTATTTGTTGATTTTTTTTTTAAGTATTAAATTAAAACGAGTGTTAAAGGAGAAATAATTGAGAGAATCAAACGTGACTTTGAGGATTTGTTTAGATTTTTATTTAAAAAAGTTGGTTTAGGAAAATAATTGTCGAAATAGTGTTGGAGTCACAACGTCCCATTGATCGAAAATTCTATCATTAACTATTTTAGATCACAGTTTCTAGTATAGTAGTTTTTAATTTTCACTATTACGTTATATGAATTATTTATAGATAGAAATGAATAGATTATTGTACTAACGTGAATACATTTGAGAAATGAATCAAGATTTCATATTGAAATTTGCATAAAATAAAGGATAGTTTTTAATTTAAGTGCATAATATTGGATTAGTCATAAGACTGTATGAAGAAATGACGCCGGCTTCAGTTTATCTTCATTCTTTCGCGTTTTGTTTTTCTTTGTTCAACTTAAAATGTCAAAAAAATACGAATGTCACAGCCTGAATGTACGGATTAGTCAAAGGTTGTAGATTTGTCGTCAAGTCGTCGAAATATAAAATAATTTCATCTCTTCTAATTTTTCTTTTTCAGTTTATATCAAATAGAGTAAACTGTAAACTATATTTTTTTATTCAGTTTAGAAGTTTCCTTAAACCAGTAAAAATTACTGAAAATTGATTTTACTTTAGATTTGATTGGGGATCAAGGAGTTTTAGTTTCTGTTTTTACATTTTCCCAACCACTTACTGAGCCACATTTAGGAATATTTTATGGCTGAAACTTTTGACGTTTTAGAGCATGTTTAGTAGGGATTCATGCTCGAATTCATATGCATTTTGGATTTAAGAAAATATAAATAAAGTTGATTCGTCCGGACAAACTTGAAGATTTTAACTTTTATTTAGATGGTAAAGCGTAATTGGGCAAAAATTTTTTTTTAATTTTTGAATTTAGTTCAGAATGAATCCCTTTAAGAAAAGTTCACTAATGGTCTTAGTAGTTAGTATTATTAACATCCAACTTCAAAAACCCTTCTGGTTTTCCATAATAATATACACACTATTTTTATATTAGTTCTTATATATTTTAATTGGAAACTTGGAGCGGACACACAATATGGAAGCGTGGCAAAGAAACACTGAATGGTTTGGACTTTTGTAGGTAGGTATGGCCGTATGGGCACATCGAATTAGAAAAGTGCTCTCTTATAAAAATTAGATAAGAACAAATATGTGGAGCCATGTCGGATGTAAAACTATTTATCCTTCTAGAAACAACTATTATACTAAAACATACCTGCATATCATGTAGATTCGTCATGTCGAGTTGATTGGCCTTACATATATAATTTGATGTAGTATTTTACTACAAGAGAGGCGAATGTTAAAAACTAAAGGTATTTGTGGTAATTTTTTTCTTGTAAATTTATGATGTCAAAAAGACGGATTCCGTATGTTTCTCTGTATAAGTTCTCAAGATAATAAAATTTGCTACATATTTTAATATAATATAAAAATTATTTTCACTCTTTTTTCTTTTCTTGTCAACAAGTGGTATTCATCGAAGCTCTCACAAATGTATTACTCTACCTCCTCAGTTCGTTGCAAAGTAACAAGTGGGGGTTCCTTTAGCCTCCAAAATATAACATATGTCAATATAACTTATGCTAATTCCTCATGGCTCATCGATACAAAATATTTACCCACATGGTCAAACCAGAATTTGGAAAATGAAGTAATGAACCCCTCAACTCTTTTATCTCTTAAAGTTATTCTTATCTTATTTTCGGTAATAGTAAAACCCACCATTAGCAAAAAAGCCACCATAGTTCGTCAAGAAACTCTCTTCTAAGACCATGTTCAATGATAACAACTCTAAAAAGGGTGCTTAAATATTATTTAATTATTAAATTTAAAATTATCTTCATTTTATAACATATGTCTGCTAATATCTGTTAAGCATCGCTGCTTACAACTCTTATTTAAGCATCAATGCTCAAATTATTCTATTTTTATGATTTAATTTTTTAAAAAAATTATCTAAACACTCTTCCTAAGCATCTGCATTGAACATGCTCTAACCATATTCAACTTTTCTAATATCACAGAATTGAGATTATCAAATTACTTCACTTGGTATTGATGATGAATTATGTTTCAATGTTCGTAGAAAACAATAATCCGTTCATTTCTATCTAGTTGAAAAACTATCTATAAAAAAATTTTGGCCATAATAAACAGAAAGAAAAAATATTTAAAAAATCTCCTAAGAATAATAAATTATAGTAAAAAGTTTCGTGAGATAAAATTATGTATTTCCTTGTTCGAATCCTATTAATATCGGAATGGGGTTGATAGTAATTTTATTTTTGCAATAAACAGAAATAAAAAAAAAGACTGTAATTGTGGTTTGAACAATTCGAACTTCGAACATGAGGAATACAAAAGTGTGACTAAAACCACCGACTGGTGTCAAAAAAAGCTTTGATAAAAAAATAAAAGAAAAAAAATGTTTGTTTTTATTTTCAATTTTCAACCAGACCGAGAGATTCCATAAGTTCGTTACTGTAGATGTTTCATTATCCAATGAAACCGAACCGACATAATGTTTTTGTTATCCAACTTGTCCTCGATTTTCTCTCTCTTCCAACTTCCAAGTTCCCTACTTTATTGATTCTCTATCTCTCACCTCCACGCCAATTTCATTTTCATGCATCGCTATACCCTTATCTTCTTCTTTATCTGCTAATTAAATTATCTGTCTCGTCTCCATTCTTGTTGAGCTGGTCAATAACAGAATCTGAATCCTATAAACTGATTTTCTGATCAGAATTTCAAACCCTAGAATTTCTGGGTTTCTCTTGAAATCCGTGTTTTCCGTGATTGGATTCTTGTTGTGAGACTCAATTCAGTATTCTGTTGTTTGAATGGACCTTCTTCGACTGGGAGAAAAGGGTCTCTTTTCGCCTCAGAGAAGAAGGAAATGGCTGATTTTGATGGCGATTTCCGGAGTTTCTGGTTATGGAGCTTACAAGGTTTACCATTTGCCATCTGTCGCGAGGAAAAGGAAACGTCTTTTGAAGATTTTCGGAGCTATCGTCTCTGTAGCCGAATTGATCTCTGAATCGGCGGAGACCATGAGTATCGTGTCGCGAGACTTGAAGGGATTTCTCAATTCCGATTCCGATGAAATCCCTAACAGCTTGAAGCAGATCGCCAAGATCACCAGGTCCAATGAGTTCACGGATTCGCTCTCTAGGGTTTCTCAGGCTGTCACGATTGGGGTCTTTCGTGGTTACAACTTCGAGTCTGGTAACGTTGGCGATTCAGGAATTGGATCGGAGCCAAGTGTTGTTGATAGAGTGATTGATAAGGTTTTCTCAAAGGCTGGATCTGGATTCGTTTCGGTTATCGTTGGTAGCTTCGCTAAGAATCTTGTTCTTGGATTTTACTCCAAGGAGCTCGAGAATGGTGTGAAATGTGATTCTGATTCTTCAGAGACACCTCAATGGGTGAGTTTGCTTTGTGATGACAAAAGTAGAGAGCTTTTATCTGATTGCATCGAGAGATTCACTAGCACAGCAGTCGCTGTGTATCTCGACAAGACGATGGAGATCAACACTTATGATCAGATCTTTGAGGGCTTGACGAATCCGAAACATCAGGATAGCGTCAAAGACGTTCTTGTTTCGGTTTGTAACGGTGCTCTCGAAACTCTCGTTAAAACATCTCACCATGTCTTCACTACATCTTCCACAAGGTCTAATAATGTTATAGAAGAGATTGAAGAAGAAGACGATTTCAAGACTAATGGTTCCTCGAGAAGCAAGTCGGAATCAGTAGACGGTAACAAGAGTAGCGGGTGGGCCGAGGCTATCTCGACTACATTGGCAGTTCCTAGCAATCGGAAGTTTATGTTCGATGTAACAGGAAGAGTAACACTAGAAACGGCAAGATCAATCATCGGTTTTCTAATGTTGAAGACATTTCAAGGGTTCAGGAAAAGTTTCAACGTGGTTCATGAAGAAGTTACAGACAAAGGACGTCAAGTAGTTGGATACGTTGGAGCCAAATCTTCTGTTATAACCACTGTGTTCCTCGCGCTTTACTTGCATATCTTAAGCGGCTGTGTTCGGAGTTCTCCTATAGGCGTAAGCCAGCATTTTTAGTTCTTCAGATGAAGAACATTTCGATTTGTTGGATATAAAACTCTATTGGTTAGGTACGCAAATATTAATCAGCTTCCTTCTAGTTATATTTGTTATAGTTGGAGCTGAGGATTAGTGTTGAGATTGTGTCTGTATATGTGCACAACTTGATTCTTATTGATGAAATACATATATATATATATATATATATACATACATTAAGAAGGTTCTTTGGGACATTGAAGTTTTGAGATGCAATCTTGAGAAGTGATTCATAGTCTCTTTACACTTCTTGAACAAAAGCTTCATAGATTAACAAACCTTTCTTCCATTTACCGGTCCACACTTCATACAAACCAAATTGAAGCTTGGTCTCTTGGTTTATTGCAACCGTGGGACTGACGAAGATCTCGAATCTTCCATCCGTCTCATCTGGTATGTTAACCGGTTCTGTACCGCCTTTGAGTTTCTTAATGTTATTGTTCACCGATTTGATCCTCTTCCAAACTGTCCTCCCTTTCTTCCCAATTTTTGCTGACATAAAAACCGGAGCTTGCTCCCATCCGGTTGCATCAGCTGTGAACGAGATTTTAAAACCGATCCGGTACGTTTTGCCTGGCTCGACCTTGTCGAAAGAACCGGTTACTTCTAACCAACTCACCATCTTCAGTTCAGCAGGCGTCCTTGTAAACAACCAAAGAAAGACACTCCAGTTTTAAACAGCAAGACCCAAAAACCGGTTTATTCAGAATCAAACCGGTTTTAATTCGGTTATTATGAATATGAAGAGAGAGCTGAAGGAGGTTACCTACCTGTCTTCGTTGGGGATGACCCAATACCGAGAGTCACCTCCCCATATGAAACTAAGACCACTTGGCTTAAAAATCCATGCTTTTCTAACGATCTATTAATCAAAGTTCGATCTTATCAATTAGTTGCAATAAAATATTCCAAGAAATATAAAATAACCAAAATAAGAATTTGACTTATTACATCTTGTTCCATGTTGGATTCTGCCTCGTAATGAGAACTCTTGACAGCTTTTTGGGCAGACATTTCGTTCTTTCTTTTTTCTTTCTTGTTTGTTTTATAAAAGAACACTTCTCTTCGGTGAGCTTTTTATATAGAGATTTGGAAATTTTGGGTGGAAACAAAAAGGAGTGTGACCGAAGAAGAATTCATTAAGTTGGACCTAATTGTTCATGTTCTTCTCAATATTCTCGTTGTAAGTTTTACTACTTTAGTGGAATACTTATAAACTTTGCATATATGATAATAACAGCCATGTAAAAGGCATAATTCAGTTGGACCGCAAAAGTTAAAGCAAATATTCTCAGTTTGTGGTTCATCTCGTTTTTTCTCTTGCTATATCTCAACTTTTTATATCAGAATCAAACTGATCACATAATTACTAATTTTTTATTGGTTATCTTAACCGCGATTAAATTAGTTTAGCAGGCTAGATGCTATCGTTTTTTGTGTTATCGGATCTGTATTCAACTCCAATGCTAATTTGGGACATTTTAATATTATACCAAAAATCTATAATTTATTTATTTACAGAAACACACATATTTCTTGAAAAAATAGAAGTAAGAGAAAAAATTGTTTGTGCACGATTTTTGAAAATATTTCTTTGATTTAGAAACGGTAGTTTACATGATCATATAACATATATTTTTCATGAAACATATATTTTATTTATAAAAAGTTTATCTCTTTTTATTATACATTAAATAAAAATAACCAAAACAAAAAAGTAAATTAACAATAATAAATTATATAATAACAATCAGCAACCCAAATAAAAAAATAAAATAAAGAATAAAATTAAAAGAAAATCTATATATTAAAAGAAAATCTATATATTTTTAGTTTTAAAAATTTATGGAAAATAAATGAGGATAAACTCTTTTTTTTTTCTATTCGTCATATAATCTCTAAGAAAAGAACAGAGAGTTAAAACGTCAAGATCACGGATATAAGAGTTCACTAATAGATAATTGTACAATTTACGATAAAAAATTAATAAATAAAATTAAGTTATATCATGATGTGATGTATTTAATTACTAGGCTTAACAAAGATTTGTTAACCAAAATAAATTTTGTTATTTGTTAGCGAATAAAATTTTATTTTTAAAAAACATAAAATTCATTATTTATGTTTTGTATTTTTTAATTTATGGCGTATATAATAATTTTTTTTTCCAAAAATTTTGTATATTAGCTTTGTAATCCTATTTTGATATTAATGAGATTCTTTATCGAGAAAATAAATAACATTGGGTTATATAACTTTAATTGACATACAAAAGACCTAACTACAATATGGGCTAAGATTTATAATTCGTTATGTGGCATCAAAATAAACGAATTAGGTTGGAAAAACAATTTAATTATAAATTTCAACTCCTGAGGGACAACAAATCCAATAACATTAAAAAAAAGAATCAATATTATAAACCACTATATCTCTTAGTGGGTCCGCCTCTGGCACAGCCTGCCGTTTTTATACTAGGAAAGAAGTAGAAAATCACTGTCACAGTTATTGGGATATTCTCAGTCGCATACCTCCTCCCAATCATCCACCACTTCTTCGCTGGAGCCTTCCACCGGTTGTTTACAGGCAGCTTTTGAGCTGCTGCTCTCTTCTATCTGAGTCAATGGCTCCAAAGCGGACGTGTTGGGCTTCTCCGGTTCCAGCACACTCCAGCGGTTAACCGAGGTAGCGATCGGAGTGTTGCTCGTTGCTGATCTCCACGCAGAGGCTTTAATATCTGTAGATGATCCTCCAATAGGAGAATCTTCAGCTCCCCAGGACTCATCACTCTCCTGGATCACTGCTTTCTTCCATGGATTCCCTGATGAGCTGCTGGGTAATTTTCCCCATGCATTACTGAGTGATGGAGACGTGCTGTTTTGGATAACCACGGCTCCATGGTAGACAGAACCGTGGTCCAGCCTCCTCATGGCAGTGGCGGCTCGGGCATGGTCATGGAACACGGCTAAAGCGTTCTTGTCATTCAGCCAAACAAGCTCACATTCACCCCCAAATCTCAGCACCAAGGCGCTGATATTCGCCTCCCTCGGGAGATCCAGTAAAGAAACCACAAGACCAGGATCCATATCCACCAGCGGATCATAGGACGGTGGATGGGGCCCGCCTACAGAGACAGCACCAGCCCTAGCTCCAATGATCCGTGTTGGCGGTTTCGACTTTGATGTTACGTGGACCACTGTGAACCGTTTTGGCTCCCACCCGGCGTTGCTAACCGCAAGTTTCCACCTCTCAGCTAGAAGCCGAACTGTGTCTCGTTTCTCCTTCTGCATCGGACAGAAAACGTGGAGCTTGAGGGCACTTGTGTTTCCTCTAGCTTTCCCAAGTACCAGGAACTTGAAGCGCTCTTCAACAGCCAGTACCCACTTCGGATCACGCCTATAGATGTCTGAAATAATCTCTGTCATAGCAGAATTCTCGCTGAAATGTAAAGAGTCCAGATTTGGGGGAGTGATATCAAACGCATCCTGAAGAACCCGCTTACGCTCCAACTTAGCACACTCATCATCACACGAAAGCTTTCTCTGCCCGAGAGGGATTCGGTTTTCACTCGGCTCAACAGGCTGAAGAGGCGTAGGAAGCTTCTGCAAAACAGAGGCTTCATAGATAGAATCAACACGAAGATCGTAGGCGCTCTTTCCTCCAGCATCACAAGGGACTGTAGAGGTAATGCGACCACACGAACATGTAATTGTGACTGGAAATTCACATCTTGAGTCTGGGCAAGGCTCGGAAGGATGGCAGAGTGCTGCACATGTGTGCCTGCAATCTCTTCTAGGAGCACCGCACGTCTGTCCACATGTAGCACGCAGACCTGCTTCAGATTCATTGTAACTGTCACAGGGCTCCGAGTGACAAGTTCTGGCACAAGCATGCATGCCACAACGCCTTGTCTTTCCACAAACCTTGTTACATCTAATGTCTTTCAACCCACAAGGTATGTTTCTGAGAACCACATGATCACCGACGCATTTCTTTTCCACGGGTGCAGAACAAGGAGGGCAATCCCCAAAATGACATCCATGAGTAGCAGAATGGCCACAAGGCTGAGGAATCGAGCATGTAAGCTGGCAGCTAGGTACAGGTGTTCCACATGGTAGTGGTGGAGGAATCGAGGTTCTTCCACATGCGCATGTAAGATCAGTGAAAATCATCTCGAGACAAGGAGGGCAATGGCCACTGTGACATAAAGATTCACAGGAATGCTGCCCGCACCTTAGCTTCTTCTCGCAAGGTAACTGGCAAACGTGCGGGTCCCAATCGCCAGACAGATCATTCTTCTTAGCGTTCAAATGAGGGCAGCAACGCTCGCTGCATCTATGCCTTCCACAGTTCTTCTTACGCCCACATGGCTTTGCGCACACAAACTCGTCCGTCTTTAGAGAAGTTGTTACGTAGCATTCCACAGTCCTTGATGTTGACCCACACCGGCATTTCTGGTTGACTTGGACCAAACAAGGAGGACAATCTCCCGCATGGCACACCTCGTTGCAAGTATGTAACCCACAAGGAAGAAGCTTCCTGCACATATTTGAACAAGAAGGAATTGGGTCCAAGCAACTCCGCCTGATCTGTTCTTCTAATCGCGTTTTCCCACAATAGCACGTCTTAACTCTACTGGGAAGTAAGTCACAGTCCCCGCAAGGTCCAGGATGGCAAACCTCAGAACAGAAATGATTACCACATCCAAGCGGCTTCCCACAGTTAAAACTACACGAATACACACCATCTTCTGCTTTCAACTCTCCCTTCAAATTCATATCTCCGCAAATGACAGTCTCCACTTTCTTCTTGCAGAAACATGTGGCATTTACCAGTACATGACAAGGATCACAAGGACCAACGTGACATGCCCTTTCACATCGATGACGCGCACAGTTGAGAAGCTTATCACAAGGCTGACCACAAACAAGAACAGATCTCCGCTCAGAGCATCTAGTAGTAATCATCTTCTTACCACATGGACAACCACGAGGTGGAGCAAACGCCTTACAAGGAGGACATGGACCGGGATGACACTGCAAAACACAGACATGAGGACAAAGATCCTCTTTAGTCGTCTCAGCTGCTGCAAACTCTTTCTCCAACGGCTTCCCACATGGCTCCCCGCATGAGTGTGGTGTCAGATATGGATCAGAAGGTGGATCTTTTCTCTTCCCACAGAAACACCGATAGCAAATCTCGTTAGACGACGTCAACTGTACAGACTGGCAACCTGGACATCTCCAATTATCACCTTGATTTTTCTCAGCCAACAAATCAATCGATGTTGGTGCTCGAGCCCATTTCTTGATACAGTGCATATGGAAAATGGAGAAACAGCTGGAGCAGGACCATATATTCGCAGACCGCCCAACCTTGTCATAGCAAATCATACACTCAACAGAGCTCTTCACCAGCTTCTCCTGTAACTCTTGAACAAGTTGAGGCAAGTTTGGATCTTTCAACACAATATTCTCCTCCTTAGCGACCCTTTTCCCCTGATTCACTGGCCGGGTCCTAGATGCAACTCGTTGGTGATTATCAGGCAGAATTCCCGGAGCATTATTCCTTCTTTGTCGATTAGGTGGAGGCGGACCAACGACATTACTCCTTTGGTGCTGGTTATAAGGCTGACGAACAGAGCTGTTATGTTGCCTTTGCAGATTAACAGGACGGCAAGGAGGAGGAGCAGCATCAAGTCTTTCTGAAATTCTCTCTGTATTCGTAGGAGGAAGGGAAGGCTCATTTACAACCACAGGCGAGGTAGATGCACCTCTAGGAACCCAAGTTTGCTGAGGATTGAACCGAGGCCTATTTCTCCTGACTTGAGAGCTCATATTCGTCTCTGACTCCACAAATACAGAACCAGACCCTGTACCCGTCACTGTTGGAGCAATGGGTATAGACCTATTCACAAAGTGCTCCTGAGCAGAGAGAGAAGCCAAATGAGGAATATATCTAGCAATTGATAATTCACCAAAAGCGGAATACGATCAAAAAACTAATGTATGTAACGATTAAATCTCAATCATCTATAACGACTTGAAATTAAACGAATCCAAAATTGAAACCCAAAGTGATACGCCTTGCGATTAATCCCAACATCGGGTTACAAACTATTCATCGTTCTTGGGGATCTCAGAAAGGGTGGCAAAATCAGAAGGCCCTATACTTTTATCATATCTAAGAAATTTCAGAACCCACACACAGCTACCAACACATATTAATATAGCTTCAAAATCGATGCATCAAAGAAGGATAAAACAAGTGGCAACGCAAACAAATGACTGAAGCATATTCAACAAAGGGGGAAAAAATTGGTACCTGATAAAAAATAATAAATACGGAAGGGAAAAACAAGGAACAATCTCCGGAATCAATTACAGGTGATTTCGATTAGTCCCTCGATTTCTCAGGGAGAGAGAGAGAGAGCGCGACTGTAGGAGAGAGATAGAGCGAGGACGAAGAAGATATATATATAGAGAGACTGCAAGTGAAAGACCGACCGCCTTGGAGCCAAAGGAAAATAGAGAGAGAGAGAAAGAGTCGGCCACGACTTTTCTTTTTATCTATTTTATCTCTCTTTTCAACGATTGTCTGTCTGAATTATGCTTGACGAACACTCGAGAACCGTCTCAAATCAATGGGCCAAAAATGGGCCTGATACATTCTATTTGGATCTTTCAAACGGGTACATTCTAATTAGCAATCAAGATATGAAATTTCAAGATATATTGGTGATCAAAGCTTATGAATAAAAACTTAGCATAAGACCATATAAAATAATATTTTTTTTTTTAATTAGATTTTTAACTTTTACATACAAATTGAGTGACGTAGGGGAATGTTTGCACGGCCCTAACTACAAGATACAATACAATAATATCATAAGCCAAGAGATCAGGACTCAGAATCGGTGAAGGAGGGACTCTCGAGATCGGCCATGCTCGCAGAGGCAAATGACTCAAACGAATCCATTGTAGAGAGTGATGAAGTTTCTAGGGAATCTGAGTGCTCATCGCCAATCTCAGGTAAGACAATGTGATCGTCTTCTTCGCAGTCATATTCCTCTGGTTCTGATGCGTCCTCAGAGCCCATTAGTAGCCTGTTAATAGCTGACTTGGCAGCTTCCGTGAACCATTCGGTTTTCGGGAGCGAGCTTTAAGATAAAAAACGAGATACTTTTTTTTAGTTAATTCGATTTGAGAATAGAGTAGAGAGATTTTCAAGTGTTTTTTTTTGTTGTACTTACCTTTGTGGGTTGATGCCTCTTGAGGAGAAAATGCTGATGGCTCGATTGATCACGACTGAAGCATGGTTCTGAACCACTTTAAATGGATAACCAGCGAACCGAGCTATTTCAACTGTGAAGTTCATGTCGAGGATCAACTGCAAAACATAACAAAAACTTCAACTTTTGAACCAAATCATCTGTCAAAATAAAGTTTCCAATTTTCCACAGTTTTAAATTCCAAAGTTTCAATCTTCGACCGAAAAGCTGGTGTACAAAAGAATAGTAGAAAAGAGTGTGTTACCTGTTGCAACCCAAATGGCTGAAGAGGAGTTGACTCGTCCTCAAATGCACTCCAAAACTCCTGCTCGTTTGATAGCCAAATTATAACCGTCTCGGTTAATCTGGCTAGTAAAATCTTTTGCAGCTTCTCTTTTCCAAGCAGAACATCCCCCGCAATTATGGCCAACTGTTGTAGCTTAGAAAACAATGCCTGTATAAGAAGAGACACCGATGATGTTTCTGTTTGCTTAAAATTTATCAACCAGAAGCTATAAAACCAGATCAAGGATGAGGATGAGACCTGAAACGGTAGAGAGGGCAGATGCAAGTCATCTGGTATTTCAGTTAAATAAATGAGTGCGTCTAATCGTGTTAGTCCTTCCCTAGAGTAGATGAAGCTCAAGACAAACTGCAGACAGAAGTAGTTTCTGAGTTTGTCGAATGCTTGAACCATGTGGCGTTTCCATTCTTTCAACTCCGGTGCAGAGCTACTGAATAGAGCAGCACTACTATCACCTTCCCCTCCGCTGTTTTCAATCTGGAGATTCCAAACTTTAACAAGTGATTTTGGTAAAAGTTCGTCGAGTATTGTAAACGCCGCTCCAAGAAGAGCAAGCTGCTCTGAATCTGTCTCGGCTCTAGCGAGTATGGTGTTATCTTGAAGCTCTGGAAGACCGTCTTCGTCTGCATGGCCAGGCAAGGCTTTGATCAGAAAGTCGATGTATTTATCATACAGTTGCAAAATCCTCGTTAATACGCTTTCGCCAAAGTGTAAGACAACTAGATGCGTTAACTGCTCAAGTATGTCCTGAAAGAACAAATAAAGCTTCCATAAATTTATGTTTCAAGAATCAACGAAGATGGCAATAACAGTGTCAAAAAGCAACTTACTTGCACAATTTGCATGAATCGAATGCTACAATCAGTCATTGTCGTATCTGAAGCGATTGCAAATTCGGATAATACCGCCACAAACTCAGAAGACGATTCCAAGCCCTCGTCAGTTTCGGTCAAGTCAAAGATAACCCTTCGAGCCCGTCTAAAATTTAGCTCTAACACTTCTTCAACATAAGGCCGGAACAACACCAAAAACAGCTTAGACAAAATTAAGCCCTGTGGTTCCAACACTTTGCAATAGTTAAGACAGTCTTGAAGACATACACTGGCTGCACGCAATGCAGAAACTGTTTCGGAAGGAGCTGCGTTTTCTTTAACCAACCGCATCAGATACTCAACTTCCCTCTCTGCCCATTGAACAACTTTGTTGGAATACGCGGGATTATCATCACCAAACATAGCTGCCGATTCTTTGGCGGCCACTGAGATGTTAGAGAAAACAAGCTTAGACAGTGTAGCGGGAAATGTGTTTGGGCAGGTCGAACATGAGGGAAGAAAGGACTCGATTCTTCTGTGGAGGCTTGTGGCGTAAAACTTCAGAAGCAATTGGTGAGCTGAAGGCCCTTTGCCAAGTCTGATCAACCCAGTTAACGCATGCTTCAGTTCAGCTACACTTATTGAAGGTTGTTTAGCGATCCTAAGGAGCTGATCCTCAAGAACCGCTTTTCTTTCCATAAAAGCAGACTTGTAAGAGGACATCTCAACTGATCCTTTAAGTTCCGGGTTGTTTCTTTCCTCGGTATCCATTACCTCAAGTGCTTCATCCACCTTATGTTCAGCCAAAAGAAGGTCAATATTCTCCAGGAACTCGGACTTTGGATCGATTAGCTCATTAGGCAAGGGATCAACGACTTCAGAGTTATCTGAGACATCTGCATCACCAGCAGATCGCTTCCATTCATCCATCTCACGGCCAAGTCCAGCCATCAGATCCTGCACAAGAATCCCCTGGGAAGAAATATGTTTCCGTAGCTCAACCAACTCGTGCTCCATCTCCACCGCTTCTTCAGATATTCTACACAAACAAAACATACAGATTTGAATCTCAGAAACTAGCACAACAGAAACAAAGGAACATGACTCAATCTTACACCAAACATTACTTGTACAATACAAGATATTTCCGAACCCATATCTTTGAATCCGGAATTTCAGATGAACTTGCCAACCAAAAACAAAGAGAAGTTAGTAGCGTTATATTACCTCAAGAAAGCGAGGTACTTGGTACGCATATCACCGCACATATTTTCAACGGCATCCTTTAAATCCAAAAGCTCACAGCACAGCTTTCTAATTCCCTGCATTGTTTAAAGTTACCAAATCAACCAACAAAGAAATCTCATGGATACATACTCATTAAAAATCTCATGTTCAAGTACTTTCAAATTCAATTGAAATCGAGGGCTTCAGAGTTCTAATCTAGATCAATCGGTGAAATCCGAAAGGACCCAATGGAGATAACTATCTCAGAGTGTAGTGAATACGTTTCGGGGAAAGAAACAACTTCAAAAATGTAGCGAAACAAAGAGAAAGAGAGAGGGAGAGGAAGAGAGAACAAAAAAAGAAAGAACCTTTTCGGTGAGAGACTGGTGAACGGAATCGATCTTGGACTGAGGAGTTATGCTTTCAATAGATGGGAAGTCGTCTTCTTCCTCGCTGCTCTCCATGTCTATCGCTCTCTCAGTCTTCCTCGGAGTCTCAGACAGTGTTGCCGAAGAAGCACGATAGTGATGGATTGGACTCTCCAGACAGAAAGATTCGAGATTTTTACTGTTTACTGCTTTTTCGTATATAAAACGACATGTAGTGTAATATCGTACATTAAAAGCAAAAGACGGCACGATGGTTGAGAAATTCCTTCTTTTTTTCGGTTGTCTTAATAGAGTGATTAAATATACAAAAATATCAAAGAAAGAAACTATGATGATGGACAAATAAATACTTGGAAGAAAAAAAACCTTTGAAGGATAAGGATTTATTTGAATGAAACATATATTTCATTGATAGATACAAGGTATATATACGATGAGCACGTAGTGTTTTTGTTGAACACTGATGAACATTTGACTTATATGGTTGCTTTCAATTATAAATCATATTTATGAAACATCTGTAACTAGAAGATTCAATATATGTTTACTTTGGTGGAATCAATTCTCTTATTAGAATTGGGTCTACGGAATCGAGAGATTGCACCCCAACCATCAGTACCAAATTTGCAAGAGTACTTACTCCATATCCATAAAAGCAAAGACTTTTTTTTGCCCTTGGCGTAACAATCTTGATCAGCTAGAACGTTTCTTCCCATCGAAGAGATGTGAATCGGGCTATGCTCTAAACATTTCCTGTAAGCTTCAAGAAAAGGGTCAACGTCTTTCTTCCTGAAACTTGATAAATTGGACCTCGATGTCTTTACCACATTGGAAGGCGTGAAAGGACAGACAACAAGAGGACTATGCAACACTTCCTCGCCATAATCGACATGAGGGCATGGAGGCGGTGTAAGCTTCCATTGTAGCTGATCACGGCCACTTTTGTCCTTCTTTCTTGAAACTCCAGGCTTTAGCTCCCATGAGAAGGGAACTCTGGCTTTACAAGTTTGATCGAACTCATGATTTTTTGGACTAAGCATAAGTCCAAGTATAAAGACTCTTTGCGTGTGGTCTTTGTTGGCTCCGTTTAAACGGAAAATGTGTTATTTGAAAGTGTATATTCATTAGAGATATGGTGGTGGTGTATATTATATATATATATCATTTTATGAAATAAAATTTGATTTGATGTATGTATATTCACCTAAGTTGTTGATTAGTATTGGAATGATAACATCATTAGGAATCGCTTGGCTATATATATAACCTCCTATTTTATGAATATATATTAATATCATTTTGTCTTGTACATATCTAAAGCAGTACAATTTAACCGAAATTAAGCATTATGTTTTGCACAGTTTAAGCAATTTATTGAATGAATATTACAAGTTTACTCTTCTATGACATCAGACATCTATAATTTGATGCATATGTAAGCGTCTTATTTATTCTTTTAAATAGGCGTAACGATTGTGTACAATTTCATAACTAGTTGGCAGAAAATAATTAAAAAGAAAAATAAACAACTGATGAACAAAAGAAGAAAAAAATATGACAGGTAAAGTTTACAAGTATCAAAGGTGTACATTTTTACTCAATTTAGATGTGCCAATAGTACAGTTCAAAAATCACTAAAAATTATAACCGAACATAAAAAACCGTGGACGGCAGGATTCGAACCTGCGCGGGCAAAGCCCACATGATTTCTAGTCATGCCCGATAACCACTCCGGCACGTCCACATTTTTGTTATTTGTCAGTAAAAGTAATTTATATTCACATTTGTAAACTTTGAGATCTTGGCCGAAATTATGCCAACAGTTACACAAGCTCCATTAATCTTTAAACAAAGTCTTTAAAATAGTTATGTTTAGCAACTGTTTATGAAGTCCTAGAGAAACTAGAATCATAGAAATAAAGAACAGTAGCTTAGGTAAATGGGATCATATGAAAAGTCACTGCATTATACCAAAAATTGAATAGATCACTCTCCTGAAGAATGCTTTTCATGAAAAATAAATTATATAAAATGGTATTTTAAACTTGATACATATATGATATATACCATAAGCAAACATCCATTATTTCTCTATTTTTTGAATCATCTCAAGAAACGCAACAAAGAGTGAACATATCACCGTAGGAGACAACAAAGTTACCAAAAGAAACAACATCAAAGACAACAAAAAAAAAGAAAGAACACAAACTTAAGAGAAACGAAACCAATAAATGTTATCGATCGAGAAGTAGTGACACTATTGGTTCTCTTAGGTGGTCAAAATCATCCAGGGAGATTGAACTGTTTCTTTTAAGCAGCGACGACTTTTTCCCTAGCGGCATTATCTCCTCCTTCGAGCTGGCTTAAATTTCCTTTCTCCTTGATCAGCTGAATATGATGATGCTTGCAATAAAGCTTCCCCTCGTGAGCTATGTAATTCGAAGGACTTATTGTGCAGCCTCCATGTGTACACTTGAAGCAGCTCTTGTGGTACAATGTCCCATTCACCGACACCTTCACAAAGTCCACATCATAAGCAGTCAATATATGTAACGATGTAGCTATATCCAAGAATATGATGTTCGACAATATTTTAGAATGTTTTAGCTCTGTTTTACGCTAGAGACAGATCAGACTTGTTGTGGAAACAGCTTAAGAATGTCCTTTGACAAAAAGTTGGTTCTGATTTGGAAAGATTTTGGATTAGATACCTTCTCAATTGGATACACGGTTTTGTCGCAGCCAACGCATTTTTCTCGTGTTCCACCAAACATATTCGACACTTTGGTCCCAGCAGGTCTCTGTTAAGATCTCTCAGAGCAAATGTTAAAGTTCAAGAACCTCAAAACACAATCAAGAACAGATCAGAATTTGTTTTTGCTGTCTGAAAGTACCTCTCCCTCCAAAGGCCTATCGGGTTTTCCGATCTTTGGTGTCCCTATATATACGAATAATAGAAAAGAATCAGACTTTGGATTCATATTTACAATTTTAGAATCCCCCAAAGCTTTCACATTTTGATCTGTTTTTTTTTTTTTTTTTTTGCTTATTATTACCTTCGAAGCTCTTCTCAAGACTTCCAGTTCTCTTGAAATTTTGATCGAAATGTGGTCTGCAATAGAGAACTCCTTCAAATGAGTTGTAGTTGCTAAGCTGTTTTTCATCATCAAAAAAAGCAAAAACCAATCAGATTCAAGATTTCTACTTATTGATTGATCATCTCCAACATCTATGTATTACTAGATCTACCTCTTGGGGTTTATCAGAAATTATCACAAAAAGACTAAGAAGAGGGAGAACCCAGAAACAAAAATCAAACCTTGAGAGTTCCTTTGCAATGGTGACATCGGAAGCAGGCTTTGTGGTAGACCCGGTTATCTGCGGTTAACTTGTCCACGAGATAAACGGTTTTTTCACAGGCCATGCATTTCTGGGTTGTCCCTGCGAACGCCATTTGTGTGTTGTTTCTTGTAAGAGATCAGACCAAGAGTCGGAAGAAGAAGAAGAAGAAAACTCAATCGTTGCTGAGAGAGATAAAGAGGTGGAATAAGATGATGATGAAAGAAAGAGATTGTCAATTATTGTTGCTTGGTTTTCAATATGGGGACCAGATATATTGAAAACGAACATGTCTCTCTTCTTTTTCATTTTTAAAGTAATTTCACAATAACAAAATAGTTGGATAATTTGAAACCTAATAATCATTTTTTTAAAAGAATAAATATTAATTCTGGAAGAAAGTGTTTGTATTCAAATTAAACAAAAATTATATAACAACTCAACCTGCAAATATACTAACTTCAAAAATTTGGAAGTTTTCTAATTCAAATTCGAATATATGGGTTTTCTTGACAGCTCTAGCATTGTTTTTGTCATTGTCTCCAAAAACAAGATAAACGATGTATAAATAAATAAAATGAATTACGTTAAAAAAAAAGGTTCAACGGCATTTTTTCTCTTTTAATGATTTTTGTACACTCTTGAAGTAAGCACCGGTCAATATCTGTCTCCTAGATATTTCCAATATTAACTCAGTATTTTCATTCTATAGCAGGTAGTTAGAAAATAAAATACATCATGCAGTGGCTTGACAATAATGCAGCAATGCTTTAACATTTACAGCAATGCTCTCAATAACTGTTCAAGCCGCTGTAAAATTAATACTTCCTCCTGATTTATTTAGTTGTCGTTTTAAAGTTATGCACACAAATTAAGAAAATATTAATTGTATTAGCTTTTCAATATAAAAATATTATTAATTATTTATTTAAATATAATTCAATCAATAATAAAACAAATTGTATAATAAAAATAATTATAAAAAATAAAAGACTAATAAATGTTACATTGAAAATTGAAAACGACAATTAATTTAAAACAAATAAAATTTTTTAAAACGACAACTAATAAAAAACGGAATGAATATTACTTACTGAGGAGCAAGAAAATATAAAAGGGAAAACAACTAGAAAGAATCTTTGTCTGGTTTTAGTTAATGATTAAAAGCTGTATTGGTTATTGTGAATTAGGGTGAAATCTCTAAGTATACTTTTTCTATATAAATAAGGTGTGTATGTTTATGTATCAAAAATATCTGAAACATGCTTTACCATAAAGGCTTTCGATGAGCTGTAATATTGACATAATTGGTTGAAGGGAATGAGTGATCATAATGATACCTAACATCTTTATTTAATCAAATAACCTAACGTTATTTTATTTGTTAAATATACTGCAACTAAAACCAAGTCTTCATCATACAGTTTTTAGATTTTTGCCCACCGCTAAAATTTTTATGGGCCTTCCCTTTCTGCCTGCATGGGCCTCCTCTCTTTGTGACTGGTCTTTGTTGGCTTCCTTCTTAACTCGGAGTTTGTGTGTATTTGAAAGTGTACATTCATTTGAGATATGAGATATTTTGCGTATTACAAAAGTCTTCATTACTTAAACCTAGCTCAAAAATTCAAAAGCCCTTCAAGTTGTTTTCAATTTAGACATTTAGTAATGCTTTAAAGATGGCCCATTTTTTCGACAAATATGCTTTGATCTGTTCATTTTGTTAGACTATGTGAATATTTGATGAACGCTCTATATGATCTCCATACACAGTCATATGATCAAATAGGATTACTGGACTAGGCCTTTGCACCCAACCTAACTTACCGAACTTTTTTTGGGGTTTAATATACGGTTGATCAGTTTATGTTATCTTCAAACTTCTAAGTCCTAGACCAATTAACTACCATCATATATATCACATGAGTTGCTTTCTTCTTCTTTTTTTTTTGTCAACACATGGGTTGTTGTTTTTATTGGTTCATTTTTTTTATTCTTTGTTAATCCACTTTCTCGCTACAATTTTATTTAAATCCATTTGTTTAACCCAAAACAATTTTGAATAAGAAAATAACAGCCAACTAGATGCCTATGGATGAAATTCATATCATTTTCTTCAGTCAAAATTAGCAATCATGAGTGATAAACAGAAGAAAAAAAACTATTAGTTTGACATAAGAAAAAACCAGAAAAACCCAGAAAAAACGATTACACCATCATGGAAAATTTTGTTGCTTCTCCTGCAAGAAAGTCAATCAGTAAGATCAGCCAAAATACATCTGCGATGACGTTTTCTTTGGGTGGAAAATTAAAGAAAAATGTCTAAAATACGTGATCTGATCAATATATCACATTTAATGAGATCTGGTCAAATATCCAATCTATTTGTTTATAATGACATCACAAGTCTCATTATGATAACAATAAACCGTCTCTCTTGTCCGAATATTAAAATCCTAACAACTCCTCCATATCCGAAATCATTCAATCTCTCCAATTCTCACAACCTCTCCACACACAAAGAACCAGTAAAGAAAAAACAAGAGGATCTCATTTATCGAATTGAAATGGTGAGTCCCTTTTCGTCACCGAAGAGATCAAGGAAAGAAAGCAAGAACCCTTATTCAAATCGCGGACTTGACAAGTTCTCAGCACTTCTCTCTGAGCTTGACGAGAAGAGACAGAGCATTTACTCAAAGAGGCTCGACTCAGATGGGCCGCATCTTGTTCGGTTTGTGTTCAAAAGCTCCGGAGAGTGCGTCCCTGTCATTATCAAGACAAAGAAGGCGGGTAAGAAGAAGGATGCTCAAGATGATTTCAAGGTCAAACCCGAAACAAAAACAGAGGAGGAAAAAGAAACAAAGAAAACAGAGTCAGAAACAGAGCAAAATCAGAGTTGTATATTGAACGAGAATCTGAAGAAGATTTCAAGACCGAACCATTTCTTGCCCGTGACAGCGATATTGGTCTTAATCTTCTTGGTGTTCTTCGGACGAATCGTCTCGATCATGTGCACTTGTATCGTTTGGTATTTGGTTCCAATGATTAAGGAACAGAGCAGAAACGGAGGATCAACATACGAGATTAATAATAAGAAGAAGGAATTGAATATCGAAAACAGAGCATCGTTTAACCGGAGAACGGCTCGTGACCAAACTGTTCTTAAGGATACATTTCCGCATCTGACTGCTCATGTGAAAACCCGGTGACGATAATTAAAACTTTTTGTGTGTGTGTGTGTGTGTGAAAGTTCTTTTATTCGTTTCATTTGACATTTTCCTTGGTCTTTTTCTTATATAGTTGTTTAATTTTGAAACAGAAAAATCTGTAACCTCTTCTTCTTCTTTTTGTTCCCTAACTTTCTAATGCTAATGATATGTATTTATGTAACGGATGGTTCATTACCATGCTCGTTAGCGCTATATCCGTATACTACAACTTTGTTCTGCAACATTGTTCACGAGAGCCACATGGAACGCATAGAGGCGTCCAAGTTTTGAAGAAGAATTAATCTTTCTATATCTTAGGGGTTTATTTGTTATTAGTAGATGAATCAAACTCTCACTTGTTGAAATCGTTATAACAAACACAATCTCCTTCTTGTGGTTTTATCCTGCGCATTAACAGAGATGGAAGGTTGATTTTTCATCTATTTTATAATAATTCAAGACATAATTTTCCTGTAAGATAAAATCTTGAGGATCCTAATATGATGATAATTAAAACAACATACATTTGGCTCATAACATCAGCTAAGCTTCTCTCAAGCCATTTCTTATTTACATGCACAGTTGCAGTCAATCAAGACGCAACTAATCCTATCTAACAATCGTTAGACACGCATCCGCATTGCGGTATCAAAAATTCCTCTGCACAGAAGAAATGTCTCGGAGAGCAAGTGAAGAGATAGGCTGTTCTCTGATGCGGGATAAGAGGATGGAGGTTTGCTCTGTTGCAATCTCTAGCCTCTCTTTTGATTTAGACGATTCAGAGACTAGTGTAGAAACCAGATTCTGCAGAAACTGAACTCTTTCCCCATGATCCTCAGCGTGACTTCTGAACGTCTTGCTAAAAGTTGTACTGATCCTACGCCACCTCAGAGGAAGATACCTGTCCGGGACCTGAAAACAGTTTCCGGTTGAGAGAACACGGAGCGCGTGCCTGCAGAGAAACCCAGAGAACTCAAACAGTTGGCAGCTGCAACTTATGATGCCTTCTTGAGGAACCCAATACACTTTTCTTCCTCCATCGAGTTTTGTGTGGTGCCTCACGAGATACCCGTCGTCCATCTGGAAGGATGCGTAGTGGGCAGCAAGCACAAGCTGTTCTTGGAGCTTGGAGAATGCGAAAGGAGTGAGGACCGAGGCTGCGTGAGATTCCATGGGGGCGCCGGTTTTTAGGCTGATGTTTTGAAGATTCTGTTGCATTGTTTGCTGTTCTGTGGCTTGGTCTTTGAAATCCACAGCAACAGCCACCTGCATATATATTCAACCCTAACTCAAATAAGCAAAATAGCAAAACTCAACACACGGAAAAAAAAAACCATTTCATCAGATAAAATGCATAAACCCTATGGAATAAATGGTTGCACCAACTATGAATAGAAAAGGCCTAAGAGCTTCACATAGCTCACTGTGAGTAACATATTATTCAGTGCCAGTTCAGAAAGTTATAAATTTTATCTATACCAGCAATGAATTAACACTGTTGAAGAATAAGAAAACATACTTGCTCTACAAAGTGAGCTAGCCTCGTTTGTGCGCTCAAGAATCTCTGAATAAAGGCATTAATGGCTTTGGATCGGCCACTCAAAGTCATTCCAGCTAAAAAGTGGCTTCTCAGGTATGGTAAAGACCACAAAGAACGTGAGGCATACAAGTTATTTATGTGTCTGTTTGTGTGCAGTCCAAAAGAGTTCACCATATCTCTCCAGCCAATCTCAAACTCCTCGACGGATTCCAGATGGTAGAGGCGATAGAACTCAGCTTTCCAGTCGTTGTAACGCTCTCCAAGACCAGCATTAAACCAGGATGGAAACTTCCCAACAACCATCCATATGCAGAGTGCGTGCTTAGTGGCAGGCATCTCTCCATCTATGGCTTCTTTGAGACACATATTGTGGTCTGTCAGTATCGTTTGAGGCGCCTTCCCATTCATGAACCCTATGAAAGCCTTCCGTATGACGCAAATATAAACAAATATCAGATAGAAGCGAAATGGATTGTTTCTTTCAACATAGAAGCTTTTTTCAAGTAATTATATGGAGAAGCCAAATTTCTACTCAGAGACAATTACCAAGAATTCGAAAGAGAAGTACATGGAAAAATAAGTGCCATTTTATTACCTGTAGTGCCCATGACCACGATCTCAAATTTTCATCCCGCAGAAGAACACAGCCAAAGAAGCAAGGCACACCGTAGTTATTAACTCCAACCCATATTCCAAGTGGCATCTCAACTGCACTTAAGCGATGTGTTGTATCAAAAACTACAGCATCTCCAAAGATTTCATAAGACTGAATGGAAGAAGCATATGACCAGGCAATATTTTCTAATTTATCGTTTGCATCTAGCGTAAACTCAAACTTAAAGTTAGGGTCTTTCTCCTTTATGCTCTGGCACATCCTGAGGAAATCGATGTTCTCATCCTCGGGATCAAGTTTCTTGAATGACTGAAGCAAATTCCTGACATCCTTTTCAGTAAATGGTAAAAAGCCAGGCTCGACACACTTCTCAAGCTCCATGAGCCTCATCATCTGCTGAACTGAAATTCCCGTCTTCGAAAACATCAGAATCCGGCTTTTATCTGCATCTGATATGGACCTGTATGCAGGAAGGAAACGAACCTGGTTTGGTTCTAGGAGGTCGTGATTGTGGTGGTTAGCAAAACCAGTAACACGCCATTCTGTTGAACCTAACTCAGTAATTTTACTAATCCTTAAGTATGCTTGACATCCACACCGAGAAGATCTTCTGTTTCTCTGTGGTTTTCCTTCACTCAAAGTTTTGACAGGTGTGTTACCAGCGCGATGGCAAACAAAGTAACGCCTGGTAAGTCCTTTGCCAATTCCATCTTTTCCTTCTGTCCTGTGACGACGTATTGAGAATCCGCATCGCTTTGCAAATGTACTGTAGAACTCGTAAGCCGCATCATGTGTAAGGAATCTTTGTCCTATATATGGAATGACATCGTTAATTGCTTCTAAAGAGAGGTTGTCCCCGTCTGGAGATTCCTCAGTGCTACTAGCATCATCCAAAGAAAGAGATCGATGATCTGAAGGGTCTTCATAGATGAGCAACAACGGTCCACCATCATCCGACATATTGCTCTTTAAGTATATTCAGCACACTCGAGGTCAGAAAGATTGCCTGACAAGCACATAAACATCAAGATAAATGTTATCTTACGTTTTACTTATGAGACTCAGCAAAACTACCAGCTTGACTATTTACCAAGATGCAATGTGTAAAAAACTCTCTTTGGACCAATGTGCAACCAATTATCTTATCACAGAACTGAAAAAAGAATCTATTTATATAGCATTGACATAAACAAGATAGAGCTATCCCCTTGTGGTACAGGAAGCTGATACATGACCGAACAGCAATTAATATCGGTTCGCAGAATCATATCAGCTAAAAGTCTACTCATAACATGAACGTCTTGAAACACAATTCAATACCATATGAAATCACGATGCCACTGCCACATCGATAAAACAAGTTTTGATTTTAACTCATGCGCACGAAGCTATAAGATTCTGAATCCAATAAATTCTCACTATGAAACGACGAATTTTTTAAAAGAGAATAATTTCTCAAGCACATTTTGGATGCCGATCAATGGCCATCACCATAAATGAAAACCAACGAGATGTGTTTTTAAAATAAATTCTGAAGAAATTTGAAGCTCGATTCCATAAAAGATGAATTCATCAGAAGAATATAAGTTTTAAATAAAACTCGCATGATCCGAAATCCAATTTCTTTAATTTTATTGATACAAATGCGACAAGAAAATAGACAAAGGCTGCAAAGATAGAGATAGAGCGTACTGATTTAAGCTTAGAGTGACGAACAGAGTCTTTGCGAAGGAGAAGCCCTAATTTGCGCAGGGAGGTGAAAACAATCCTTTGTCTCTCCTGCGCACCTTGTTATCTTACGCCTTCTCTACTCATCTTTCGAATACTATTACACGTATTACCAAACATCCCACTAAACAATACTACGTCGTTTTAAGTTAAATTACTTCGACCCCTCTCTTTTTCAATGTCGTCAAAATATCCCATTTCATTTCAATTCAAGGGTTTAAGCCACAGTGTTGTCTTACTTCGACTTCGTCTACCTCTAAAACCCTAACCTTTTTCCTCCGCCATGTCTCTCTGTCAACTCTTCCGCCGTTCCTCCCTCTTGCACCGTCTCTGTGCCTCCACCACCACCACCAGCCGAAGCTCTATTTCGATCTCACCACTCCAGCAACGCTTCTACAACATCTCAATTTCCCCGGATAATGACGATCCGGAGACGAACACAGACCCTAATTCATTTCCAGCTAGTGATCCTTCCCAATCCCAGATTCCTCCGAATCATATCCCTCCAAATCCCTATCCCACGCCGATCCCGCAGCGAACCATGGCTTTCTCATCAGCCGAGGAAGCCGCTGCCGAGCGTCGCCGCCGCAAACGCCGGCTCCGTATCGAGCCTCCTCTCCACGCTCTCCGTAGAGATCCCTCAGCTCCTCCTCCGAGACGCGATCCCAACGCCCCACGGCTTCCGGACTCAACCTCCTCACTCGTCGGCCAACGGCTTAATCTACACAACAGAGTCCAGTCACTGATCAGAGCATCAGATCTCGACGCTGCGTCACGGCTCGCTCGCCAGTCTGTGTTTTCCAATACCCGACCCACCGTATTCACTTGCAACGCCATCATCGCCGCCATGTACCGGGCCAAGCGTTACACTGAATCGATTTCTCTGTTCGATTATTTCTTCAAGCAGTCTAACATCGTCCCCAATGTGGTCTCCTACAATCAGATCATCAACGCTCATTGTGACGAAGGGCATGTGGAGGAAGCCCTTGAAGTATACCGTCATATATTGGCAAATGCTCCTTTTGCTCCGTCGTCAGTTACTTATAGACATTTGACAAAAGGTTTGGTTCAGGCTGGAAGGATCGGAGATGCTGCGAGTTTATTAAGGGAGATGCTGAGCAAAGGCCAAGCTGCGGATTCGATGGTGTTCAACAATCTGATAAGAGGATATTTGGACCTTGGCGATTTAGATAAGGCCAACGAGTTCTTTGATGAATTGAAGACAAGGTGTACGGTTTATGATGGGATTGTGAATGCGACCTTTATGGAGTACTGGTTTGAGCAAGGTAAGGATAAGGAAGCCATGGAATCTTACAGGTCTTTGTTAGATAAGAAATTCAGAATGCATCCACCGACTGGAAATGTGCTTTTGGAAGTTTTTCTCAAGTATGGTAAGAAGACTGAAGCTTGGGCTCTGTTCAATGAGATGTTGGATAATCACACTCCTCCCAACATCCTTTCCGTGAATTCGGAGACGATCAGTATAATGGTCAATGAGTGTTTCAAAATGGGGCAGTATACAGAAGCGATTGATACATTCAAGAAAGTTGGGAGTAAGCCGACCTCGAAACCATTTGTGATGGATTATGTAGGTTACTGTAACATAGTAACAAAATTCTGTGAACAAGGGATGTTACCAGAGGCTGAAAGGTTCTTTGCGGAAGGTGTATCCAAATCCCTGCCTCCTGACGCTCCGAGCCACAGAGCAATGATCAATGCTTATCTCAAGGCAGAGAGAATCGACGATGCTCTCAAGATGTTGAACAGGATGGTGGATGTGAATCTAAGGGTGGTTGCTGATTTTGGCACGAGGGTCTTTGGCGAGCTGATTAAGAATGGTAAGCTCACCGAATCTGCAGAGGTTTTGACTAAGATGGGAGAGAGAGAACCCAAACCAGATCCTTCCATTTATGATGTGGTGGTTAGAGGTCTTTGTGATGGTGGTGCACTTGACCAAGCCAAGGATATTATTGGTGAGATGGTTGGATACGGTGTCGGGGTTGCTCCTGTTCTGCGAGAATTTATCATCGAGACTTTTGAGAAAGCAGGACGTCGTGAAGAGATTGAGAAAATCCTGAATTCGGTTAGCCGTCCAACTAGAAATCCTGGGCAATCTGGTAAAACTCCACCTAGTGTACCCGCAGTGTTAGGAATCACACTTGCAGCTCCTCAGCAGCCTAGAGACAGGGCCCCATGGACGAGACAAGGGGCGGGGAATCCTGATTCTGGTTTGGCCAATGGAACTGCAGGTCAAGCAGCAGGAGGAACTTACAAGGCTAATAATGGCCAGAGTCCGTCTTGGTCCAACACTTCGATTAACCCGCAGCAGCAATCATGGTCTAATCAGACAGCAGGGCAACAGCCACCATCATGGTCGAATCAGGCACCGGGATATCAGCAGCAGCAATCTTGGTCTCAGCAACAGGGGTGGTCAAGTCCTTCAGGTCAGCTGCAATCTTGGGCTAATCAGACAACTGGCCAGCAGCAACCGTGGGGTAACCAGAACACCGGTCATCAGCGATCGTGGGCTAACCAGCCAAGTGGCCAGCCGCAACCGTGGGGTAACCAGAACCCCGATCATCAGCGATCATGGGCTACCCAGTCAAGTGGCCAACAGCAACCGTGGGCTAATCAGAACACTAGCCAGCAGCAACCATGGGCTAATCAGTCAACCGGCCAGCAGCAACCGTGGGCTAATCAGAACACTGGCCAGCAGCAACCATGGGCTAATCAGTCAACCGGCCAGCAGCAACCGTGTGCTGATCAGACAACCGGCCAGCAGCAACCATGGTCTTATCAGACAGGTGGCCAGCAGTCAGCGTGGACAGGGCAGCAGCAACCGTGGTCTAATCAGACAGCTAGCCATCAGCAGTCATGGTCAAATCCCTTGCCAGGACAGATGACTAATCAGGCACCTCAGTCAAACTCTGTGGACGGTCATCGTCCTCAACAACATGAGCCAGTGTCCTCCCATGGATGGGAAGATGGAGAAGAAAAAAAGGTAGTTGAGTTGAGCAACTAGTTCGACAAACTCGCCATTTCCTCAGCACCATCATCACCATTTATAAGTTTTCTTACTTTGCCTTTTGCTTTATGGTTCGCAATTATTTGCAAACTCTGGTATTTATTGATTAACATCATAATCTAATACGGTTTTCTGATTCTCGACTTTCGTCGTTTTATACATGTATGTATAGCTCTTTGAATTCTCCAGTAGCGCTTCTGTAGAGTTTAAAATCAGTAACTTGATCAAATATAATTTCAGTTTTCCCAAAGTTGATAAAAAATATGATGTTCGTAATCTATAATTAGATTAGCTCTGCAGGAAGATGTTCGTAATCTATAACTAGATTAGCTCTGCAGGCCGGCAGAAGCAAAACTCTTACATACAAAAGGCTCGACCTTTACATTTATCTCTCTGAAACCTCAAATAAAGAGGAGATCATGACCAAAGGAAGCTAATAACAGAAAAAAGAGAGTCCTATGTATATATTCTCGTAGAAGAATCTCATCTCATCCCTATAAAAGTAGAAAAAAGAAGAGAAAGAATCAGTTATTTTCTCAAAACCCCATGACAGTAGAGCTCAAGTTCATAAGAGGAGCTAAGGCACTAGGAGAGAACTTCCGAGCAAAAAGGAAGCACAAGGAAGTTGGTTCTTCATTGTAAAGACAATCCGTTTCGTTTTTCCTTATTGACTGAAGAAACCCTTCTGTGATATTAGCTGCATCATATGTAGCTGGATGCGGACCGCCTATTGACCAATCAACCCATGTCACGCTTCTATTCGCGTTCACTGAACCGTGAAACATGTTCAAGAATGTCGGGATGTAATGCTCGTCTGGGTAACACGCTGGTCTGCAGAACTGCTTGAACAGTGAGTAGTATTTTGTGTCTGAGATGATGTAGATGGCGATTTTACGGTTTACTTCAAACCACTGAGACCCTTTGCGCCAGTGATGGAGTTTGATATCTGGGAGCATCTTACGGCTGTAACGGCCACGGCCATAACGGGTTGGCTCGTCGTACGAGTCCACGAAGCTGTAAGCAGAGTTTATTAGGTAACTGTAGACAGTTGAGAAGTTGTAGACTGGGACACAGCTCTCTGAGAGAAGAATAAAACGCTCGTTTGAAAAGTCGAGCAATGCGTTGGCCAGAAGACGCTTCTCTGCGTCTGTCAATAGTGGAGATCCCCATTCAACTTTCTGTAAAAACCAAAGTACAGAAAAATATCAGAAACCAAAGACATTCTTTTGTTCTGTGATTATCGAGATCTAACATATAATCACGCAGACCGTCCATGATCCATCATTGGTTTTCTGAGAGTATGAGATTGACCAGGTTTAAGAACCAAACAAAAGTTACAAAACTGACTTCAGTGTCTAGCTAGCTAAAAGAACCCTTGTGCGACATAATGCACAAGAGACATAAAGTGACATTGTGAACTAGCATGTTTCGTTCTTGGTTCATAGCTAAGCAGTTCCGCTCAAAACACTAGGTATAAAGCAATTCTCAGTCATTCACATCATAACACAAAAGCAAAATTACACACGAACTTTAAAGGCTGTGTAACCAACTGGAGCTGCATAAGACACACATGAGCAACACAAACTATGTGCAGGAGTAACAAAGCATCACCTATACACAACCTTGAAATAAATGCAACTCAAGATGAAAGAACAATTGAAATATCTAAATTCTAAGCACCTATCAACGATATCAAATAGTCTCCGAAATATGTAATCACGTCCCAATGTAACTTGAATTCTCTCATTCTGATTAGATCTACATGTGGTTCCTCTAAAGATCTAGAATCTCCATGATATAGAATGGCTATATTTCTACATCTTCGATGTGATAATTTCGCTGAGTAAATGAGCAAACTAAAAGATCCAAGAGAATTCGTAGAAAGTATGTGTCAATAGGTACAGCTTCCTGCACAAATCTCAGACCAGCGTTTCCAATGAATTTCCAGACCAAAGCACATGAAATTTTAACTAGATAGACCAAATTCCCAAGTTTCCAATTCCAAATGGAAGACGACACTACAAAATCTCATTCACTTATCCAATGCTCTGTTCTTGTATTCTAAGGTAAAATAACTGGTGAAACTATGTAGTTGTTTCAGAAGATGAGATTTTTTTTCTCACAGAAGAGCATAAGACACAACATTTCACTGTATTGCATCGACACGTACCTGGCTCGGGATCTGCCGGTCGTAAAACGGAGAATCACGAGAGACATTCATGTCGTATCCAGGAGGCGTATGAACATAGACCGATAAGTACTTTTCGTTGCCTTTGAAGAACTTCTCCCAGAGAGGAAGCATCGGCAACGGCCCTCTCGTCAGGAACAAGAAGGCCACTTTCGGGACCCTATCGTACGCATACTCATCTTTCACCGGAACCATCGACGCTCTCCAGAACAGCTCGTCGTCACTCATTCCATGGCTCAGATTCTCTGGCCGAACAAACCCATCTATGCTCCAGCAATCTCGATCCTTTGGTTTCTCCGCTTTTCGTTCGTCGTCGTTCTCGTCGTTACCTGTGCAATCCCGGTGGATGACACTGCAATTAGAGTAATCAGGTGTCGAAAACGGAGCCGTTTGGAGATTAGCGGTGGATGAGAACATCCTCGGCAAAGAATTGAAGTAGCGATCGATGTGAGAGCTTGCGGCGAGGCCGATGATGATTCCGGCCATGAATATGAGCAGAAACGACAGCGTTTGAGCCAGTTTTAGTAAACCTATGTGCTTTTCCCCTTCTTCTTTCTCACCCACTCTACCTCCTCTCGCCATTGTTATACCAAACTCGAGAAACTCAAACACAGTGATGATCTCTCGGGTTGATTTCGACTGTTCCCCAAAAATAAAGTTTCAGGGAAACATCATATGCTTCAAAGAGAATCTGATTGTATCAGACAAAAATCCATTTCTATCAAAGCCCCGACAATTTTTTTTTTGTTTTCCTAATCTGTAACAAAAGGATCAAATCCAGGGATCAAACAATTTTGGGAAGAGAAAAAACGAAAAAAAGGGAACTGCAAGAAAGAAACCAGAATTGGATCTCTGGAAATCTTCGTAGTAATTTCGAGGAAAATAAGAAAGTGAGAAACAATGACTGAAACAGATCAGAAATTGAATTCTCCGCAGAGAGGAAGAAACATCAACAAATCTGGTCTTTTGTTTTTAGTTGAAATCCCATGTGTGGTTGATTTGATCTTATATGTATAACAAAATTAAGTGGATTTTATGGGTAATTTAATAAGATTAATTGAGTTTATTAAGCTCCTCGTCGAAAACATAACGAGTTCAAACTCCGCAGATCTTGCCAGGTGGACAGAACTTATAGGTTCTAAGTAATTGGGCCAGGGGGCCCACATTCGATTGTGACGTGGTTTTATGCTCCTCAACTCTTTGGTCCGACATTTCATATTTTTAAAAATTTCTGGATATCTAGTAGTCAAAATTCTGAGAGTAACCTTAATAATCTAAGGGAGCCACCAAAAAAAAAGGCTTTAATATCGATTACTCCGACCAAAAAAATAAAATAATAATCGATTACTATTATAATAATAAAAATTTTCACAGTCCGAGAGCCTCACGAATGCTGAAAGTTTGATGGATGCTAAACTAATTAGTAATAGAGTGAAGAGGGTCATTTTTACTTAGTGAAAAAAATTAAAACTTTACTTAGAACGAAAAAATTAAAGTATGTATACTAATGATGAAATTAAGATTTTACCACCATCAAAAAGGATCAATTTAGTGTCACACTTGTCACCCACGAAGACAACACATATGGGTTGTGATAGTTTCATAAACTTTCATATAATGGTATTGTGAATCCTATCATGATTAGATATGTGTTATTTTGAAATAGAAACATAGCACTAGAATAAAGTAAACAAAAACCAAGCATTTCAACGCTTCACTTACGATAATTGAAACTCTCTATATATCCATTCCAAACATGCCTCGGCAAGATCTCCTCCATCCGTATTCATTGTTCTGCTAACAAGAGTCTTCTTAGGCGAAGCATTGAGTTTTCAGAAGAAAAAAAACATTGAAGCGTTCGTCTTTTTCTTTCTCATGCTCTATTTCTATTTCAAAAGAGAACTTCGTTGGACCATTTTCAGTTTTTATGTTGTTCTTGTTTCCACTCCATGTAGATACATAGATAATCTTATCCAACAATTATAAAAAGAGATACAAAGAATCAACAATTTTTATAAAAATTAACTACGTTCGCACTAATCAAGTCATTTTGCACAAATAATAATTTGGTAGTTAAGTGATAACATGAAGCTTAATAGTATTCTATTTTTGTGCCCAAAATAGAAAAGGTTAAAAAGGGAAAGAAAAAGAAGAAGAAACACTCGAGTCCGATGAGAAAGAAATTAGAAAGATATGGATTTTTTGTAACTATTTTGAAATTTGAATCTTGTCCCGTGTCTTTTTGATTCTTACGTTCTCTCTTATATGACCTCGTCTTCGCTCATTTCTGCCTTCCCCTAAGAAAAATCCCCAACGGAGACGGACGAAAAATCTTTGCTTAATACCATCACGACCGGATTCGAAATTCCGGCCCTCTTCTCGCCGGGGAAAAAAGCCGCCGGTAGCCGTCGGTTTCGGTTCTGCTCAGATCTAACGTAGTGGCTCCCTTCTTCCTCCAGATCTCTTACTTCGAATCGGTTACTCGATCTTGATTCGCGGAGTGCTTTTGCAAGTCGTGATGGAGGCGATCGATGAGTTGTCTCAGCTCTCAGATTCGATGAAACAGGCGGCGTCTCTGCTCGCCGACGAAGATCCCGACGAGACCTCTTCTTCTAGACGCCCAGCCACTTTCTTAAACGTCGTAGCCCTAGGAAATGTCGTGAGTTCCCTGCTCTCTCTCTCTCCCTGCTCCTCGATTTGGTTGTGTTTAGGCTTGTGTTTGTTTCATGCTATGTTCGAGTGTTGGTGTTGGATGCGTTATCGTGGATCTTCTGGATCTCGATTAGTTTTTTCAAATTGCCGTGGATCAATTTGGTTAGGACACATTCATCGTTTGGAGCTTGTTTGGTAGTGTGTTCTCTTTATTAGTGTAAATATCGTTACATGAGATCAAAATCGATCAGGTCTGCTTGTCAGATCCTCCTCTAATTTCTATTCAAATGATCACACATTTGCTTGAATTAGTTGTCTGTTGAATGATTGAAGAAGAAAATGCTTCATGGAAGTAGTAATAATTTAGGTAGTTTGGAAATGAAAATCTGTCCCGTGTTCAGACCTAAGTTCTCTCTCTTTGCCTACTGTGCCAGGGAGCTGGAAAGTCTGCAGTTCTAAACAGTCTCATTGGACATCCAGTTTTGGTAAGTAGTAACATTGAGTCTATGGAAGTTTATTCTGGTTATTATTGGCTCATACCTTTTCTTAAAATAATACCGACGTCTGTGTCTTTGCTACACTTACTATGGACAGCCAACGGGTGAGAATGGTGCTACACGTGCTCCTATAATAATTGACTTGAACAGGGAGGGTTCTTTGAGCAGCAAGGCAATTATCTTGCAAATCGACAATAAGTCTCAACAAGTTTCAGCAAGTAAGTCTCCCTCTATGAACATATGCAATTTAGCAATGGTACGTGGAGCTCTTCCTGCATGTATGATATAGTATTTGATCAATCTTCTCATATTATTACCATTGTGTTCATCATGGGTGTGTTGTAGGTGCTCTGAGACATTCTCTTCAAGACAGACTTAGCAAAGGAGCGTCAGGGAAGAATCGTGATGAAATATATTTAAAACTTCGTACCAGCACAGGTAAGCCCTATATTACTTGCACAATCTTACGTGGCAAGCCTATCTACTCTTCAAAGAGCACGTCCGTAGCTAACTTAAGTTTGGTGGATAAATATATCTTTGATATAAGTGAACTGGTCAACTGTAATATGTTGCACCCCCAGGCCCCATCCCATATATAATCTACTGCACTAGTTTAGAGCCTAAGCTGTAAGGTGGTGGGTATCAAATATTATATCTAATGGAGCATGAGTAATGAGTAATGACATATGACCTGCATTCTCTCAGTGTTAAATTTTTGATGATCATAACGTATAACTTTTACCCTTTCTATCTCAGCTCCACCATTGAAATTAGTTGATTTGCCTGGACTGGACCAGCGAATTGTGGACGATTCAATGGTGAGCCTTACTGTTCAATGTCTTTTCATTGCCCTTCATCCACCTGACAACCATGAACATACGATTTCAACAGTTTTAAATGGGTTTCCTGCTGAAATGCAAACATAAATTCATTATCATGTTTGTCCTTATTGAAATGTTTCGTTTTATTTCTTGGATGTCTTTGCAAGATTGCTGAATATGCGCAACACAATGACGCAATACTGCTGGTTATAGTCCCTGCTAGCCAGGCATCTGAAATTTCATCATCCCGAGCCCTGAAGATTGCAAAGGAGTATGATCCAGAAAGTGAGTACATCAGTGTTTTTGACCTGGATTTTCTTATATTGTTAATATTTTATACTTACTAATAACTGATGTTTTACTAGCAAATCATCTCATCAGTTTGCTTAAAATACTCATTAGCTATCATCACTCCTCCCTGGTTTAGGCACTAGGACCGTAGGCATTATCGGCAAAATTGACCAGGCTGCAGAGAACTCAAAAGCCCTCGCTGCTGTTCAGGCTCTTCTTTCAAACCAGGGACCTCCAAAAACAACTGACATTCCATGGGTTGCTCTTATTGGCCAATCTGTTTCAATTGCATCAGCACAGTCTGGAAGTGGTGAGAACTCCTTAGAAACTGCATGGCGCGCTGAGAGTGAAAGTCTTAAGTCCATTTTGACTGGGGCTTCACAAAGCAAGCTTGGCAGAATTGCTTTGGTGGACACCCTTGCTAGCCAGATTCGTAGCAGAATGAAGCTCAGGCTTCCAAATATCTTGTCTGGGTATTGCATCTCTCCATATATTTACTTTTCTTCATGATGTCAGACAGGCAAATTAATAAGTTTCCCAAGCTGCTCTCGTCTCTTAGATTGACAAAGATACCAATCTCATTCGTTCGCCTCAATAACCTTGATTCTCGAGCTTTCATTCACAGTAGCAAATTGTTTATGATCAGGTGTAGAAGCCTTGTGTTCTTTTAGGTAGCATAAAGCAAACTTGTGAGAGTCTAGATTTATTATAGAAAGAAAGATCTTTATAAACTGAACTTGCTAGATTAACTTGTACCTAGAAATCAGTACATCAGACCTTAGATAGAATTTGTGAATGGGAAGGAACAATACTGAATATGAAAGGAAAGGAAAGGAAATCAGGGAATAATATTGCTCAAAAGAAAGTGATACGTGAAGTAGTTGAGAGTTTGATTGGATAAATTGCCAACCTCGTTGTAGGTCAATACTTAATTTCTGATAAAGATAAGTCTATCTTGCAAGTTCACTTGTAGATGCTCATTACCTCTCCCAGTGTGGAATGTCCGTAATATCTTTTTGTTTTAATTATTCAAATTCTTTGCACAGGCTCCAGGGTAAATCTCAAATAGTGCAGGATGAGCTAGCGAGGCTTGGTGAACAACTAGTTAACAGTGCTGAAGGTACAAGGGCTATAGCTTTGGAGCTTTGCCGTGAGTTTGAAGACAAATTTCTTCTCCACTTGGCTGGTGGTGAAGTAAGTACTTTCCTACTTAAGTAAACTAGATTTTAGTAGAAAATTCAAGAATATCGTGAAAGAGAGCAACTGTGTAAATATTTATCTAAATGGTATGTGTAAGCCCTCTGACGGGTTGAATAACATATTTTGTACTTGTCTGTTTTGAGTTTATGAGCTGAAGTCCTTTTGGAGCTGGGTGAACGTTTTCCTCTAACAGTCATTTGTTTTGTCCAGGGAAGTGGTTGGAAAGTTGTTGCAAGTTTTGAAGGCAATTTCCCCAACCGTATCAAGCAGCTTCCATTGGACAGGCATTTTGACTTGAACAATATTAAAAGGGTGGGTGTCTCTTTTTTCCTAAAATTTTCTGCACGAGACAAGTTTTAAGACTGGACTTGACAATTTTTGTTTTTGATTTTATCAGGTTGTTTTGGAGGCAGATGGTTATCAACCTTATCTTATATCTCCAGAGAAAGGGTTGAGATCGTTGATAAAGATTGTTCTTGAGTTGGCTAAAGATCCTGCACGTCTTTGTGTTGATGAGGTGTGCCTATTTAGTTTTTTTTTTAGATGCAGTGGTATTGAATTTTAGCAATTGTGAAGCGGTCATGACTCGTCTCACATTGAGACTTCAATTCTTCGTACTGTTTTTGAGAGTGTTAAGTTTTGTCTGGTTCTAGTGCGCTTATCTGATTTACTTAAGTCTTGATAAATCTTCCTACTCTAAAAATCTTGCATCCAAGTTCTGTTTTGTCTTCTTTCTCTGTTGAGCTAACATGGTCTTCACTTTTGATTAGGTTCACCGAGTTCTTGTTGACATAGTTTCAGCCTCTGCAAATGCCACACCTGGACTCGGGAGATATCCTCCTTTTAAGCGAGAGGTAATAATGTTCTGTAGCATTTATCATTTCAATAAAGCTGTTTGTTCCTAACTAAACATCAACCAGGTTGTAGCTATAGCAAGTGCAGCACTTGATGGTTTCAAAAATGAAGCCAAGAAAATGGTGGTTGCACTAGTTGATATGGAACGCGCTTTTGTGCCACCTCAACATTTTATCCGTCTTGTGCAACGGAGGTATAATATCTTGCTTTTCTTTGCATTTTTATTTTGTATTTGTAATGGTTGTCTACTCAGACTTATTGATCCCTCATCCTATTTTTCTTTTAAAACATTTTGGATCGATCATTGTTGAAGCCCATAATTTCTTTAGCTTTTTTTCTTTGCGTGTTTGTTTTGTGAATTGAGCATTTCGGTTGTAATGCTTTTATTACAAGAAGATTTTGTACCTCTCTGTAGAACTATTTGCTGAGGCCATCTTTGACATTAATATTTTTCATCAAGTTTTTATGCTTCTTTTGTCAGAATAATCTTTTATGGCTTTGTATGTTTATCCTTTCATGTGAGCTAATACCTTTAACGGTAAAGCTACCATGCTTTCTGATGGAGAGCTTCTATATGCTTGTTAACCTGGCTGGATGGGGTATTTCAGGTTACTTAAAATGCTTCTTTACAACCTCTATGTAGATCTATGGCTGCACTTTTGTATCCAAGTCGTCATAGTTCTGAAGCTGCACATTTTTGAGAAAGTCCTAAAAATTGTAATTTTACATGCATGCTGTTTTCATGGTTCATGGCTGAAAAATATATCTCCCTTTCTGATGATGGACTGTATTGACTTCATCAGAATGGAAAGACAACGTCGCGAGGAAGAGCTGAAAGGACGATCTTCTAAGAAGGGACAAGATGCAGAACAGTCCCTTTTAAGCAGGGTGTGTCTTCATTCTTAATCAATTTGGATGCACTACTTAATTAGTGGAAAATGCTTTTTATGAGTTTACATTATTATACATGAAACTACTTAATTAGAAATTCTCATACCTTCGCAGGCTTCAAGTCCTCAGTCAGATGGGCCAATAGCTGGTGGTAGCATGAAATCAATGAAAGACAAACCTAGTCCGCAAGATAAAGAGACGCCGGAAGTCTCTGGTCTGAAAACTGCTGGACCTGAGGGGGAGATAACAGCAGGTTGTTGTTTTTCTAATATACGTTTACCCAGTTGCTCTCTTAAAAAAATTCATTCTTCCCCTATCTATTTTCCTTGTGTAGCGTGATTTAATTGCTGCAAAGCTTTGCTCTTAGTCCAAGTGCATGGTTTCTTTGTCTTTTTCGTCTTTATCACTTGAGCCTTGATAAAACCAACTTCCAAGGTTGATAACAAATAATTACTCTTTCATGTAGGGTACTTAATGAAGAAAAGTGCCAAAACTAATGGATGGAGTAGGCGATGGTTTGTTCTGAATGAGAAAACCGGAAAGGTTAGTATTAGGTTTTAGAGTGTATATCCTTTCGGTGTTAGTCCAAATATCTGCAAAAGAGGAAGCACTGTAATCACGTACTGAACCATTTACCTTTTTCTAGCTGGGCTATACCAAAAAACAAGAAGAAAGAAACTTCCGGGGCACTATTACGTTGGAGGTACCATTCTATTACCATGCTTTCTTTTCTCCTGTCAAGAGGGAACTATAACTAGAGATGACTAATAACATGGTTTCATATTCACCTTGTTATTTTCTCCCACGCTAGTTCTTTCATGGAGAATGACAATTATACAAGTTACATTTTCCTATCCATGTTTTTCTAATTTTACTTTCTCATAAACTTTGGTAATCCACGCAGGAATGCACTATTGAAGAAATTCCTGAGGAAGAAGTAGAAAAGTCAAAGAGCTCGAAGGACAAGAAGGCTGACTCAAAAGGACCTGGTCTTGTATTTAAAATAACCTGCAAGGTTCCCTATAAGACTGTACTAAAAGGTACGTGAACCAATCATTATCAGATTTCAAAATTAATCCTTTATGCGCTCTTTTATGAGTTTTTCCTCAAAACTGTTATGTCACACAGCTCACAATGCCCTTGTGCTTAAGGCTGAGAGTGTAGTCGATAAGAACGAGTGGATTAATAAGTTGCAAAAGGTTATTCAGGCTCGAGGAGGCCAAGTAGGCAATGTTTCCATGAGACAGAGTCTTTCAGAAGGTTCACTTGTGAGTCACACAAGGCCAACTTTTATGCTTAATATTATATCATTCATGTTTCCCTTACATACGGTAGATATGTTCACTGGTCCTATGCGACACCAATTCTTAGTATGACGAACTTCCAAGTCTATGTTAAAAAGGGTTTCTATGTGGCTTGAAACACTATGAAATTATGTTAAAGAATTAAAACAAGTATTGTTAGGAAGAGTGTAAGTTAATGATGTATTAGTGAACATGGAGATAGTTTTTGAGTTGTTTATTGTGAGAACTTTTCGCTATATAAGGGTCTATGGGTAGACATAATTCTTTATTTACAAGTTATGTTTTTGGCATACTATGCCTTTATCCTTTATATCCCTAACTGATAGTGGTTACTTATGATGTTATCTTGTCTGTATTTTAGGATAAGATGGTTAGGAAACCCATCGATCCAGAAGAGGAACTCCGGTGGATGTCCCAAGAAGTACGGGGTTACGTTGAAGCTGTCCTTAATAGTCTTGCAGCCAATGTTCCAAAGGTGGACTATTCTTAGTCGATAGCTCCAAGCTTCCTTGCCCATCTCTTTTTTCTTTTAAAAATATTCCTCGGTAGTGATACTAAGCGACGTGAATTCAACAGGCTGTTGTTCTTTGTCAAGTGGAGAAAGCAAAAGAAGACATGCTGAATCAACTATACAGTTCTATCAGGTTCAATATCTTTCCCTCTCCTGTGGAGAATTTCATTTCAGTTGCGGTTTGCTTATCTGCGTTATCTTGTATTTGATCTCTAGTGCAATAGGCAATGAGAGGATTGAGTCATTGATTCAAGAGGATCAGAACGTCAAAAGACGAAGAGAGCGTTACCAGAAACAATCCTCTCTTCTCTCTAAGCTCACGAGGCAGCTTAGCATTCATGACAACCGAGCTGCTGCTGCTGCTTCAAGTTGGTCCGACAATGGTGCCACTGGTAAATTCATCCGCCTTTTTCTTTGGTGTAGTAGAGTCTCCCTTCGGGTCACAATTTTTTTAATTATTTTTTGTTTAATGAAATAGACTGGAAACCAAAATACAATTCAGGATATTGTTTTGGATTCAGCTTCATAAAAAAGATTTGTAGGATTTGTTCGAATAAAAAAAATGAAGCTTATTGAGCTATTGTGGGCTACGTTACATCTACCAAGTATTCATATCATTTTGTTATCTCGTGACCCGCAGAAAGTAGTCCAAGAACCAATGGAGGTTCTTCAGGGGATGACTGGATGAATGCCTTCAACGCAGCTGCTAATGGACAGTCAGATTCATTGTCAAGGTACGGATCAGGTGGTCATAGCCGCCGCTACAGCGATCCTGCTCAGAACGGAGATGCAGCGTCACCAGGCTCTGGTAGTAACCGCCGCACCACCCCGAATCGGCTGCCACCAGCACCACCACAGACGAGTTCATCTTACAGGTACTAGAACCTGGAAGATACAAAAAAAGGGCCTGGAGACTGATTCTTTTTCTGGGGTTTGGGTCCCGTTTTCTGGGACTAAGTTACTCTTATTTTTTCTAGTTTAAGAAAGTGATTCGATGATTGTACTACTGTTTTGTCTTCCTTTGTAGATAGATTTTTTTTCACACATTGATGTCAAACAAAGAGCTAAAGAGTTTGTTTCATGAGTCGATGTCTGTTTGACTATTTTTTGTTCCTATTTTTTTTTGGCATCTACTGTTAAGGGGGAAAGTGTGCACCTTTCTATTTTTTAGCTACTTTTATACTGCAGTTGTTGAATGAATTTTGTCTTCGAGATTCCAATGAATCTGAATCAGAACCTTCTGGGTGAAATCCAGAACTGATATAATTGGAATTTGTTGTTACAATGCCACTGATTAAGGGAGTGTTTTTGTTTTGCTTTGGATACTCACCTAATTCACTAAAGTTTGGGGATAATATTAATTAATAAAGTAATTATGGGTTTATTTCAAATAAAATACTTTTGTAAAGACCCATGTCATCAAAATTCAATGTTGATAAAACGACACCGTTAGAAATTGGAATGATCTTTTCGATAATCAAATATCGGTGTACATTTGTTAAGTTACTTACCAGTAAATTGGCGACCCAGGACCGGGTCGAATGCTAATTCGCTAACTGTAAACCCGGGAAACCCGGTATTAACTTGCTACAAAAGGAGCCTTCCAAATCACCCAGAATGTTTGACCTATTTCATTTGGCCGGTTTGGACTTTTGAGAGAATAAAAGAGTATTAAAATATAGGGTTTAATTTCTCAGTTAATTCTCTTTGGTATATATTCTCATGACACTTTATCTTTTTCGTTTTAGGTTTTCGTTTGTTTCTGTTTGTCTTCAAGTTTTTTTCTTTTTATTTATAGTATAGTCTACAACCTCTGTTTTCGGTGTCTTATTCTCTAACTAATGTTTCTAATCATACACTTTTTGCATCCTTTTGTGCTCCTTCATTGATAATCTACTATATTGTTGTTTTAATCTGGATTTGAAATGTTCTATCACGGAGATTTTTGTCTCTTATAAAGTTCTGGGAGATTGCGATCATAAAGTTTCGGATTTTTTCCACGAAAATCTCAGTGCATAAATGATTCTTATACTTTTTTTTCTTCTTTTATATTTCTCTGTTATGTAATGGTTCTCATGTTGATTTTAATCCTTAATTTGTGCAGATTAGATATAAGCAAAAACGATGGTGAAATATAATTTCAAGAAGATAACCATTGTTCCAAATGGAAAAGAGTTCGTTGATATCATTCTTTCCCGCACTCAACGCCAGACACCAACTGTTATCCACAAGAGTAACAAGATTAGCAATCTCCGTAGCTTCTACATGAGGAAAGTTAAGTTCACACAATCAAACTTTGTTGAGAAGCTCTCTACCATTATCGACGAGTTTCCTCGCCTAGATCAGATTCATCCCTTTTATGGCGATCTTCTTCATGTGCTCTACGATAAAGATCACTACAAGCTCGCTCTTGGTCAGCTCAACACTGCCAAGAAGCTGATTATCAAAATCTCCAATGATTATGTGAAGCTGGTCAAGTATGGTGATTCTCTGTACCGATGCAAGTCCTTGAAAGTTTCTGCTCTTGGGCGTATGTGTACTGTTATGAAAAGAATCGGTCCTAGTTTGGCTTATCTTGAGCAGGTTAGGCAACATGGCGAGGCTTCCTTCCATTGATCCTAACACTCGAACTCTGCTGATCTGTGGATGTCCTAACGTGGGAAAAAGTTCTTTTATAAACAAAGTTACAAGAGCTGATGTGGATGTTCAGCCATATGCTTTCACCACGAAATCGCTCTTTGTTGGTCATACTGATTACAAGTGTTTGAGGTATCAGGTTATTGATACACCGGGAATTTTGGATAGGCCGATTCAAGACCGTAACATCATTGAAATGTGTAGTATCACTGCGTTGTCTCATCTTCGAGCTGCTGTTTTGTTCTTCCTGGATATTTCGGGTTCTTGTGGTTACAGCATTGCTCAGCAGGCTGCTCTTTTCCACAGCTTAAAGCCTTCGTTCGTGAACAAACCGTTGGTAATTGTCTGCAACAAGACTGATTTGGTGTCCATGGAAAGCCTCTCTGATGAAGATCTGAAACTGATTGAAGAGATGAAAGCTGAGGCTATGAAGACTGCAATGGGAGCAAATGAAGAAGCAGTGTTTTTGAATATGAGTACTCTGACAGAAGAAGGTGTGATGTCAGTGAGAAATGCTGCGTGTCAGAGGCTATTAGATCAAAGGGTAGAGGCAAAGATGAAATCGAGAAACATTAATGAGCACTTGAACAGGTTCCATGTGGCGATGCCTAAGCCTCGTGATGACAAAGAAAGGCTCCCTTTTATACCTCAGGTAGCTGAGGAAGCTGGTGAAAAGGAGAAGCGAAAGACCGAGAGGGATTTGGAAGATGAGAATGGTGGAGCTGGGGTTTATTCGGCTAGTCTAAAGAAGAACTACATCTTGGCTGATGAAAAATGGAAGGATGACATAATACCTGAGATTTGTGATGGTCATAATGTTGCTGATTTTGTTGATCCAGACATTTTGAATAGGCTTGAGGAGTTGACAAGAGAAGAAGACATCAGGCAGGCTGAGGATGAAGAGGATGATTTTGAGATAGACGGAGAAGAACTAACCGAGGAGGAGAAGAATCAGTTGGCTGCTATTCGTAAGGAGAAATCTTTGCTCATTCAAAAGCATAGACTCAAGAAGCGCAATGCACAAAACAGAGCAACCGTTCCAAGAAAGTTTGACAAGGATAAGAAGTTCACAAGGGAGAGATTGGGTAGAGAGTTATCATCTCTTGGTATTGATCCTTCTTCTGCGATGAACCGTGCAAGAAGCAAGTCTAGAGGGAGAAAAAGGGAGAGATTTGATGATTGGGGTAAAGATGCAATGGATGTGGATATGAATGATGAGCAACAGATGAAGAAGAAGCTTTGTCTGAGATCGAAATCAAGATCTTTGTCAAGAGAGAGATCAGTGTCACGGCCTCCATATGAGGTTTTGCCTGGTGAGGGCTTCAACGACTTTTCCCAGAAGATAAAGGCAATTAAGATTGGTAATAAATCTGACAGAAAGAGGGACAAAGCTGCACGTCGTGGAGAAGCTGACAGAGTTATACCAACTCTTAAACCGAAACACTTGTTTTCAGGGAAAAGAGGCATAGGTAAAACCCATAGGCGTTGAAACAATTCATCAAGGTACATTACTAATTCTTTTGTAAACAATGGCTAATTGATATAAGTCATGCACCTCTCTCAAATGTCCTTCCTTTGTTCTGTTTTGTAAATATTCTTGCCAATTGGATCATAATTGTAAAATTTGATCTGTGGATTGCAAGGTGGATAAGAATAGACAATAATAATATGGTATTTGATTCTTGCAGGGAATACGCAGATGATGAATGGATTGAAGATTATCTATCAAGTTTTGGACTTTTTAGCTTTATATACCGTTTTCGTTTACTATTATGTTACTTTTCTCGACATTTGTGATTCAAGTTTGATGACGCGAGACGAAATGCTTAGCAGAGAGTCGATCTCGTTGAGACAGCTATGAGTGATCATTGGTAGGGTTTTAGATGATTTTTTATTTTTCATACTTGCAATGGTTATATGTTATCGTTGGTGGAAGATTTGACTCTAGACAACTAAAACGTCATGTGTGATTAATCAACGGAGTAAATAATCTTGAACAGAAATGATCCAAAATAAACCCGGTCATTTTATGTCACATAATTGACTAATGTGCTTGTAAAATGAAGAAGTACAGTATAATTCGTCTACGTTATGCCAAGAAAAAAGTATGTATTACGGGAGTAGTAGTAAACAATTTAATGAAAAATTGATATCGGTATGGGGAAGTCAATCTTGTTTGATAAAAATAGAGACAGAAGCAGAAACTTATGCAGAGAATTTTTTTTTTTTTTTTCTAAAGCTTATGGAACAGTTGGTTTAGGGTTAGGATTATAGGAAATCTCAGAAACTTTGGTGAACATCAAACCTTGTGACAGTTACATCGTCCTAACTACTTATTTATCTAAAACTGTGAAAATATCTAAACCTTAAGAAAGTAGTAACCACGCTGAAGTTTCTGGTTACATGAATCAAAGCCTCAAATCAAAGATTTTTGTATAACCCTCTGCTGAAGAAGCTCCTTTATCCATATCACTGAAGTTGGAAAAGAAAATTGTAGCTTTAGTTGTTAGACCGTAAGAGAACCGCCATTATCACCCGCTGAAAGGTTCAGAATCATAGTTGCAGCCTTCACAGCCCTGTTACATTTTCCATCCCACAGCAATGGTTTAATGTTTCAGGCAATCAATCCATTAAAAAACAAAATATCACCAGAGAGACATACAGCGCATGATTATGATTTGGAGTTACGAGTAACCTTATAAACTGATTTCTAGCTAATAATGAAGCGTAAAAGTTCTGAGAAGGTTGGGGTGTTGCTTACCAAGCATCAGGAGCTTGATACAAGGAAGCTGAATTTCCAAAGCAGGAAGTGAGCAATTCTGTGTTGATCACGCCTGGATTTAATGCAACCACTGCCATTCCTTCACCTACTTCCTTTGCCACTGCTCGGCTTAAACCCTCAATCGCCCATTTCGATGCACAGTAAGGTGCAACCTGCAGATACATGTTTGGTTTCAAAAGTTAACCTCACTGGGTTCAGGTTTGATATACCCAAATCATATTAGTGCAGAATTGCAGGGTACACAAGGAGCATATCAGAATAACAGTTGGGAAAAAGAGACCAACCAAGTAATTTACTTAGATCTGTCAGGTGAAGCTATGGTCTCTCCCTACCATCTAAGTTATCAAACTTTGCTCTTTCTGTGGCTAAATGAAAAACATACGGTAACAGGTCATGATACAAGCAAGTGATGATTGAGACTCACCAGGGCAGCACCAGATCTTCCCCATCCAGAAGACATATTCACAATAATGCCTTGCTTCCGTGGGAGCATCAAAGGGATAAAATGGCGCAGCACGTTTGCTACTCCTTTAACGTTTGTATCCATAACATTGTCAAAATCTTCTGCAGAGACTTCCCAAATCTTGCTGTTCTTATTGATAGTACCGGCATTGTTAACTGCAACGCGCATTTACCAACATCTAAGACTAGAAAAAGTTACAGTAAAAAATGATGCTAGACACTGTGCTCAATAATTATAAAACGTGCAGGAAATGATGATCATGTAACCATCAAATCGACATTTCTACAGACATCACCCTTAAGAAAAAAGGAATGAATTATTGCATGCCAACAATGAATACGATCGCAGATAACCAAAATTACATGCCAGTACAGATTTAACCATAGGAAAAAAGAGCACATGAAGAACTCAAGAGCAGACATCATCTGACCATAGTTTTCACGATAAGATAACCATTATTTTCCCATCTTCTTTTTAAGCAAGTTGATTGATGTACCTAAGAAAAAATTAACCTAAAGGAAAGATGATATCGTTACTATGAGAGGCTACTAAACACATTAGGGACAATCTAATTATTTCTCTATTCAAATACCACTAAAAAATACCATGACTTCAACTTTGATGCTCTTGTCTTCAGAGAAAAACCGAAGTCTGTAAACGCAGTGTGTCCAAAAAAAAAAGGTTTTAAACAAACCTATGATATCTGGGACACCCTTCTTCTCCACAATTGTGTGAGCCATCTCTTCGACGCTGCTGTTTGATTTCTGCAAACATAGACCATAAAATCTTACCAAGTTCAAAAGCGCTAACTCAGCAGCAGAAGGCACATTATAGATCACAAGAGTTCATCGGGCGATCGCAAAATCAAACCAGTGCTGATGAAAAATATCATCAGGAAAACAACGCTTCACGGAATTCCAAATTTTAGTGGATAAATACATCTTTATGGATAAAGATCTTGCAAGGCCACGTGATAAAAGAGAAACAAGAAGCAACAAATTATCAGCATCAATGAACAAGTCTCCATCAGTATCCAGAAAACGTCTTCGTTTCCGGTAATTACCAATCTAATTTCTACAACAATTACGACCGAAAACGCCGACTGTATTCACACAAAAACGCGAAAGAAACTAGATACGCGAGTCCAAAGAGCGGCAATTACCACATCGGCGGGGAGGAGGAGATGATTATCCGGGGAGGAGAGCTCCGATCGAAGAGCGGTGAGCTTCTCCTGAGAACGGGCGCATCCTATCACAGTGTGACCTCTCTTCGCAAGCTCGAGAGCTAGGGCTCTTCCCAGACCTTTGCTCACTCCCGTTATCAGAACTGTCCTCGCCGCAGCAATCGAATTCGCAGCTCCACTGAAAGGCGTCGCTATCGTCATCGTGCAGCCAGTGGCCGATTTTGTTTCTCTTTCCTTCTTCGGTGCGAAATATGCCGCGAAGAATGTACATATATGCACATTATTTTGATCTATACATAATTCATGTTTGTTTACCTTGAAAATTTTTATATTATTTTTTCTTCTTTTTGCGACATAACCAAATTATACGCTAAGAAAAAACTGTTGACCAAAAAAAAAAACGCTAACAAAAAACTCGCAAGTAAATTAAACTACAATATTTATATTCCCTATTTACAATGGAGAAATGATGATATCTTGTTTAGATCACACTTGGTCTCCAACGCTCATACTCGGAGCCTTCGATTTCCTCTGATACCTTAGGAGTCTGGTCGTGTGAGTGTCGTGACCTTCTTCTTTCATGGCGATGACGTCTCTCTCTGTGTGTTTCTTCTCTATCTGAACTCTCCTCATCACTTGATTCATTCTCTCTCTTTCCATTACCGATGCCATTTCTCGAGCTTCTTCGACGTCGTTTTCCTCTCCTGCTTCGATCAGAATCAGGATCAGTTGATGATCCTTCCTTTTTGTGTTTTCTTGAACTCCTGTGGGTCTGTATGTTCTTTTCATCGTCCATCTCTTCTCGAACTTCTGAATCAGTGCCTCTTCTAGCTTTTCGTTTTCGACCAAACTCCATCCTGCTATAGTCATCATCTCCATCAGGAGAATCATCATCGGAATATCTGCCATGGATTCTTTTCCTAATCACCCGATGTCCAGGAGAGTATTCAGACCATTTGCTTTCATGACGCGATGTCTCCTTAGCATACCTTCGCTCTCTATACTTCTCCCTCTCTAAACTACCGCCTCTGGTACTGCTTGGACTGTAATCTCCACCATGACAGTTCTCGTCATGCCTACCAAGTTTGTATCCACGAGTACTGTCCCGAGTATCACCGTGATTCTTATGGCTCCTATAAGAATCCCTCGATCTAGATCTTCTTGAAGGTTGCCTGACATGGAAACGAATCACATGAGTATGACGCCTCATCACCATATTAAGCAGGGAATATAGTGAGATAGTTATTCAAAGAGCAGGATACTTAAAAGCCAGATCTCCAACCTATGTGAATCTGTTGGTTGATCTGATCTAAAATCATGTAACGACCCTGAATATTCACGCTCCATGTGCTTCAAGTATTCATCTGAATAACCAAATAAAGCGGTCATTTTCTGAATCCAGAATCCTGGAGGTGGTTTGTCATGGTCGGCCCACTCATAGTCTCCACCCGGGTTTCGGAAACAGTGGATAAAATTGCAAGCAGATCCACGAGAACAAGTCTGCAAATTTACAAGAAAAAAAATCATGAACTAGAGATAAAGCCAGAAAATGGAATCCTAGGGTATACGCCAGACGAAGAGTCATACTTTAAGCCTGGATTTCATGTACTCCCCACATATGGCGACTTTCCATCTTGAGATGTTGACAAACTCGCATTTCACCTAATGAGGATGTGCAATTATTACGGATAAGAATGTCAGCAAGCTGAAATCAGAAATCACGCCTCAACAAAGTTTCATATTAATTATTTCTTACCATACAACCAAATTATTTTTTTAATCGACGTTATTCAAAAGCCTTACAAGAAAAAAAGAAAAGAAAGATACAAAATGGATGCCAATCTTAACTCATTTAATCAGCAGAACTAAATGCTACAAGCCTTCAATCGTTCCGGCATTTAACATTATACGACGACGGTATTCAACCAGTAGCTTTCTTGCAAATTCGTTTAAAAGGAGAAATATGACAGAAAATTACCACTTTAAAACAGATGAACAGTGACGACATACTATGTGACCTTATATTCCTTCATTTGTTTCAGGACAGTATGAAATTTTTTATGAGGATATGAACGAACAAACACTGCCACAGATCGAACAAATGAGACCTCTGACAAAATATCATACACAAAGGCTGGAAAACCTAAATATGGGTCTCAGATATTATGCCACAAATATACAAACACTGAGGAAGAAACTTAGATACATGCCACCAAATTGCACAGGAAACGATCCACTAGACCAAATGGTTGAGCAAAAAAAAATTCAATGGAAGGAAGTGGGTAAAGTCTCCAAGAAAAACAGTTTACCTGGTTTTTAGCAAAGTATCGACCATTTACGGACTCGTAGGCAAGAATAGCTGATTCCAGTGATCTGTACTGCACATATACATTGCCCTTCAAGTGGAATGAGCCATTTCTACACACCTGAGATGGACATAATTTTAATTTTGAGAATCGAAAGGATAGGATAAAAGGTCAAGACAGGACATATCTATCATCAAGTTTTATTCTCAAACATGGGATGTTTCAGTTGCTCATTTGATAATGATAAGAGATGCATGTACCACTAGTTTTCGCAATGGATAGCCAAATGTGGCTTGCAGGTTCAGAAACTAACATGAAGATAAAATGAAGGCTGATATCGAAAAGTATACAGAGAAATAGGCAGGGAAGAAGAGAGGAAAGTAAACTGAGAGCTCAGAAGAGAATTGACAGACCTTGAAATTAATAAGTTCTCCATACTTCAGGAACTCTGTATGAACATCTTCATAAAATTCTTCGTAACAACGTTCAGCCTCCTCATCTGTATACTGCAAGGAAGACGGGAAAAAAGAGGGAGAGAGTAAACTATAGTACGCGACTAATAGCAAGGAAACCAGGCGAATGCATGTGAGGTCCAGTAGTTTTGATATCAAGCAAACCAGGATATCTACAGCCGTACAAAACTATAACAGCATTAGTTTCAGACAGTACTAGCCCAAAGCAGCCAGCCCGCATGAAGGACACTGTATGTTCTTAATTAAGGATAGCCAAGCATTTCCGAGGGATATCACTCATTCCCACGTGGAATTAGAAAGACACTAAAAGCACGAGAAATGAAACACAATAGGGAGATTAACAAAACAATCATAAAATCAGTACCTACAAACATACGAGACATCTAGTTAAAGTAAGTTTGTCTATAGTACTGGTTTTTAGGCAAGAGAGTGGTACTAATACAGGACAACAGCATGTGTGAGCAAGATGACAAGCACATAACAGCTAATCTATCAATCAAGTAGGATACAACGAAGTGAACCGTGGCTTCAACTCGGCCAAGGTTATAATCATGCACCTCCACTGAAGGGATTCCATCAATGTCTGATGTAAGTTAAAGAAGATGGTAAGTTGGTAACACTAATATAGAGACAAACAGCATAATTCGTAAATCCAGAGCACACAGTAAAACAAAACAAACAATAAAATAAAGGCAGAGAAACTGTGGTAATTTTGATTTAGGAAATGAAAGCCGCGAGCAGTAGAGCAGAACTAATTATTATCAGGATACAAGCATCTCGAGATGACAACGCTTACAGACCTCAAGCCCCTCATCCTGTTCCCAAGCAGTGCCAGGACCATTATACATGTTCTTCATAAGTAGAGTGCACGATTTATCAGGGTAAAAATGAACTCTGCTGCACCGCGGGCCGAACCGACAAGCTCCAGTCTTTAAATGGAAAGGACAATGAGCTTTATCCTGATCATTGCGAGAACAAGAAAAACGAAGCAGATTTACACAAAGGAACATAAGAATGATACGTAAAAAGTAATACCATCTCAACAAAGGGACACAACAAGCACCTGCTCAGTTCCAAAGTTAGGTACTTCTTGTGCAACATTATCCAGAATCTGTTGAGCAGAACTAACATTATGAACAATGGGAAAAGCTTCTGATCCCGGAAATAGAGGATTTGATGTAGGCCTGTCAGCAATCTGCAAAACAAATTCTACATTGGAACTCTAGGAAAATTTCTGATAAAGCAGATGGTCTGTTCACCTAGATGATGGTCAAATACCTTATTCCCATCCACCTGAGGTATCGATTTCTTAGGAACCCTCACTTTGTTCTTTTTGAGAATGATTTCATTTCCTTGGAATATAATTTCTGGAGGCCCTTCTTCGATGTATTGAGATTCACCATCCCTATCCTCGCCACATTCATCATTCCCACTTGCCTGCCAAAAGAAACAAAAGGGTATGTAAATAAAAAGTCACAGATTCAAATCCAATTCAAACTGAATATCTCTTCCATGAATTCAGCAGTAACCAAAGTGAGCTCAGTACAGTATCCATATGATCTGAAAACCCTAATAAATAAATGCTGGTCGATTCACAACCCTTTTTGTATTCTAGTTTCGGGATCTAGAATTTCGATCCACATTCTTCATACCCTCACAGTTCCACAGTAAACAACCACGACCTTGAATGAAGAGATTGACAACAAACAAAGCACTACCTCGAGCTTTCTCAACTCGTCTAGATCCTTCCAACGCCTCTCTTCCTCTTCCCGCTTCGCTTCTTCTTCCTCCTCTTTCTTCCTCTTAATCTCCATAGCCTCTCTCCAAGCTCTCTCGCTCTCCTCGAACTCCTTGAGCTCCTTTTCTCTCATCCGTGCCTCCTCTTCCTCAATCGCCTTTAGTCTCTCCTGTTCCGCCGGATCGTTTAACTTGGCCTCCGCCTCCTCTCTCTCCTTCGCCGCTATCTCCTTCCTCACCTGCTTCCTCTTCAATTTCTTCATCGCTTTTCGCTTCTCCTTACGGCTCATCTCCGCCGCTTTCTCTTTATTCTCTTCAAACCCTTCCTTCCCTCCCGCCGCTTCTTCGGGTCGCTCTCCTTCTTCCTTATCGTTCTGCTGCTCCATATTTTCCGAAAGCGTTAACCTCTCGCTTGGCTAACACTGTCCGCCTAGAAAATTCCAATAGACGGAAAACAGAAAGAAGAAACCCTCTGAGTCGCGACTCGTCGTGTAACTCGCTTCATTTTTTTTTTGTTCATTTAATATATGTCCTTAATATATACATACATTTTAGCGGGTTTTAATTTCGGTGATACTGAACCGAAACCGAACAATGTAACCGAGAATCGAAATCGACATACAATTGGACCAAACCATACCAAACCGAAGAACCCTAGTTGGTTTACCAAATTATAATACATAGAAATCGACATAAAATTGGATCAAACCATACCAAACCGAAGACTCCAACGTTGCTGGTCGGATAGACTGATTGAAATTAGAAAACTTTCGTCGTCTCTGGTCTCAAGCCGATCGAAAATTTCACACCTTTGAATTGAATCGTTCTACTAAAATTGCGAATTTATCTCCATCTTCTACAACGAGTGCTTCGCTCATTCCTTAGTGAGTAACACTGCGTAATTGCTCGTCTCTTTTTTTTTATATGTGTGGGTTTCATATCCTCTTTGAATTTGCAATCTAAAGTCGGCGTTTTTTTGTTTGCTTTGTAGATTGATTCATCTTTGTAAAAATCGCATGCGTTGTGCTTCCTTCTCGAGTTTCAGTTTGTCTCTTGAGGACGCACTTCATCTTCTCCAACGTTTCTTAAAATCCTCAAACCAGGTTAAGCAGATTCACAGCGTCCTCTTTACCAGCAACGCATTGGTCGCTTCAAGATGGAAGACGAAACACGTCTACAACACTCTCATTCGATCCTATCTCACTACAGAACACTACAAGACTTCTCTGGCTCTCTTCAACCATATGCTTGCAAACCGAGTCCAACCAATCAATCTCACTTTCCCTTCTCTGATAAAAGCAGCTTGCTCTTCCTTCTCTGTTTCCTATGGTGTTGCCTTACATGGCCAAGCTCTTAAACGGGGTGTTCTATGGGACCCATTTGTTCAGACTTCTTTTGTTCGATTCTATGGTGAAGTTGGTGATTTGAGAAGCTCGAGGAAGATGTTTGATGAAATTGTACACCCTTGTGTTACAGCTTGCAACTGTATGCTTGATGCCTGTGGAAGAAACGGAGAGATGGATTCTGCTTTCCAGTTGTTTCAGAGAATGCCTGTAACTAATGTGATCTCTTGGACGACCGTAATCAGCGGGTTTGGTAAGAACGGGTTACACACCAAAGCTGTAATGCTTTTCGGTGAGATGATAGAGAACGAGCGTGTGGTACGAATAACACCGAATGAGGCTACCTTCGTTTGTGTACTTTCTTCGTGTGCTAATTTGGATCACGGAGGTGTTCAATTGGGGAAGCAGATTCATGGATATGTTCTGAGGAAAGAGATCATCCTCACTACTACTTTGGGTACTGCTTTGCTCGATATGTATGGAAAAGCCGGTCATTTGGGTATGGCTTTGACTACTTTTTATCAAATTCGTGATAAAAAGGTTTGTGCTTGGAATGCGATAATATCAGCTCTTGCTTCCAATGGTAAGCCTAAGAAAGCGCTAGAGATGTTTGAGATGATGAAATCGAAGAATGTGCATCCGAATGGGATCACTTTACTTGCAGTACTCACGGCTTGTGCTCGATCTAAACTTGTGGACTTAGGTATCCAGCTGTTCACTTCCGTATGTAGTGAGTACAAGATCACTCCAACACCAGAGCATTACGGTTGCATGGTTGATCTCATTGGCAGAGCTGGATTATTGGTTGATGCAGTTAACTTTATAAAGAATTTGCCATTCGAGCCCGATGCTTCTGTTCTCGGAGCTCTTTTTAGCGCTTGCAAGATTCATGAGGATGTTGAATTAGGAAACAAAGTAGGCAAAACGCTTATTGAATTGCAACCTCAACACTGTGGCCAGTACGTGGCATTGTCAACGTTAAATGCTCTGGATAGCAATTGGGAAGAAGCAGAACAGATGAGGAAAGCTATGATAGAAGCTGGAATTCGGAAAATCCCTGCTTATACCATACTGTCTTAAGGCTTGAGAAGTGAGAATAGATTGTTTCAGGCAAGAGTAACTATGTAGTCTCTGTTCTTTTCTACTATATTCATTTCAGTTCATGTTGTGTCAGTAAAATTGATCTAAATTGGTTAGGATTTGCAATATTCTCTCATGCGTTGAAAAACTGGAGAAAGCAAGAGAGACATTTCACTCGCTAATTTGAAGAACAAAACAGGAATCTCAATGTCTCCTAACACATAGACATACACTGGTATACACAGGTGGGTGGTGATCATTAATTTAGACGCAAATTGAAGAAACATTTTGTTCTTAATAGGTGAAATAGCCTGATTTTCCGGAGATGGCCAAATCTGAACAGGTTCTTGCAAAGGAAGGCATATCTCCTACACGATTCCTCTTCTTAAACCAATGACCAATGGTCACAACTCCGAGATAGGAAAAGAGGACTGCCAAGGCTCCACCAGCAACGGCGATAATGGCCGGAAATAACCATCGTGTTCCGTGGTAATGCGGTATGGTCACCCAAGATGCTGCAACATAAGCCGTTGCCATGAACCCTACAGAAACCCACATCATTCTGTGCGTGGCCACAAGTAACCTCTTCAAGGGTTTCCTCTTGTAAGGTATGATGCTAACGAGGAGAATAACGATGCACAGGGACGTGAAGAGTGCAATGTTGTTGCATATGGCAAAGACCTTAAACGCTGTCGTTTTTCCCACGATCGATTTCCCTCTCCATGGTCCGTCTTGGTAAACGCCGCCCGGAGGGTTTATCCCGCCGGCATAAGCAACTGAAGCGATTAAGACTGCCACTATCGCGATCGTGTTTCTTGCATTTTGCAATGCTTCTATATGCATCTCGTATTCCAAGCTCTCACGACCTCTTTCCACTTGATGTTCCTTGCGTGTCTTTCTCTCTGCCATCTCTGATGTGTTTACTCCGATTAGCCTAAGCAACTGTATTACCTCGTCCTCATGAGAGTTTGAAGATCCAAGGCGTCCAAGAAGTTGTTTATTATCGGATGTATTAGAGTGGCTTTCGAGTTCTTCATTCTTCTCAGATAAATCCAGCTCCTCTGAAGTCACGGTGCCAAATCTCAGCCACCTTGATAACAACTCAAAGTCTTGGGCTTCTCGAGGGAGAAGTTGAAAAGCTTCAAAACCCATCTTATTCTTGTACGTATGATCTACTATCTTCTTACCAACAATGTAACGTATAAGCTGCAATTTATTCACTAGGAATTTGTGAGAGAAGAAAAACACAAATTGGCACAAGAACCCCAAATCAAAACTGAATCATATCACATACGAGCTCTGTCAATATTTCTTATACATTAGGTTATGTACCATCTTAGGTTAATGTATTGATAACAAAGAGTATATGGCAAGTCAAAGGAGAGAGCGACAGATTAAGAAAACTAGCTACTCACCGGAGCATCACAAGCGACGGAGGCAGCAATATGTAAGACAGTGTTGCCGTTTTCATCTGTTTGCTGTAGAAGAATCTGACTGTTGATTCCCAAACTCTCTGCCATGAAAACGAAGGCATCCATATTTTTGTTTCGAGCAGCGAGATGAAAGACTGTCTCTTTTGACGGCGTGAGAGAGCTGAAAGACAAAGGAGCCTTGTCCAAGAACTCTTCCAAGATTACCACCGAGCCACTGAGAACCGCCAGATGCAGAGGTGATAAACCGCTGGTGTTAAGTGCTTCTTCTAGTCTTTGATCGAGCCCTAACAGGACTCTTGTCAGTTCAAAGTCTCCTTTATCACACGCATAATGCAATAGCGTTGATTGTAACCCGTCTTCAACCACCCAAGCTTCTTCCCTAGCTAGGTCTGGGAATCTGTCCAGTATAATTTTTGCAATACCTGATCAAGAATCCGAACACAATTAATATACTGAGTTATACACGAAAAATATTGAGCGTACGTACTAGAAACTTACTAGTGGATCCACTTGATGTGGCGAGAATGAGTTCATCGAGGCCGAATGATTGTGTCTTTTCTGCAATGAGTCTGGCAGCCTCCATGGAATTGCTGTGAATAGCTAAGTGAAGAGGTGTGTGGCTGATAACATTTCTTGCAGAACACACATCCAATCCAGTCTCTAACATCTGCACAACTATGTTCACGTCTCCAAGGATAGCAGCAAGATGCAAAGGTGTGTTTCCGAATACGTTGTTCAGGCCTTCTTCCACGTTTCTCTCCTCTAGTGATGATTCTCTCTCTTCAACCAAACCCAGGAATGCTGGAAGGTCATTTTGATGGATCGCTTGGAATATCGGCTGCATCTTCTCTCAAGAAATCTAGAGCTAAAAGTATGAAAAGTTCCGACTCTGGAGCCACCTGGTTATATTTATTTATGATGACTTAAGACCATAAGAGGTTTTCAATTAGTATCTTGACATATCTATCACTATCACTATCACTAGTAGTGGGTATTTTATTTATTTATCTTGACTTCGTCGCCAGAAGACTTTAGACAACAGCCATAAGCTTACAAATTTTTTTTTTTTTTTTGGATCACCAGCCATATGGTTACAAACTATATAAAACGCGTTAAATTACTTAAAAACAAAAAGTCAATGCTGGCCGGGCCATGACACAGGTTCCTCTCTCTTTCTTAACGCGCATTTCCATAGCTTTTCCACGACAAGATACTTTACATTTCATTAGCAAAATTATGTGAACTCATCTTCATACATTTTAAGATAAGAGGTGACGTACTCATAAAGACATGACAGGACTAAAACTAAAAAAGCTTTGGCAAATACAAAGCAGTGGATATATCATAAATCCAAGAGTTACATAGCTCAAAGGCTAAACAATGATTGGCTCACGGTATGTGCGGGCATTAATGTTGTGTCGGTAAATTTCGATCTAATTTACTTGTGTTGTATCTCTTGCGTCTCCATTCGCAACATTCTCAAGAGCTGAACAATAGGATAAAGCAAGCGAGACATTCCACTCGTAGATTTTATGAACAAAACAGGAATCTTAATGTCTCTCCTTACAAGGCTACGCCGTTATTACCAAAAAAAAGACTAGATCAACACATGACATACTTCAATGATGCAAACAGAGCTTACTAAAATCAGAACTGTGCAAATCGATTTTAAGATCGGAGCATCCCTACCTACCACACCAAGAAAGCTTCCAGCTTTAATCTCTCAGTTCCTCTTTCAACATTAACAACAGTCAAATAGGCCAAGTTTACTTCAAAAACAATCTGTTCTGTCATTGAACATCCATTATTAGATCTCGAACATCCACACCCTTATTCGTTCAGGTTTTCTTGTTTTTTTCTTATAAAACAAGAGTTTACAAAAGGAAAACCTCAAATGTATGTACACTGAATTGACTAGCAGCTTCTTGTAGCATCCGTTGTTAAAGAAGATCAAGAGCTTACTCGAAAACTAAATGTCAGCTCATCAGCTTCAACCAAGAACTCTCTTGAGGTCATTCTTCTGTTCCGATGTTAGCCTTGACGGGAACAAGATCTCAAAGCTGACCCTGAGGTCTCCTCTCTTCAAAGGGTCTTTAGTAGGCATTCCTTCGTTCGGGATCACAATCTCCTGACCAGGTTTTACAATATCCAGAACCGGGACTGTTAGATTCCTCCCGTCCAGAGTTGTTAGGCTAATGGTGAGACCGGTTAAAGCTTCTATAAGAGAGACTTTCTTCTCGACAATGAGATCGTTACCGTCTCTTGTGTATACTGGATGCGGTTTCTCGTCTACAACGAATGTGAGATCTGCAGGAGTGACTCCTGGTTCTTGGTTGCCTTTCTCTGGGAATGTTATCTTTGTGCCTTTCTTCCAACCTGGTTTTAAGTCTATCTTCAATATCTCTTGGACTGTCTTTGGCTTTCTGTAATAAAGATATATCATCAGATGGCAAAAAATTGAAGCTTTTAGTGTTTCACCATAATATCATCAGTCACAGAGAAAATCAGTTCTTAGTATCAACGCAATCTTATTATGAAGACATCATCAATTGGATCAATCATTTCACAGAAATCAATGGCATTTGACGAAACGAGGAGGAAAAAGATTAAGAGAGAACTAACCCGAACTCATCGGGAACAACGCGAGAAATTCGCATCTTCTTCTTCCCACCTTTGTACAGCTCCTCCAATGTGCAGGCCAATTTGCTCTCGATATCAGGCGCCTTCCTATTCGCCGACGGCGTCTTCCTAGTCGCCGGCGGCGTCTTTTTGTTCGCATGGCTTCCTGCTTCAGCACTTTTAAACCTCCTCCCGCCGCCGCCGCCGCCGCCGCCGCCGCCGACACCATCTCCAGATGTCCTTCCGCTACTCCCTCCGCCAAATGTATCCCCAGATGCGCCGAAAAACTCAGCAAAGATATCTTCGGCATCACGAGGATAATACCGAAAGTCGGAGTTACGAGACGAGTAACTCCGCTGCTGCTGCGCCGCCGTCTCCGCCGCGGTAGGTAAATCGGCGGACTTAAGACCTTCTTCTCCGTACTGATCGTAGATCTGGCGTCTCTGAGGATCGCTGAGGACGTCATAAGCTTCGGAGATCTGCTTGAACTTGGCTTCGGCTTCTTTCTTGCTCGTGGGGTTTTTGTCAGGATGCCATTTCATCGCCATTCTCCGATAAGACTTCTTGAGATCATCTTCGTTAGCGTTTCGACTCACCTTCAGCACATTGTAGTAATCGACCCCCATTGATCCGATTCTCTCACCCAAAAAAACAAAAAGAAAAAAGTCAAACCCACCCAAAATAAACGATGCGCCAATCGAGAGTATACCAGAGGAAGATGATGAAATCGAAATCGTATGGAGAAATTTGGATTTCAAAGAGATTGCAGGAGGAGAAAAGGAATCGGATTCGAGATTTTTGTTTACAGTAAAATCTGAAATGGGAAGAGAAGAAGGCGTGAGAGATAGAGGAAAAAAAAAAAAAACAGGAAGAGTGGAGTGCGTGTAAAGTAGAAGAAGAACAAGACAAAGGAGAATGAGAAATATTTTAAATGGAGCCACGTGGCATTTACAGTCTGACTTATCTTTATTCATTCATCTTATTATGGTGATTGATTATCAAAAATGGTAAAAAGTTGATCACTTCCGTCCTTCCCCTTTTTATTACACAGAAAAAGGAAATTAAATACTGAGACAATCAATAAAACAGCTCAACAGAAACTGACATTTATGGTTTCGTTTATCCTAGTTAAACCAGAAACAGTTATTATTCTCTTTATTCTAATTTCTAAAGCAACAATAATTAAACCGGACCAAACCACTTCAACCACGAGAAAAAGAAAAAACATTAGAATTCAGAGAAATAAAAGAGACCGTGTGATAATAATGTTTAATGTAGTGTAACACTCAATTTGCTGATTCATTTCAGACAAGAATTTGCTGAATTGAAGAATTACGAATATAATCATTGCTTAATCTTAGATTTGGATACATTGGAGTGGAACAATAACTTACAACATCCTTAGTAAACCAGTATCAAACTTCAAACTAATTAACCAATAGATATTCCTGCATGCAGCTAATATAATGTTGCAATTTCCATTTCCAACAAAATATATTTAAGAGGATCGATCAATATCCTTGGCTCTAAGCCTGCAGATTGGGAAAGAGTTTCTTGGCGTATTCAGCGAGCTTTGCAGTCTCGGGCATGAGAGGCTTCACAGCGGGATCATTACAGAACCGCTCAGCCCATTTGAACAGAGAAGGAGTCTTGGTCTCGTCAAGGAGTTTATGATTGGCGTCTAACTCGACGACTCTCCACCAACCCAAGAAGCTCCCGAGGGCAATGTCGAGGTAACCGATATGGTCACCGTTGAAGAACGGTTTTCCTTTGCTGCAATCGTTGAATGCTTTCTCCAAAATGTCAGTCCCTTCTTCCACTTGAGCTATGCCTGCTTTCTTCTTTTCTTCTCCTTGAGCTGTTAGGATACTTCTCAGAGCAATAAACCACTTCCATAGTTCCATTCATATTGAATTAAGTCAGAACATAGAAGATACAGGATCAAATGTCTTTTCAGCACTACGTTTCTTGAAATTTTAAAACCCTTATTAAGTTATAATAAAGATATAAAAAATCTTTAAGAAAAACTATCAAGTTGTTAAAACTTAAACGTTAACTTCCTGATATTGTACTATATAGGTAGAACCGTAGAAGTTAGTTGAAGCTGGACTGATCCAAGTCCAACCCGGTTTACATCGGTTAAATCGTGTTCTTTACAGAATCTTTACCGGATTAAACCAACAACAAGCAGAAATAATCAAGTTAAATTCATTCCCAACACATTCGTTAATATGATTCATATCGGGTTTCTAACTGAACACACCAATGATTATAACATTAAAACCCACAAGAGCAATTGAAGAGCTAATACTAACCTTATCGTCAATGTAGGCAGCCCAGAGCCGAGCGATGGCACGGTCGTAAGGATGGGACGGGAGAATGGACGGTTCAGATGAGCTCCAAGTCTCGTCGATGTACTGGACGATGATGTTGGACTCGCACACCGGTTTGTCAGCGTGAATTAGAACCGGCATCTTCTTGTAAACCGGGTTAGATTTGAGAAGCAATTCGCTCTTAGAACCGAACGTCTCCTGAAGGAATTCGTAGCTAATAGATTTGAGGTTGAGAGCAATCCTCGCCCTCATGACGAAGACACTCGCCCATGAGCCGATCAGCTTCACGTCGCCGGTCGTCATTTTATCCCGGAGATTAAGAACCGAGAAGAAGAACCCTATGTGCGAGAGAGAGAGAGAAGGTTACGGTTTAGATCGGATAAAAAAGCTTACAGGGTTTAGGTGATGGTGATTGATAATGAAGAACATATAAAACAAAGGAGTGAAAAAAATTGACGTGTGACAATGTATGCAATGCGTGGCAACATTGAAACCATTAAATCCCCTTGTTGGGACCTTTTTTCCTTTCACGTGTTTATTATGGACTCCTCTAGGAAATGACGAGTAAGAATGCAAATATGCAATACCTAAGGTATTAATTAAACACGGAAAAATACCCATAAACAAAACAACTTCATTCACCAAGCCTGATACAAAATTAACGTTCAAAATACCCAAAACACACACCAAAAAAATAAAATAAAAACAACTATAAATAAAGTAGCACTCTTAATTAGTTTATTCTCGCGAGAACTCAGGCTCAGCCTACAAATAATCCACAACCAAATGAAATTAAGCCTGTGGAGGCTTGGCAAAGATCTTCTGAGCGAATTCAGCGAGCTTTGCAGTGTCGGGCATGACAGGTTTCACAGCGGGATCATTACAGAACCGCTCAGCCCATTTGGACAGAGAAGGAGTCTTGACGTCATCAACAAGTTTATGACCAGCTGCCAACTCGGTGACTCTCAACCAACCCAAGAAGCATCCGAATGCAATGTCGAGGTAACCGATTTGGTCACCGTTGAAGAAAGATTTTCCTTTGCTGCAATCTTTAAAGGCCTTCTCGAGAATCGCGTTCCCTTCTTCCACTCGAGCTAGCACCGCTTTCTTCTCCTCTTCTCCTTCAGCTTTTAGGATACTTCTTAGAGAATCAAACCACTTCGGACATATAATATAGGAAACACATTAAAGATCAGCTTATGTCTTAATACCTTCTTTCAATATCAATTCCTTGAATTAATGAATACTTTGTATTTCCTCGTTTATTTTTGCCTTTGCGTTCACATTCACATTTTAAACTAGCAAGTTCTCGAGGAAAAAGTTATGTTTTGACTGAATGTAAGATATCATATTTTAACTAGTAAACACAAATATTTGCATTGCAACAATTCCGCATCAAGTAGATAAAGTTTTTCTTTCTTGTGAACAAACCCTAAAAAATATTTAAATAAAAATCTTGTAGAGCAAGTAAAAGTAAAGGGAACCTTTTCGTCGATGTAAGCAGCCCAGAACCGAGCGATGGCTCTGTCATACGGATGAGAAGGGAGAATGGATGGTCCAGATGAGCTCCAAGTCTCATCGATATACTCGACGATGATATTGGACTCACAGACCGGTTTGTCAGCGTGTAGCAGAACCGGAATCTTCTTGTGAACCGGATTTGATTTAAGAAGCAACTCGCTCTTGGAACCAAACGTTTCCTGGAGGAACTCGTAGGGAACAGATTTGAGGTTTAGAGCAATCCTTGGCCTCATCGCAAAGGGACTCGCCCATGCACCGATCAGCTTCACTTCATCACTCGCCATTTTCTTCTCAAGATCCAAAATACTAGATGAGGACTTAAATGGTATGACACGTTGAAGCTTTTATGTTAGATCGGTATATATGGCATTATATGGAATCGAAGAGCGGGGTAGGTTTCAACATCTGATGGAGGTGAAAGATAGTTAATAACGCCAATTAAAAGTTTGACACGTGTTATAAATGGTTGGGAGAACGTTGAAATGTTTGGTCCAAACTCTTAATTAGGGACGCCGAGACGCCCATTTATGTACGTGGCAACATCTGAAACCGTTGAAAACTCCGGCAATTCAACTTCTCGTGTTCACATTTGTATTTCGTGTATCGATAGCTTTTCATTAATGTTATTCAATTAAAGATTTTTTATGCTGCTAGAAATACGTCAATATCTTTTTTTTGGTAAAAATACGTCAATATCTTCGTTTCAACTTTCAACGGTTTACACTTTCAAAGTATTAAACATAACATCTGAAACTATATATTAAGGATTCTACTGAATAGTTACAAATACAAATCTACCATTCGAGTAAATTCACTTATGAAAACAAACATTTCATATTCTCATGTATTTTTCATTCTTTCGACATTCTAATTATATCGTTGTTTTTTAGTTCTTCTGTGCACTGCGTATATCTTTTCATTGTTTTGGCTAGTCATGCTTTCTACATTTGTATTGAATACTGAATACATTATCCAATGGCATATGAGTATATGACATTATAACTTATACGGAAAAAATTATACGAAATAGTTTATATTTCAAGAAAGAATTAGGTACTTCAAAAAAAAAAAAAAATGGCTCTAAATGATTATACTCTACTAGAATAATAACTATCGTCAAATTTAAGTTAGAGGTTAGTAACTCTTTTTCCCCGTTTTTTGTGATTGCTTACACCGACGATAATTTTAGAGATAATTTTAAGAAAATAAAATAAAATAAAAAATTGATGGGCTTCCATAACAATCCTTGAGTAGAATAATGCCTTTGCAAGATGCATTCTATCTTCACTATAGTTATAACTACAAATACATTATCGTACAATGAATTTAAAACAAACTAAAGTTGAGAATTTTTTTTTAAGAAACTTTAACTTAGCCTTTAGGTTTCTTTACTATATTCTCTTGAATATATTCCGCTATATATGCCTGCCCTTTTCCTTGGTTGGCCTGGGTTGGGAGCTTTAGTGAGAGTGGGCTCTTGACACTAATGATGTTTTTTGCGATTATAAATTTATGTCTTCTATATATGCCTTATTTTCTGGTGGGTTTGGGACACTTGGGATATTTTTTCTAAATAACATATTTTCTTAAATATAAACAAGATTGTTAAAACAATTGCCTATTTTCCTCTTCCCATGCATCTATATTACTAGGTTAATTACATTCACACACTCAATTCATATGTGCTTGATTCACATTTCTCCCTCCCTCTTTCTCTGAAACGTCTAGCAAAATGAGTTTCAAGCCTTCTTCTTTTTCTTCTTCTTCCTTCTTTTTCCTTCTATTTTTGTTCTTCTTCTTTGCTTCTCATGTCTCCTCACAAGCCTGTCAAAAAACATGCGGCCAAATACCCATCAAATACCCGCTTGGAACCGGGTCGGGTTGCGGTGACCCACGTTTCACGCGTTACATCAAGTGCGACCCAGACCAACAGACTTTGACGCTAACCACCCACACAGGCTGTTACCCTATCACTTCGGTCGACTACGCCAAGCAAGTCATCTACGTCACCGACCCGTCAATGTCCACGTGTGCATGTACCCGACCCAGTCGCGGATTCGGGTTGGATTGGGATGCTCCGTTTTCTTTCCACGACGACACCGTTTTCACGCTCCTTGACTGTTCTGTTGACGAATCCCCTGTTTTCACGCCGTTAAGTAACGGTACCGGACGTGTCTCCCTCTGTGACCGTCAAAGCTCCTCCATTTGCACCTTCTTGTACTCCAATTGCAGGTAACCCGGGATATCCCTTTAACCGATATAAATTCAACAAGACTACTAGTTCTATCTAAACCGAAATAAAGAGCCGAACCAATTTCCCAATTTTCCCTGGAGATATCACAAAGGAAATGTCATGAAACCCCCAAATTTCTTATTTGTTAAATTCTGATAAATAATAACTTACACTCCCACCAGGAAGTTTTGGATGTTAAAAATATACAATTTTTTTTGCTGTTTGTATCTTCTATGGTAAAATTTTACATTATTTTAAAATGATTCCCCATTGGCTAGAGGGTTTATATAGAGTTAAACTAACTTTTTTCTTAAGAATTAAACTAACTTCTTTTTTTTAGAGTTAAACTAACTTTTTTTAACTAACTTATAACTGAACTTTTGTGATTAACTAGCTAGTGATAGAATAAAGGTATATTAGATATTTTCCACAGAAAATGGTATGACAACACCGATTTGAATTGTAATGAACCCGGTTTACTATTGGTTTTGAGTGTCATCTGAAACTTGTTTATTAATGAAAACCCGGTTTACCTTTCCGAATTTGTAGGGCAATAAGTCTAATAAACCTCCAAGTGTCAACGTGTTGCGTCTACGTACCGTTAGATCTCGGACCATCGTTCGAAATGGATCTACGGAAACTTCGGTGCTCGTCGTACTCGGGTTTCTACAATCTTGGTCCGGGCCAAGAACCTCACCCGGAGAACTGGAACTACGGAATCGCACTCAAATACAAGTTCAACGTCTTCGATGAGTACCCTGTCGTGTGCGGTGGCTGCGAGCGTAGTAACGGTGCTTGTGGCTACAACACTCAGACTAGCTCATTCGTTTGTAATTGTCCCGGCGGGATCAACACGACGTCCGATTGCTTCTTTCTTTATAACTCCGCTTCTATTCTTCTTCCTTGGTTCTCAAGTAAGCTCCACTTTCATACTCTTCTTATAGTCTTATCTTATCAGTTATTAGTCAAGTTAATTTACCAAATTCGTTACATAACAAAAACTAGGTAATTAATGTTTCCTTCAGTAATTAAACAAAAACTTGATTGCAAAGATTAAGGAAATATTAATTTTACCAAAATTCGTTTTGTGTAAATGGGTCTCGTGAGACCATTCATAGGTAGCGAAATATTCTGATCTAGCTAGCAGCTTTGCTTCACCATAACTTTATTTCACTTAAAAATTTGGAATATTAAGCTAAATATTTTTGCCTTACATAATTTTCTTCAAATTAAGCAGGAGAATGGGTGATGTACCCTTTGTCATGGGTTGTTATTTGGACAGTGATGAGTCTGCCTCAAAGAAGTTAAAGGTTCTCGCGTTAGTCAATTCAATTTGGGAGCATCAATGGATGGAGTGGTTTGAAGAGAAAGCTTAATACAGATCGAATATTTGCTTCTTCTTTCTAGAACTTTGTGATATATATCATGGTATAAGATTCTCTATTAATTGGTTCTCTCTTTGCCATAACCATAAGTCCATTTATCTTATTTGCTTTTTCTCCACTTTCCAGCTCATAAGGAATCAACATACTGTAGTGCTAAACACTTGCAAAGAATGATAATATATGATTATATGATTGTATTAGTCATCAACTCGCAGGGATTTTATACTTATACTTTAGTATTTAATATTTTTTTAAAAAAACTGAGAATCATAATTACTTTCATATGGATTACAGATACGATAACAGAGCTTTGCCGTTTTAGATTGGGTGAAATTTGATCAAACTGAGATCTTGACTTAGCTAACTATGAAATTTCTCACTCATTTTTGTTTTAACATATTTTAAAATTTCCATATTCTCTAACTCTAAAATTTTCATATTCCTTCCATGATATCGATCATTATATTATTGGTATACTATTCTTTTTTTTGTTAAAAAAAATTATGCTATTATTCTTTTATATCTATTCACCCTATTATGTAGGAGTAATTAGTTTTTGTAATCTGCTGAATACCATACCACAACGGCATGAGCCCAGAGCCCCCTTTACTTGTTCAAAAATTAAAACAAAAACTCGATCCTATATAATGCAAAATATATCTCTCATAAATTAGTAAAATCCATTACAACAGGTTTGCATAAAAGAAGGATCCCTCCAATAAGCAAGCAAAAGTAGTAATTAGTAGTGAAAGTTAATGCCAAGGACGTGTGGGAGTGAGTCCCACGCGCTTAACAGAGTCAAAGGGAACCCAAATTTGCCGCCTCCCTTTCCTTGACAAAAGACATATCTATCATTCTCTATCTCTCTTTCTCCTTAGACAAAAAAAAAACAACATTCCTCCTCAGTTTTGTTTCTCTGTTAGGTCGCAAAAATGGAAAGCAGAGCAAGAGGATCAATGTCGTCGAGCATCGGCAATTCCGCAGAACTGGAAGCGAATCTGACACTAGGCGATCGTCTTAAGGTTTTCAAGGGCTCCACTTTCGATCCCGACGCTTACGTCACCTCCAAATGCCAGCACATGAACGAAAAGGTTTACTTTTCCTCTCCAACATCATCAATCAAGATCGTTATAGATTCATTGTGATATTTTTGTAATTGTTATTCGATTAAGAATTAAGATCCTCCTCATATATATATTGAGACCAGATTAATTAGAGGCATTGTGGTGAGAGGAGATTTCATCTTAATTCTGTATTTGACGATGATGATGTGTGTTTTTGCTCTTACAGGAGACGAGACATTTGACTTCTTACCTCGTTGAACTGAAGAAGGCTTCTGCGGAAGAGATGCGTAAGAGCGTCTACGCAAACTACGCCGCCTTTATACGGTCTTGTATCCCAACATCATTATTAGATAATATTTTACATTTTTGTTGCTAATGTATGGTTCTTGATTATCAGGACATCTAAGGAGATATCAGCACTTGAAGGACAGCTACTTTCCATGAGAAACCTTCTCTCTGCTCAGGCAGCTCTTGTTCACGGCTTGGCTGATGGCGTTCACATTACTTCTCTTTGCGCTGATGACGCCGATGACTTGACAGACCAAGACCTCTATGATATGGACAACAACAAACATATTTCCAAAATCGAGACTTGGGTTGTCGAGTTCTTTGACAGGCTTGAAGTTCTCTTAGCTGAGAAGAGAGTTGATGAATCCATGGCTGCACTTGAAGAAGGTCGTCGTGTGGCGATAGAAGCACAAGAGAAACGCACACTCAGCGCCAACACTCTTCTTTCTCTCAACAATGAGATCAAAGAAAAGAGACAGGAGCTAGCTGACCAATTGGCTGAAGCTATAAGCCAGCCTTTTACAAGAGCCGGCGAGCTTAGATCGGCTGTCTTGGCTCTCAAGAAACTCGGTGACGGTTCTCGAGCACACACGTTGCTTCTAAGGTCTTACGAGAGGAGGCTACAAGGCAACATTCAAAGCCTAAGAGCTTCAAACACTTCCTACGGTGTAGCCTTCGCTGCTGCTCTCTCTCAGCTTGTTTTCTCAACCATTGCTCAAGCCTCGAGCGACTCTCAAGCAGTGGTTGGCAAGGATCCGTCTTATTCATCAGAGCTTGTGACCTGGGCGGTTAAACAAGCAGAGTCGTTTGCTCTGTTACTGAAAAGACATACTTTGGCTTCCTCTGCTGCTGCAGGAAGCTTAAGGGTAACAGCAGAATGCATCCAACTCTGTGCATCTCACTGCTCTTCACTAGAGTCTCGAGGTTTAGCTCTTTCTCCTGTTTTGTTGAAACACTTTAGGCCTGGCGTGGAACAAGCATTGACTGGAAATCTCAAGAGGATTGAACAGAGCAGCGCCGCTTTAGCTGCTTCGGATGATTGGTCTCTCTCTTACACACCGACAGGCTCACGCGCCTCCTCGACTACTCCCATTGCACCGCATCTTAAGCTTTCTATTAGCGCTCAAAGATTCAACTCCATGGTTCAGGTAAATCAACCATTTTCTCAAGATACACACAATCTTCTTGCTCTTTGGCTATATATTTTTCTTGTGGATTTTATTAGGAGTTTCTGGAGGATGCTGGACCGCTAGACGAAGCATTACAGTTAGACGGGGTTGCACTAGACGGTGTTTTGCAGGTGTTTAACTCGTATGTTGACCTCTTGATCAACGCATTGCCCGGTTCAGCTGAAAACGAAGAGAATCCAGTTCACAGAATAGTTAAAGTAGCTGAAACTGAGTCTCAACAAACGGCTTTGTTAGTCAATGCACTTCTGTTAGCAGACGAGCTAATCCCTCGTTCTGCTTCGAGGATTTTGCCACAAGCTACGAACCAAGCCACTCCAAGGAGAGGAGTTTCCTCGGATAGACAGAACCGGCCAGAGCAAAGAGAGTGGAAGAGAAAGCTTCAAAGATCCGTTGACCGGTTAAGAGATAGCTTCTGTAGACAACATGCTCTTGAACTCATCTTCACTGAAGAAGGAGAAGTTCGTCTCAGCTCTGAGATTTATATACTCATGGACGAAACCACTGAAGAGCCTGAATGGTTTCCTTCTCCAATTTTCCAGGTTAACTATAAAAAACAAAACATCATCTAGAAAATACTGAAACATAGAATTGAGAAATGAGATAAAACCAAAAATGCTCTGCTTCTTCCAGGAACTGTTTGCGAAGTTGACGAGAATAGCGACGATTGCGAGCGATATGTTTGTTGGAAGAGAGAGATTCGCGACGATATTGCTGATGAGACTGACGGAGACAGTGATCCTTTGGATCTCTGATGATCAGAGTTTCTGGGAAGAGATGGAGACAGGAGCTAAACCATTGGGTCCACTTGGTCTTCAACAGTTTTATCTAGACATGGAGTTTGTCATGATCTTTGCCTCGCAAGGAAGGTACTTGTCGAGAAACCTTCATCAAGTGATCAAGAACATCATAGCTCGAGCCATCGAAGCAGTTTCAGCCACTGGACTCGATCCTTATAGGTATGTGTTTCAACATACAGAAAAAACATGTATGTAATGATTGGTTGATGATTAATGGATGATGATGAAACAGGACGTTGCCGGAGGAAGAGTGGTTTGCGGAAGTAGCTCAGATAGCGATAAAGATGTTGACCGGAAAAGCCAATTTCGGTGGCCACGGAGAGCGTGACGTCACTAGCCCCTCTGTTTCCTCTGCTAAATCTTACACCAGTAATTGACTTATCTAATTATTCAACAATTAGTCAATGTTGTTGACGTTAAAAAAAGCAAAAGGTGATGGTATTGTCGTTGTTCCTATCCCCGCTTAAATACATCAAAATAACAAAATATTAGCTTCTTACGTTATGGTATTTAGTTACTTGGATCACAAGTAACAGAGCTCCTTGTGCATAAGCATCATCTTATACTTCTCCACTCTTTCTCCGTCAGTAAACTGTTCCCTGTCTTCTTCTTCTCCTCAAATTTTATAACAATAAGAGAGTTTAAAGGTCTTATAATCTCTATATCCACCTTCTTTGCTTCATGACTTTTACAACCATATCATTAGGGATTGCAAAAGAAATCCCAGGTCCATAATACCACTTCATGGAGTTGATGCCAATGACTTCAACTTTCAGGTTCACCACTGGCCCTCCAGAGTTAACCTAAAAAGAATAAAAAGTCAAACAGAGATATATGATAAGTGTATATAAAAATATATGAAAGCTAACTACCTCATTAAGAACACAATTTGTGCAAATATTGCATCCGTTGGCCTTCCTTATCCAATGTCTGATCAACAGAACTTTACCACCAGTCACATAAACACTGAGAATTCTTTAACTAATGTCTTGAGATTCACCACAGAAGGTGAGATGATGGCAGCGACTTGTGAGAGAGAATTCTTTCCTAAGCAATCTTTTCCACTTAATGTACTCTTTCTCCGAATTATCTTACTCGAGCGACAAATGCTTATTCCACAGCGGAGAAACATATAAGGCCATACTCGAGCGACAAATGTTTATTCCACGGCGGAGAAACATATCCGAGAGTGAGCAAGACAATTGGTTATAATAAAGTGCTACAGTGGTTGTAAAACACTAGATTAAAGCAAGACACTTATTATCCCAGACAATCAACAGGTAGAGATTTAGAATTTGGAACTAACCTCAACCAAAAATAACAATTAGCATAGATAGGAGAGTTTTAAAGGTCATCTGATATCTGTTTCCACTTTTTTTGCTTGATGACTTTTACAACACTATCAATGTCAGATCAACAAAACTTGTTAAAAAAAAACAGCATATGAGAAAAATTATGCACAAAAATTGCAAAACACTTGAAACTCTGAATTTTGCAAGCATCAATTTCCGATTAAAAAAACTCTAAAAATCAAAAATAAAAATAGATGTATATGAGAGAAATTACACGACACAACTTTCAAAATAAAAACAATCAAGATTATGGAAACTAACCTTACAATACCCATTGACACACTGTCAACAGAATATAAAGTATTTACCAGCAGATAAAACTCAATCACAACATCTTGAAATTCCAAATTTTGCTGGAGAGAATGACATCTTATAGTATTAACTAAGTTAAGATCATGGTCTATATCAATGTTATAAGTTTCAACTCATTAGAAAATAATCATCGAATGGAATTATTAGGATGATTTTCATTAGGCAAATATAATTCAACTACAAAAGATTTAAAGTGCAACTAGAACATGAGGTTGTAGTGTATCTACAGGTTTTTTATTAGGTTGGTAAATGTTTCCAAAATCATAAAAATTTGTTAGATTAAAGTGGTTCACATTTTGATTCTAAAAAGTTTAGTGAAAATGAGACATAAAACCAATAAAATGTAGACGATACACTATCGTTAACAAAAAAAAAAAAAAAAAAAAAAAACTCTTGACCGTAGAGGTCTAAACCAATAAATGAGCGATAAAGAAATCTTATATAATTCATTTTTCAAATCAAATGCGGAAGTGGAAGCTATTGTTGTTATCGCCACTTGAATAGAACAAAATATTAGCTTCTTACTTTAGGGATATTCAGTTACTTGGATTCCAGGTAACAGAGCTAGGGCAAGTTTCACCTTTTAAATCCCAGTGAGTATGTAACAGAAAACAATATCAAAATCATTTCACATATAAGTAACACAGATAACAAAACACAAACCCATCCCAAAAAGAAAAACAATAACAAAAATTGTAAGCAAAAGGTATAGAAAACACACACCAAACGGAGTTGGGCACTATTTCCTAATGCACCGTTCCAACAGTCCCTACACGAAACAGAGCAATTCCAACAGTGTAACACTGAGATGAGACCCTACCCTAACCTTCATCTTCGTCTTCATCGCCGAGCTTATATGAACTAAAATGATCGACCCGGAACTTCCACTCGCCTTTCACTGGATCAAATGACACAAACTCAGCTCCTTGTGCCTCAGCTTTCCTCTTAAGCATCATCTTATACTTCTCCACTCTCTCTCCTTCAGTAAACTGTTTCCCCGTCTTCCTATCCACACATTTTATATTCAGCAATGTCACCTCCGCCGGTTTATTCAAACCTTGCCCAACCGCCGGTTTCTTGCTCTCGTCCATGTATACAATCACTTCCCGGTTATTGAACTGAACCAGTGATTCCAAGTCTAGCCTACGAACATCTGTCTCTCCCATGAACTTTATGCTCCCATAACCGTGTCTTCCCACCACAAAGTCTCTAACCCGCCTGCAATAACCAGGATCCGCTCTTTCCTTAGCCGCTAGTTCCTGGATTCGTGGCTCTGTGAAGTAATCGGATTGGCGTAGCTTCGGCATTAGTGCCTCGATATCTGCACCGTGCTCGTAAACAATTGCGGCTTCTCCGGCTCTGTGTCCTCCTAGTGTTCTGTAGGGGCGCTCTTTGTCTTTAGCGTGATCTGTGCGTGTTGTGCCGTTTGATTTCTGATTTGCATCGACTGATGGATGAGTTCTTTCTCCAGCAGAACCAGATTCTCCGTTATCATTTCCTGTGAATAATGTCCCTCAAGTCAGTCAGAGAAGGTCCAAAAATAGCAAAACGTAATGGAACTTTTTTTTTACATATGCATATTTTTATAAACTCACTGTCATGGTTTGCTGCATCAGTAGCTATGTCTGGACTCTTACCTGAAAATTACGGGTAATATTGTCAAAAAGAGCCAGGAATCATTCAACTCAGTACTTTTTGTTGAGATTTTAGGGTAATTTTTGTGTGTAATACTTCTCCCCACAGGCAGAGCAATAAAGTTTAAAAAGAATAACAACGCATGAACAAGGAAACGTGCTATATGATGAGAGTGCAAAAGGGTAGGCATTGAAGTTCCAACTTAAAAGTGCTAGTCTAAGATTTGAATGCTGCCATCTCTGTGGGAACAAATTGAAGCGGAGTCTCAAAAAGCTTTATCTCTATCGAAAACTTTAAAGGAGGACTCCAAGCTATGCAATAAGCGAAGAAACAGCCAAAAAGGAAGGTTACCATTGTCATGTAGTGGAGCAGTCGGGCGGTCTTTTGGAATTGTTGATTTGTCCCTAGAGGACCACTGTTGAATTGGACGTATAACTAGAGCTCTGGGGTTCTCCCTTGGAATGAAAAGAGCATCCGCCTTTGGTGTACTTGAGGTCTCCTCGTCATCAGTGAAAAAAGGAACCTACAAATACCAAATTAAGATTTAAACATGCACAGCACCAAAAGTAAAGATTGCGTAAAATATATCGTGAGTAAAAATTCACAAGACAGAAGCATGCCTTTGGACCATTGTCGCCAGGACGGTACTTTCTTGCTGGCAACTTGACCCGCCTTTGTAAAAGGTGTCGGGAAGTAAGGAGAGATGATATTCTGACAGGAGCAGGCTTGTCAACAACCTGACAGGAGTAAAAACAAAACAATAGGGGCAAAGAGTAAAATCAATGGAGATGAACAAGGAGAAACTGAATAGAGAAATTTTGAAGAATGAATGACAATATGCAGAGAATGAACAAAATCAATTATTATAGTGGAAGCATACAAAATCAATTTAACTTTAGAATCATAATATTAATTTAATATGGTATTTTATCAAAAATACACAAAATGTAATCTTATCATTAACACAGTTTTTTAAATTGTTTATCAATACCCAAAAGGTAAGTTTTTGTTCATCTTAATTCCTCCTCAATTTGATGAGGAACCGTTCAGAATTGTGTAGGATTGATATTCCTCATTCCTTTCCTCAAATTTGGTCACCAGTTGGATGCCAAAATGAAGAACCAAGGAATTATCAACCAGTTCCATTTCTTATGATTAATAACAAACTGAAAGTCTAAGACGAGGGTTTTACTAGAGGGAACATCAAAACAGCTATACGTAGACTATCTGGTTACATTCTGGAAAGAGTCAAAAGGAAAAATGCACGATCTGGGTGTTAAGAAGGAATAGTAGGCTTACAGGCATGCTGGAGATTCCATATTGAATCGAAGGTGAGTTTCCACTTTGGTTTATTGAAATCTGAGGCATCGCAGGAAGTGTTCCAAACGGATTTGTAACAGCAACCGGTTGCAAAACAACAGAGCTCAGCGGAGCAGGCCTGTCAAAAGAAAAATGAAAATGAAACTCCAATAGCACAACTTCCACAAAAAGAAACTCATTGCAGGTATATAAACTATCCAAAAGGAGCGAAAACAGAAGTCTTGTAAGCACTGATGTCAGAGAGACCATACGTTTGCCCGAAGTTGCCTTGACCAAAAAATCCCAGTCCACCAGCATTTCCAGATGCATTAGCTTAGACCATAAATATAAAAGAGTTAGAATCTAGAAGTAAGATGATAACGTAATTGACTAGGTCGACCGAGGTACCTGCTTGCGTTTGACCAAAGTTGTTGAAACCAAAACCATTTGATGCTTGACCTGGCTGAGCTGATTGAAAGGGTGTCATACCAGCAGGCTACAGAAATAATCCAAGATTAGAAGGCCTAAATTAGATCAGAAGGGAAGTGTGGGTGTGGGTGCGGGTGTCAATCAAGAGAAGCAAAAGAACTACTAACTGTGTAGAGAACAGGCATCACCAAAGGAAATGAAAAAAAATAACTAAGTGTTTGGGTAATAAAAGAAAAAAGATCACCATTGTTTGTCCAAAAGGAGAGCTGCTTGACGTAGTTAATGTTGAAGAACTTGAAAACATGTTGCCAAATCCAGTGGAAGGTTTATTGAAAATGTTTGTTTGGCCAAATGCAGGAGCGCTACTCTGTCCGAACTGTCCAAAAGCAGAACCAGTCTGCCCAAATGCAGAACCGGTCTGCCCGGTCGAGGGGTTTGAGCTGAATAGAGTAGATGACTGAGTGTTGCCGAATGCTGGAGTTGCACCCTGACCAGGATTTGAACCAAAGATTGATGAAGAAGAGCCGAATCCAGGAGTGCTTGATGAACCAAATAGCGGTGACGAGGTCGTTGTTCCAAAAGCGGAGGATGAACCGAAAACTGATGTGGCGGTTGATGAAGTTGACCCAAAAAGATTGGATGAAGATGTTACACCAAAGGGCGATGAACCAAAATTTGAGGTAGCTGCTCCAAAACCCGAACTGGCAATTGTTGGGGTTTGAGGGGCAAAAGGGTTGGTAGATGTTGCGCTCGAAAAAGGGTTTGTTGGATTTGCTGATGTCTGACCAAACGGCGGTGATGAAGAAAAAGGATTTGGCTGAGCAGTTGATACACCAAATCCGGCATTTCCGGGAGACTGGCCAGAAGGATTTGGTCCACCTGAAAATTGAAGATGTAGAAAATCCATATTTGTTCAACAAAGTACAAGAATGTAGAGCTGAGAAAATGTACTACAAGATTTGTTTGACCAAGTGTACCTTTATCTCCTCGCTGGTAGTCTTCCCACCTCAGCTCCTCATGGCTTTTATCTTTGTAGGCCGGCATGGCAGATATAGATTCCAACTTTCCAGCAGGCTGAGTACCGCTGCCTGTGTCTGCCTCAACTGTCGGTGCATAAGGCACGGCTCGACTGCCCCCTTGCTGTTGACCACCGAAAGGTGATTGACCAAAACCAGAACCCCCAAATGTTGGGGTTGTTGCCTGCGCACCTACAAAAAATTGCGCAAACATATTTCGTCACTCTTTATTCAAATGACTAACACAACAAGTAGTAGGGACATTTCAAATGTATAACCTTGGGCTCCAAAGGGAGATGGTGTAGAGCCAAATGCGCTGCTGCCAAATGCTGATGTGGACTGGCCAAACGCTGGGGAGGAGCCAAAACTGAAGGAGGAGGTATTTGATGCACCAAAAGTAGGAGTACTGGATGCCCCAAAGGCAGGAGTACTGGATGCCCCAAAGGCAGGGGTACTGGATGCCCCAAAGGCAGGGGTACTGGATGCCCCAAAGGCAGGAGCGCCTGATGCACCAAAAGCAGGAGTGCCTGATGCACCAAATGCAGGGCTGCTAGAAGCTCCAAATGCACCTCCAGAACCAAAGCCAGTGTTGCCAAACGTGGTGCCAGTGTTGCCAAATGCTGGAGTCGGGGACGCGCCAAATGCAGGTGTGCTAGTGACGCCAAAGGAAGGTTGGTTTGAGGCGCCAAAGGCAGGAGTACTTGTGGCACCAAAGGCAGGCGTGCTCGATGCACCAAACGAGGGTGTGCTTGTGGCACCAAAGGAAGGCGTGCTTGATGCACCGAAGGCAGGCGTGCTAGTGGCACCAAAAGGTGTAGATGAACCAAAAGTGCTGTTTCCAAATGCAGGTTGTGATTGCTGTGCGGTGCTTCCAAAAGGATTCGACTGAGGCGTTGAAAATCCCAAAGGTTTCTGCCCAAAACCAGAAGACCCTGAAAGAGGAACAAATAAATTAGCTTAGTCCCCAAAAGCAATTGTAAAATTGAAAACTGAAAACTGAAAACCCAAGGACTAACGAGAACCTGAACTAAAGAAAAGGAAACAACAACGAAATCAGGAGCCAACATCTAGAAAGAAAAACTAGCAGAAAGAGAATCCAAAAAACAAGTAGCAGTTCAAAGAAGTTCAAGAATATTAAATCAGGTAGTGACATTTTGTAACAAACCACAGAACTTGGATACTGTTTCCTGAAACAAACAGCGCAATTAAATGCTTGAAAAGGTCAAAACCATTAAATAAGGTACTTACCACCAAAAGGTGAAGATGCTGGAGATGCTCCAAAGGCCGGAGTGGAATTCCCAAATGCTGGAGATGAAGAAGCTCCAAAAGTTGTAGTGGAGGCGAATGGAGAGGAGGTTTGAGGTGCACCAAACACACCGGTTGAAGTGCCTCCAAAAATTGAACTCCCTGTCTGTGCAGCAAAAGGTGCAGACGAGCCAAACGGTGTTGCTGGAGCAAAGGGATTATTACTACTTGAATTGCTGGTCTGACCAAACAAAGACTGGGACCCAAATGGGCTGCTACCAGATGACTGTCCAAAAGCTATTAGAACAATAATTCAGAAGGTCAGTTTTCTTTCAAAGTATTACAAAGAGAAATAAATAGCATAGAACTATTAGAAGGCTACCGAAACCAACAAGTAAGCATAAGATAGGATCACTTACGATTAGATGAGCCAAACATCTTCCTATGGAGTTTCACAACGCAGGTCCTAGCCAAAAGAAATTATTTTATCTTGTAGCTGGTAAGAGAAGAAGAAGAAAAAATATCTATTAGGAAAAGATAACAGCAGAACTAAAAGCAGATAAGCAACACCATATTGGTAAAAGCTGGTTTCAAAAGATTGAACATCCATACTTATACTAGAATTCAACATCCCCATGAAATAGAGTCAATAACTGAACTTGGTTCTAGCGTCGGGAAAAGGAATATGAACTAAACCGAAATTACAAAGAGTTCACAAATACCCCAAAGGAACAAGTTAAACATCACACCTATCAGCTGAGAACAAGAAAAAAACTGGAATAGCTGAGAGATGACGAGCTTCTAAACCTATTAACTAGGCAATTAATGACTCCAAAACCAATGAACAAAGCAAACATCAGAGACTAATCGACTAATCGAGATATAGAGCAGTAGAAATCAAACCAGGAACTAATCGAAATGTAAATTCAAAGAAAGAAGGAAGAGTACCTTTGAATTCGACGTTAAAAAACACGAATAAAGTCACACGTTCTTCGATCAGACCAATATGCCTCACAGATATCAAACGAAAATCGGAGAGGTAAAGAGCGAAAGCTCCGATCGTTAACCTGACTGAAGGGAAGAAATTAGGGTTCAGGCGTGAAACCGTCGACAAGGGAGAGAACTGAATAGGTTGGGCGTGAAATCAAATGTGGATTTAGGGGGAATGGAACCTGAAAACGAAGAGCTCGATCTGAAAACCGAAGAAGGAAGGAACAATCTCGCCGGAATCGAAAGCACGATAGTTACAACTTGCCAGAGCGACGACAGCCGAAGATCGGCCTTTTGTGTTTTGTTGGTATGAGGACTCTCCTCTTCCTGCTTCCGACTCTAATTAGCGTTTTTTTAACGCAATACGATAAATGCATATACTGTATTATTATTTTGATATGTATTAAAAAAAAAAAAACACGAAGGGAGACCAAAAAAAAATTATGATGTCATTATTTTTCTTTCTTCGTCAACGTAAAAAGGTAATGAACAAGAGAGCAAAGAAAGAGTACATGAGTCTACATCATATTTGAATGAGCGACTTTTGCTAATTTACTAAGTACACTATTAGCTTCTCGATGAACATAAGTTGTGGTTGAATTAGAAGGAAATTATCATTAAGAATACTTGAATCTTTCTATGACTTCCATTGCTACCGATCCTCAAAGGTAGAAATATGAAATAAAGACCCACATTTAATTAGAAGACAATACTTTGGATTAAAGATTCGAAATTTCTATATATTCACTTGAAAATCATCACCCTTTTTATGTGTTCTTTGGTTCTGAAGGGATGCTTTTACATTTGTGTTTCTTTGTTTAAGGTAAAACAAAGACGGAGAAGAAAAAAATGATGGGTTAAAGTCATAGGAGTTCTTGAGTTAATTGATGATAGTTCATGAAATCAATGCCATTTAGCCGGACGCAACACAGAATCTGCTCCGGCAGCTCCTCCGGTTTGTTTCCCTGTTCATACACAACATATCCTCAACATAAGCGATCAAATCCCATATCATATTCTAGTTCGAAAACAAACAAATAAAACCAACCTGAATTGTGAGGCCAACATCAAGAACACAAATCTTGAGTCTATCTATGAATGCTTCAAACCCTTTTCGGGATATATAACCAAATCTATGCATATCGATGTCGATCTCAAAGTAATTTTCACCCTACAAAGAGTCAAAAATTTCCAAGCTCGTCAGTTACTAAACAGCCTATTCATCCTAAAATCAAGAAACAATAACTAAAAGAGTTTTAGTCTCACCGAGTAGAATTCGTGCTGCGGACGCGAAAGAACTGGTTTCTCGTTGTAAGCCTGCATCAGCTTTTTCTCTGGAGCACTCAAATGGAGATCATCTACGTTTGCAACACGTCCCAATATCTTAAGCCGTTCTCTGAAAGGCGCGGTTGTATCCATTGGGAAGCCTTTCACTTTCTCAACCTCATCATCTATTAATCTCTGCACCAATAAACCACAAAAACAAAAACAAAAAAAAACATTATTGATTCAATACAAAGAGCATTAAAGATGAAACTAACTGACTCAAGCTTTCTTATTTACCCGAATGCTTTCTTGAAAATGGAGGGGAAGTTCCTTTGCATAATTATCCGAAAGTTTGAAGTATAAAACAATATTCATTCCTTCTCCATCAGATTCACCTTGAAAGATTGCAGTTGGATACAATGGAATCTGTTCCGACCGTAAACCAAGAGAAACAACAATCACCGGATTATTTCCAGAAGAAAGAAGGCAAAAGACTTTAACTACCAGCAGAAACTAGATCATACCTGAACATTTACAACAAGGATAGATGGGAGTTTTGTGGATGCGGTAGTAACGGGGAGTTTAACATATTGTGCGACATGGTTTATTTTATGTTCCGACAAGAAAACATCGACACCAAAAGGATTATACGCAGCATGGTTAGGTGCAAACTCTTTCTTCTTTTCCCTTTTACCAAAAACAAAAAAATTATATTAGCATCTTGTTTAAGATGGTTAAAAGTTACAAATCATAAGTAAATCAGTATGGTCTCTCCAATGGTTTACCTGAAATAAGTTTTGCCACGAACCCGAAAGCTATTTGGATCAATAGTTGACCAACAATCGAGCATTTTCTTCTCGACTGGACAGAATGGAACCTGAGAACCCGCTACTGGTCTCTTCAATTGCAATTTTGATAAAACTGACAAAAATTTCGAGACAATGTGTGAGTTCTTGATTTGAGATCAACCAGGTAATATCTAATGAATCAAGTGCGGTAATAATACTCACACAAGGCCCCTGAAGCATGACCTTCTCTCCATTTATAAGATAGTCTAAGAGACGATTTTTTCCTCGAACTAGGAGGGCTAGAGCTAAGTGACCTTCTTTTCTCAGCAGAAGGAACAACGGTTATTGGATTCAGGCAAGGCAAACAATTACTCGGTAAGATCCTGCAGTTTTCCATGAGTCCTTCATCTGCTGATGAATCTATGAGATCAGGCTGCTTTGTGTCGTTTAAGTCACCCTCTGATGATTTCGATTGTGACATCACTTCGTTTGAGTCAGAGTCTCGTGTTGATGATGTGGTCGCACTACTCGAGACTGATACACGCTCACCTCCGTTTGAAGATAATGTATCTGAAATTGTAAAAAGAGAAAAGCCAAGAAATGAAGATCCATAAAAAGAGGAAATGCATAGCTGCTAGAGAATGAATATAGAAATATAGAATATATCTTACCTTCATTGACACTGTGGAAATCATCATCACCATCTGTTTCAAATGCGACATTGGACTCGAACCATGATTCTTCTCCATTTGCTGTTGACAAAAAAACATAGGGATCAGGTTCAGGTAACACGTTACTTCTCTCTAACATCAATCAAATAATAAAAACAGAGGAGATTTACTGAGAAAGTTTGATAAGCTACCAAAGATTTTTTAAAAAAGGGTCTTTAAGAGATAAGAGAGAAAAGCTTCACAGTTTGATCAATAACAAAGATTTTAACTACAAACAGTGAACTTTTTAAAAATCAACTGTAAGTAGCTTTTAAGAATTCTATAATCGGAATCTAATCCGATAGATTCGGATACAAAATTGCGCTATTAATTAAAACATTAGGTAGGGAAGCCCAATTGACCATTGAAACAAATAAAAAAAACAAAACTTTTTAAGATATGCAAACGAATCTACCGTAAATCGCAAAATCAGGATCAAATTCGAGCAACTCAATCGAATGCAGGAAGAAGACAGAAACCCAAAAGAAAACAGAGCTAAGAAGCGAACAGAGATCGAAGAAGTGAGACCTCGGAAACTGGGATTGGGGAAGTTACGAGGATGATCGAGATTGTCGAGAGATCCGTCAGAGAAACGAGAAGAGGCGGCTCTCTTCCGTTGATTCTTTCGTCTTTTACGACTCTTCCTTCGCTTACTTGACCTTAGCTTCGCTCCTACACAGCTCTTTGGCGTCGACACGCAACCTCCCATCTCTCTCTAAATTAGAATCAGCTCCAATTTTCCATAGACGATCACCGATATTTCTGAAGGGATATAGGAACAAAAAACCCAGAATTTATCTAGAGAGCTACGTTTCTCTCTCTCTCTCTGATCAATATCTTCTAAATAGAATCTGTCATCATCGAATACACTATAAATGAAAAACCCACAAATTTAGAGGGAGAAAGGCACTTGGTAGATGAAGATTTGAGAAAGAGACAAATTATTTGGTAAAGAAAAGGTCCTTTTTTTTTCTTACGAAGAATAAACAAAAACAGAGGTATTAGCACAAGCACACAATAGAAAAATGGTAAAAAATATAACTTTTTTTGTGTGTGGATATTTTGAGATTCGGAAAGTCAATAAAATGAGAAGGAAAAAAATATCAAAGGAGAAGTAGTTAAAGAGTTAATTATCTCTTCGGTGGGTTAACAGGCATCTCCAAGCAATTTTTGTAAATGCCTATTTTTTTCCTCTTTTAATTTGAACCATTGAAGTAAACCGACTTCTTAAACCGGATCTAACTTAGTCGGTAGGACTAGTGGTCCGATCACAACCTTTGCTAAATTTCAATAATTTAATCCTTCACCCTAATAATCATCATATGGAGTTTGATCTTCTAGTGCTTGGTTTGTTATCACTGCTGCTGTGAATGATATAGTGAAACCTTGCAGTAAGAAAAGTTCAGATATCATTTCAAATTGGCTATAAGGTGTTGGTTTAGTTTGATGGACTGTGGTTTATTCATGGGGCTAAATACCGAAGATTAAGATAACAAATATTGTTGGAAGAAACAAATTTTATCTTACCAATTAAAATAAAATTCAATATCTTATATTTGTTGAATTCTTACCAGCTATTTTTTAATATAAATTATGCCTCATGAAATATGGTACTAATAAGTTAGGTTTTGATGTGACAATCTTTTCTTTACTTAGCAAAAGAAAGCCATGCAAGAGAGTGTGGGTCATGTCTGAGTTAAGTTACGTGGCAACTTTCGAATGGTCGAGCTGCTAAGAGGCTGGATCGACGCGGGTGGCGGAGCGCGTGGTCCTGATTTGATATAGCAAGAGTGTTACCAACAAAAAAAAAGATTACTTCTTAATCTAAATCTAAAACCAAATTTATAGATTTTAAGAAGGATAACTACAAACCCCCACACAAAAAAGGATAAGTACAACTAAATTGAATACATATATCTATATATGACACAAGAAATATCTATATATATTATCATATATGGGGAGAGAAGAAAATCTTGAATTTTGGGTTATATAGAAGTTTGAAATTTCATGGTAGAATGGCAGGAAATTAACAAAAAAAAAAATAGGATTGGTCCACCTATTTCATTTGACTCTGACAATCTTACAAGTTACAATCTCATCTTCTTCATGGACCCTCACTCCATCTACATCTCACCTTTTTTTTCTTCATATTTTCTCCAATATATGTTTTACATATGAAGAACAACTGGCGAAATAATTAACTATAAATATATTTTGTAAATTTTCCAGATTTCCACCGTATATTTCTTCATTTCTATAACAACCATACAAATGGTATGTAATCTAGAAACACGGTATGTCCATTAAGAAATGAAAAAGAAACATACATTCTTGTTTCTTTTCTTTTTTATGTCGACAGAAACATGTTCCTTTTTTTATATATACCTTTTTATCAAATATATATTCGCTTTATTTCAACCAATAATAAGCTACGTAATTGGAATATTGGATTGTTGTGATGTGGTAATAAAAAAACAAAAACAGAAAAGTAACAGTAGTAATGAATATATGATGAAGAACAGCACACGTGTGGTTGTTGTTTGTTGGCAGAATCTCGTTGTCATTTCGATTTGTTCAGAACTGACGCTTTCATGTTCCAACACGCCTCACAGACTTCCACAATCCTTTGGATTATTTAGAAAGAAACAAAATAAATATATATATATATATAAATCAATAATTTTATCACAATTATAAGTCTTAATTAGGCTTTTCTTCTATTTTGTTAATTACTTTGATTACGTTAGAAATTTTTTTTTAAAAACAATGTGTTTATATTAATATAAATGGCAGTCTACACTAGAAGACTGGTTGCTCAAGTTATAAAAAAAGTCACGAGCAAATAATGATGCGAAACGACAACGTGTCAGTCTCAAGCATTATAGAGACGAGGGGCCATTCTAAAGTCTGAATAGCTTTTCTCTTGCTTAGGGATTGTCAAATGTCACAAGTTTATACATGTACGTATAGTCGTATATGATACATACTTACATATAACGGCCCACCATTTGTGCTTATATATAAACAACCAAATATTAAATAGCAATCTGATATATCAAATTTAGTGTAGAATATAAATATAAATAATAATATGATAATTAAGACTGGTGATAAGTACATTTGCAAATGATCGATAATTACATATTGGAATAACTACTAGTATTATCTACCGTCAATAAGGCAATAGATATTCTTCTGCCCCGAGCATGATTAATGTTCTTTTTCACGTGTCAAAGTAAAAGAGAGAGATAGCTAGGGTTAAGAGTTTACTATAGAAACGAGATACGTATTTAATAGGGTTTTGGAAAACTTGATCGAACAATTTCAAAAGTTACAAGCATAAAAAAAAAGTTATGAAAGTTGCAATGGATAATTTTTTTATTTTTTTGGTGAAAATTGCACCTTGTTTGTTTTGTATGTAGCCATCTAGGTTTGTGGCTTTAAAGAAACGTTCTATCTACATTAAAGAACACTCCCGATCGAATTCAAAGCTTCGTCTTCATACAGATAACAGCAGTCACTGTGTGTTTGACCGTAATTGAGTTAAACTTTCAAAAACGTAAAAGAACGCAGTGATTGTCAAACTAGTTTTAAAAGAAAAGCTAAATTTCAATTACTAGTATGTGTTAACTACAGCACTTACACTAAACGAATAAAGAAAATATGTTTAGTAATTGGAGCTTTCGAAAAAATAGACACGGAGCATTAAATGAAAGGAGTGGAAACTTAACAACTTTCCCAACAAGAACCACCAATTTCACCAACTTCACACTCAATTCAAGTGAAATGATTGGATACTAATACTTTAGTGTCTTTAATCAATCCAAGAGCCAACACATAAAATAGTAAGATTTGCCTAATGATTATTATTTCAGTATCTCTATTGCTTCCTAATGGAATCGAATGTGTTAAGAAGGTGAACCGCAACGAAAATAAGTCTACCGACCAACACAGTTAATGTAGAAGTACCACTTAGCTGACCTTTAAAAGGCCCTCGGCTCATTTATGGCTTAAACAGAGAAAGTTCTTATTAGTATAAAAGATCTTAAATCTTGTGGTGGTGGTTAAGGTCTCAAACCTTCCTCGATACCAAACTTACGTGTGATGGGTCATCATACACACATTTACAAAAGGGTATAAATAAAGCTAACTCAAACATGGAAAGTAACGTTTCCTTCTAAACTATTTCATCGATGCCCTTTTAAAGCAAATCCCTAGACGTCCTTACCACTTATTTGTTCTCACTTTGTTATTTCAGCATTTAATTTCTTTACATAAACTGATAAATGTTGGATAGTTGGATCCAAATGAAATTCGAATGGTGGACCATGTGTGGTATCTTTGCTGTTCCCAATAATCTTTAATTGTTTTTTTGTTTTGTTTCTAATGCCCCAATTGGGATTTCTTTCTAAAAGATGACATGTAGTGATTGTAATTATTAGTCTACTAACGGCATCTGACAAATTACCATTATACTACTAAACCTAGGTTATTAACAGTTTAGTGCTTATTTTACAATAATCGTCACAAATTGTAACTATAAACACAGTTTTAACTAAATTTCACTTGTGCTTCTTTTGTTTTTTAATCAATGTTAATTTTGTTATCGTCTATAACTCATCCAAACATATATCTAGTTTAAATCCGTATTACGAACGCGGCGACAATATTAGTACAACTACTTGTAGCGGTTCAATAAAGTTAGACATTTCATCCAGAATAAAAAAGAGAAATTAGGCTCCATAGCAAGGGATAAACCTATATTTGTAAAAATAACTAATCACTGTAGTTTACACTATTCTATTTTTTTAATGACAGAGAAGTCCCTACGGCTTCTGTACCTACTCTACTCACCCATACCACATATGTCTACTACTTTTTCTCTCTCCTTCATCTTTCTTTCATTAATCTCTTGCTTCCAAATTATTTTTTCTTTCTCTAAATCAAGTAAACCGAGAATCATATAACAGAAAATCTCTTCTCTCTTCCAATCAAGTACTTCATATCTCAGGGTTAAAGCTTTGTGGTGCCTCATCTTCTCTCTACTCTTTTTTTCTCTTCTTCATCTTTCTTCCATTAGTCTCTTTCCTCTAATTCTTTTTCTCTCTTAATCAAGGTGTACCGAGAATCATATAAGAGGTAATCATCTCTCTCTTCCAATCAGGTACCTTATTTTCAGATTTTCTCCATCTAGAAACTTTTGTGGTGCCTTATCTCTCTCTACTTTTTTATATTTTCTGGGTTTTTATTTTATGATAATGTAGATAAAGTTTCAGTTTATTAGTTAACAAAATTGATTATGATTATTACAATTCATTATATGTATAACAAATCAGTTGGATTGATAATCTTAATGTTAACAAAGTAACAAAACTGTTATCCGCTAACATTATTATTTTTATTGCTGACAATATTGATTTTTTACATATATAAATGATAAGTTATACAACTAACAAATAAGATAGATAGATAACTTCAATGTTAACAAAATAACATGATTGTTACTCGATAACATTTTTCTAAACTATTTTCATATAATGTTACCGATCTCATATTTAATTGCTTCAGGGGATTTTTCAGCTGAACTATTTTATTGTTTATGACATTTTGGTATGCTAGATGCAGATACAATCCCTATAATGTAATCTTTGTGGAATCTGGCATTATGGTAGTGCTTGTAGTACATACTATCGTTGGACGGGACGGCTGCAAGTGCATCAAGCATGAAGAAGGAAAAATACTATTGTATTGTAGCAACTTTACATACAAATTAGCTGATTACATTTTATTTGTCCCATCCCATTTCTTTTAATCTCATGTCACGCCGAATACAATAGATGTATTCTGATGTTATTATTCAATAATGTGCATAGTTAGACATGTAATTTTATATATATCTTCGATAAAATAATTGTTAGTCTTCCAATACAAAGATTAACCTATCCAACAAACCATCAACGTATCTCAAAAAAAACAATAATTAATTGTATTTAGTTTATATTACTAAGTAAAATATTTACAAGCTTAGCTAATGTTATTTGTATCTCCGATAAACCTTTAGTGGGATTCACTTGAACTTTATTGGATTTGTTTCCTTTCACCTTTAATACTTTAAACACAAACACCATCATGAAATTATGTTGGAGCTTTGATATTCATAAGGATCTTTTTTGTTTTTTTTTCATAAGGAGTAGAAACTGAATCTTTGATTTTTGATTTTCTGGGTTCTTAAGAAAGAAAAAAAAAAAAAGAGAAAACACGATGATGAAGATAGAGAGAGAAACAAGATGGAGAAAGAAATATCAGCCCACTTCGAATATGTCGCAGATATTATATCCCACTTAGGTACCCTAAGCTTCCCTAAATAAATCATTACTACCCTATTATTGAGTTTAAATTAATTCCCACTCTATCTAAGGCTCTTTTTGTAATTTCTCACACCCTCCCAAACAGTGATTGTTGGTTTCTTTCCTCAGATGAGTACCGAGCTAATATCAGCCAACTTCATGGTTTTCTAATTAATTAACTCAATAAAAAATCGTATTGAAAGGGAATAAGCTCATTAACAGAAGAAACTGAGAGACATATAGTCCATTTTATAATTTCTACGAAAATGTAAAGAAAAATACATTTTTTTCTACGCCTTATTCATTGCGTGTGAAACTAGAAAACTTGTGTTCTCGTCGTTTATATGACCGAGTCCCCACCAAACTAACTTTCTTCAAGCTTATTGATTGATATATGTATATAATCACATTTGTGGTCAATAATTTCAGCGCCCAATAGAGAGATAGAAACCTATTTTGCAGCTGATATAACCTATTTTAAACATCTTGGCCAAAATTTGACGTCTCATAAACATATACAAGTCGGTGGAACATTACTTGAAATGCAAGAGCTTAAAATAGCTGATTTTTTTGGTTTTTTAAAATTAATTTTCGCGAAACTGTTAATGAGGTCAAAAGAACGACATAAGAGTATAAGTGGTAACAATCACAAATCCTGATTAGACTTTTCTTACTCTTAAACGCGATTAGTTGAGCACTCTGAATCAGGCTGGTTCATCAACTCTTTGCACTTGTCCTGCAAAACCCTGACGGACTATAATCACTTAAGGTTCAAAGTGTGGAATTACTTCGTCTCTACAGAAATGAATAGGCTATGATATTCATAGGAATCTGAGTGCAAAAGGTACTACAAAAATCTAAGATTCTTTGGGGAAACACTGCATAGTACACTAGCTGATGACTCATGATGTGAGGAAGTGGATTCTAGGGTATGACATAGAACCTGGAGTATTTCTATGTTTACGTTCACTCCTATCAGCGATTGTAAGCAAGAAAGAAAGAGGAAAGCGGTTTCACTTGCCTTGGTCTCAGAGTGGTCGAGGTTATTATTAGTACTCTGCCAATGGCCACTGTCAGTGTTATGATAAAGATATTGAACAGAATCCAGTTTATGATCAGGGTCCTGTATCAAACTGCAGTCTGTGTTTTGGTCATGACACCGGGGAGACCCTGATGATATAACGTTTACTGCAAAAGGAAATCTGGTTAGTGCAAAGTTCTAATTGATCAACGTAGTTCTCTTCTATCTATGCAGCATGTCAGCTAGATAACCTCCTCTTTGCATTCTATTACTAAAAAAATCCTTCTTTCAAAATTATATACATAGAAACACTGCAATATTGTAGAAGAAGTTATTGTTTAGGTTTCTGGATTCTAGTATAGCAGTTATGGTTCTGGTTTAGGAGAAGTTATGGTTTATGTTTCGAAATCCTTGTTTCAAAACTCTCTTTGATTCTGATGATATTTAATTTTAAGCAAAGTAAATATAATGGCAACAAAAGAAGAGACCAGACCTGAATTTTCTTGGGAACCCATCATAGGATCTTCACTTGCAAGTTCCTCCATTTTGTCAACTGTATCATTGTACCTAGTTAGCCAATCAAAGAGAGTTAAACGTTGATCTGGGAATTCAGGTCATTCCCAAGGTTATGTTCATTAAGAAATTTTCTGAAGCAATCTATTCGCCCTTGGACCAGAACGGAAACAAACAAAAAAGGTGTTCAAGTGATATTACAGACCTGAAATTTTTGTTTCTTTCATCGGCACCTTGTTCGAATGTCAATATTGATTTGAACACCCTTCTGTCCTGAATTGAAGACAAACAACAATTTAAATTTGAATTGAATTTCAATGCCAGATTATTTTCCACGGATGGAATGTCGAAATTTAGAATTTCTCTCTCACCTCTTCGGTCATAAGAGTGACAGATTCCTGAATCCGCTGTAAAATCATTTCTAAACTCCTCACTTCAGAATTCAATGCCTAAACATTGGAAACAATATTTAGAGACTGTAAGAATGCAGAATGAACCAAACTCGTTAAATAACTAATGATCTGTTTTCCTACCTCTTTCTCAGAAATCAAGTTCTCTACAACTGAATCTTTGACCTTCAAAGTTTTCTGAATGTAAGGCTGGTCAAGTAAACAAAAAAAATGGCAACTTTTTTAAGAGGATAGATCTCACAATAAAACATGCAAACTCTGATAAGGATATCTCTTCGACTTGAAGCTGATCTTCATTTTTAAGCTTTGCTGCTTCAAGCTGAGCGGAAAGCTCTGATATTCTATTCTCCTTGCTCTGCAATTCTGTTTCCTGATATTCTATTTTCTTTTCTAAAGTGCTGATTTTCTCTGCATAAGTACAGAAGTTAAAAATCATTGTCTTCGTAAAGAATGACATGTCGAAATGCATAGCGTAATTATGGAAAATGAAAGCCAAAGAAATAAACACACATCATACACACTTCTACAGGATCCATCAATAACAATATAAAGGAACGATTTCAAGAATTCCATTCATTTAAACACCCTTTTAAACAAGAAACCAAAAGAGAACATGAAAAAATAAGTAGCCTCTCAAGTATCAGGATCGCAGATTATATAATGAGAAACTCACCGATAAACACTTTTTCATATGTAGAGACGTGGTCCATTTTCTCTTTCAAGCCAGCCACTGGATACAAGAAACAGCGAAAACATGATCAATGCCTTGGGTGGAAGCCTTGAATGCATTAGTACCCTGGAAGCATATCCATTAGCAGAATTAGCAAGAGATCAGGGATGTACATGCCTACATCTTCTTTTTGATCCACAAGGCCCTGAACTTCGTGTATGACATATTTAATTGCCGTTGCCTCTTTCTCAATTGAATCAAACAATGCTAAATGAGAGGTGATCTTCTGGTGTAGGATGGCAATCTTCCTATCCCTGGCTTCAATTGAACATTTCATTTCACAAAAAGACTCCTGCAAACACATCACCACCTCAGTAATTGAAGTTACAAGATTCCTAGAGCCAAAAGTGTATCAGTATCCATATCCATACTATCGAAAATCACCAGGGAGATGATTCTCTATGCTACTTCTATTACCCAGATCTAGTATGAAATTTTGACAGGATGAGATTATGAGACAAGCACCTGGTAAGAGTTTAAGAAACTTTCTCGTGATTGAAGCAGGTTTTGGATAGTAGTCTTCAATTCGTTCTGCTTGATTTCCAGCAAACTATAGTCGTTCTGGAGGTAACTCACCTGCAAATCAACCAAACTTTCACTAATTCCATTATCTTATTATAATAGATTCGAAGAACAAAAGAACCTTCCAAACCTTCCTCTCGAGCGCCTCCTGTGTTTCTATAGAAGAAGCTAAATCAGCTTGTAACTCCTGCACTTTCCTGCTGTATTCTTCCTCCGTTTGCTTATGTTTCTGTATCGAAGCACCAAGCGCCACGATCACGATTCACGACTCATAAACGCAACAAAAACAAGAGCCATTTACGGTAACAATGAATGAAGAACCTGATTGACAAGATTGATGTGATCTGTGACTGATCGCTCCCTTTCCTGCAAAATCGCCGGTAGTAAAGTGGAAGAAGAAGAGAGAAACTGGGAGGGGGGAGCGAAAACTACTCAATCCATAGATGTATAAACCTCTTTCTTCTTACACGCAGATCTCGCACTTCTCCGATCATTGACTGAAGCTGCAATTTGAATTTTGACAACTTGAGCAACTCCATTTTCGTTTTCTCCTCGGATTTTGAATTTTGACCGCCAGAAAATCTGTTTTTGATTCGAGAGAAAATGTCCACTAGAAAATTAGGTCGTCGGAATTCTCAAAATGTAATTGTCAGAGAAGCTACTTTGTTCTATATGGGCCTAATCCAGAATGGGCTTTAAGACTTTAATAGTATTCGTAATTATATCCATTCTAGCCGCTATATTTTGTAATTAACATTTCACTTATCACCGTTAAACATTTAACAAATACTTAATTGTTTTTCTCGTATTAGTGACCTGAAAAAATATTTTAAGATGACAATTTCGTTGTAAAACGTAATCTTGATTTTTACTTCAATTTTTTTTTTTAAATGAACGTGTAGCAATTATGATAATTTATACAACATACATTTTTATTTTTGCCCGGCCTATATACGAATTCAGAACACTGTACCAAAAACATATATATTTAGGTCTAATGAAAAAGATATATTTTATATATTACCTTTAAAAACAAAATAATGAACAGAACCACGTGTTTTAAGATATGTTTTCTTAATGTTTTCCTAATTTGATATTTATGGAGTTTTGATTGGTAACGTCGTAACGAGAACACGAGATTATGAACATCAATACAAAAAAATACGAACAAGGGGACTCAAGAGTACCGTACTCTTATAATGTGGGCCACTTCTCTTACTATTGGAAAGGGAAATCTTCCAAATTAGTTATTGTTGTGATTTTCTTTGGTGTTAATATTGTTGTTTTTAGTTGCAATTTGAAAACAATTTCTTGATGAAGAGTTAAAAGCTTTTAGTGTTTTAAGAAAAAGTCATAGAAATTTCCAAAATTTGCATTGTCAAATGTCAAATGATCACACCCAAGGTCATGTTTGTTGTAATAACAGATTCGAATATATGTTTGAATAGTTTATTTAACTTAACTTATAGCGAACCTACCCTTATATATTTCAAGATATTGTTGAACTTACGACATGCATTTAGGCAACTAAATCAACCACCTAACCTAAAAGGCTAAAGCCTAAAAATATTAATAAACATTTTCATATACACCATATAAGTGTGCTAAATGTGGGATTGAGAACACTACCTTTCACAGAAATTACGCACGCGGAGTACTACTCTCTACTCGTGAATGGTGACGTTAACATTTATGAGTCAATTTTCACAATAAGTTACGTATTTTCCACGTGACTACATTTCCTTTTACGTATTTGAAATTGTTGTTATAACTGCAAAGAAATTACCGTGACTTGATAATAACTCTTTGGTTCCCGTGGGGAATGATAGTCTTGCACATGCAGAATATATAGCATAAAGTCTAAAACCTAAATAAGCAATCAACATATTTGTATAAAAAGCACCATCCTTAATAGTATAAATAACATAACCACTTTTATATTCCGTCTCAAATCCAATTAGCTTACGATACAAATCATTATAACACAAAGAAAACATGATATTCATTAGCACCCATAATACCGAAGCTATATGGATATTAGTATGTATAGACATAACTTCCGTCGCATTTTCTTTTTTCCTTTAACGAGAAAAAAGAGAGTTAGGCGGAACATCGTACGTCGATGATTCCGTGGTGCTTGCTCACATTCGTTGTCGGGAATATAACGGATACACGTGTCAGGGAATGATTGAGCCTCTCTCTCTCTCTTTCATGTGAAAGAGGAAAGGGAAACAGAAAGCTTTTAAAGGTGAGAGTGAGGTGCCTAACGAACATTAGTCATCAGAAATCAAAAATGGTAACTAGAGAGTGAAGTGTTTGGCACAAAGTGCTATTCCTATTCTACAAGTCTTTCTCAACCATAATGCCTTTGTCATCACTATTCCGTTTTTTTGTGTGTGTATTGTTTACAGTTTTCTATTGCGTGTGGTTGTATCTAATTTCGTAATGTTAGGCTTCATATTTAATCACGAGGTCTTATATATAGTTAGAGCTTCTGATCGCAGCTAAGGGATTTAGCAAATTAAACACAACTTTTAGTTTTGAACAAACCGAAAGTTAGTTAATGTCTGATATCTCCGTGTTATATAAGACTCGTGTATAATTTTGCAAAATGTTATAACATAGTATATACTAATATTTTGTTCTATATATCGTTACTAATCGTGGAATTTGATCTCTTGGCCCAACCAACAAAACAAGTCATCAACACCCATATATGAACACGACCACCAAAGCATAGCTTTTGATTGTATTATTATTTGCAATTTAGCAATTAAAGCCATTATGATCTAGTAATGATCCATGGTTGAAAGAAAGGAGCCAAATATAAAGTGAGATTATTTCATTTGTTAACCTAGACTTTGCATCATTAAATCCACGAACCATCGTTGTCTATCAGACCATCACTATAATCAATGATGTTTGTATAATTTTGTTTCAGTGATTACACAATCAAAGCCGATAATTAGATAAACAAATCAAGTGATATAGACCCTACTTTCAAAAGTCTTCTTCTCCCCGTTTGTTAACAGAGGAATGCGTACGTGGAAGCTCTAATCACCGACAGTATTTTTAATCGTGTGGATAATAGAGAGCGTCTAGTATAGTCGCGACGCACAGGATTACTTCAGCTGGTCCCACAAAAGAAAACCTCGCTATGAAGTGACTTGCCTGCAACTCCCGAGGTGAAAAGAGAAAAAGCCAGTGACGAAAAAATAAAATACATATAAAGTTTCAAAAATTAAATGCAAACTTATATAGAAAAAGTGGGAAAAAAACTTATATAGAAAAAGAAAATCACGAAAGAGAAACACAGTGCGCATCAAACTCCACTGTCTAAGGAGAGATCGCATTCTCAACAAGTTACATCAATCTCTCTCTCTCTTTGGGAGCTTACTGATTCGAATCGGTAGCAGCTGAGTCAACTCGCTGAGAAGTGTATTTGTATGTGTACGCGATAAGGACGGGCTACGAGTTTGCGTGATGGATCCCGGTGGGATGATGAACGACGCCGGGACGTATAACCTGGCGGAGATCTGGCCGTTTCCGATTAACGGAGGCGCGACGACGGTTCATTCGTCGATGAGGAGTGGTGTCTCGTTTGGTGGGCCTAACTTGGCTCATCAGTTCGCGGACTCGAATCTGATTAACTGTGGCGATCCGGCTCGTATGAGCCACGCGCTTTCGCAGGCGGTGGTCGCCGGAATCTCTGGTGCTAGGAAGCGACGGGACGCAGCGGAGGACAAAGTCGTCTCTAGCAGCGACGGCAATGACGCGGTACGGTTATATTGACGGATCTGTGATATATCAATTTGGTATTTTTTTATTTAAACAATCTCATTAGATTTCATATACCTTTTTTTTTTTTTTTTATGTGTATTGTTCTTTTGGTATGCTTAATTAGCATTACGTAAGCTTGAATTCATAAACAACTAGAAGTTTGAAAACAAAAGAGACGTGTTTAGGAAAATAAAGAAACAGAATCAAGAGCTCAGTTACTGTGTTTAGGAAATGTATCAGATTAGGCCTTCTTGGTTCAAACGATTGATATCTTTCATAATTGGTACTGATTGTCTTCATATTATTTTCTGGATCTTTCAAGAACACACTCTGATGTTAACAGTTCTTTTTGGTTTTGGTGTGGAGCAGAATGATGGTGACAGTAAAAAGCAGAAGACTTTGGGATGTGAAGACGAAGTGTGTGATGGGAAAGCAGAAACAGGAACATCGGATCAAAAGAAGCAGTTGCCTGAACCTCCAAAAGATTATATTCACGTGCGAGCAAGAAGAGGACAAGCGACAGATAGTCACAGTCTTGCCGAAAGAGTACTTATAACTCTTCTTATAAATACTACTCTTTTAAAAGCTTTTTCAGCTAAAAATGAGAAGACTTGGTATCGAGAGTGACCAGACTCGGTAACAGAGTTTTCTTTGTTGGCAGGCGAGAAGAGAAAAAATAAGCGAGCGGATGAAAATCTTGCAAGATCTTGTCCCGGGTTGTAACAAGGTAGTATATCAAGCGATCATGGTTATCACAATTACAAAATTGGTATAGTGCTGCTAACACTTAAAATCTTTGTATGCTCAGGTTATCGGAAAAGCGCTTGTTCTAGATGAGATAATCAATTACATACAATCGCTGCAGCGTCAAGTTGAGGTGAAACCTTACTCCCTCTTGTGTATTGATTATTGGATAACTTTTTTTTGAACTGTTTATTTCTTGTTCATCTCATAAGAGTATAAGACTGCTTCTATTTTCAGTTTCTATCTATGAAACTTGAAGCGGTCAACTCAAGAATGAATCCTGGAGTCGAGGTTTTCCCGCCAAAAGAGGTTAGCCTGTTGTGGTAGCTCAGACTCTTATGTAACGATCCATTGTCTCAAATTTTACTTCTTGTTTCTGTTTCTCATGTCATTCTTGGGTAAAGCTATTGATGAAACTCAACAGATCATAGGCGTTAGCTATGAATGCAGTTGATATAGCCAACCTCAAGACATCAATACGTCATGTTCACAAAGCTAACATAGTTCACTGAGCGATATGTACTTCCGTTTTCTAATTTTAAGATTTTGGTAAATCGCAGTTCGAGCAGCAGCCGTTTGAGAATCCAGGGATGCAGTTTGGCTCACAACCAACAAGGGAATACAGCAGAGGAGCATCACCGGAGTGGTTGCATATGCAGGTAGGAGGTGGTTTCGAAAGAACATCGTGAATACAGAAACACTTAAAGTTAGTTAATAAAGCTAGTAAAAATTCACTAAACAAAATTCCCATCTCCAATGATGTTAGTCACGAAAAGAAGCATACGTATAAACATTTATAAAAATATATATATATATATATATACGACATTAGTATATTGTTGTGGAGGAAGCGAGAAGATTATAGGATTTCTAGTTTAGACATGAAGTAAAAGGGAGATCGACTGTGAGGATGATTTCCTCTGTTGCTACTTGTCTCAGATTATGTTAGTAATGTTAGATTTCAGATGCTTGTTTGATTCTGTAATCTCTCTGAGGAAGGTTTGGTTCTCCAAAGCTGCGAGACCTAAAAAAAAAGAGGAATGAAAATGAACCTCAGCTCTTGTAAAATGATGTCCTATGCTATTTTTTTTTCTAACAGTAATTTTTTCTTCATTCAAAATCATCGTTTTATCGTATTGTCATATTTTACCGCGTTTTAGTTGTACCGCCAAATTTTTATTGAAAACGGCCTCAAAATGCATTGGATGATAAAATACAACAAAAGAGGGAATTCAAATTAAAATTTCAATATTTGGGTATATAAGCGTGTGGGCTTTTTTCTTCTATCGATAATTTCTCTCTCAATGGGAGAAAAACATAACGAGAAATATCAGCACGATAAAATTTTGACAAGCGCGAAGAAGAACGTCTTTCTGAGCAGTGAGAAATAATAAGAACCTCAAAAAAGAGCAAAAAGAGAAAAAAAAGGAAAAAGGGAAAAAGGAAAAGGAAAAAAATAAAAGAAAGGAGAAAGATGGTCGTCTCAGTTTCTACCGTCGGTACAGATCTCGCGCTCGGTTAATCGGAAAATACAGAGGGTAAAAATTGGAGGGAAATAGTGAAGCTGAATTTCGATTTTTCAAGACCTGCTGGATCCGAATGGTTAGGTCGGGAGGATTCAGCGTTGAATCGTCAACGAATCACCTCCGGGCACCGTCTCGGACGGTGACGCTAGGCCGTATACAGCCTCAGGCTCCGACTTACCGTACCGTCTACTGCAATGACCGTGATGCTAATTTCCCCGTCCGGTTCAAGGTACTTGCCGGAATATTAGTCTTTTGGTTGGTTCATTTCTGCTCCTCCTAATGCTCTTCTTTAATCGATTACATAAATGAGCATTGGAATTATTAGAATTTGCTGTTTTGCGTTCAGTCAATTTCTGAGTTTTTAATTCGTAATGAATGTCGTGTGAAATGTTGCAGGGTAATTCAATTTCCACAACAAAGTATAATGTTTTCACCTTTTTGCCGAAAGGTCTGTTTGAACAAGTAAGTGTTTTTCTTGTTAATTAGCTTCAATAGTGCAGCTAATAGCGATGGATTGTTCTCTTACATTCATCATAATACATTATTCTTCTGGCTTTAAATGCAAAATATTTTGTAAGCTTGCTATTAATTTTTATTAAGGTTGTGATATATTGGGAGTGTTTGGAATGCACCTTTAGGTTTTGAGGGGAATGAAAAGCAATTCAGATCTTTGATGTTGTTTATCTGATCTGAGAAATAACGTGCTTTCTGACAGTTTAGGCGCATAGCAAATATCTACTTTCTTGGAATTTCATGTCTATCAATGACACCAATAAGGTATGTTAACTCCGTCGCGGCTGTCTAATTTTCACTTTTCCCAAGATTTCGATGCCATGTTGTCCCTAGAATGCCTTTGTTATTATTATGTTTTTCAGTCGGTAAAGTGTAAACTAAATAAACTGTTTTCCTGCAGCCCTGTAAATCCAATAACAAATGTTGCTCCTCTGTCAATGGTGCTTCTCGTATCTCTTATCAAAGAGGCTTTTGAAGACTGGGTGAGGCCCTGACTCCTGGTTCTTTTTGTTTAAACGTTATAGAAATATTTAACTCTCCTTGTTATGAATAAGAGTTCTTCAGTTAATATCTATATTGGGTTTTAGTTAGTGAATGCTTATGAGTTTCAGAACCCATCTGCTTCTCGAATTCTAAATCCTTTTGGCAAATAATCTGTTGCAGAAACGCTTTCAAAATGATATGTCCATAAATAATAGTACAGTGGATGTCCTGCAAGATCAACAATGGGTACCTATTCCCTGGCGGAAGTTGCAGGTCGGAGATATTATCAAGGTATATTTTTGTAAAATTACTATGTTATCGAACAAGGTTGCTCTGAAAACTCAAAGACATTGTTGATACACCTGTTTAGTTGTTTACATTGCTCGAATTATAGTCATCATTCTAGATTGTTACCACGGTAACGTTTGTGGAGGGTTCCAGAACTTGTAATTATCTTTAAACTCCAATTCTATAAGCTTGGTCAACATTCTTTGTTGATATTTGCAGATAAAAAAAGATGGATTTTTTCCAGCTGATCTTCTTTTCCTGTCCAGCACAAATCCTGATGGTATCTGCTACGTAGAGGTGCTTAGCTCTTTGGCTATATTATTTGATTATTTTTTCTGTCTGGCAAAGAAGCAGCTATTCAGGATTATTGAATATACATTTTAACTCTAGTGTTACTGTGCGTACCCTTTGTAAATGCAGACTGCAAATCTAGATGGGGAAACAAATTTAAAAATCCGAAAGGCCCTTGAAAGGACATGGGATTACTTGACATCAGAGAAAGCTTCTGAATTCAAAGGTTAGCCTTTGGAGTTGGTTATTATCTTGCAGAGATTTTATTAGCTGAATCTGTGCTTGTACTATCGTCTTTCATCCATTTGTTTCTGAAAATATATCTAAAAGCAATTCTTTGTTAGTATAATAGCTCTGTTAACTGTTGAGCAGTATTCATCAACTTTATCCAATGTTTCTCTCTTTTACTATGCAGGTGAAATTCAGTGCGAGCAACCTAATAATTCTCTGTACACTTTCACCGGGAATCTTATAGTAGAAAAGCAGACTTTACCTCTCTCTCCAGACCAGCTTTTATTGCGTGTATGATCGACTGTTTCTGCTTTTAGCTGTGTGTTCCTTTTCTGCCTTATGTCTACAGGATTTCATTATGCGAGAGTGAGACCTTATATTTTTGGGTTATGTAAATCTTCGGCATTCCAATTCTCAGGGATGCAGTCTTAGGAACACAGAATACATTGTTGGTGCTGTGATATTTACTGGTCATGAGACAAAGGTAAGCTACCGTAAAGCTTGATTGATTAGAAACTAGGTTTGCAAAATTTATGGTAAAGCATTTAGGATTGTCATTTTAGTGACATTCTCCTGTTTCTGCATCCTTGTAGAGTTGCTATGTATACAATTTGATCTACTTTATGGTGTATGCAATGTATGCAGGTGATGATGAATGCCATGAATGCGCCTTCCAAAAGAAGTACGCTGGAAAAGAAACTCGACAAACTTATTATTACTATCTTCTGTGCCCTTATCATAATGTGCTTGATTGGAGCTATAGGCTGGTATAGATTCTAGTCAAATTTGTAGTTTATCCAGTACTAAGCTGATATATCATTGTATTTTTACCCACTCGCGTTGGTTTACAAAATCTGTTATATTTTGCAGTGCAATTGTGACAGATCGTGACCACAATTATTTGGGTCTTCATAAGAAAGATTGGGAATACCGAAACGGAATGACGGTAATAACCTGGCATAGTTGAACTGATTTCTTGCATATATGGATTGCTGGTGCTTATAGTACTTTTTGGTGCCACAGATAGCATTTTTCACCTTTTTTACTCTAGTCACTCTTTTCTCTACAATTATACCGATATCCTTATACGTTTCTATCGAGGTATGTCTCAATTTCTTATTTTAATTTCATTTATCGGCAGTACAAAAAATTTAAGTAGTTGAGTGCTTCCTCTGTTTCCTCCACAAATGGAGCACAGATGATCAAATTTATTCAGTCAACTCAGTTTATCAACCGAGATCTTCACATGTATCATGCTGAGACAAATACTCCTGCCTCCGCCAGGACTTCAAATTTAAATGAGGAGCTTGGACAAGTAAACTACTATCCACTCCCCAATCGCCACATGTTCGATGTTATGTTTTTTTTGCCAGCATTTAAATTGTGCTAACTTAGTTTTCTGAATATGCTTCTTTTTTTCGTCATCTTACATTCAGATTTGCAAATTTATTGGCATCTTTCAGGTGGAATACATATTTTCTGATAAAACTGGAACCCTGACAAGAAATTTGATGGAGTTTTTTAAATGTTCAATTGGAGGAATAAGTTATGGATGCGGTATTACTGAAATAGAAAGAGGAATTGCTCAGCGCGATGGCCTAAAAATTCAAGAGGTACAATTCCTTCTCATATGAGGACGTTTTGTCATGCATTATGGAACATTTGATCCTATTGTTTTATGCTTAAAATTTTTCAGGAACAAAGGTCGACTGGTGCTATAAGAGAAAAGGGATTTAATTTCGATGATCCAAGGCTTATGCGTGGAGGTTGGAGAAACGAACCCAATCCCGATCTTTGCAAGGTGTCTTTCATATCCTGTTGATTTGACTCGCAATCAGTTTAAGAATTTTAATAGCTAGATGATGTGTTATGTTTTCTGGGAGAAACCATGAGATATCAACTTTCCATCATATTATATAGGTGTTATTTCCTTTCCGGGTGGTATATGACTTCGCTAATGTCTATGCATGTGTTCTGTTAATGCTATGGAGAACATTTTTTTTTGCCCTGCGTTAACTTCTCCTGGAAGTGGAGACAGGATAATGGATGATGTCCCTTCTGATAGTTTCTTTAACTGATTAATAGCTGTTATGTTCTCAAAATTTCAACTTCAAATGATTCTATAAGTTGGTATTTTGGCTTTGACCAAGACCTTCGGACTCTGTTCTGAGAGCCTTCAATGAAAAAAGTCGACGGAGGAAAAACCTCCTCTTAAAGAATTTAGTTAACCTTGAGGTTCCAATTAAGTTAATCTTGGTCATGCCCAAGGCTCTAACTTCAATGTATTGTATTTTGATCTTTGTAGGAATTTTTTAGATGCCTAGCCATATGCCACACGGTCCTTCCTGAAGGTGATGAGTCCCCCGAGAAGATTGTTTATCAAGCTGCATCCCCAGATGAAGCTGCTCTAGTTACCGCCGCTAAGAATTTTGGATTCTTCTTTTACAGGTTACTCTCATTTATTTTTCATTTTCCAATAGACAAGTTGTAACTGAAATCAATCTGACAAGAATAAATTTTGAGTTTGTAAGCTAGACCCATAATTACTTGTTTTCTGCCTTTTTTTATCAACTTCCACTATGAGCTGAGAAAAGGTGCTTTTGTTTCTCAAGTCTCTGTGAGTTTCTTTGAGAAAACTTTCATGTATTTTCAGGCGTACCCCAACCATGGTGTATGTTCGCGAGTCTCACACGGAGCAGATGGGAAAGATCCAAGATGTGTCTTATGAGATTCTTAATGTTCTCGAGTTCAACAGGTGTATAAGGCTGCGGAATGTTAGCTTGTTATCTCTTTGCCATGGTTAAGCATACTAATGAAATCTTGCACCATGCATTAACAGTACAAGGAAGCGCCAGTCTGTTGTGTGTCGTTTTCCAGATGGGAGACTTGTACTCTACTGCAAGGTAAACAGTTTTCTAGGCAGATGGATGAGCCTGTGTATTTCCATGTCAAATTTGACCATTACTTGGAATAATGTCTACAGGGTGCAGATACTGTAATTTTCGAAAGATTGGCTTATGGTATGGATGATGTTAGAAAAGTGACAGGAGAGCACTTGGAACATTTTGGATCGTCTGGATTGCGTACCCTTTGCCTGGCCTATAAAGATTTAGATCCGGATGCCTATGATAGTTGGAATGAAAAATTCATCCAGGCCAAGTCTGCTTTACGAGATCGTGAGAAGAAATTAGATGAGGTATACTGCTATTTCGTAATATTTTTTGCTTACAACGAGTATGGCAATGCAAAGAAAGAAATGGTTAGCAGTGGGAATAAGAACTTGTTGAACTGGGTATTTACCATATAGCAGTCAGTAATTCTTTGGTGTTTTTCTGAGACGACAGGCAATATCCGCTTTAGTTGTAATCTGGGTCCGTGCAGGTTGCTGAACTCATTGAGAAGGATCTTATCCTGATTGGATCAACTGCAATTGAAGACAAGCTTCAGGAAGGGGTGCCTACCTGCATAGAGACCTTATCAAGAGCTGGGATTAAGATCTGGGTGCTAACAGGGGACAAGATGGAAACTGCAATTAATATCGCATATGGTAAGTGCCATAAACTTTTTCTCTTTTTTTTTTCTTTTTTTTCTTTTTTTCCTTCTTCCATTTTAACTTTGTGCTCCTTAATTCTTTCAATGTTTCAGCTTGCAACTTGATCAACAATGATATGAAACAGTTTATAATCAGTTCTGAAACTGATGCAATCAGGGAAGCTGAAGAAAGGGTAAGTCATACAGATGCCTCTTATTTTCGTGTGTATGATCATCACTGACTACTGTCCCTCCTAATAGTTGATAAATATCTAATCTAGGGCGACCAAGTTGAAATTGCGCGTGTTATTAAGGAAGAAGTAAAGAAGGAGCTGAAGAAGAGCCTTGAAGAAGCTCAACAGTATCTGCATCATGTAGCTGGCCCAAAATTGGCTCTCGTTATCGATGGGAAGTGTTTGATGTATGCATTGGATCCGACTTTACGAATAACTCTGCTTAGCTTGAGCTTGAACTGTACTTCGGTCGTGTGCTGTCGCGTATCTCCTTTACAGAAAGCGCAGGTAATTTCAGATGACTTGTTGTTTGATTAATACTTACATAATAGTCTGGCAAGACAATCAAAGGGTCCTGAAATATATTTCTCTGAAATAACGGTTAATACTATTGCTTTTTTATGGATTTTTGTTGCGAGATAGAAATACTTGTGGGGGAACATATACTTAATACTCAATTTGTTCTTGTGACCGACTTCTTATTTGTAATCAGTGACACACTAATGTGAATTTCAGGTTACAAGCTTGGTGAGAAAAGGGGCGAAAAAGATAACACTCAGCATTGGTGATGGTGCTAACGATGTTAGCATGATACAAGCTGCTCATGTTGGTGTAGGAATAAGTGGGATGGAGGGAATGCAAGCTGTGATGGCTAGTGATTTTGCAATCGCTCAGTTTAGGTTTCTTACGGATTTGCTTCTGGTCCATGGACGGTGGTCATATCTTAGGATCTGCAAGGTTGATTTTCTCTCTCACCTCAAGCTTAATTTTACAACGTTGCTGTTACTAACGGTCTTTTGTTTTTGGCAGGTGGTGATGTATTTCTTTTACAAGAATCTTACCTTCACTTTGACTCAGTTTTGGTTCACATTTCGAACTGGTTTTTCGGGTCAAAGGTTTTATGATGATTGGTTCCAGTCATTATACAACGTTTTTTTTACAGCTCTTCCGGTGATTGTCCTTGGGCTGTTTGAGAAGGTACCATTAGGTGAACCTTAATTATTTTTTTGGATCGATAATTCGATACTTACTTTTGCATTTTCTAGGATGTGAGTGCATCCCTATCAAAGAGATACCCTGAACTGTATAGAGAGGGAATACAGAATTCCTTTTTCAAATGGAGAGTTGTGGCAGTTTGGGCTTCTTCTGCTGTGTATCAATCTTTGGTGTGCTATCTCTTTGTAACCGCCTCAGCTTTTGATGGCAAAAATTCATCAGGCAAAATGTTCGGTCTTTGGGACGTGAGCACAATGGTCTTCACCTGTCTGGTCATAGCTGTGAACCTCCGGATTCTTTTGATGAGCAACTCAATTACCAGATGGCATTATATCACAGTTGGAGGAAGCATTTTAGCATGGCTCGTTTTTGCTTTTGTGTACTGCGGGATTATGACGCCACGTGATAGAAATGTAAGCTTTGTTTCCTCCATTTAGTCAAACTCCTTTTTTCCCTTGTACTATGTATCTTCTGGTTTCTGATCATTTTAATTTCTTTTTGCTTCTCTGGGTATGCAGGAGAATGTCTACTTTGTCATATATGTCCTAATGAGTACATTTTATTTCTACTTCACGTTGCTGCTTGTTCCTGTCGTTGCTCTTCTGGCAGATTTCATCTACCAAGGGTAAGTAAAAGTTGAATATAAACACTCCAAAAGACTCCCAACAATATGCCTAAATTATATCTCAAAAGATTGCTAATTTGGGAATTTGGGGATGCAGGGCGGAGAGGTGGTTCTTCCCATTTGATTATCAGATCGTTCAAGAGATTCACAGGCACGAGCCGGATAGTAGCAATGCAGATCAGCTGGAGATAGCGAACGAGCTCACTCCAGAAGAGGCGAGAAGCTATGCGATATCCCAATTGCCTAGGGAAATCTCAAAGCACACTGGTTTTGCCTTTGATTCACCTGGTTATGAGTCGTTCTTTGCGTCTCAACTGGGTATATACGCGCCACAGAAGGCTTGGGACGTGGCTAGGAGAGCCAGTATGAGGTCACGACCCAAAGCACCAAAGAAGAATTGAAAGAGAGAAAATGGATGTATGAGTTGTGTTGTATATTTAAGCTGTCACTTTTCCAGTCTCTGCGATATACTGGAAGTTTTGGTTAGGCCTTTAGTTTGTGTTGAAGTATATAGAAATCCTCGATTAGGCCTTTTTTTGTTAGTGTCCATTACTGGTGGTATTGTTGACATTAGGAGTGGCAATGCGATTTTTCCCGTTTATCAAATTGTATTCGATCTCACTAATTCCTAATTAGCATTGGGTTGTTCGCTCTCTACAAGGATTCTTGGAAAGTAGACAAATTTCGTTTTGCAGAACTTACTACAAACGAAACTGACAAAAGCTGCGTAGTAATAAATGAAAAGACAATATTTTTATATATATAGACGCCTCTCCTACAAACCTCTTCACAGCAATCACATCAACAACCACCAAAAAATGATGTTTTTTTCTTTTCTTTTTAGGGAAATTCGAACTCCACTTAAAAGAAAGAAAGAAAAAGGGCACATCTACAATGATACATAAGCGAGAAAACCGGAATTCCAAAAATTATATATGGTCGGGAACAAAAATAAAAAAAAACAGACAAATCACAAAAAATAATCAGGGGTCTTACGGGTAGTATCTGGTTCGACTTGTCGAGGAGCTGGATCAAACTGGAGGAAGTTCTGCTCCATGTTCTCTCCTATCTCTAGAATTGCTGCCATGTTTCCACAACGATAGCAATAGTTTGGTGCACTAAACACCGTTACCACATTCTTTTCCTGTTACCAAAAAAAAAAAACAACAGAAGAGAGATCAATGATTCATTCCACGAGAGACTGACCAACTGATTAGGTGCCTTTGAAAACCTTAAGCAATAGAGCTGAGACCCCATGCACATACATACCTGACACCAGTTAAAACCTTCCATGACAAGCTGATGCGCTCTTGATATGAGACTGAGTCCATTGTTGTGATTAAATTGAGCGGCAATATCCTGTCCAAATGTATAGCCAGCGCCTCGTGGAGATATTCCCCATCCGCAGCGATCATCGGGATCGGACCATAGTAAATCACACATTGGTCCTTCGTGTGGAACCTACAGATTACAACATACATTGTTCAAAGATATGACCAATAAGGTCTTCTTTTGCTCTTTCAGATAACAACCTAATAGTACTAATTTGGAAGTTGGCATTTCTATCTTAAGAGAGCGAAAGGAGAAAGAGACCCGGAAACTAACGACTTTAGCAGGAAAAAGAAGGTAATACCTCCTGTATCCGATCCAAGCTTCGAATATTGTCAAGGGTATCCAGAGAAGGTGAAAGCCCTCCATGCAAACAGAAAACCTGTAATTGATAAGAATTGTTGAAGTCAAAAGCTGTACTTTTGAAAATGATTTCAAAAACACAGACTGAAAAGAACAACTCAAACCTGACTCTCTATGAGGGCGGTAAGAGGAAGATAATCAAAAAGGTCAGTGAAATACTTCCAGACATTTGCATTTCCGTACTTCCTCAAACATTCGTCATAAAAACCATAGCTGAAACAGAGAAGCAGAACACACATCAAACAGGAAAATACTTTGCTGATTAGCCAATAAACCAAAGGAGAAAGTATGCTCGATCAGACTCAGAAGGAACAAAAAGCGTTAGCTTATTATGAAGGATAGCTTACACTTGAGTAATCTGCCGACTTTCGTGATTCCCTCGCAAGATGGTAATTCTATCCCTGTATCGGACTTTCAATGCCACCAGTAAAGAAACTGTTTCTACTGAATAGTAGCCACGGTCTGCAAATAAAGAAAGAAAGAAAAATAGCACCAAAAAAACATTCACTATCAGCTGAAAGTAAAGGCTATTAAGTCAAAAAGATATCAACAAAAAACCCACTCCACCAGTATTCGGTTGGCTATAATGGGAAAAAAAAATCAATGTCAATGTATTAAATGAAATGACAAGTAGAATTACTACAATCTAGCTGCTCTAATGGAGTGAGATGAATCCGTAGTCTGTTCTTTAACTCTCCAGAAATCATTAAGGATAAACTAACATATTGGGAAATTCAGTACCTACCATTCCAACAGCAGAAACTGAATGAAATAAGATGTTCATTCAAAAAAAAAAGAACCCACAAGTAACTCACTTTATACTATTTTTTTTAAAAAAAAAAAAAATGCTAACTTTCCAAGATTCACCGTTGAATCCACCCAAAACGTAGATCTAAAAGGCAACGAACAAAAAAAAACGAGAAAACGGAAAAGAAATCAAAATCAGAAAATCAGAAAATCAGAAACGAATGAAAGAAGGAGAAAGACAGACCTACATAGTCACCCATGAAGAGGTAGTTGGTATCAGGTGCGTTACCACCGATTCGAAAGAGCTCGATGAGGTCATAGAACTGGCCGTGAATATCGCCGCAGACGGTAACAGGACATTTCACGGGCTGAACGTTCCATTCCTCGACAAGGATCGCCCTAGCTTGATCGCATAGCGTCCTCACATCCGCCTCCGATAACGGTTTACACTCCATCAGCTGCTCGATCTGACGGTCCAGATCTCCGTTCGACGGCATCTCGTCCAAAGGCCAAACGATCCAGCTGATGGAATCGCCGGGGATTGTATCGGCGAGGCTAAGATGATTGAAATCGGAAGATCAGAGAATCGTGCCTTTTGTCTTCTTCGTTGCTCAGTCTCTCTCTCTCTCTCCCCTCTGGCTGAGAGAATTGGATATTTATTTTGGATTTTTTTGACTATGAGAAAATAAATAAAATGGAACACTAACGAGAGAGAGAGAGAGACAGAGGACAAAAGATGTTTTTAACCCGGTTTAGATTCGGTTTTGTAGATCAAATCTTGTTCGGCCAACTCTTATTATGATCGTGGTTAGAAGTGAGATTAGCACAAAGAGAGAAATTTGGTTGGGGCTAAACCGGGTAGGAGTTGGATTGGGCTTTGGGACACGTGGGGCTAGTAGCCGAGCAGTTCTAGTTTGAATTTGTCTAAGTCTATAAAGTATCCTATAAACTAAGTGAGAATGGGCTTTTGTGGACTAGTCAAAACTCAGACCCATCGCCAATTACGCATATGTCACCAGAGCATAGATTTTCTCGACATGGTCGAACCAACCATCGCCTAAAGAATCATGGACAAATCGAACGCATTTGCTGGTTCAGATTAAAACTAAAATCATTTTAAAAGGGGGCATTCCGAGAATTGAACTCGGGACCTCTCGCACCCTAAGCGAGAATCATACCACTAGACCAAATGCCCGCTGTTGTTTGTTTCCTAAACTATATTGCTTACTACTACTAAGTTCTTAGTTCTTAGTTCTTACCTTTAATTTCCGAAGCGAAGCAGCGCAAATCACCGCTAAGTGAGAAATTCATAGACCAATTTTTTGTTCCTTACATTACATACATGCATGTATCATATCACTTATAAGAAAACTTAACCGAGTTTTTTTTTAGATAAAGTCGGAAATTCTATATTTTACTTACTAAACAAATACCACACAACAATCGATGCATTAACCATGCATTGTACATATTTAGTATCTGGAAACAAATACCACACAACAATCGATGAATAAACCATACATACCGTATTGAGAGTCTCTGGAAACTGTGTTTAGTTGATTTATGACGTAAGACAAGCGAGAGTTTTTTAAAAAAAAAAAAAAGAAACGGGACTATAGCCCTAACTCGACCTTTGGAGTTAGAAAGTCTAATTTCGTGACCCTCTAGTTGAGTCAGAAGGTCTTAAAATTTATATACAATATTGAACAAGTCCTCTCTTTTTCGTATACAGTATATAACAAGTCCCCTCTCTTCTTCCTCCTCTTCTTTTCGTCGCGGTACCCTCTTCCCTCCTCCGCTACCGAAACCACAGAGAGAGAGAGAGAGAGAGAGAGAGAGAGAGAGAGAGAGAGAGAGAGAAAAGAGAGAAGAGAGAGAGATAGATTGCTCGAAACCAGAAGCAATCTCACCACTGATGAATTATATGTATTTCTCGCGGTAACTCAAAAAGGAAGCTTGTTTTGCTCTTTACTTGTGAATACTCCGTCCAATATTTCTACTTTGAAACTCCGGCGGCCAACATTTTCGCCGATCCCCTGCTTTCGTTGAAACTTCCATTCTCTTACCAAGGAACGGAGAAGCTCCATTCACCGTTCGAGTAACGTGATCCGGTTTTTTATTTAAAATCTCTTGCTCAGTTTTTTTTTTCCTTTTTTTCCGATTCCTTGCTCGTTTTACCGATAAGAGATCCTATTAGTCGGTAAAATAAATATCTTTTTTTGTCATTCGGAGCTATTTCTATGGACTTTAATTATTTTCAGGGTTCTTAGTTTGCTAAAAGCCTGATTTTTTTCCAGAAATTTGACTAGGAGGAAGAAAAGATGAAGAGAGTTAGAAAAGATGAAGATGAAGTCCAAAGGCGAATAAGGCGTCAGGTTTCATCTCCACAAGAAACGTAACTCTCTCGAACCCCAAATTTGTTTCTTTTCTAATTTGTCTTTAGGCTAATGTTGTTTTGTTGGGGATGTTAATATTTCATACCTGGAATTTATTTACTTGTAGGTTGTGAGTTTCCTTTTTGAGGCCTATAATTATTCAACGTTGTAGCTAACAATTTCAATGTTTGAAAGTAAGTTACATGTGTTTGTGCAATGCAGAGACAGGCAACCTGGAACAAGTGATGCTCTACGATATCTCATATCTGTCAAGAACATTTTTCATGACAATGTAGAAAAATATGAGACATTCCTTGAGATCATGATGGACTTTAAATGTCAGAGGTATACCTACTTCTCTTCTCTTCCCGTTTAGTTTCAATTTGTCTTTCTTAATGAGGGTACAGAAGGAACTAGTGTACTGTGGATGTCACAGTGTGAACTGCGTCTACTCATGCTGTCTCATGTTGGTTGCAGAGTCACTACTGATGGTGTCGTTCAAAGAATAAAAGCTTTGTTCAAGGGTTACGACGACCTACTTTTAGGTTTTAATACTTTCTTGCCCAAAGAGCATGCAATAACCCTTCCGGCAGAGGAAGAGAAACCTCAGACCACGGTGGATTTCAAAGACGCTGTCGGTTTTGTCATCAAGACTAAGGTATGTATGTGATGTGGTAAATGACATACTGAAGTAATATTGACTTTCTATCAGTTAAGGTTTACTTGAATTTCTACTTTTGCAGGCGAGGCTCAAAGGTGATGAATATGCGTATCAAAGGTTTCTGGATATCTTGGACATGTCTCGAAAGGAAACAATGTCCATCTCTGATGTCTACGAAGAGGTATGTTTATTGTTATTGCCCGGAGGGTTAACTTTTGAAATTTCTGCCTCCTATTGTTAGAGCGACAGCCGACAGTTGTATCATGCTTCTCTGATCATCGTCTGTTGTGTAGGTTACTATGCTGTTCAAGGGTCATGAAGATCTGCTCGCGGAGTTTGTTAATTTCTTACCTCAACGTTTAAAAACTGCTTCTGCGAGGAATGCTGTACCGCTTCGTAAGGACACTGCAATTTCTGCCATGCATCCAATGCATTCGGATAAGGTTACTCTGATTCATCTTTGTAAATGACAGTATCTTTTGCGCAGTTAGTAATGTTTTTAATGGATCTTCATCGTAGCAGAACTGCATTTTGGTATTACTTCCTTCCCTCCACTGTTTTAAGAGTCTGATAAATCAAGATCAAATTGGCATTGTTATTTTGTATAGGGAACTTGATAGTGAGATATTGATATTGACTCTTATTTACTGTAGAAAATAAAACGACGATGTAAGCTTGAAGTTCATTCTGAACACACTGATCAACGAGAAGATGGTGATGATAACCTTGTCGCTTGCTCTGCTGGTAATTCTCTGGAAAGTGAGTCTTTGGATGGCCTGTTACATTTCTATCTACATTGCCTATATAGTTCAGCTTTATGATTGTGAAAATGTCTTTCATTCTAGTGAATTCAATATAAACAACCAAATGATATCTGTCTGAGATTTACTGTGACCGTGGTCAATTTTGTCTCTGTTAATGTAATAGTTTGTATCTAGTTCTGAGGTTCAAATATGTTAACTTTTTTGCGGAATCCCTTGTTACGTATCTTCATCTTGTATATTATGATCATGCCCAACCTTGTGTCTGTTCTCGGATTAAGTGGTCTGTAGTTTATATCTGGTTATAAGGTACTTAATTTTTGCAGACTCCCTTGTTAAAGAAGGCCAGCGAGGATATTTGAAGACAGAGGAGAACGGGGGAATTCGAGATTTTGAAAATAGAGAAGATACAGATAAAGAAAAATGTGCAGCGTCTGGCAGTAAAGATATCGAAAGTTCCAAATGTCCACTAGCTTCTATCAAATATGTGGCAACACCTATAAATGAACTTGATCTTTCTGGATGCACTCAGTGTACGCCAAGTTATCGGCTCCTGCCAAAGGATGTGAGGGCCTCTTTTTCCTAAATAACATCGTTCTACTACACTGCAATTTACTGCGTCATTCCGTTCTCTTATAATCATATGTTTGGTCTGTGTCTATGCAGTATCCAGTTGAAATTCCAAGATACAGAAATACAATTGGTAAAAAGACACTTAATGACCACCTGGTATCTGTCACCTCAGGGAGTGAAGATTACTCATTCAGTCATATGCGCAAAAACCAGTATGAAGAAAGCTTGTTTCGGTGTGAGGATGACAGGTATGATCTGGTAGTTTGATGACATATTTCCTTAATCCACTTGGTATATACAGGTTCTGTATTCTCTCTCTATATCCATATAGATACTTTCCTATAACTTTGGGACTTCTCTCCTTTCATATGGAGAAATGCTGGTCTTTTTGTTGGTAATAGATTCCCCTGTTTAACATTCCTAATGTGTCTTCAGGTATGAAATGGACATGTTACTAGGATCTGTAAGTTCAGCTATCAAACATGTGGAAATTCTTCTGGAAAAGTTCAACAACAACACAATATCAACAGACACTACAATATGTATCGAAAAACACTTATCAGGTAATTCGTTAGTGTGGAACCAATCCAATGTGGCTATATTTTGTCTATTCTTCACTTATTTGTGCTAATAACTTTCTATGTGACTGTATCTAATAGCTATGAACTTAAGATGCATTGAGCGGTTGTACGGTGATCATGGGCTTGATATCATGGATCTTTTGAAGAAGAATATGCACAGCGCTTTACCGGTGATACTGACGCGCTTGAAGCAGAAGCAAGAAGAATGGGCAAGGTGCCACTCTGATTTCCAGAAAGTTTGGGCGGAAGTCTATGCTAAGAATCACCATAAGTCACTAGATCATCGTAGTTTCTATTTCAAGCAGCAGGACTCGAAGAACTTGAGCACAAAATGTAAGCTTCCTTTTCAAAAAAATTCTTAGTAAGTTTTAAGATCTCCACTTGAACACAAAATGTAAACTTCTCCTACTTTAGGCTGATGAAACCACATGTTTTTTTTTTTTGCTGCACTTGAAAATTTCGTGGAAAAATGTAGCAACTTCTTTCTCTGCCTCGTGATTTTGAAGAATTATGGTGAAGCGAGAGAAAGTGCAATTTTTTTTAGTAACAGATGATTAGAGTAGAGTGAGCCCAGATTTTGTACTTATTTCCGAGTTATTTGTATCAATTGTATTTTTTCGTTGTGTCCTAAAATGCAGGTTTAGTGGCAGAGATAAAAGATATTAGTGAGAAAAAGCATCAGGAAGATCTGCGTCAAGCGATTGCTGTCAGAACTATGCCCTCTTTTACCCCGGATTTGGAGTTCAGTTATTGTGATACTCAAATTCACGAAGACTTATATGTGCTAATCAAGTATTACTGTGAAGGAGTATGTGCGGCCGAACAATCAGATAAGGTAATGAAGCTGTGGGCAACCTTTTTGGAGCCCATGTTTGGCATTTTTTCGAGGTCTCAGGGTAACCTGGCTATGGACGATATGTCGAAGTTGAAAAACAACAACCAAAAAATGCATGATGCATGCGTGGCAGTGAAGGATAGCGCTTCTGGGTCAAAACATCCAGTATCCCCGAAACCGCTGAACAAAGATAATCCGACAGTGCCAGGAAGCTCTCCTAGGAAAGATGTCTCTTCCAATATAGTGAAAACAGTTCAGCTCAATAAACTGCAAGATGATGCAGCTATGATCAATGAGGTAACTCCTTGTGTGGAGTTGTTTTAAAACTAAATCAAATGCATTTCAGTTCTTATAAGTTCAATGAAAAGTTACCATCCTTACTTACCAGTTTGACGCCTTGATTAGCAATCACTAGAGACAAGTCATGATTATATATATTTTATGAGACTTTGCAGGTATAATCGTATTTTTGGTTCATGGTCCACAGGTTATCCAGTCTTCCAAACTGATGTCACCCAGAAACGATCAGATAATGGAGGATGTAGAGAATCATACGGTCAACGAAGTATCAGTCGGAAAGCACGAGGTTGAGCGAGAAGAGGGTGAATTATTTCCCGCCGACAATTGTGAGCTAGGCAATTTTGAGGTTAATGGACAGGATGGCCTCAAGACTTTACAAAGGGTGATGGACAATGTAAGAAGCGATAAAGATCAAGACCAACAACATTGTGATAAAAAGGGAGCAAAGAGTAATGCTCGCGCTGAAGATGACAAAACAGAAAATTCTCACAAGTTATCAGAGGATAATGAGACTGCCTCTAAAATGCTTGTTTCAGGAGCTAAGTTTGGTTGCCATGAACAGCATTACGGAGTTATGAACTGTAATGGGCGTGTTAGTGTGGCTGGAGAGGTGGCTAATGGAAATGAAGGGGAAGATGGATCTTTTGCATTTTCAGAACGGTTTCTGCAAACTGCAAAACCTGTTGCCAAGCATGTGCTTTGGCCATTGAAAGCCAGTGAAACTGAGTCCCAGAATGATTCTCGAGTTTTTTTCGGGAACGATTCCTATTACGTGCTGTTCAGGCTTCATCAAGTAAGGACTGTTTGAACCAAGCTTCTCGAATCTTTAATATGATGATCTTCACCTCTGGTGCTAATTTCTTTGTACTTCTGCTGGTTTTCCAGATGTTGTACGAGAGGATACGATCAGCAAAAAAACTTTCAGAAAAGAAAGGGAAGGGTCCAGATAACACAACTCCTGATTCTTATTCCAGGTGATATATCTTCCAAGTTAATGGCTTTGTATTGAACAATGGTTCTCTACTGACTTTTGGAAGCATAAAACTTTTAGGTTTATGGATGAACTCTATAAATTACTCGACGGCTCTAGTGACACTACAAAGTTTGAAGATGAATGCCGGTCTATTTTTGGAGCACAGTCATATATTCTTTTCACATTGGAAAAGCTGGTTCAGAAGTTTGTTAAGCATGTAAGAGAAAATAATTTCTTGTCTTCTTGACTCTCTGGGTCCACTCACTCTCTTTTTTGTTTTCTTCATGGGGGTGTTTGGATATGCTTCAGCTCCATGCGGTTGCAGCTGATGAGACAGACACCAAACTTCTGGAACTATATGCATATGAGAACTACAGAAAACCTGGAAGATTCTTTGATCTTGTGTATCATGACAATGCACATGCCCTCCTCCATGAGGCAAACATATACCAGATCAGATATGTAGGTTTCTCTTGAACTTCACATCTGTCCTGTCCATTCGAATTCCGTAGTGTATTAATATTACGTTGTGACTGATTGCAGTCGTCGGCAGAGACCCGTCTCTCGATTCAGCTTATGAACAGCTGGAACAATCATCTTGAAGCAACGGGTGCAGCGATGGAGACTGGTTTTGCGGACTATCTGCAAAATAAATTTCTGACATCAGTCAGTGATGAAGAGAATCATAGTTTGTTTCTGAAAAGGTGAAAAACTGATTTGAGCTTATGGTATATGTTTTTTTTTAGGTTTCTGCAGTAATGTGTAAGCAAATTTCTGTGCAGGAACAAGGAGAAACTCACTGGTTTAGATAAATCTTCAGGGATGCCATCTGCAATGGAAGGATTGATCATTATTAACGAGATCGAATGTAAGATGGATTGCAGTACTTCAAAGGTACAACATATAATGAAATTCTGTGTGTTGGGAAAGACTTGACTTCTGAAATGTTATATTTTGTGGATGAATCAAACTTACTTTGTCCGAATGATTTAACTGATGTAGGTGAAGTATGTAGGAAACACATCAGATCTTTTGTACAGAAGCAAACAGAGGAAACCGAATTCAACGGGACAGAGGCTAAAAAGAGTCAGCGAAATCTCAAAACAGAGGAGAATATCACGGTTTCACATTATGCTGAATTGCAAACTTATTGCCTTGCCACCTCTATAAACACTTACCCAGTGCCGTGTCTAATGTTATGGATTCAGAATAGGATTCTATAGCAGTAAACGATATTCCTCTAACCGATGAGTAAAATGATTATCTATTGGAGGTTCCATCCCACCTTATAAAAAGTTCAATTTCATTAGGAGACAACTTTGCATTGCTAATATTTTGTGATTCTATAATGAAGGCGCTTGTCAATTTAAAAGTAAATAAATAAATAAATAAATAAATGATATGGTTATATATCATTAAAGGGCATTTTGAAATCATTCAACTAAAATTACAAAACAAGATGTCTTTGACTCATAGTATTTTCAACGAGCGACTTCTTAAAATATGTCTTTTTAGTCCATGCTTAAAAGACAAAAACACAATTAAATATGGTGATGGTCTTGCAACATTTGAACGAAAATAAATTAATCCAAGATTATAACTCAAGCAGTATAAATGTATAATGGTCAGCCACCCAAAAAGTGAGAATATTGAAGATCGTGACATTCAATATTAGCAAATAAGCAACAACTAACAAGGAGAAGACTACTTAAGCAAACCAAAAAAAAACGAGGAAACTAGTTTAAACGACCTCCAGTCCGAACAAATTCTTTTTTTCTGAATGAAGGTGCAAATTTTCTTCTTCTATAACAAGCATTAGGCGATAAATAAAGCAAGCTAGACATCGAACAAAGGTAAATCTACATGTCAAGAATATAGGCAAAAGCGTGGAAAGACACATGCAGCAGCGATCAAGACAGTACATTACCCAAAGCAAAGATGACAAAAGAAACAAAAAAAAAAAAAGGAAAGAAAGAGATATGATGGTAGAGAGACTCATTCCCCACATGAAGGGACAAAACGCAACCCAAGGAAAATTTTGTTAATTTATTGCAAATTTTTTTTTAAGTACGGCAAACGTGAGGAGTATCCTTTTGGGATGATTTTGTTGTCGACAATAATTAATGATTTTGTTGGTATATACAGTGCATCGGAAATTTTTTTAATCCGTCCTTCTAATGTGGTTGGCTGCACTCACATTAACAGTTCTACATGAGATTATACTAATCCGATATTTTATTTTAGAGTTAACCTTTGAATAATTTATACTTTTAATCAGTAATTTTTCGAGTGTGAATAGACTTTGAAGGAAAAAAAAAAGAATAGGATGTTGATCAGTGGTTGATTACTTGATTTAGAGAAAAAGAGCACCTAGACTTTAATTAATTTGGATTACAAGCTAAAAGAAAACTAAAATAATTTATTATAATAATTATTATTAGGGATTATTTTTGGATCCTCTAATTAACATCGTAAGTAAATTGATTAATTTATTGTGGTCAGTCGTTAATTCTACTGAATATACTAATATGCGGTCGGTGAAAATCAGACTGTTAATTAAAACATCCAAAACCGAGTTACTCTATTAAGTAATAATTGGTGCTCAATTAAAAGACCGCTACATCGAGGAGCACGCTTAGATTTGTTAATTGTTTATATTGGATTTAATTTGTCTCTACTGTATATAGTTTTTTCTTTTGGGTCAGAATCTCTATATAGTTCTTAATAACAATTTGCAAATCGACATCCATGTGAAGATATATCCTACTCGAACGGATGCATATGGAGTTTGTAAAAACACATTCTACTTTGAAAACAAACAAAGAAAACAACATCAAAACGGGTGGCAGAGACACCGGATCTATAAAGACTAATTACATAGAAATATGCCCTAAAGAAAGGGAACAAGAATTGCCCTTTTCCAGCCTTCAAACTTTCCCTTTTACGGTTTATATTTTTTTTTTCTTGCTTACTCTCTACACATCTACACATGCATGATGAATGATGCATCCTCTTCTTTATATCTTAATAGTTTGTTTTTGATCAGTTAAGTTATAGATTTCGAATTTCATTAGAATCGGCTTGTGTAATACGTGAGTTAGTAAATTAATACGTGACTATTATACGATTATTTAAGGGGAAAATTTGATAATTGATATATCAAGCTCTCAAGTCTCAACTGTATATTTATGTATCGGATTCAGATGTTATTAGTTGTTTTACTTTTGGAAGACAAACCATTAGCTCTTTGATTCTTGAATTTTTCGGCCTAGCTAAGTTTTTTATTTTTTTGACAACAGCTAAGTTATTAATAATAGAAATGGCATTTTACAGAACTTGAATAAATACGTGCCAAATATAACGTTTTCTTTAATCCACACAAAAAAATGCTATATAGCGTATTATTTGAATATAGTCTTATTAAGGCCGAAAAAATTTCTTCAATAGATGTATGCAAGTCTACAAATAAGGATCAATGACATAGTCTGCGTCCTCTTCTTTCACTAGTGGTTGGCTCTTAGAAGATGTGCTAGTAGGTTGTGCTATGTTTTTGATATGTTATCATCCATATTTATTCTGACTGATTAGTGCATATCGTTGATAAGAGATCTAAAATAAACAATAGTCATTTCTTCAAAACATAAAACTAAAGAAAACAAAAAATGAAAGAAAAAATCAGAAGATATATTCAAACTGTTTTTGGCAAGAATAATTTCGGTCTAAGAAGTTTGTCAATAAACTTGTACGTAAACTAAGCCCTTTAACAAAAAAAAAACTTGTACGTAAACTAATCAAAATTCCGCAATCTAACCATTAATGCTGAAACCATGAATTTATGATAACGAAATTCAAAACTTTGTCATTTTGAAACAGATGTCTACAACAAACATATTAGCATAGTTAAACGTTTTATTAAAGGTATTAGCACATTTACAAAACATTCATAATAAATAGTGAATATTAAAGGTTTTATTAACTGAATGGTTTCTTTTTTGTTACTAATAAACTGAAATTGTTCTTTTGTACAACTATAGGTAGTAGTAATAGTACGAAGGAGAACGATTATCCTTCCAATTTTTCCTTAATTAAAAACTTAAGAAGTCAAAACCATATAACTTTGCGCCATAATTAAAAGGAAATTCGAAAAGCTTTTGAGAAACAGAAAAATGCCCACGTGGAGCGAGATTAAAGGGCATCTATAAATTGACGGCGTCAAGTCAACGTGCAATTAAAAACACCGTCAAAGGTAAAAAAGTTAACGGAGATAGATATTACACGGATCCCAGAAAAGTAAACAAATTTCACTAATCTAATCCGGGACTCCTCATCTCCTGCCGTCGAATCGGCGATTCAGCCGGCGACGGCGAAGACTCCGGCGACGATGTCAACACATCGTCATCTTCATCGTCTATTGGTGATGAAAGTGGGGAGGAAAACATCTCCACCGGAGATAACGGCGGTGAAGAGTCAGACGAATCAGGCGAGAGAGTCAACGACGGCGGCGGAGGAGGAAGCGAAGCGTGGACGGAATCGGAATCTTCTGGAAGCTTCCGTTTGTTTCCGTTAGAAAGTTTAACGTCTTTGGTCAAGTAGTTTCTCAGGCGTTTCACGTCGGCGAGTTTCACCGGTTTCAGTAAAAAATCCTCCGCACCTTCCTCAAGGCACCTGCGAATCAGTTTCAATTTATCAAATCCAAATTTTTCTCAAAAAAAAAAAAAAACAAAATCTGCGAAAATCACCTGTCGATTCTGGTCAATACGTTCTCTGATGACATAATTACAACCGGAACTTCTCGGAAACTCGACGATTCCTGTTGTTTCAAATTTAACGAAAAATTCCACATTGTTCAGACAGAGCTGAAAAAACAGCAACACATCTGAAATGGCGGGAAAAGTTCAGACCTTGATCTTCTTGAGGAGTTCGTAACCGGTCATTCCAGGCATACAGTAATCGGTGATGATCAGATCAACTTTCAATCTCTGTGATTCGAGAAAAATAAATGCTAAAATCAAAGTCTGGATTTTTCACAGAAACAAATGATTGCAGAGTCATTCCATGACTTACATCAAATTCGGCAGAGGCTTTCTCGTTGTCTAGCCCTAGAAACTCCAGCGCACGCCATCCACTATCTACCGCCGTGACTGAAACAGAACCGCCGGAGATATATTTCTGTTTTAGGAACTTTCCGGCGAGAAAATTGTTTTAAAGAAAAAATTAAAAAAACGAACCTTTGCAGGAGGTAATACGAAGCAATCTCTCGATGACAATACGATCGACGAGGCTGTCATCGACGGCCAGGACATGAACTTCATCTAAATCCAACGGCGCGGATTCCATTCCGACTTTCATCATCTCCGACCTCCGTAGACAAGAAACGCCACCGTCTCTGGCCATGGACGAATTAGTAGTAACTGAGAGGGGAGGAAAGGTTTAAAATAGCACAAGAGAGAAGAAGGAAGAGCTCACACCTGTTTCTCTTCTCTTCTTCTTCTTTTCCTCCTTAAAGACGGTTTTTTATATTTCTGATTTTTTTTTTCCTTTCTCACTCTTCAAAATTAACATCACTGTCTTTTTTTAATTTATTTTTTTAATCCCCAGCGAGGAAAATCAAACAATATCTTTAGTTCATGTGAAACAAATACGACTATTTTATTTCTTTTATGCCGTGCTTTTAGGGTTGAAAAATTGAACTTTTTTATTGAAGAAAAAAAATAGTATTAATACATTGAGATTTCTGAAAATCCCGGTGGGGGGCCTATGCGAATATCATAGAGAAAAATATTCCTGAATCGAATAAATAATAAGTAGAGGAAAAATCCGTACAAAGGAATTGAAAAAAAAACTACCACATAGACAGACCGTGAGATATTGGTCAAAATCTCGTCGTGACTGTAAGTGAAAAAACTGAAATGGAATCACTGTTAAGAGACAAACATTGATTGAAGAAGAGAAGCTGGTTTGGTCACCATTACAGTTCACAGTAACGGTTAAAGTAAATCGGTGCGTGTAGTCCGGCTCGGTTAGGATTGGTTTTATATATATGTAGATTTTGTTGGTCAATATACATTAAGCATGCATGCTACTACCTAAGATTTAGTTTTTGTTCTCCATGTTTCAATGTACTGTAATCATTAGGTTACGGAATCTAAGATTACACCGAGATAATCTTTATTGCATGTAATATGTTCTGCTTACCAAATTTATGTTGTGGATTAGTGGATATATGTTTTTAAAAATGTAGATAAATAATGCAAAATATTACTGCATGTTCCATGTGAGTGGTTAGTTTCTACTTTTTTACTTTTTTTTTTTAAATAGTATGTTAAATTATTCAAAAAAGAAAACGTATGTGAATAAGCTATAAATACAAACTAAACCAGAAAACAAAATAAATGGTTATCGTGTTGAAAACCATATCACCATCCCTTCGTCGTAACGAGTATCTCCCATGGCTCTGATAGAAGATAATTTGTTTCTGATCTGCTTGTCGATGAATTGAGCCATTTGCCCCTCTGTTGTTGGCGGTTCACCATGCCTTCTGTTATTTCTCTCCCTCCATATCCAATACAGAGATGTCTGGAAGGTGTAACGAAATAACCATTGCCGAGTTTTCTCCCGCAGGTGCTCCTGCAGCTGGTTTAGAATCTCGTTCCAGCTGTTGGTGTAATCAGGTGCAAGAAGCTTCCTTACTAGGTTACTCCACACCCTCTCGGTAAAACTGCATTCGAAGAAGAGATGATTGCGGGTTTCTAGTGATGCTCTGCAGAAGACACAGGATGTATCGGCTCCAGTGTTCCATTGAGCGATCCGATCCCCTGTTGTAAGGCGGTTATGCATCGCTAACCAAGCTATGAATGTGAACTTTGGTGTTGCGCGGGAGAACCAGATCCCCTTTGCCCACTCACATATTGGCTATGTTGTTCTGATTAAGCTCAATGTGTCCTTAGAGCTGAACTTTGGTGTGAATTTGTCATTTCGACGCTTCCACAAGACCACGTCAGTTTCAGCGATTCTCACTTTCTGCTTTGTCGAGTAGATTATCTCTTCTATGTCATTAAGAATATCCACGCGGTGTCGACGGCGACGGTGAGTATTCAAAACCACAGCAACAGTGTAGTGATTTGGGATCCCTAAATCGATGCATCCCCTCTGACCTGTGAGATCAATCAGTCTGCCTAATGGGCACCAAACATCGTACCAGAACGACGTGTGTTCTCCATTGCGAATGTCAATACGAACAAAATCTCGAGCTATTTCCCAGAATTTAAGGAGTTTCTTCCACATCCAAGAACCCAGAGAGGTGGATTCCTTGACATTCCAAAACGAGCCTTTTCGGATAAGGTGTCGTCTTACCCAATCAACCCAGAGCGATGACTGCGAAGCAAATAGACGCCAAATTAGTTTAAGACAGCACACTTTGTTTGCCTCCGTGACTGATCTTAGACCTAAACCACCTTCATTATGAGGCTTGCAGACATCTTTCCAAGCAAGCTTAGCCTTCTTGGGGTTCAAATCGGGACTCGACAAGAGGAAGGCAGAGCACATCTTGTCAATCTCCGAGATACAGCTTTTGGAAGTCGATATGCAGATATCCAGAAGTTTGTTAGGCTATGTATAACCGAAACCAATAAGCTGAAGGCGACCTGCAAAGGTCAAATACCGAGCTGTCCAAGTGCTGATTCGGTGGCGGATTTTCTCCAACAAAGGGCTATAATCGTGAGCTTTCATCTGCTTGGTGAGGAGAGGAAGACCCAAGTACCTCACTGGTAAGGAACCGGATTCAAAAGGGAACTGATCCAGAATAGAGTCCAGCATTGACCCTGATACTCCTGCTACATACAAAGTGGATTTCTCCAGGCTTATGTTTAGACCCGAGAGGGAGGCAAAATCCTGAAAAACGCCTAAAACACCTTCAATAGAACTCTTTTTCCCATCAGAGAACACTAACATATCATCAGCAAAACACAAATGCGTGAGCTTAAGGTTTTGGCACGACGGGTGGTATCCTAATTTTCTATCTGCAGCCGCCTTGTCCAAAAGCTTGTAACACATTCATACAGATCAGAAAGAGGTAAGGTGAGAGGGAGCAACCTTGACGAAGACCCCTCTTGCTCTGGAAATAACCTGAGAGCTCGCCGTTTACTTGAACAGAGAAAGAAGCAGATGTAACACACAGAGTAATCCAATGGATGAAAACCTGTGGGAAGTTCAGAGCCTTGAGTGTAGCAAGCAGGAAAGGCCAATGTACTGTATCAAAAGCCTTGGAGATATCAATTTTGACTGAACAACGGGCTGATATTGTTTCCTTATGGTAGTTTTTAACCAGCTCAGAAGCTAAAAGAACATTTTCCATGAGCAAACGACCTTTGACAAACGCCGATTGGTTTTTTGTAATGAATAGAGGAAGAACTTTCTTGAGTCTGTTTGCAAGGATCTTTGAAACCACCTTATAAAGAACATTACAGCATGAGATCGGTCTGTAATCTTTCATCACCTTTGCCTCTTTCTTTTTAGGGATTAGTGCTAAAATAGTGGAGTTGACACCTTTTGGCAAGAATCCTTTATCGAAGAAGGACTGAACTGCAATGACAAAATCTGATCCAATAATCGGCCAAGCTTCCCTGAAGAATTCACTAGTGTATCCGTCAGGACCTGGAAATTTATTTCCTGGCATCCCAAATAGAACCAATCTGATTTCTTCTTCTGTTACACGTCTGCTTAGTATCTCCACCTCCGTCTTGTTGCATTGAAAACCAAGCAGGTCACGTAACTCGGCTTCCGGCATTGCAGTACTGTTAGGCGTTTCCGATGATAAAAAGGTGCTGAAAAATTCCTCTGCTTCCACCTTTATTTCGTTTTGAGTCACAGCCAGGGTTCCATCACTTCTTTGAATCTCCCTGATAGAGTTTCGGACCTCTCTATTCCTTGCAGCTTGATGAAAAAATCTGTTGTTTCCATCTCCAACCTTTAACCAATGGATTTTTGACTTCTGTCGAAGGAATTTCTCCTCCAGCTCCGATAGCCTCTGCCACTTTTCAAATGCTTTGGATTCTTCTTCCATCGCTACTGATGTATGGTGCTGCAGAGTTCGTGTTTGGGCTTCACAGAGCTTGTCAAACGCGCTTTTTGTTCGCTGGGAAAGATCACTTAGTTGATTCTTACTGAATTCTCTGAGCTTTGGCTTTAGAAATTTCAGTTTTTTGGAGAATCAATACATGGCAGACGTCGAATTGAAAATAACCTCTGTTTCCTCCCAGTAAGTCTTTATCAGCGGTAAAAACTCCGGATGACTAGTGACAGCATTTGTAAATTTAAACGGACGCCTGATTCTCTGCTTTTCCACTTCGATTTGAATGCGACACCTAAGGTGATCCGAGCATCCTACAGATTCGAAATTGCAGTAAGATCGAGGATAAGAGGTGTACCATGAGTCACTCATGAGAACCCGATCAAGCTTTTTGCAGATGAGCCCCTATTCACGCTTGTTACACCAGGTGAAACTCGGGCCATGAGTAGTTATGTCAACTAAAGAGCCATAACGAACCGTGTCTTGAAAATCACGCATTCTTTGCGAAGTAGATGGAGAGTTTTGAAATTCTGAGTGCTCCTCCTCCTCTAGAATCTCATTGAAATCACCGAAAATGAGCCACGGTTTATTACGAAAAAGCGGAGAGTCTTGATGGTTCTTTATATCAGTCCAGAGCTCCTTCCTCTCCTCTGCTGTGTTAAGGGCATAAACGAATGAACAAAAGAATTCCTCCGTCGCACCCTCAAGTAAGATAGAACACGTGATCATCTGACTGTTTTTAAAACAGGGAGTAACACGAACATGTGGACTCCAAATAACCCAAATTATGCCGAGTCTATTGAACTCGTAATTAGATAGAAACGACCAATCCTTGAAAACTGAAGAAACAATCCTCATCGCTTTATTTTCCTTCACCCTTGTTTCCAATAAACAACCAAACTTAAACATTCCCTTTCTCAACCAGTTTTTCATAATAGTATGTTTAGTAGTTTTGTTAAAACTACGCACATTTCCATGAAAAACTCGACATTAATTAGCTTTTCTACTTTACTATATAGACAATTAGAATGATCGAGTTGACCAAAAAATAATTAGAGTGATCGTTATTACTTTTTTATGTTGTACTCTCCATATATATAAAGAAATAACTTATATTATTTTTGGTTGCCGATTACTGATGCATTAATTTTAGAAAGAGCAGATCGCTATGATGTTTTTTTTCAAACCGATGGATGCATAAATCATAATAGCCACGATACAAACATTATACTATTGCTACATATTGTTAATTAGGCCGAATCGAAATCCGAAATTTCCACACAAAAAATTAAAATTTTCAAAAGAAATAGTGTCTGTAAGTTTTTTTTGTTGTCCGAATAGGGTTTGACGATAAAATTAATAGACGCGGATTACTAGTATATGTATATATATCCATACGACTCTAGAAATTTATGTTATCCAAACGTTTACTTCCACTACAATAATAAAACTAATACAAAAGCCAACCAAGAACTAAAAGTGATTTATTTATGAAAAATATCATTTTTCAATTAAAAAAAAAGGGAGAGAAACAAGAGGAAGGTGGACAAATAATAATGCATTGACGTCCACATTAAAAATAGGATACGCGGGACCCACGGAAATCTAAAGGGGGGACCCATTAATATTTGTTCGAACATTTCTTTTTTAAGGCATTGGACTTTTCCCTTTTTTTTCCAAACATAATTTGCTGTTTCACTCTTTAGACACCACAGCGTATCAAATCTTGGAGATTGCTTTTGCTTTGTCTTTCCCACCCAAATTAAACAAAATATTTGTAAATGTATTTTTTTTCTTTCTCACAATAATATATAGAATATCTAATTTTTTTAATCAAACCTGTTTTTCATAAGATACGACTACGAGTCTAAAATGTTTTGGAACCTAAAAACCTTTATCCATTACAAAAATAGGTAACTACGTTAGTTTTGGACAAATGAGAACAAAAAATATAAACACATTTTCATTCTTTTGCTCGTAAACATTTCTATTCAAAACAAAAAAAAACTTTTAAATTTCAATTTTTTGTCATTTGGAGTTGTATTATTGAAATTATCAACAATATACTCACTTGCTAAAACATGAAGAACAAAAATTATTGTTAAGAGAATGTAAAAACAAAAATCATCAATATTAAAAAGGAAAACAAATTTCAATATAATGACCTTTTTTATAAATCCAGTATAATGACATTCTTCTAATTATAGTTACAGCACAAAAGATCAGGTTTCGGTTGCTTAGAAGTTAACCGATCATAGTGGGATGATCGGGGTTTTACCATATTGGCAAAAAAAAAAGTTTAGTTAATTGGAATTGATCGTCTTTGCCTAATTATATTATGTATATTATTATTAACCCTAATGTTCACAGAAACATCTAACAAATTAAAAATAAAAATACCCAGTGACGCGTGAAATAATATTTTCCAATGGATTTTTGAAAACAGTTACGCGAAATTTAGGATTGATTTGTGAATTGATTTTTCAAACGATATGGGCCAGCGAATGATGGATCAAATCTTCATGATGTCAACAAGAAATCGAGGATTGAACAAAAAAATCTATAATAGTAGTGAACGACGTGTCGCACATAAAATCAAATTTTATCTTTTTCTAGGAACACTGAACATCACAATTTTAAAAATAAAGACATTGACATTATAAACTTTATTTTGGTACTTGATTGAGGTCTGGAGCATCTTTTTAATATGATTGTTAGCGTAAGTATTTTCTCGGTTTTTTTAAACCCTCCTATACTAAAAACAGAAGCATGCGAAAATATAATTCTAGCAATAAAACTAACTAATTAGTTGACCTAACTAAACAATATACAAAGTATTATTTAAATTCCAAAATAATGTAAGATTAAATATTTTTGTTTTGATATTTCTTCTCCGGATGGATGGATTGATTTTAGTTTAGGTTGGGTCGGCATATATTCAAATTATGATATTATGTTGACTTTAATGAACTTCTAGTTTAAATTAACAAATAGTAGTCTAGTAGATTGACCAAAGACTCCTGTATATAAGTGTACATCTCCTACTATTATATATTCTCTCCGTTTTACTATCATCATCCTATTTGGGATAATAGTTGGGACTCTAAATTAATGTTTTTACTTGGATCATTAACCAGATAACTATAAATACAGTGGTTTATATCTTTTATCTTACCTCATCCCTTATATTTACATGTGAGCTTTCTAATACATGAGGTAGAGTCATCAGTAGACTAGTGAGTAGTGGCATTCGGTAAAGAAAACGGTTGGACATTATTATTATTTTTGGCCTTCTAATTGTATTAGAATACTGAGAGCAGAAGACAAAGAGATCAAAACACCATCATAACTAAATTTACGTGAAGTTCATGGGCCTTAAACTATTTTGGCTTTTTCTGCTTTTTTTTCCCTCCCCAATTGATGTATTTTAATATTGAATGAAATAAAGAAATTCAAATAATTTAAAAAGGTTGGCAGATCGGAGTAGTAACAAAACTTTTATTTGTGCCCGAAACTGAAGTAAAGGCCCAATAGTGTCTGTATCCGATCCATATCTGTATTCACTTAAGGTCGGACAAATAGTCCAAACCAAAGCCTGCCTACTAAATTTCATTCGAAGTCAAACCGGGTTCAAACCTTAGTCATTTCAGTTTAACTTTACCAATTTTGTTGTTATATTAAACCAGACCAAATTAAAGACCGAAATCAAAATGTCCACCATTAATACGAATATGTCTATATCTTTAACTAAAATTTGAAGACATAAAGAAATTAAAAGTTGTCATAAATCGTTTTGTATATATCTGCCTAGATCACAGACCAAAAATCTAATACACTGTTACTGGGTAATCAATCAAACGAATTTGTCACCGAACTCCCCAAGACCGCATGATGCTAATGAATTTATCCAACCATTAAATCACAACCCAAATCTAGCTTTTTTATGGGACCAACTTGGATGGGGATCGAGTTCAAAACCTTCCGCCTTATTTTATATCTTTTTTTGGCTACATGTTTTGCCCTGTCTATAGGAAACTATATTGCTTATACCAAAGAAACCAGGCTTTAGTAGTTAAACCACTATCCCACGGCGATGTATCTATATATAAAAAACTACAGAAAGTGTCTCTATGTGTATCACATTCACACGGCTGGCTTGGAGATCTGCATCGTTCAATAATAATTATTTACATGCATGATCTAGGAATTTCCAATAATGCTATCTTCTCACACTTAGCACTCTAAACCTGTAAGCTTTTAAAAAGTTTTTTTCTCCTATAGTTGCTAACTGTTATGCTTGCAACTTGCAAGTAACAACGCTGTCAACAAAAAAAAAGAGTCATACGTAGCAGCATTTCCATTGGAATAGTGGTTATAAGTAACAAAACGTAACCATGTCTTTAAATTTCGTCAAATTAAATAAACCAAAAAAACAAAATAGTCAAATTGATACCTTGGTCATTTAGATCGATAATCATTGTTTTTTCTCATTTATTGTTCCATTAGCTATATAGAATAGTTTAGAACTTTGCTCTTGGCATTCTTGGTGGTATTTCTTTTTCCATAGATACTGAATAAAGATATATAATTAAAAAGGGGTTCAAGTGCTCGTGGAGTCGTCTAGAAGAGAAGCAAGGATTTTATTAATCAGATTGGCAAACTGCGGGGACCACCTTAGGGTACTCTAATTATTTTTCTTCCGACCTATACTTGGAAAATGTTTACTAATTCAACTTAAATCTATCAATTTTTTTTCTCTTGTATACGTGCATGTGCTACAATGGTAATGTTCGTTTATTTTTATTTAATTTTGATTCAGGCCTAATTAGGTAGAGTGAAAAATTCATAGATGATAATTTGATTCATTATACCTGGATTTTGATCTTAAGACTCTAGCTAGTATATCTTATATGTAGAATCTTTCGCCAGTAAGTTTTATATAGTTTAGTATTTGATAGAAACAAATGGAGTTATTTATATTGTTTTTTTCTTACAGAAGTTATGTCTTTCATTTTTTATTCTTTTTAAAAAAAAAAATTCTTATGTCGTTGTTCTTAAATTCAAATACATGCTAATTAAGCAATATGTATACATATATATATATATATGTTTCATTGTTCACATTGTCAGCAAGTACTTTATTATCGAAATGAATGGGGGATGTCTAAACAATTTCGGTTATATAGAATTAGTTAGTATTCTTTAAATGTTTGGACGCAAATTTTGTGATTTTGTGATACTTGATTATAACTTTTCTTATAAAGAAACAAATACTACAGTTAGCCTTTTCCTAGTCAACAAACGCTAATACTAGAGTTTTTTGTTTGTTGAACTAACTAATACTAGATTTAAATTAACCTTAGTTTTTTTTCCTAGTCAATAATAGTAGAATAGAAATTTGATTATATCTTTACTGGCTAAATCTGATTTAAATATATGAATCGTTGAGATAAAGCAAAAATAGAAGTTTTACGGACATTATAGGCTAACTATAACTTTTTCAGTAGTTTTTGCATTGACGTTAAGTTGTTCAATGGCAATCCAAATAAACGAAACCATTAGGAAAGCGAGGGAGAAATAGTTTATATATAAACTATTTTGTTTAGGGGGGGGGGGGGGTGGGGGTGTCAAATTATATACCATAATATATAAGTTTATTACATCAAATAATATAGAAACCAACCCACCCACCTAGTAGCCACCACAAAGGAACCTTTCGAACAAAAAAACTATAATTGGCTAATATTATTCCACCTTCTATTGGATAAATATAAGATGATTGTTGACAGCATACTTATTTGGAATTCTTCTTTCACTCAGTTAATAGTATTCCAATTTCTTAATAAAAAATTAAAATAAAATAAAGGACCTTGTGAGAGAGAGGAAAGAGCTTTTGATTGCATGCGACACCATGGCGAGAAAGTCCACCAATCGGAGATCTTAGGTTGTATGAATGAACATTATTATAACACCTAATAAAGATTATTTTTTATTTTTTCAATTAATTGTCTTGATCTATCTTTTAAGTTAAAGAGCAGTGGGGTCTTAATGGGAACAACTGTCCAAACCAAATGCCATTTATTTATAATTATTTTAATTAAAATAAGATTATCTCATGACTTGATTCACCTGAAAATAGAATAGTCTATGCCTTTTTTTAATGCCAGTTTTCTCTGTATAAAATAATGTATTCTCATGCTTTATGAAGATTTGCCCAAGATTTTGTTTTGAAGATTAGACTTATGAATAGATTTTTTATCTTTGTATAGTATAGATGCTTGCATCATTGCCCACTTCTTGTATTCCTTCATATAGCAACTAACTATTCCCCGTAATAATTAATTAGCATTCATTAAACATGGTCAAGATAGGCTTTTTCTTTCTTTTCTCACGGTAATTAGACAAATAATATTTGGTTTAGGTGGAAGACATGGTGATAAATTGCAAATAAACTTCAATCCATATCCGTGATCAGATCTCTATACGAGCAACTTTAGTTGATGGGAAATTTCTAAAATCTATAAAAAATATCAAATAAATATAGTTAATTCTAATCTAATAAATTTATGGACTAATTATTTTTTGTAGTAGAGAACACAGGACGACGATCAGTTTGTGTTTGTTCTTGAGTGAACATTTACTCGCTTAAAAATTATGATGGATATCGTAGGCATGTCATTTTAAAAAAAAAAAAAATATTCATATCAATTAAAGTGTAATATTATATTAGGGATCAGAGTATTATCCTGCACCTTGCAGGTTGATGATATATATTTTTGGGTTAAACTGATTAGCTTTATTTCTTCCTATCTTTCTTTGACTTTTGGTTTTATTTCTAATATGATATTAACTTCTTAATCTTCCCTTTCAGCTTAGAATATAACTTTTGTATTAATTGTCACAAGTGGTGTGATCGCTGCATGCCTTTTCATATGCATTTAAAAATTCATCAAATCTCAACTTAATCTAACTATTTTATTCACGCACTAAACAGAAATTATGTATTTTTCCGCAAGATTTAAAGTAAATCTTATAAATTTTAAGCGATTGTGCATAATTTATTGTGCATTATGCTTAAGACAAAAGATAAAATAAGTTGACAAGTTAAGTCTTAATATAGTATAACTATTTTTGTATCCCATTTTTTTGTTTATCGTTCCTATATATATATATGTATATATACACATATATATATATATATATATGCGCGTGGTATCCAAATATTTGTATAAAACTATTCCGTGTTAGCACAGCAAATATGAAATATATTTAGGCGTGGTTAGTGTAAGATTTATATAGTATATATAATAGAAGCTTTCAAGGATTATTTTCCAAGATCAATTCTCGTCACACCTTAGATTCAAACAACTAATTATATTATAAACCCTAAAAAATTAAGTCGATCCTATTGATCATGACTAATATTAAAACCCTTCCAACAATATAAAACTCCTCAAAACACATATACATTATAGTACAGATGCAACGCATCATTAATTACAAATTATTAAACTAAACATCCTCCTTCTACAACCTTTGCTATATAAAGAAGATCATTTACACATCTCCTAAGCTAACTAAACCCACCAAAAAACACATACATACACAAATATATATGTCTATATTTCCGACAATGTCTCGTACAGGCGAAAGCTCCTCAGACTCGTCCTCCGAAAAGACCATAAAACTGTTCGGATTCGATCTCATCAGCGGTAATCGTTCGCCGGAAGTCACGACGGCGGATAGCGTGAGCTCTTCAACGAACAAGACGGCATCGTTTACAGCGAAAAGACTCGAGTGCCAATATTGTGGCAAAGAGTTTGCAAATTCTCAAGCCTTGGGAGGTCACCAAAACGCTCACAAGAAGGAGAGGTTGAAGAAGAAGAGGCTTCAGCTTCAAGCTCGACGAGCTAGCATCGGCTATTATCTCACCAGCCACCAACAACCCATCACGACGTCGTTTCAAAGGCAATATAAAACGCCGTCGTACTGCGCGTTCTCTTCCATGCATGTGAATAATAATCTGATGGGTGTGTTCAACGAGGAGTGGTCGCCAATGTCGTCGCAGATTAGCTTCGGTAATAAGGAGACGTGTCAAGATCTTAATGAACAGAGTGAGAAGGGTAAGCTGTTCGGTGTACGACAAAACATGATTCAGTTCCAAAGAGATTTGACTTCTCATTCTGGTTCGAAGAGAAACATTAAGTCGCTGGATCTTCATCTAGGTTTTCCCGAAGATACGGTGTGACAAAGAAAGATAAGAATATGTACTAGTGCTGATATTTTATTGGAAAAAAGAGAAGAAACAAACGAGACACATTACTGATCTTGATGGAATTTGAATTTTATTTATTTAGGTTTGTGTATGTTTTTAAAAAATATTAATTTCAGCAAGTGATGTTGTAGAGTTATTCGAAAACAAAGAAAAAGATCTCAAAATAGATTACTTATATAGAAAATTTTTAATCGTCGTCAACCAATTAAAAAAAAAAGGAGATTGGATCAAGACTTCATCACAATATCATTTCCTTATTGCTTAGTTTGTTAACCGAATACCAATTGACAAGTTTCTATAATATTTTATCATTAAAGTTATTGTGTGCTGTGTTATAAATGGTGCATTGCTGAATTGGTGGAGAAAACAAGTTGAAACATTCACTTTCTTGTTGATTAATATAATTCGTCTATTTATATGGTCATATGTACGTATATTGTTTTGTTTGGAACCTTACGTACTTCTTCTTCTTCTTCTTCTTTTTTTTTAACCCCATATACGTACGTACTTTAAAAAAATTCTATATACGTACGTACTTCTTATATGTTTATTGGTACATTTATATATTACAATGAGTTTACATACTTCCAGACCGTACACACACACACACCTAATGAATTTATATACTTAGAAGTTAGAAATCTGTGAATTGTTGGAGAGAGCTGCAGAGAGAAATCTGTGAATTGTTGTAAAAATACTCCTACCAAGAACCGAATAAGTGAATTTTAGTGGTGACATTTCTTGACTTAGATTTTATTCTTTCAAATAGATTTGGTTTAAGATTGATTCGAAATTTCCCATTAAGTCTCTAAATAAATATGTTTATTAATTAATAATTGAAATATGTCTATCACTTTGAAATGCGTATAATATATATTAAATGGAGTCGGCAGGTTATATATTTAATCAATTGCGTGATTTGAATGATAAGCTTATATATCCAACATCCAATGTTGGAGGCCCCTTTAATTGTGTAACACATGTCACTTCCGACACCAGCGGAACTCCAATACTCCATATTAATGCTTAAATGTGTATATTTAGATGCTTATCCCATTTCATTAACACTTTTATCTTTTATTTCTTTTAAACAAAAATTCCTTTATTGTCCATTTCGTATGTTTCCTAATTTTGGTAATATGTACATGTTTTTGTTAACGTTGGTCTTCGGGATTATCGCTACTTGTATATGAGCAAACTATACATTTTTTGTTCAAGTTGGGATTCACCTAAAAACAATTGTAAATTACATAATATTATGATTTTTTAATTTAATTTCAATTTAGATATTGTTTTTTTAATTGTATTTTGTTACTAAATACTTGGAATTTGTAACTTAAGATTCCCAGATTGAATCCTACACTATACTAGTCATCAATACTGTACATATAAAGATGCTAAATGTAATTGCTATTTAAAACATCGACAGACCAATAATTAATCATGATAAACTAAACCGCGAAGAACAAAAAAATCTAAACCCTAGCTAGCATAACTCATGTAGAAAAATCTTCAACAGTTAAACCACCATGCGAGTGTGGTTATCAATCTTGTTTGTCTCAACAATGTTTTTACTGTTTTAACTATTTCTACCGACATCAGTGGAAATATATTTCATTAATTAATCTATTGAAAATCATCTACAGTAGAAGATTATGGTCTGCATAATTTGAACAATTGAATTACTATAGTATCAGAATGCGTAGTTTATAGAGATATTGGTAAACGATGATATACGCAGATGCAAATTAATTTAAAGATTTATATCCAGAGGACATATTTTCGAGCTGCCCTTGAAGGTTCCTTTGAAACTCAAAGTGGCCGCCTAATAAGTTTTTTTTGTTGTATGTGTTTATGATCATAATAACATGCAACATGTTATCATGGCATATGAAATGTAATCATAAATCATAAAGGATGATAGCTACTAAAAAAAATAAAAACTAATATTTAAGTTTAAATGAATTTATATTTTAAAAAAGAAAGAAAAGATAATGTTATCTAATGTTATGGGAGACAAAGATAGATCCAAGCCAGGTAAGGTTAGCTTGTTTGATCCAAATTGATTAAACATTTGTTCAACAAGACTTCGCCATCTGTACCACCAATCCTTCTAATTTCAATTATGGATTACAATTAAGTAATTGGCATATAGGCATATGCACCCATTATAAATTTTATTATTATTGAGATTAATTATTACTTTCTTAAAAGCAAGTCTATTTAAGATATCTTTTGTTTGGTGGCTAATCGTTACATTTGACCATTAAAAAAATTAGTATACAATGCAATACGTATATTGTTATATTTCAATTATTATTGAGGTGTAATTGTTCGAAAGACTCGGTTTTTATATCGTCTAATTTTTATTATTGTTAAATAGGAAAGATTAACACATAAGCCGTTACACAAACATCACTGTCGCCAGAAACAAAGCACAAAGAAGAAAAACTTTTGTCTTACACCTAGAACGAATAGCTTAAACAAGTTAATCTATACTACATAAAAGAAAAGCAGCAAAATTATACAACAAACACCCTTTAGAAAAAGGATAAATCTTTTGTTTGGAGAATTTCACTTTAAAAGATTCGTTATGTACTTATGTGTATACTTACGGAGTTATTATCTTTCAAAAGACAATATATTTATCTACGCAAAAAAAGACAGAGTAAATATCGATTACTTTATTAGTTTGAATGATTTCAGTGGCGTTATACGTAAGTTTTAAACTTAAAGCTGGTTTTAAATGAATCAGTTGATTTAGAAAAATTATTTGGTAGCCCATCGATCAGATATTATCATCGAATAAACCCTGATTGCTGAAGACGTGTACTAAGTGACAAGTAAAAATAATTTATCTTAATTTAATATAGTTGGCTTTTTTTTTTTGTCGACCATTAATATAGTTGGCTATTTGCGTGCATCATTATTTCCGAAATAGTAAATATTCGATTCCTCACGTCGTGTGCAGGCAGCATCAGTCTCTTAAAATATGAACATTTAATAAATTTTCTATGAAAAGAACATACACTCTACGTTCAGTGCTCGATCGATGCAATAAGAAGTTTATAAATATGGTTTAAAATTAAGTTCGAACCCAATACGCAATATCGATCGTCGGTTACGTAAATAATATTTCCATAGTCACTAGCTAGCTAAACTTAATAGAATATATAGCTAAGTTTTTTTATTGGTCCAATGGGCTTATAACTGAAAAACTTCTAATTATAAAACCAAAGTTTAAATTTGGATTTGATGGAGAAGCCGCATAGGTGAAACCACGAGTCAAAATGTATATTCCGATAATAGTCAATAGTCATGCTTAAAGTCACTAGAATCATAAATTCCCATGTTATTACAGAACTGCTAGTAAAGAAAACAATATTTGTCGCAATGCGTACTTTTCTTGTACCTAATACATTATTTGTTTAACGAAGATAACAACATTATACATCATTCGTAGTTGGTTAGAAGTCGACCTGATCGAAAATTCAATAATATTTGGAGAGATTTGTAACTTGTTAATTTTGCGATTCCAAAAGAATAGTGCGAAATTGTGGAGAAACCCGCCTATAACCACAAACCGGAAAATGTGAAAAAGGAGAAAACCGGTCGGATCTCGGGTTACAAGTAGATTATACCCTCTGGGTTTTAGGGTTTTGACTCACGGTTGACTTAGGGCGCGCTTCTCTGCTTTGGTACACACAAGCCTGTTTTTTTTTTTCATCATCTCTGCTCGTTTCCGTCACCATCTTCAATCCTCAGGTTTGTTCTTCGTCACGCGCCCTGATTACTAATGTCTAATGATTACGCCGACGAAGTATTTATTTTTTACAGCTTAGAACCGAAGCCTTTTGCATTCATTATGCTCTGATTCTTCCCCGTTTTTCTGAAAACTGAGACTTTAGTTGTAATTTTCCTAGAAAGCTTGAAACTTTGCTTCGAATTGAAACGTTCAATTAGATAGCAAATATTGTTTTCAAACGGGGTCATATTTTGAAACTCCAGAAATGAAATACCATGCCTTTGAATTTTTATACAAAAAGCTCGCAAACCTGTGCTTAATTGAATTTTGTTTTTGGGCTTAGGTTAGGAAACATAAATTGGTGTGAGAATGAGGAAGAAGGTAGACGAACGAATTAGGACTCTGATTGAAAATGGTGTAAAACTCAGACACCGTTCCATGTTTGTCATCGTCGGTGACAAGTCTCGTGACCAGGTAAAATCTTGTTCTTAAAGCGAAGTACTGCTTTGCATTATCGTAAGAAGCTTTATTTTTGGGTTTTCAGAGATGAACTATAATACCTTTTTCCCTTCGTTATGTAACAGATAGTTAATCTTCATCACATTTTGTCAAAATCGGTGGTGAAGTCTAACACAAGTGTGTTATGGTGCTACAAGAACAGACTCGACATTAGCAGGTTCGATTTATCATCCTTGTGTTCAGATAACAATTTTTTTCGTGAAATTAGAAACTTTACCTGAAATGCTGTTATTAGAACGTGCTTATGCGTGATTTTCTATTGGTCTTTCCAAGTTGAGAATGATGGATCCTTACTTTGTGAACCAAGTTGGACACAGTCGATAGCTTGGTCCTGAATATTAAATAGTAAAGTTGGTTTTGTGTGCAGTCACAATAAAAAACGGTCGAAGCAATTGAAGAAGATGAAGGAGAGAGGACAATTAGATCCTGAAAAACTTGACGCTTTCTCTCTTTTTCTTGATGTTGGGGAAGTAACACATTGCTTGTACAAAGATTCTGAACGAATTCTCGGGAACACTTATGGCATGTGCATTCTACAGGTAGGCCTGGTTAATACAAGAAATTTCATTGATGCAACTAACTTATACTTTCATTTTTAAATTTATATATGGTGTATTCAGGATTTTGAAGCTCTAACCCCAAATCTACTAGCACGAACAATAGAGACGGTGGAAGGCGGTGGGCTAGTTGTATTATTATTGCCGTCTCTTGCTTCACTTACTAGTCTATGCACCATGGTTATGGTATGAACCGTGATTTTGGTACTTATGTTGTTTGCTTCTTATTTGGAGTTACATGATTGGTTCTGTTCATATCAGG